TCCGCCAAAGGCCGCGCCGATGCAGCTCGCGCCCCCGCCACCACCGCCTGCTGATGCCGCCGGTCGAGATCCCAACAACATGTCGCGCGGAAACTCGGCTAGCGGCGCTTCAGACAACTCGGAGGGAAGACGCGAACGCCCGCCAGTGCCGGCCACTGTCCCCCTCGTCGACCCATCGCATCTGAACCCCTATCACTCGACGCTGCCGGACATGCAACCCCCGACGATTCTGACGCCGCTGCGAGCGCATTATCTGAAGAAGACGCTCGTCAATCTGCAGATCGCCCATGAGCTGAGTGTTATCACTGATCCAGTGCTCGGCGCCAATGCGCTTGGCTTACTCGGACCGCCTTTCATTCTTCCCGAGGAGGCAAAGCAGCTCGTCGCCGCCCGTATCGGCCGGGAGGCGATTCCCTCGGCGTACACGACCGGCGACCTTCCCTTCATGCGCTACATGTTCCATCAGTTCATGCTGCCCTTCCCGTTCCTCGCGGCTGCGCCCCCAACGTTTTGGAGCCACAAGGTTCAGCCATTCCTCTCCAGCTTCCTCGCCACTACCGGTGCAGCCCAGCATGCGACCAAGACGCCCCAAGAGCTCGAAATAGCCGAGAGTCTCATGACGAAAGAGGAAAAGAAGGAGGCCGAGGAGAAGGAGAAGCTCTGGGCCAAGATGAAGAAGCACCTCGGTCTGATGATCGGAGTCGGCATCAAGCTCGTCGGTGGAGAAGAGGTCGTCCGAATCGGGCAGAGCGAGCTGCGCCGCATTGAGCAAGCGCAGGAAGAGAAGCGGAGGAAGTACGCCGAGAAGCACGCTGCGGAGGGGCACCCGCCCCCAATGATTGCGTTCGACGTTAACGTCGTCGGCGTCCGCACCATCGTCCCCAAGAGCCGAGTACGACACAAGACGCACGAGGTGAGTAGTTGTGTCGCGGATAACGCTAACGTGCAGGAGTTCCTTATCCGAACGCAGCGGACGGGTGTGGCTGATGTTTTCGTCTCTCGCCGTTACGGAGATTTCCGACGTCTCGCAGAGGAGCTCCGCATCCAGTTCCCCGACATTGAGCTCCCGAACCCGCCACCAAAGGATAAGAGCGCGGCCAACGTCCCTCCGAAGACTGAGCACAGCGGCTACAGCGCATACAACCCGTTGCGCATGATCTACGGATCTGGCACCTCCTCCCCACAGCAGAGCGGCACCAACACTCCCTCGCCTAGGGCATCGGGGGAGACTGAGCGGCCGGACAACCTCGATGGTGCGACGCTTCCTCCTGCGATGCCGCTCTCGCGAGAGAAGAACCGTCTCACACTTCGAGCCTACCTGCAGTCGATCATGTCGATCCCGGAGATTGCCAACTCGCCCGTTATGCGGTCTTTCCTCCTCTCTGCGCCGACGACACTGACACCGCCCGAGGCCGCCGACGTCCAGCGTCGCCTCGAGGCCGACGCCGTGCGAGAAGAGGGCCGCAAGCGGTTCCGTGAGGAGGCGGAGCGACGAGTCGAAGCGCTGCGCGGCGGTCTGGCTGCGTTCAAGGGCGACATTCTCAGTCAGGAGGGCGGACTCAAGAGTGTGTTTGACGTTGTGCGCCGAGTCGAGCGGGTCGAGGACCTCCCGCCCGCCGAGAAGAGCGTGCTCGAGTGGGGACGCATCTCGTGAGTAAGTGTGTGCCAGGTCAGCCACTGACGTCAGCTTCGCCGCGACCATCTTCCAGCTCTACGTTGCCTCGGACACGGCGTCCGACTCGCTCGCGTCCCTCAAGCGCGTGCACGGCATCATGCCGTACTTCATGCTGAAGGGGATCCTCAAGATCTCCAACCCAATGGCGATGATCCGCGGTATCCTCGACCTTTTCCTTGCGCGTCCCTTCGGGGGACAAAGTCTTCTGCAGAAGATGTTCTCGACATCGCTGACAGAGGACCTGCGCTACCTTGCTGAAGACATTGCTGCGGTTCAGGATAAGATCGATGATCCCGTACTCTGTCAAAAGGTCGAGCAGTACGTGCGCTCCTCGTGGGAGGCGCAAGAGGTGTACCGCAAAGAGGCAGTTTCTGAGAACTGCGAGCTTCTCGTGGCCATCCTGCGCTCTCCCGAGGCGCCGAGTCTGTCGCGCGGACAGATCCAGCGCGTGTTCCGCGCATCTCGCGCGTACCGCGAATGGAAGGCCGAGCAGGCCGAGTACGGCGACTCGGACGACGAGGAGGGCCCGGACAACGACGACGCGTGGCTGTTCGAGGACCTGAACATTCTCCTCAAGCTCATGACGAGGAAGAAGGAGAAGGAGGCCATGCTCGCGCTCATCTTTGAGGGCGTCACGGCCGAACTGCTCAAGGACATTATCACCATCTTCTACGCGCCCCTCGCGACAGTGTACAAGGCCGCTAGCATCGCCGACTCACTGGGCGACCTGCAGGCGTTTATCAACGACATGATCCGCACGGTCGAGCAGGTCGAGGAATGTAAGTTAGGAGGTTAGAGAGGTCAACTGACGCCCAGTGTCGCAGGAAGACCCGCAGCGCACGGTGCAGACGTTCATCGACCTGGTGCAGCGGCACGAGCAGGCGTTCTACACCTTTGTGCACAACGTGCACACGAAGGGTCAGGGCCTCTTCGACAGCCTGATGGGCTGGATCGAGCTCTTCCTCGGGTACGCGCGCACCGGCCTGGACACGCCGTTAGACCTGGAGAACTTGCTTCCGATGGGCGGTCCGGAGCGTGCTGCCATCATGGCCGAGGTCGACGCGGTGGCGCAGTACCACTACAAGCTCAAGGTCGTGCACGAGGAGAAGGTGCGCCGGCGCTTCCAATCGGCTGGCATGGACCAGCAAGCGACGGAGGAGGCCCAGCTGGTCGATTCGGTCATGCAGTCCCTCTCCCTGGGAGAGAACACGGTCGGCGCGGCCGAGGAAGTGGCCGACGAGGAGTCGGACGAGGAAGAGTACGATGAGCGGTACGAGGACAGCGAGACGTCGTCGATCATCAGTGGCGCGTCGACGCTCAGCCTCAACGCTGCGGGGGGGAAGCGGACTGTTCCCCCATCGCCGCTTGCGAAGGGCGAGCACCACCGACACCGCCGCCACGGCAGTAATGGGAGCAACGAGCCTCCGCCCGTCCCGCCGAAGGATGGCAACCCCTTGCCAGTGCCCCCGAAGGCGAATCACCAGCAGCAGGGGCAGCACAAGAAGCGCCGCAGGAAACGAAACCTCCAGACCCTCCAGCCGCCCAAGACGCCGCACCTTGATGAGCTCAGGCCGCTGTTCGTCGAGGCTGTCAAGCCGCTCTTGAAGGTGAAGCCGATCAAGGCGTGAGGCATCAGCGAGCGAGAAGGGGCCGAGCGGCGTGTCGGAGTCGAAGAAGTAAAAATGGGGTCAGAAGGTTATCCGGTTACTTATAGAGAAACGCATAATAGGAACTTGACATAGATGCATTGCAGTGGTACCCTGGTACACTCGACTCAGCCTCAGCCCTCCACACTTCTCTCGCCTCGTCCCACCATCGTCTAATTAGGTGTGAAGGGGGGACTAATCACGCCGCCTAGCAGGACTGAAGCGCATCAAGGACACTTCGCGAACGGAGAACTGGCCCATGATCCGGCTCAAGTCCCCGCCATACGTCCTGAACGTCTCGCGCGAGGGGATAGTGACATACGCAACAACGACAGTCTTCATGACGAGCGAATTCACGCGCATGACCGTGTTGATCCATTTCCAGCTCTGGCGCTCCGCGTACCAGTCCGTGCTGGCGTGGGGCGACTGATCCCTGTCTTCATTATTCATATAGACGGGCACGACGAGGATGGAGAAGGCGCTGTGGCTAAAAACCGGCCCACGACGGTACAACAACCAGTCGACGCAGAACTTGATGCCGGAGCGGACACACCATCCCAATGCCCTGAAGTGCGCGTAGACTGCGTACTGCACCAGCAGCGGGTCGTCGGGGAGGATCTCGGTGTTGATCGTGCCCGGCACGCCGGGGAGGGGGGTTAGGAGGGCCGTCACTTCGCGGCCAGAGGGGACCATTGCGTTCTGCGGTCATGTCAGTTATACGCTCCCTGAACAAAGCTGGGGAGAGGCCATCGTGGCATCGGGGACACGTACCTCCTCGGGATCATGGATCTTGAGCACGCCAATCGACGCCAAGAACAGCGCCTCGGGGTACGACAGCTGCAGGTGCTCCCTCTCGTCCACGAGCTCAGCCACCGTCTCGGTCAGCGCGGCGTCCTTCGCCCGCTCCTCTGCACGGCGCTGGGCTTCTGCCTCCTTCTCCGCCGCCTGGGCAGCTAGTTCCTCCTCTGTCGGTCCGGCCTGCTCGGCCGCCGCGACCTCCGCAGCCTTCGCTGGTGTTGCAGTGCCCGGGGTGCCCGAGGTCGAGGGGCCGGCTCCACCGGGAGTAGTAGGGGCATTGGGCTTTCTGCGGAACGCCTTCTTCCCCCTGTTACGGTTTGCGTCGGGCCGCGTTGGGCGGACAAGGAAGGTTTGCGGCGTGAGCGCGTTGACGTCGAGATCGTCGCCCTCTGCTTCCTGTCCCTCCTTCACCTCCTTCCCCTCCTTCTCTCCGTCACCACCCTCCTCGTCCTTCTCCTCCGTCGGCGTGTCAAGTTTCGGTGTTCCCGGCCTCGGCGTCTCGCCCGCCGCCTTCTTGGCCGCAACGACAGCCTCAGCCTTGATAGCCGCCTCCTTCATAGCCGCCGCGCGGTCGATTTTGAACTGTTTCCTCTCCTTGCGTCTCTGTTCCCTAATCTTCTCGGCATTCGCCGCATTTCCGCCCTTCAGCAACTCCCTTCGTCCATCCCGCCAACTCGGCTCGGAGCGGCTCAAACTGCCCTTTCCAAAGAACCCGCGCTCGAAGAGCAACCTCATGTCCTCCGGGTCCGAGACGAAGACACTCTGCGTGTCCCGGTCCAACACGCCTATGACTGTGGGCACAATGGCGCGCGCAGAGGTGAAGAGGCCCAGACGGACAACGGTCGAATTGGGGGGAGGCGAGGCGAGTGCCGCGGCATACAATGGCGACTCGGGCAGGAGGATCGGGAGCGGCGTGCCGTACTTCTTGTTGTTGGCTGCGGCGCGCGCACGCCCTTTGGACTGGAAGCCTCCCGGGCCCACGGGGGCGGGGACGCTGGCTGGGATCGACATGGCGCCTACGTTGCTGGGTGTGCGTCGAGGTGTGGTTGCGGAATGAAGTGCAGGTATCGAGTCGCCTTGCCGCAGAATGGAGGCCAAGTGGTCGCCTGGGTCCAAAATGTTGTTGGGGCTCCACACCTGGAGAGGGTTACGTAAAGCGTAAATAGTGGTGGCAGGGCGTGAAAAGTCGGAACGATGTGTGTCTGGGGAGCAAGTTGGAGGGAGGACGGATGACCATGCAGCTCGCTGCGCTCGCTGCCTGCGTACGATGCTAGAATAGTGCATGATGACTTGATTGGCTACTCTACAGACTGTCTACTGAATGAAAATGATGTGCTGCGGTGTCGCAGCGTAGGGCTTTGGGCAAAGAGCGTGACTGACTGGTGCTCGCCTGCGGCTCGCGCTTGGCCGCTTAAGCCTGCTGGGGCTGTTCCGGCTCGCCCTCCTCGAACGCCTGCATCTTGGCGATAGCCTCGTCCCACGCAGCGGCGCGGGCGTCGGCGACGCGCTGCGCCTTGGCCGACAGCGGGTAGCCGTAGCGGAGGTCCCGGGGCGCCTTGCCGTAGACGGGGGCGGGGACACCGTGGATGCGCTCGTACGTCTCGTTGACGTACTTCCTGTCCTCCTTGGTCCACTCGGAGCGGATGACGGAGGCGGCAGCGACGTCCTTGGCGGTGAGGCCGGCAGACTCGAGGAACGCACGCAGGTTGAAGTTGGCACGCTCAGACGACATCGTGCCGCCGTTCTCCTTCTGGGCAAGCACGATGAAGGCGCAGCGATGCTTGCCGGAGCCGGAGCAGGGGACGGGCGGCTCGTAGGACACAAACTCGTTTCCGGGGCCGGTGATCAGGTCGACCTCGCCGGAGAGGATCGACAGCGGGATGTCGCTCTTGGCGTAGAGGAGGCGCTGCTCGTACGAGGCCGTCTCGTGGTTGGGAATGTCGGCGTCGACGATGAGGAGCGTGTACAGTGCCTTGGTGTCGACGGGGGCGAGGGGGGAGACACCAGGCGGCTGGTCAAAGAACTGGAGCGAGACCTTGGGCGGGTTCGCGAGCTGCGACGGGGGAAGGATCGTGCCGGCCTCAATGCCCTCGATGCGCAGGGCGCCGCGCTGCGAAACGTCGGGAAGGAGGTCGGGAACGATGCCGAGCTGGTACACACGCTGCATGACGAGGTCGAGCTCGCCGGCGCGCGTCCACGCCTGCCTCGCGAGATGGCGCATGACCGGGCGGTCCATCTGGCCCTTGCCGCCGTTCTCGGAGAACTCGCGCCGCGTCGCGGGGTCGTCGAGCATGGCTTCGACCTGCATGCGCGCTATCCGCTGAGCCTGCTCCGGCGTCGGGTTGGCGCCGACCTTGGCCTGGAACTCCTGGGCGCGAGCCTGCTTCTTCGCCGTCTGCTCCGCAATGTATTCGAGGGCGAGGTCGTAGGCCTGGTCCTGTCCCGCGGGCAGGGCGGGCTTGAAGCTTGACGGAGGGGCCGAAGTCGACTCGGCGCGGGCGAACAGGCGCGAAGGGCCGGAGCGCACAGCGCGCGCAAGCACCTGAGGGCGGACCATGGTGCTCTTGGTGGTGTTTTGGATGTGGAGGGAGGGGGGTGTAGCAAGAGAGTGCAACCAGAGCCAGTCAACTCGCCTCGATCTCGTCTTGCTCTACGCTGCTCTGCGTGCTCGACTTTCCAGCCCGAAATCTCTGGCTGAGCCGGAGAGAAAGCCAGGAACCGGAGTTATCAGTATCGCCGTCCGGTGGAGGAGTCAGGAACGTCCTGTGGCACTCGTCGCGTGGTCTGGCTCAGCGGCAAATGGCGGCGTGCACGTGAATGACAGAGCGGTCAGTCGTCGTCACTCGCGACGATGAGGGACGTTCATCGTCCGCCGCCGACGAGCTCAATAACGCCCAGAGCATCGTTCCGTGTCGACGTTGTCAACGAGGTGCAGTCAGCAGGATTGAAGAGCAGCATTGTGGCGCCTGCAGGCTCGCCCCTTGCCCAGCGTAGCTAGTCATACGAGCAGAGGTCGGGGGCGACAGATTGGAATATTGGAACGAGTGGTGCGGAAGTAAATGGAAACATGGGCAGGTTGCACAAGTTGGATGACATCGATGGACAGGCCAGGTCCACCCACAGACACTTCTGAGCGCCAGGTTCCAGGTTCAACCTGTTATTGACTTTGGCTGCCCACTGTCACCACTGACACACACACAAACAACATCTCCTTCTTGCTCCCTCCCCCTACTGCACACACCCCACTTCGGCCACCACAGGACAAGGACTAGGAGAGACCAGACCCAGTAACTCTCTTCCTCTTCCGTTACGTCCTCTCCTTCACTCCCCCCTCGTCGCCCGCCTGAAGGCACAGACATGGCGCAGGCTCACGCCACAACATTAAAGCGTCCTCGCACCGACCCACCTTCGCCATCATCGTCATCGTCCCCTAAGCGCGCCGCGTCAGAAGACACTGCCTCCAGCCCTCCTGCCTCCCTCGCTCCGGCTACCCACAACGCCTTTCCATCGTCTCCTCTCAGAATGGACCTCGACGACGACGGACAGAGCAGCTCTGGCTGGGTCGCCCAGACCGGCCGAGTCTCACTGGGCGAGGGCGACGCCGAGAACGGTGCCATGTCCCAATCCGACAGCAAGCAGCTCTACGACGCTGTCCTCGGTAAGAGCTGGGACACCGGTGCTCAAGCTGACGAAGCAGGTGCTCTCCCTCCTCCGTACACTGAGCGATCAACGTTCTACCTGATTCCCAAGTCATACCTGAGGGACCTCTCTCAGCATGCGCTCGACGGTGGCGAGGGAACGCCCCCGTCTCTGGACATCACTCCGCTCGTCGCCTGCACCACCCCGACCGAGCTCACGGCCCTGATCCCCGGTCATGAGTCTGAGCCGCAGAAGCAGTTGTTCTGGCGACTCCGCGACGGCCTGCAGGAGGACGAGGACTTTATCTATGTCGGCTCCATGGGCTGGGAGGCGTTAGTCAAGGCTTACAACTATCCCGCCGACAGCCCGCAGCTCCCCCGTCTGTGTCTCGCCGGAGAACGGATCGAGATCGCCCCCCAGACCTACCGCCTGCATGTTGTCTCGACCGAGCCTTCCATCCCCGTTCCGCCTGCTGCGCCGCCCGCTCCCATCACCATCACTGCCCCGAGCACCACTACCTACTCCGAGCTCAAGACGTTCGTCCGAGCCCTCTTCGCGGACAAGATCTCCGTCGGCGCCCCGCTCCGCCTGTGGACTCTCGACACGCAGGAGTCGCCGTCGTCGCTCGAGATCGACGCAAAGGACATGCCCAAGCTCTCGGCCAAGATGATGTCCGGCAACGACAGGACGCTGGCTGATGGTGGCTTCGCGGACGGCGACGACATCGTCCTCGAGGTCAGCTCGTCTAGCAGCGCCGGCGCTGTCGACTGGCCGCTGACTGCTGACGCGAACGGAAATGCGACGGAGAAGCTGCAGCCGCTGTTCGGAAAGCCCGCATTCTACTCCGGCAACTCTGCGGCGGGGTCGTCGACGAGCTCGTTGGCGGCCTTCAACAAGCCGCAGACGAGGTCGCAGTCGCGCACTCGCAGCGGTCACGGTCTCGTTGGCCTGAACAACCTCGGTAACACTTGCTTCATGGCGTCAGCCACGCAATGTCTCAGCAACACGTCCGTCCTGGCCGACTACTTCCTTTGTGAGTTTTCCTTAGGTGCTCTTAAACTGATATCAGCCGGTGTTTATCGCGAGGAGCTCAACCCGGATAACCCGCTGGGCATGCACGGCCAGGTTGCCGAGGCCTTCGGCGAGACGCTCGAGGCTCTCTGGACGTCACCCGCACACTCTTCTTTCTCGCCCCGCCGCCTGAAGTCGACGTGCTCCCGATTTGCCCCGCAGTTCGCCGGCTACGGACAGCACGACACGCAAGAATTCCTGGCCTTCCTGCTCGACGGACTGCACGAGGATTTGAACCGTATCAAGAAAAAGCCATACATCGAGAAGCCGGATTGGAAGCCCGGAGGTGGAGACCGCGAACTCGCCGAGCTCGGAAAGGAGTGCTGGGAGGGTTACAAGAAGCGCAACGACTCGGTCATCGTCGATCTGTTCCAGGGTCAGCTTCAGAGCACCCTCGTCTGTCCGGAGTGTCACAAGGAGTCCATCACGATGGACCCGTTCATGTACCTCACGGTGCCCATGCCCATCACGCAGACCCGTACGTTCAAGTGCATCTACTTCCCGAAGGACACCGACCTCGCCCCCGTCAATGTCCAGCTCCTCGTGCCCGCCAACGCCTCGTTCTCGACCGTCAAGGAGAAGCTTGGTCAGCTGCTCCAGACGAACGGCAACAACATTGTCGGCTTTGACTGTTGGAAGGGCGGCATCTACGCCTGGTGGCTTGACTCGGACCCGAACACGGAGGCAAAGGACCACGATGTTGCGATCTTCCATGACGTTGGCGTTCCCGTCACCGCCACCCACAAGGCGGTTGGTACCGTTCCCACGGACGGATCTGTGACTGTTCCCGTCTACACGTTCCGCCCGAACGACTCGCCGCGTTCATCGTTCTCCCGCGGCGACTCGGCCCCGTCGGAGGGATGCCTCGAGCCGTTCTTCATCACCCTCTCCAAGGAGGAGGCCATGGATCCGGCAGCCGTCCGCGAGGCGGTCATGCGTGGCTACTCGCGTTTGGTCAAGCCCGAGCAGCGTAACGCGCTGTTCGTGAAGCCTAACGCTCCTCAGGCCCAGCCTCTTCCGGATGTCGATGACGAGGATGATGAGGTCGCTGAGATCCGCGTCGATGAGGAAGACGCCGAGGGCATTGATCCCACGATGCTTGCGCCTCCCTCTGTCGAGGGCATTCCCCGTTCAACGAGCTCGCTGTCAATTGCGTCCCAGTCGGGCCGTGTCGTGGCCCGTGGAGATCTGTTCAAGATTTACGTTGCGGATGCCGCCAGTGCCGAGTCCAACTCGTCGGGCATGAGCTTCTTCAAGAAGCAGGACCCGAACGTGCACAACCTGTACCGCGGCAACCCCTCGGGTGCGCAGGGCAGCTGGTCGTCGCTTGAGAAGCGGGCGCGCGCTAAGCGGCCGGTCCTGCAGCGTATGGCGTCGAGCTTCTCGAACCTCGTTGGCACCAGCAACAGCGCTGCGGGCTCTGCGGCCAACTCGGACGACGAGGCCGAGGCTGAGGACTCAAAGCAGCCGAAGCAGCCTGCTGCGTGTGTCCGCCCTGGAGAGGCTCTGTTTGTGCAGTGGAAGAACTCCAAGTTTGAGGAGTTCTTCGAGCCGCGACGCGAGCAGCTGCTGCGCGGACTCGAGCTTGTGGTTGACCCTGCTATTGCTAAGGACGCGGAGAAGAAGGGCCGTGGGCGCGCGATCACGCTCGACGACTGTCTCGACGAGTTCTCAAAGGAGGAGACGCTGGGCCAGGACGACTTGTGGTATTGCCCCGTGTGCAAGAAGCACCAGCCGGCGACGAAGAAGCTCGAGATCTACAAGGCGCCCGACATCCTCGTCATCTGCATCAAGCGTTTCGGCTCGGCCCGCACTCTGCGCGACAAGCTCGACCACATGGTCAGCTTCCCGAACGAGGGGTTGGATCTTGACGAGCGCATCGGCGAGCGCCGGATCACGCAGTCGTTGCACCTCACGCCGGAGGAGGCCAAGCACTATGGCATCGAGCACTCGACCGAGCCCTTCATCTACGACCTGTACGCGGTCGACAACCACTTTGGTGGCCTTGGAGGCGGTCACTACACCGCCTTCTGCCGGAACAAGGACGACCACCAGTGGTATAACTACGACGATTCGCGTGTCTCGAAGGCGTCGGCCGAGGGCGTACAGTCCCGCGCTGCGTACCTGCTCTTCTACAAGCGCCGCACGGAGCGTCCCATCGGTGGCATCTCTCGTATCAAGGCGGAGGAGGCTTCGCGCCACGTCACGCCTATGCCCTCCGAGCCCGCGTCGCCCGTGCTCGGCCCCAGCGTGCCAGCGTCTGCTATGGCGAGCTCCTTCCCGTCAATGCCGGGCACGCCGCTGCAGCCGTCGCCGACCGTTTCCCCGCAGGGCTCAGACGACAGCGACGACGACGTGCCTCTCGGCCGCAGCCGTGCCGCTCCTGCGACCGTCAGCGACCTGACTGCCGCAGGTGCACAGGTCGGATTCGGGAATACGATGTGGGGCGCGGCCGCGGTCCCGCCGCCGACGGCGCACGGATTCGGCCTGCCCACTCCCGACGCGAGTGACTCGGAGGCTCCCGAGACTAGCAACGGAGAGCAAGGGCTCGGAGGCTCGTACCACGTCGTTAGGAGCGATGGCACGAGCGAGTCGGCTGAGATGGTCAGCGCCCCGTCCCCGCCGAGCGAGTAGGCTAAGCAACTAGAATAGTGATGTAATAATTGTACTGTAGCAGTGCGAGTGCCTACGCTTTGTCAGCCTGCAATGCTGTCTGCAGCTGCCTGCGAGGTCTGGAGGAAGGGAGGTGTGTGATCGCACTGCCATCTCAAGTCATGTGGGGCCCCAGGGAAGACGCGTCTGATATCATCTGATATCAACATGAACGCGCCAAGATTGCCGCTTACATTCCACACTCCTCACATCAGACGCAGTCTACGAATCTCGCCATGGCGCCCGTGACGAGGTCGAAACGGATCCGGTCGGAAACAACGAGCCCACAACCTGGTCCTGGAGATGCTCGAAGCGTAGCGCCTACGACAAGGTCTTCCAAACGACTCAGATCTGGCGCCGCCAGCCCACAACTTGAAGAAGGTGTGCGTGAGAAGGCGCCTGCGATGGGGTCCTCTAAGCGAACGCGATCCGGTACTGCCATTACACAGCCCGAGTCTCCTGAAGGTCCTCGACGTCGGAAAGGTGCTCGGAAGAATGCTCAATCAACTCGAGCGGCCCCTCAAGCACCCCCTCAAGCACCCCCGCCAACTGTTCCTCGAGCAGCACCTCCAGCACCCCCGCCACCTGTTCCTCCAGCAGCACCTCGAAAGCGGACGATACCCGCCGAGCTGCTCTCCACGATATGCGGCCACCTCTTCGACGACGGAGCGATTGGCACGCTGAACGCAATCATGCGCACCGGACCACTCGGGTACACCGTCGTCGGGCCCGTCCTCTACTCGACCCTGGTGGTCGACGACAGCTTTGCGGCCGTCCTCGAGGGTCTGGGCAAGAATGGTCGGAAGAGGGCGCTGTTTTGGAACGTGCGGCACATCTTCTTCGCAGCCACGGATACGAGGGCGATGGTGCAGTGCATTGCCAGGATAGTGGGCCATGTTGCGCACTATCCCCTGGCCGCCGACCCGCGAGACCCAGGCCCCGGGCCCGCAACTCCTTTCGCGACCGTAGACGGCGAGACGGAGCCGCTCTTTCCCAATCTGCACAGCGTCTCAATCGAGTCGCGGGCCTTCGTCCCCCTCGCGCTGAACCCAGACAGTCCCGCGCTCTTCCTGAAGATGTTCTGCCGCCCCTCAGTCGTGTGCGTCGAGTTCCCCACCCCCATGCGTGGTGGAGAACCACGTCACAGACCTACTCCTGCAGGGCAAGACTGTTCACCAGTCCTTCCGCGACCTCACCCCCCAGGAGCCAGAACCAGGCTTCCTAAAACGAATGCGGTTCTCGGACATTGCCGCTGACGGTCTTGCGGGGCGGAAGGGGCTGGACCGCCTCCGCCGAGCCCAGATCCGATACTTGCGCGCGAAGCGGGCAAGGGCCATGGCCGAAGTCCTGGGCAACCCGGTCGCACTCGAGGACTTGCTCCGGCTCTGGAACCCCGAGACTGTGACGCTGCACGGGTTCCGCTTCTTCCATCCCGGTATGGGCGAGTGGAGGCCGGGAGGGAGGGGGGTGGACTTCCTCTCCTGGGCACAGGGGAGGGTGAGGATCTTTGCGCCGACGGTGGGCTCGGAACATCCCGCGGACGAGGGCGGCCAGATCCCCGGTATCCCCGGGTTCCAGTGCAGACGCAAAGTCGGCGAGCTGGGACGGCGCTGCGCCTGCAACCAGCTGGGCATGTGGCGGCGGGCGGCGAAGTTCCTCGGCAGCGTGCATGTTCATTCCTTCCCTCCCAATCCTCCCAATGGTCCCCTTCCTCCCGCGAGCAGAAGTGCAATTAGCAAACCGACACTGGAACTGTGCAACGTCGGTCAAAACCTGCCCCTGTGGTGTGGATGCCGGTACGCGTACACGGCGGCGATCCAGAATCTGAAGACGTACGTGCGCGGCGAGGGCGCGCTGATGGCCCGATTGGAGGAGGGGATGTGGACGCGGCGGCAGGATACCACGCGCTTGGCGTATCATCTCGAGATCCCGCACTGGAGCGAGGTGGAGGGGTGCGCGTGTGGGCTTGCTGGGGTTCAGTTGGGCCATGATGCAAAGGAGCCGCTCGAGGCGGGGGTCCTGCAATGGTTCGAGGGTGACGTGGATGGCAAGGTCGTGCCGCGAGAACAGGGATGCGTGAGTTGAACTGAACTGAACTGAGGGGGAAGCTGCTGACACCCAGACGACACCGCATCCCTTTGATGAGAGGGAGGTGCGTTCGAATGACTGGGTTAATGACGATAGCGAGCTGTGGGAGGACGACGGGGATGATGGGTACGACTTTGACCGGAACCCGTGGCTGTTGATGGCGGTGCCTCGACCGCAAGCGCAACGGGCAAGGCGCAGGCGAGCGTAGTCCTCAGCACTAAGCGACGCCTGACTGTTATTCCTCGTCCTGTGGTCAGCTCTTGGTCAGCTACCCGGGTCAGCACTAAGATCCCTGCGCGCCAGCTACACCAGTCTGCTGCTAGCTCCGACACTGTGCTAAATAACCTAAAAATGCATCCAGTCTGTACGGGAGTTTAGAGGAGGTGCTCGACGCTGATCTCGAGCGCCGAGGCGGGACGCGTGAGGTCAAAGTTCTGGAGAACGAGGGGGTGGAGGACGCCAATGTTTCCGATACAGATGTCGCGTCCGTGGCCGGGGAGGGCGTTCTTGAGAGCATCCGTCATGTTCTCGAGGACGCCTGTCTTGTCCTGCGTGCGCGTGCTCTTGCCCGGCTTGGGGCGGAGGTAGACGTCGGCGGCGCGGCCGGGCATGAAGGACGGGTTGGAGCCCTCGGCAATGTAATAGCCAAACTCCTTGTCCGACTTTGCGCTCTCGATGAAGGGCACGGCGAGGATCTGCATGATCCGGTCCAGCAGGCCGTGGACGACCTCGAAGCCCGCCCGGTTGTCCGTGTACACGGCCGCCATGTGGCGCGCGTTGCGCGCCTTGCGGTCCTCCTTCATGTCCTGCTTGCAAATGTCCGACACCTCGAACACCTTGAGCGGGAGCGGGAGCGACTTGTTCTCGCGCACCGTCTTGAGCAGACCTGGGAGGAGCGTCGTGCGCACGACCTGGAACTCGACCGTCTTCGGGTTCGCCAGACGGACCGCCTCGCCTCCAGGGTCCTTGCGCAGGAGCCAGGTGTAGTTCTCGTCGTAGGAGCAGAGAATGTACGGCAGCGCCTCGGTCCATCCCGCCATGGCGGCCTCGCGGCGGAGAATGTCGCCGAGCTTGTTGACCGGATTCGGCTTGGCAACCGTGCTGCTCTTCGCGGTTCCAGTGGGCAGGTTGTTATAGCCGTACGCAATCGCCAGGTCCTCCATGATGTCGCACTCGTGCAGAATGTCCGAGCGCGTGCAAGGGACAGCAACGTCGAGCGCATCCGGGTCGGTCGTAGAGGGAGTGGCGCTCAGCGACATCTTGGTCAGCAGGCGGCACGCCTCCTCGCGCGAAAGCTCCAGTCCCGTAGCGGCGTTCAGGTACTCGAGCGACGCCTGCGTCAGGCGCGGCGACACGTCGGGGGTCAGGCGCGAGGTGCCGTCGGGCATGACAACGCGCACGGGCTCAATCTCGAAGGGCACCTTGCAGTACTCGGCGAACATGGTCGCGACCAGCATAACGACAATGTCGAGCTTGGTCTGGTCAGTCGCCGTCGTGTCGACAAAGATGTTGGTCGTCTTGCCAGCAACAATCTTGGAGTGGTCCGAGTTGATGATCGGCGGCATCGAAAGAACCTGTCCGTTCTTGTCGTAGATGATCGGGTACGCCGGCGCATCGCGGATGATGCCGAGATACTTGGACAGGTGCCTGTCCTGCTCGTAGATCGTCATCAGCTCCGCCGCCGTGTGCTCAGTTTCCCGGTTCAGCGGGGCAAACTTGATCTCATTCGGGTCCTTGCACATGTACCTGGGAGTCAGCTTAAATGCGAGACATCGCTCAGCTTACCTGAAGGGCCCCTCAATCGTGTCCAGGTCGTGGGTTCCAATAGCCACAAACTTGCGCATACGGCACAGGTTCTGGTGCAGCTTGTCCTGCAGGTCGATGAAGGAAGCGTACTCCATGTCGTTCATGGGGCGCGCGAGACGGATCACAGCTCCCGCAGCCATGGGACGCAGGGGCGAGGTCGACGGCTCAATGATCAGCTCCTGCAGCTTGGCCGGCTGCGCCAGCGTGTACGTCGGCGCAGTCTCCTTCTCGAGGAAGATGCGGAGAGAGCGGGCAAGACCCTCGAGACACAGCAGGTCGTAGCGGTTCGCCGGAATCTCGATCTTGAGCTGAGGCGGGGGAGTAGGCAGACCGGCCGTGCGCGCGGCCTCGACCTCCTCGGTGGTCTGGAAAGTCAGTTGGGTCACGGAGTCCCTAACTCACGTCCTCGTCCAGCTCAATACCGAAGTCGAAGCAGAGCTCGTCAAACTCCTGCGTAGCTGAAAGTTAGCCCAGCGGAGACATCGCAACTCACAGTACTCCCGCTCGAGGCGGCGGTAGAGCTCGGCCTTGTCGACAGTGATAGTCGGCTGCGATCGTCAGCAAAGCGGTCCGAGGGAAGGTCTGCTTGGCGAGCTCCAGCAGAAAGAGCGCTGCAGCACGTGCTGTGTACTCACCATTTTCAGTGGTCACCTCTATTAAGTCTAAGCGGCGAAGCGCGGTGGTGAACCTTTCGGTGGTGGTGATAACAAAGTCTATCGCAGGCCCCGCCTGTTGCGTCCACCGAGTGGACATTTCAGAAACGGACTCGAGCTTTGCGCCATGCGTGGTTGCCACGTGGCGTCAATGCGGAGTTTCGCCCGGTGGCGGGAGCATTTTGTTGTTGTGACGGCGGTCAGTGCAGCTGAGGTTCCAAGGTATGCATGTAGGAGTTTGTGTGCAGCGGACAGCTGCGGCAGATATGGCTGTGAGATATGCATGCGGATGAATGAATGAATGCTGGTGATTGAGGCAATTACGAAGACTGGGACGAGGAAGGCGGCGTCGCCACAGGCTGAGCGACCTGAACATGGACGGTCTTGGGGCGGCGACGCTGTGTTTTCGGCTCCGGGACGTCCTCGAGACTGTCCTCCTTCTGGAACTCAGCAAGCTGCTCGAGGAACTTGCGAGCCCACTCCTCCTGCCCGTTCGCAGCACAAACACGAACCAGGCCGATGTAAGTTCTAGCCGTAGGCGATGGAAGGGCACGGCCAGCAATCTTACGTCCCGACTCCATCGCCCTTAGCACGTGCTGCGCGGCGTCGAAGCGTCCGCGGCCGGCGAGCGCAAGCAGGTGCGCGTTCCACGCCGGAAGGCCGGGGTCAATGCCACGCTGCATCGTCGTCTTGAGTGCGTGCTGGGCACCGGGCGGGCCGAGATGGAAGGCGATCTCGCGCACGAACGCGAGATGCGTGTACTCCGTAGGGTGAAGCGAGGGCGCCATCGTTGAGACCAGATCGAGGTAGGCACTGTGGTAGTTCACCCACTCGTCCTAAGGGAGCAAGCTCAGAACAGAGGGAATGATCGTCGTCAGAATGCTGATTGACGGAACCAAGCGCGTCGCGTCCGGTTTCAGCGGCGCGAGGTGAACGGGTGGCAGTCCCAGCCAGAGGAAGTGCTCACGGAAGTGATCGACAGCTTCCTTGTGCTTCTCGGCGCGAACTAGGCGAGTGATCTCAGCGTGCCACCACCACTGCTGAGCGACTGTCGGGGTCGAACGTCCTGGGTGTGACTTTGGCGGGTTGATGAAGCGTCGCTTGAAGCTCTCCAAGAGCCGGGCGCGGTTTGGCATGCTTCCGAGCTCGGCTTGGATGCGGGCGAGAGTGCCAACGTCAGGGAAGGTAGGAGCATGTACCGCTGAGCTGATCATCTTGGCAAGCGGCTCCTCGTGAGTGTCCGGGGCTCTCATAAGGGTGTCGAGCGGATCCTGCTTCGCCTTCGAGCGCCGACGCTCCAGCGCACGCTGCTTGCGCGGTCCGGGGTCGCCAACAACAATGTGCCGGGTGAAGATATCCCAGGCGACACCCGGTGGAGGCGAAAACAGGAGAGCGCGCGCGGCATCGTTCCAGCCCCCAAGCGACAGCGATCGGAGGTACTGATTCCACCAATGGTTGACCTGGTCGGAAACAAAAGCACGACCATACTCGGCTCGCCTAGACGTCGAAGTCTTGCTGGTCGTCGAGTTGATGTATGCCGCGAGAGAGCGCTGCATGATCTCCTCGCTCACACTAGGTGCAGCCATTGTAGCCAGCACGTGAGTGAAGTGCGGCATGAGGGCGGGTAGTAGACCTTTCCGACCGCCCAGCTCGAGGAACTTGCCGATGAAGTCGACGTCGAGGTGCTCGTACAGGATCTGCGAGACAACTGGGTCCCATGTCGCCTTCAAGCCAGGGTGATTCTCAGCAGCGCCCCGATTCGAGTACAGCTCCAACCAAAAGAGAAAGTCCGCCCGCCCTTCTGCGGTCGGCTGCAAACTGCTGAGCGCGGCCTTAAGGTAAAGCTTCCGATGAACGGGGACGGTGTGTAGCGCATGCAGCTCATCGTAGACCTTGCGCGCTTGCTCGATGCGGTTTTCGGAGACAAGTCGGGCGAGCAGATCGCATGGTCGGCGCTGGATCGGGCGTGCCTCGCCGTGGGGGAAGATGGTTGGCCAGGGAATCGGGGCTGGCGCAGTGGATGACCTCTCGGGCAAGAAATCGGCGGCGTCGTTGTACTCGCCGGTCTCGGGTTCGAGGAAATCGATGTCGGTAACAGCAGCCGCATCGGTAGTGGTGCCGGTAGCTGCAGCTGCGTCCGTTTGTTGTCCGATGGCGGCGGTGGACACATTTCGGCGGGCGACGGCGGAGGCGAGGGCGGCGCGGGGCGCAGTGGGGTTGCGCGCACCGAGGACGAGACGCACGACGTACAGTGCGTTCGCGGAGGTCGCCATGGCGTGCAGGCGAGGGATGAGGAAGGAGTGTGAAAGGGAGGAAGGGAAGTGGAGAGGAAGCGAAGTCAAAAGTAGTCACCAGGAGGAAGGAGGCGAAAGGAATCAAGGAACGGCCGAGTGAGGTTTGCCGCCTGCACCTGAGCCGCCGTTGAACCGCAAGCCGCCAGCCAGCCCAGCCCAGCCAGCCAGCCCAGCCAACACACGCACATCCTGCACACCAGAACCATTTGCCGCCGTATCCGGTCATCTGCAGTCAACAACCTACAATCACACCCCTCACACCACCACATCCCCCTTCGACAACACAGCTGCCATGTCCATGGCGTCTGCCCGAAGGGGCAAACCAAAGATCGTATGTCCCCCCATTGCTTCCTGCTTCCTGCTGACACACACAGCGAGCTCCTCCAAAGGTACGATTGTCAAGACACCGGGTCGGCCGTGACGTTGTGAATCGCTGACATTTCCAGCTCGGACCAGACACCAGTATCAAAGACACCTGGACAAAGCTCTCCCATGCGATCCGCGAGATCCAAAATCACAATGCTTCCAAGCTGTCTTTCGAGGAGCACTACCGCTATGCGTACAACATGGTTCTCTACAAACGTGGGTTTATCCGCACATCGCACCATGCTCTCCGGAGGCGATTGCAAGCTGACAATCAGACGGCGACCAGCTGTACACGGGAGTGAAGAAGCTTGTGGCTGAGCATCTCGACCAGCTCGCAGAGGAGCGCATCGTGCCTGCCTTTCCGCGCGCCGGCGGGTCACACGTCGCAGGTGCCCTGGGCGGCGGCGCACAGGCGGTCGAGCAGGCTGTAGAGGGTGACCGTTTCCTCCGCTCGGTCAAGAGCGTCTGGGACGACCACACCGGCAGCATGCGGAAGCTGAAGGATATTCTGAAGTACATGGTGAGCTGAAGCGTGCGAGTTGTTCGAGCTGACATCAGGACAAGGTGTACACCCAATCGGCCAAGGTGCCGACGATCTACGACGTTGGATTGGAACTGTTCTGGTCGCATATCGTGCGGTCAAACCTGTATCCTATCCACACGCACTTGATGGGAACATTGCTGTCGCAGGTGCAGCTCGAGCGCGACGGCCAGAGCATCCAGCGGTCAACCGTCCGCGACTGTGTCGACATCCTGCTGCGACTCGACAACCCTATGACACCGGGGCACACGGTGTACGTCACTGACTTTGAGCCCGAGTTCTTGCGTCGATCATCAGAGTTCTACCGTCTGGAGAGCATTGCTCAGCTCGACACGGGCGACGCGCCGTCATATCTGCGAAACGTGAGTTAGGATGTAGGAAGATGTAACTGACCCGCAGGTGGAACGCCGGCTGGCTGAAGAAGCAGACCGGACAGCGCATTATTTGTCGTCTCTGACCTCGACGCCACTGCAGGCGCTGCTTGTCGACAACTTGCTGACGCCGCACCTGCACTCTATCATGGGCATGCCGGGGACGGGCCTGTCACCCATGCTCGACGGCGACAGAAACGGGGACCTGCGGCGCATGTACAACTTGTTCCTGCGGGTACCGGACGATAAGGGCAAGAGTGCACTGCGGTTAGCGCTGCGCGAAAACATTGAGGCGCGCGGCAAGGCGATCAACGAGGGTGCCGCAGCAGCGGTTGCGGGTCCCGCAGCTGCCGAGGGCGAGGACGAGCCGGTCGACCGGAAGGGCAAGGGCAAGGCGAAGCCTCCGAGTGCGATGGCCGGAGCACTCGCGCAAGCTCTGCGATGGGTACAGGATGTGCTCGACCTGAAGGACAAGTTTGACGCGATTCTCGACAACGCCTTCAGCGGGGATAAGCAGGTGCAAGCGTCGATCAACGAGGCGTTCCAGTCGTTCATCAACGCGAACGCGCGAGCACCCGAGTTCCTCTCGCTCTACATCGACGACCACCTGAAGAAGGGCGCCAAGTCGAAGAGCGAGGAGGAGATTGACGCCGCGCTCGAGAAGACGATCATCCTCTTCCGCTTCCTGGCGGACAAAGACAAGTTTGAGCGGTACTACAAGAACCATCTCGCGCGACGCTTGCTGTATCAGCGCAGCGCGTCCGACGACGCCGAGCGCGGTATGGTCGCCAAGCTCAAGGTCGAGATGGGTTTCCAGTTCACGCAAAAGCTTGAGGGAATGTTCAACGACATGCGCATGAGTGTCGAGTCTGCGTCGGCGTTCAGAAACCGCCGTTCGACTTCAACGTCTCGGTCCTTACGGCGAGCTACTGGCCCCAGCCGATCGTCACGACGAGCTCGTGTCGTTTCCCGCCCGTCCTGGCCGGCGCGCAGGCGACGTACCAGAAGTACTACGACAGCCGGCACAGCGGGCGGCGGCTGGCCTGGCAGGCGTCGCTGGGCACGGCGGACGTGCGCGTACGCTTCGCACAGCGCACACACGACCTGAACGTGAGCACGCAGGCGCTCGTGGTGCTGCTGCTCTTCGAGGACCTGCCGGACGAGGACGTGCTGAGCTATTCCGAGCTGAAGACGGCGTCGGATCTGAGCGACGGCGAGCTGCAGCGCACGCTCCAGTCGCTCGCGTGCGGGAAGCACCGCGTGCTGACCAAGCACCCGAAGGGGCGCGACATCAACCCGGACGACACGTTCAGCTTCAACAGCGCCTTCACGTCCCCCCTGGCGCGGATTAAGATCATGCAAGTCGCGTCTCGCGTCGAGAGCCCCAAGGAGAGGGAGGAGACGCAGGAGATGGTCGACGAGGAGAGGCGGCACATGGTCGAGGCGTGCATCGTGCGCATCATGAAGGACCGCAAGACGATGGGTCACAACGACCTGCTCTCCGAGGTCGCGAGCCAGCTCGCTAAGCGCTTCCAGCCCTCCATGGCAACGATCAAGAAGCGCATCGAGGGTCTCATCGATGTAAGTGTCTCGAATGGCAGGGTGCTGCACTATAACCCATTAGGGGAGTGTGCTTCGCCCTTTGGACATTACGTTTTGAGGGACTCCAGTCAGCTTCCTGTAGTATGCGGCGACAAAGCTGACATCACAGCGCGAGTACCTCGAACGTACGGGCGATATTGGCGTGTATCACTACTTGGCGTAAGGACTGCATTTTGGAGAGGGTTTATATTTTCGTTCATGCGCCCCTCCTATCGGCAAGCAGCGCGCACCGGTGAGGGTGGGGGAGGCACGCAACCGCACGCAGAGCGCAGCAGCGCAGACGCATTCGCATAGCATGATGTTGCATAGTACTACATATGATCTGGCCGACTATGGATACCTATAGATGGTGGCGGCGGGAGTCGAGCATCGAGCATCAGCGCTAGCTGGTGCGAGCTGCCTTCCTCTTTCCTTCTGCTCTTCTCTACTTCTTGAACTGCTCTAGGGTGTCAATGTAGATACTGTAGACATCTAGTTCTCGTCGCCGAACAGGTTCCAGTCGTTGATTTTCATCCCGGCAACAGCATTGCGCCACCATCCCTCGACCTTGGCGAGTTCCTCGCTCGTGACGCCGTTCGGGTTTCCCTCCGCCGCCTCCTTCAGGGGGACGTTGGCGGTACACACAATGTCGGCCTTCTTCTTGTGTCCCGCAATGTCGACGTCGATGCGCCACAGCGCGAGCCCGATCCAGACCTCGTCCGGGGCGTCATTCTCGTGTCCTCGGCGGGGGGCTCCCGAGGGGTCGTGCGAGAACTTGTGCACCTTCTGGATACCCGTGACGACGGTGGGGTGCGGGGTCTGCAGCTCGGAGGCGGACTGAACGTGTTGCGTCTGCGCTGGCACAACGTGCGTCGGAGGAGGGGGAGTCGTCAGAGTGGCCGAGAGAGCGGCGTTGTCGTGCGCGACGCTGTTGAAGTGGTACCTTGCTGTCAGCTACGCGAACTCACGAAGCTGTCGGATCCGGTGGTGGAAAGTGGGGAAAGACAGCCGCGGCACGTCGGCATTCCATCGCACACCACACCAGCGAAGCCACCGGCCCGAGGGCAGGGAATGCTAGAGAGTAACGCTGCGCGATATAATCACACTCACTTGGCAGCCTCGTACATGTCGCTCGCGGCTCCACCATCCTGCACGGCGCCGAGGATCTCAAAGATGATCGCCGTGTCCGAGTCGTTGGAGAGGAACACCTCCTGGTTGTCGGGGACCTGGCGGAGGTCACTGGTGCGTCAGCTCAGCAGTCCGTACCGGCTAGCTGTATCTCTTCCACTACTTCGCGTCCACCTGCCTCCCACCGGCATTGCATAGCTTGCGGTCCGGAGCGAGGCGAAGGGGTGGCTGAGGAAGGCGCTGGCAACGCCTTGGCGGCGGCAGCAGAGTAGCCGGGAGCACTCACGAGGCATCGATGTAGTCCTTGGGGACATCGAAGGAGATGGCGCCGCCGAAGAGGGGGCGGGTCGTAGTCTGCACGTCGGCCATGGTTGCTGATGAGATGTGAGTTTGAGAGATCGGTCAGCGTCGGCGAACGTTTAAGGCTTCCTTGGATTCCTGGACATTCCGTCATTTCTGGACAGCCAGGGGCCACTCATGTCAGTGGCGACCGCCCCGGTCGCTGATAGGCCGGCGTGTCCGTGCGTAGCCGAGTACTTAGGCGTCCACTTGTCACTGATGGTACTGGCACGCCTACCTTCCGATCGCGACCTCCACTCGTGCATGACGCGACGAGACCGATAACTGAGGACGAGGAAGACACAACAACAAAAAACGACAGCGAGGAAGGATGGCGAGAATGACGAACCCACCTCAACCTACCCTTCAGCCTCTGCCGCTGGAAATGCGTCTCCGAGCGCTCGAGGGCCGAGTCGGTCGCGCATCCGACAACGCGACGCCGCTCGTGACCCGTGTCGCGGCGCTGACGACCGCGCTCGAGGACGCCGTTGCGGGAGTGCCCGCGCTGAAGCAGTTCTACGACAATTGTAAGTACACGTTTGTCTATCGTTGTCTCTCCTTTGAACTGCCATGATCAAGCACTCGGGAGCGTCGCCGTGATGTGCACTCGTTGCGATGTTCACTGGCTGTAAAGCGGCTGCCAGCTGCGCGCGGTAGACTGTGATTAAGCTGACACCCAGACGACCGATACGCTCCGCTGCTGTCGACGCAAGCTGAGGATCTGCTTGAGACGGAGGACCGCGTACGGCCGGCGGACCTTCTTCCGCTCGAGAGCAAAGCGCAGCTCGTCATTTCCGCCGCGCCGGACCTGATCGAGGCGGAGAAGGGACTGCGCGAGATCGACATCCTGGACAAGCGCGGTGTCGCAGGCGCTGGCGACTTGGAGCGTGAGTTATCACTGTGCTTGGGAGCCTGCCCTTTCTCGCCGTATCCCGTACCCTACCGGGAATGAGGCAGCTGTGCTAGCCTCATCTTCCACGTCCTGCCATTCGAAGCTAACCATTCAGAGATCACAACACTCGCTCCCGCGCTCGAGAAGGGCCAGGCGGAGCTGAAAGTGCGTCGCGAGCGTTTGGCGCGTGAGCGCGCTGCTGTCTCCGGGCTCGTCGCGCGGTATAATGAATTTGTGAGCTTAGCAAGCGCAACATCAGAGCTGACATGATACAGACAGAGACCGTCTCTGAGCTCTTCCTCCAACTGCACCAGGACGTTACAAGGCTCGAGGAGGGTGTTGCGCGTGCCGAGCGGGCAAAGAGGAAGGAGGAGGCCGAGAGGTATTAATCCGCCTCGGGATTCGAAACTCCCTTTGGGGGTGATAATCAGGGTGGTGGCGCCAGCCGCTTGGAGTAGACATCCGTAGAAACGACTATAATAAGCATGTAGCATAGCTGTAAAGTAGTGCAGAACAGGTCCTCGCCTCGCAGCAGCACTGCAGAGCATCCTACGACGAATGAAGCCCTCGCTTAGAGGCCAAAGGAGGACTTCGGTGTGCCGGCGGATTGGGCCCCGCACTCGTTCAGGTGACTTTCCTGACCTCCGCGTACCCAACCATGTTGGGCCGGTCTCACTGTCGCAATCTCCATCCTCGACCCCAAAACACAGCCGATAACCCACACGACCACTACAACGACAACTGCATCCCACGCCCACCATGGTCCTGTAACTCCCCCTTGACCGATACTCGTCATGGATCTTCTCTCAGGGCTACCTGCGCGGCCATCGACGCCGGTGCCCGGCCATTGGCTCCTCGGCGCGCCGCCGATAATCCACATAAGCATCTTCGAAGCCTCTGCGACGGACGGGGCGGGTGAATCGACCTCGGAGGACATCGTGACTGGCCTACGACAAGATCCGATCGAGAAGGCATGGATGGACCTGAACGGGGCCGGCGAGACGCGCGATGCGCTGACAAAGTGCGCCGTTGTCGTCCCTGGCAAAAAGGTTGACCCGCCGAAACCCGAAACGGACGGAGAGAAGGAGGGCGACGAGCCGATGGCCGTTGATGGCGAGAAAGAGGAGCGGCCGAAGGAGATCGACCTGACGAAGGAGGACAAGGAACCGAAAGAGAAGGAGAAAGAGGAGTCGGTCGGCCGGCGGCTGTGGGTCTTTTCCGCCGAGGCGATTGAGACTCCGGACGGCTTGACCCTCGTCGAGACGCCGGCACCCATCGTCCTCAGCGCGACTCTGACGTGCACGCTGCACGGACAGAGTCTCTCGTGCCTCGCCGCTGGTCAAGACTGCACACCAGTGTTCCAGCCTCCGCCGGCATGGCGATACCTCGAAGCTGCGGCGGGCGAGAAACTCGCCTGGAAGCGGGGGCAGCGCCTGTCGCTGCTGCCAAACCCGTTACGCATCGACCGCACCCCGCCGCTGACGGTGCGCATCCGCCCGACATCAAACGACCAGCTGCTCCTCATCGCGAAGCCGCGCGCGATCCCACATTGCGCCCCGCAGCCTGGCATTCTGACCTCCCCAGCGGGGCGAAATCCGCTGGTGCTACGTCCACTCGCACTGCCGGCTTTGCTAGTCGCTCCTGTCTCAGTCAGCTCGGCACAGGACGCTAAGCTCTCCGCTGCGTTCGACGTGATGGGCGCGGACTGGAAGAACGGACGAGCTGAGGCGCGCGTTGCGGCGCAAGCAATGGGCGAGCGACCAGCCGACTGGAGCGTGTACTTTGTTCCCCTGCGTACGAACCGCGTCAACAAGATGCTGCCAACTACAGTCGCGGCACAGTGGCGTGGCACGCCAGGCGTACTGACTGTGTGGCCGACGCACCTCGCGCGTCCCCTGGCCCCGGTGCACAAGAGCGCGGTGCAAAAGCCGCCGAAACCGGGGCCGGGGCTTGGCGAACCGCCAGCGCTCCTCGCTGCGGCCACGGGGCTGTTCGACTTTTTCACATCGTACACTGAGCCGGCCAGCGATGCCGTCGACGAGGATGCAGACGCTGACGAGACGATGGAAGAAGTGCAGCCGATGGAGGTCGAAGTCGAGGTGGAAGAAGTTGGCGACGAGGAGAGTCGCCGCGAGACAGGCAGCGATGTCGACGACCTCTTCTCCGCCTCTCCGAGTCCGGAACCTGAGCCAGAGCAGCCGGACGAGGAGCCCTTCATTGCATCTGCCTTCACGTCGCCGCGCGGGCTTGAGCTCGAGGTCGATGACCTCTTCGGCGCCGATGAGCCGATTGAGCCGGACCAGAAGGAGGAGCCGGAGGAGGAGGTCAAAGAGGAGGAGCAGCCAGAGCCCGTCCCCGAGCCCGAGCTGCCTGAATTTGAACCACCAGGCAGAGCCGACACGGACATGAACGATAAGAACGATGTGACCGAGGACGACTTCAACTTTTTCGACTCGCCCGCGAAGCAGACGGAGCCGACGCCTGCAGCTGTTGCGGAGCCTACCCCGACACCGACGACAGTGCTCCCCTCCGTTACGGAGGAGCCGAAACCGGAAGACGTGACCGCCGAGGCGCCCGCTCCGGAACCGATAGAGATTACGTCCATCGCGGACCTGCCAGTGCCGGAGGTCATCGAGCCAGTCGAGCCCGAGACCCAACCCGAGCCCGAGGCCCTGGAAGAGTCTCCCGAGTTGGCGGTAGTACACGCCCCGAAGAAGCGGACGTCCATCGACATTGTTCCGCCCGCCTTTGCGCCACTGCAGCTGCCCAAGCGGCCGCGCATGCGCTTCGCGTATGGATTACCCTCCCCCATCTCGCCGGCGAGCAGCACACTGCGTATCGAGCTCGTTGAGCGGCTGCGCGAAAAGTCTGGCCAGGGGAAGAAATATGACTACGCCCAAGAGTGGGAGCTGTCGAGCGAAAGCAGCGACGAGGAGGTCGACAGCGCATTCACGACCGGTGCGCCGCCGACGCCGTCCTCAAGCGACGATGAGGATGGCACGCCCGCCCCGCGTGCTGCGAGTGCTGCCCCGCCGCCCGCCCCGGACCATGAGGTCATGTTCGATGGCATGATGTGCGTCGGCGGCGAGTGGGTCAGCCTCAAGGACGACCCAACCCTCTGCTCCAAGCTGGCTCGCGCGTGGGCTCCGGCGTGGGTCGAGCTGCCTCCGGAGCCACCAGAGTACGTCCCTCTCTCGCCTGAGGCGGACGCAGCGCCATCAGCACCCTCTCCAGACTTGGAAGCCGTTGCGAACGCAGCGGTACGAAACCGCTTCCTCCGACCGCTGTTCACGCATCCGACGCCAAACGAGACTCTCATGCCTGCACCACTAGTGAAGCTCGGCGTGCCCCTCGCCGAATTGACGGAGGCGGGTCAGCCAGCGGCGGCTTCCTATGCCCTCTCGCCCGCCAACGTCAACGTCGGCCTCGGCGGGAACGTGCTTCAGCTCTCGGCGGCCGGACTACGATACTGGCGGGAGCTTGGGTTGATGCCAGCAGGTGGACAGAAGGACGTGACGGCATACGTTGTCTGCGAGCCGGGAGAAGGCGAGCGGCTTGCGGCGTCCTTCCTCCGCGACATCGGGGATGTGTATACCTCTCACTTGCTGGGAAAGCATGAGGCGGGCACGGCGGAGGGAACGGACGGCGTCATTGCCGTGCCGCCGCGCGACGTGCCGAGCGTGCTTTCCCGCCTTGGCAATGCGGTCGTGTACGTCCTAACGTACGCTGCGCGAGGGAGCAGTGTCCTGCCCATGCTGAAGGAGAACGTTCACGTCGTACCCGTCGAGGCGGTGCGGGTGGGCAATCTCCTCCCACTAGCTTTCGAAGTGTACGATGGGCGAACCGAGCGTGTCCCCCGCGTCCAGCTGCGCGGCAAGCAATTAGCCTCGACCCCGCCGCTGCCGTTCCACGCCTTCACGCTGGCGCTGCCTCCACAACGACCACAGCTCACAATGTCGTGGCCGCAGAAGAGCTACGACGTCCTGGCGCGCGGCCGGCAGGTGCACTGCGCTTACGCTTTCGCCGGAGCTCATGTCATCCTGACCGTAGTCGACGGACAGGGAGACGCGCTGGATCTGCGCGTGCTCCCATTCACCAGCACCACCGAGGCGATCCCCCGGATGTGGGAGATCTTCACCAGCCTCGCCGAGCAGCGCAGCCGTCAATACACCATGACGATCACGCGCGTCGGACTCATGAGCAAGGCTGAGATCGGGGGGTGGAAGACACACTTCCCTACCGCCGAGGGCACCATCACGCTCCTCATGGCTGAGCCGCCCGCGCCTTCGCCGCTCCGTCCCCGAACGCCCGTGGCCAACATCCCGCCGAGCACTTTCGCCGATCCTTCGGCTGCGATCGTGGACGAGACGTTGGCTGGAAGCGCGGCGCCGCTGTCCGCGAGGTTGGCCGTCGAGCTCCCGCCTGCGCCGACGCCGACGGCCTCATCCGCTAGTGGAACGGGCGAGGCGTACTACCCTCCCGCCTCCTTTGTGCTCTCAATGGCCAACGCAGCGGGTACGGGCGCGAGCACGGCGACCTTCCATGTCCTCCACACGAGCGAGGGCACGCCTGGCACAGTGCATGAGAGCCTTGCGCCGCGGTTCTACGAGCTGACATGCCTGGGACGAAGACGGTACGCGCTCGACGCGTTGCCGATCCATCTTGATGCGGCACTCAAGGGAGCGGAGGCGATCGAAGTTGTCAGCGCGGAGGCGTAGTGTCCGAGATTAGTAGATATGTGCAATGCAGCGAAGAGACCCGGCATGGGTCAGTTGTAGTATGTACTTGTTTTTTCATGCATTTGGTATCCACATTGCATCTCTGCCTTCCTCGCCAAGATCTCCTCGAAGGAGCAAAGTGCCACTGTCGATGTTTACCTCCACCTCCACCGCGCGTCATTTACAACGACCTCGCCAGCAACATTTGTTGACATCACTCCCACCACCAACGTCTCATCAGCGCAACCACCATGTCCGACTCCGAGGACGACTTCATGTCGGACAAGTTCCTCGTCGATGCGCCCTCAGCGTCCGAACAGACCTACAGTGCGCGCCGGGCAGCAGCCCAGCGCAAGTCGGCCGCCAAAGTCGCAGCTCATACAGCCCAACAGCGGCCTCTCCGAGAGATCGAGGCTGAGAGGCGAAAAGCCGGACTGGCACGGAACCTGCTCGCTGATTCAGACGATGAAGACGAGGACGAAGGCGAAGGGAGGGGGAAACTGGCAGCCAAGCCGAAACGAACGGAAGGACAGTCAAAGGCCATGGGCCTCATGAAGGCGATGGGGTGGACGCCGGGCGAGGCGCTCGGCCGGCGCCGGAGCGCCTCCCCGCCATCAAAGTCGAGGGCGACTGAACCCTCCGACCCTACCAATGCCTCGTCGTCTAGCTCGGGCCATGCGGGAATCGGGGCTAGAGGGAGAGAGAGGGCCGAGCCGATCCGGATCTCGATGTGGGCTGGCCGGCGGGGTCTGGCGGCGCGCACGCCGAGCCCACCACCGCTGCACAAGAAGGAGAGCAATCTGGAATCCCTCGCTGCGGACGTGGAGAGGTTCCGCGGCCGCAGAGGTGCAGAGGAGGAACAGAGAGCGAACGAGCGGAAAGCGCACAAGGCGCGCGAACTGCTCGTCGAGTTTGACACGGAGAAGGGCGTAGTCGTGAGTCCCCCATTCCCTTCGTCTTCCGCAGCTACGAGGGTGAAGAAAAAAAAAAGCTAATCCCAGTTCCACCCCCTGCACGCCGACCCGCTGAACCCCGGCGCGCTCCCGACCCCGCTCCGCGCGAGGTTGTGGCCAGACGCCACCCCGCCCCCGTCCCCCCCTCTCGACCCGGCCACTACGCGGGCAGATCCGACCGCCGAGCCGCTCAAGTTCCGCAATGAAGCAGAGAGGGTGCGCGCCCAGATGAGGCGGGACATGCTCACGACCCTTGGTCCTAATGCCGATGATGAGGACATTCGGTTCAGTATCTCCGTTCCGGAGAGGGATGAGGAGAAGGAAGCCTTGAAGCAGGAAGCCGCGGATGAGAAAGCGATGGACTGGGACGAGGTGGTCTCGGGCACGAAGCGCGTGCTCGCCATGAACGTACGTCCACCCCTACCTCATATCCCTTTTCCCCATTCCTTGTTCACCGTGGAGGCAGGCAGTTGGCTATGGTAGCGCGGCAAACTGACACCCACAGGCGGCCGACAATCTCGCGTTCCTCGTCAGCCAGCTCCGGAACGAGCATCTGTTCTGTTTCTGGTGTGCCTCGAAATACGCCTCTTTTGAGGAGATGGATGCGCCGGGAGGGTGTCCGGGCGAGGAGGAGGATGACCACTAGTGTCGTGGGCGGGGTGGTACGAAGCCGAGTCGATGTAGCGGACAGATAAGGCGCAACATGTATCACTGTGACCTGTGTTTCCACAGTATAGCTCGGCGCAGATGTCGCGCACACTGACTTCCCTATGTCTCTCACTCGACCCTCTGACCGATGCTTGAGCTCGAAAAGGCGCTGCACCTCTGCACCCTCGCATCCTCGCACCTCCGGTGCTCGCTGAAGTGATACTATACGATGCATGACAGAGACAGAGTTAAGCGTCCATGCTGAAGAAAGAGAAAGGGTCCAGTTGGTGTTGGTATGGGGGGTGGATATATCAGAGTTTTCCAAAAACTATCTAACGGTGAGCTTGGGGGGTTGTTGTATATATATAATGCTTGCGTTGCTTGTTGCTTGCTGTGTTGCTTGGGGAACCCGACCCGCGCTCGGGTCGTGGGTTGGTGGGTGAGATCTCGTGCTCCGCGGAACACGAAGACCTCAAAGGGGGGGGTTGTATGTACAGAGCCGGTTGGATTACGGCTTGGTGAGCTGCTCCTTGCGGAAGAAGAAGAAGTAGCCGAACGGAATGACCATCTGGCAGATGAGACAAATCCAGAACTCGTAGTGCGCGACGGGGTTGTTCTCCCCCGTCTCCGGGTTGTACAGTGCCGGGTTGGGGAAGACGTTTCCGGGCCCCGTCTTGTCCGGGGCCGTGGCGCGGGCAATCATGACAACGATCGAGCCGATAAACTGCGCCGCGGCCAGCGTCGCACACACGTGCAGACGCGAGAGCGTCTGCAGCAGAATCATGCCGAGACCAACACCCTGGATCGCGTCCAGGACACCGAGCCAGAGCCACGTACACGTGCCGATGTAGGGACCCGCGCCGCCGCCCCACGAGACGTAGAGGCCGAGACCGGAGACACCCCAGAACATCTGGCACCAGCGCGGACAGCCGAGACCGACGGCGAACACGGGCAGGAGCCACGCGTGCACCTTCGAGTACTTGATGAGGATGCCGAGGAGCAGGCCCCAGATGCCGATGAAGAAGATGATGATCATGATCACAATCGACCACTTGGGCACATCGGCCGCCTGCCACAGGAACTGCCAGTTGCGGCCGTACACCGTCGAGAGCCAGTAGTTGCGCAGAATCTCCGAGATGAGGAACCAGATGACGAGCTTGCGGCGGACGAGCGTCTTGAAAAAGTTGGGCACGTAAGGCGGGATCTGGTGGTAGTACTCGGGCAGACCCCAGTACATGAGCACGGCGAACAGGAGCGAGACGGCGGCAAGCGGCCAGACGACGCAGATGATCGCAACAGACGGAATGTACTTGTCCGGGTCGGTGCCGCTGAGCGTGTAGCCCCAGTACCAGAGCGCCGACACCCAGATCTGCTGCAGACCCTGCACCACACACGCACGCATGATCCAGACCTCGGTCGCGGCTCCAGCCTCTTCACCAAAGTTGAGGCCGAAGAAGAGGAAACCGGCGGCAGAAGCCATCGCGTAGAACCACGTCGCGACCTTGGTAAGCCACTGCTGAGGCGGGATGAACGGGCCGTGCAGCGACGGGAAGCCGACGAGGAAGAAGGCGATAGCGAACAGGACCCAGGGGAGCGAGAGGACATAGACCGAGGGGCGCATGCGGAACAGCGTGTACCAGAAGACCGTGGCGACGACGAAGATGGCACAGATGATGTACATGTCGACGGCCGTCTGCGTGTTTGACCCGCCGAGGAGCGAGAGCTGGAACGACGTAGCGCTGAGCAGCTGGCCGAGCGACAGGACAATCGCGTACAGCGGCCATCCCCAGATCGAGTGGTCCATCAGCACCTGTAAGCGCGTCATGGGCTTTTCGTTATCCTCCTCGGCGCCGAATGTTCCCGGGTTCTCCCACGAGTACGCCTCGCCGCTGTGGCCCGACATCGAGTTGTAGACGGGCGATTCGGGGCGGAAGCCGTCGACGGCAGGCGGGGCCCCCGAGTGCGACGAGTGGAACATGGACTCGCGGAACGAGTCGCGGGAACGGACCGACGCGGCAGTCAGCTTCTCGCGCTTCATCTCGCTGAAGAACTGCTTCTCCGACTTGATCAGGAACTTTTCGATACACAGGTCGCCCTTCGAGTTGGCCGACGACAGGTTCTGCAGCTTCTGGACGAACGCCTGCGAGACCTCGCCGTCGGCGTCTGTGAACGACTCCATGGCCTTGTTGATGGAGGACGAAGCACCCTTCTCGTCGACAATGCTAGAGATCGAGTCGAAGGATGAAACACGCGAGTTGATCGAGAACGGCCGGCTGGGAGCAAACTCCGAGTTCATGCTCATCGAGCTCTGGCGACGCTCCATGAACGGGTCGGGGACGCTCTTGTTGCCCTGGTTCTTGGCGAACTGCCTGTTAGCGGCAGCCAGGAAGTTGTCGTAGGCGTGGCTCGAGCCACCGCCGCCGTCGGCGAAGGCGCCAGTGTGGACCGTGGTCGTGTCTCCCGGGTCCGACGACATGATCGACTGGTCATCATCCATGCCAGAGAAGAACTTGGGCCGGCCGCGGCTCGACACGTCGTCAGCACCATCGTCAAAGTACGAGTCTCCCGAATCCCTGTTGGGCGACTCGAAGCGACGGTGGTAGTCGTGAGCGAGGAGGCCAGAGCCGGGGCTGGCAGCGCCAGGTGGTAAGTTGGAACCGGGGTAGTCCTGGGACATGGCCGAGTCGGGCGTTCCAGAGCGAGCGGTGAGAGCAGCAAGCGAGGCGGCGGGGTCGCCAGGGGGCGGCGCAAAGCTGGGTCCGTCGGGCGAAGGGCCGTTAAAGTTCCACGCGTGCTCTCCGGCAAGCGAACGGGACGTCTGGATCGATCGGCGCTGGAAGTCTTCGAGACGCTGACGCCACTCGACGACGGGGAAACGCTGAACGGCGGAACGGGCACGCAGAATCGCACGCTCCTCCTGGGTCGACTTGAGCGCGAGCTTGATCGTCTTCGTAAGCTGGGACAGCATGTGCTGAGCAGCCGGAGACTCGACAGGGAACCACCAGCCGGGCATGAGACCGAGACCACCGAGACGCGAACCGACACCGAGGGCACCCTTACGACCGAACTCGACAGCAACGAGACCGAACGGCTCGTCACGCGACGGGATCAGGGCAAAGTCGGCACCGGAGAACAGATACGGCGGCAGGGCAGTGAACTCGGGCTTGGAGTAGACGCGGTCGGGGTACATCTCCATGAGACGGGCGAGCTTCTCGGCGGCGAAACGACCGTAGAGATCAATGACGGGACCGACACAGATGAGCTGGATCTTGGGCTTCTTCTCGAGCAGGGAAGGCATGACGTCGGCGATGAGGTCGACACCCTTCTGCTTGGACCAACGACCGACGAACACGAACAGGTCGGCGTTGGGGTCCTGCCTGATACCAGCCCACTCCTGCGCCTGGCGCTTGAGCTCGGGACGCTTGGCCTCGGCGTCGGCGTCGATCTGGATCTTGTCGACGTCGACCTGCTTGTCGTCGAGGGCAGCAATATCCGTAGGGTCGGGGTTCGGGAGCGAGTCAATGTTACGCAGAGTCCAGAGCGCGGGATAACGAGCCCACGAACGCTTTCCGTACTTGTCAGACACACCGGCGACACCAACCGACTTTTGGTGGTGCGAGATGAACGAGGCGGCGGCGTGCAGGAGGTTGAACGTGTTGCCAAACTGGACGTACTTGGAGCACACGTCCTTGGAAATGTTGAACGCCGCGCACACCTCCTTCATCTCCTCCTTCGTGCGCAGCGGCCAGAGACCCTGGAACTCGGCATTGTGCAGCGAGAGACAGACGGGCATGATCTGGGGAAGCAGGTAGAGGGGAGCGAGGGCACCATGGTAGTCGTTGATGTGGTAGATGTCAATGTCCGGGAAGCGGCGGATCGTCTCGGCAATGGCCTGGTTCCAGGTCGAGTAGAAGATGGCAGAGCTGAGGTCGTCCATACGCTGAGGGTAGGGATCAGACTTGGTCTGGGCACGGAACACGGGCGAGTCGAGAATAATGTACGTGATGTTGTCGAGCTGGTGCGTCTCAACCTCGATCAGGTACGGCTCGCCAAAGATGGTGACCTCGATGGGCTCGGCGTACTCGCCCATGGGGTAGTCGAGGTCCTGCACCTTGGGAATGATCCAGATCAGGTCAACATCCGTCATCGCCTTGCCCATGAGACCGGACATGACACCGAGACCACCAATCTTGACCTTGAGCTGCCAGTCGAAAATCTCATACTCGAGCGTCGCAATAAGAACCTTGCGGCGCTTGGAGGGAACCTCGGGCCATCCAATCGGGTGATCGAGGGGCTTGAGCTTCTCGTGGTGGTGGACGACCGCACCGGCGCCGTGCTTCTCGGACATGGCGCCATCCTTCTTGTCGTGGTGCGCGGCTCCTCCAACAATGGGGAAGTAGCTCGATTCCTTGACGGGCTTCTGACCCCACTTGTTGATCTTGATCTGGTAGAAGGAGTAGCGGAAAATGGCGGCGGCAGCCAAAGCAGTGAGAACGGGGATGACGAGGAGGAGCGCAAAGACGATGATCGACGAGCTCTCGTGGCCGAGCGGGGTGAGCGACCACTTGCCCGTCTTGTCGTTGACGTGGATCTCCCACGACAGGTGAGGACGAGGAGGAGCCGAAATGTTGAGGAAGTTGGGCGTCAGCGAGTTGGGAGGAAGGCGGTCGATGACCCCGTCTCCGTCGGCGTCTCCGTAAAAGTAGTCGTCAAAGGCCCAGATGTTCAGCTGGAACTGTGACGGCCAGGCGGAGCCGACGGGGATCTTCCAGTCGCCATTGTCCTGTTGCTTCAGGTGCGCGTTCATGCCGAGGTCGTAGCCCCATCCGTTGAACTTTCCGCGGAGCAGCATCTGCGGCCAGCGACGCTGCGGGCCGTCATAGTTGGCATCCGCGTGAACAACCTGGGCCGCCGTTCCTCCGAGGGCCGAGTAGTAGTGCACCATGAGATGGTCGCCCTTCCACCACTGGTCCTTGAAAGCCGTCGCGTTCAGCTGGGTCGTCTCCTCCATGTCGGTCCAAGGCGTCCAGTTCTTGCCAAAGTCGGCCGAATAGCGGAACTTGTCGGCACCCCAAGCCTTGTGCTTGAGGGTGTACGATCCGCCCGAGACCTCAAAGATCGAGTTGTCATAGTCCTCGTCGGGGAAAACGAACGAGTTCTGCTCGCTACCAACACGGAAGAGCAGGTGGTCGGTAACCTCGGTCGTGCGGTTGCCACCCTGGGCGGAAACGGGCTTGATCCTGAGGTGGTACATGCCCTCGGCGGCGTTCTGGATCTGGCCAGTCCACTTCCAACGCGAAGGAGCAGCACCGACAAACTCGTGCGCCTCGGGGTTCTGAATCGTCTGACAGCCGCTGTACTGTCCCGAGGGAACCAGCTTGGGCGCGGCACCGCCCGGCTGGACGGTAGACTTGAGGGCCTCGGGGTCCGACAGCGCCTGGTTGACGCTGTCGCAGTCCATCTCCTGGTCCCACTCGATCTCAATGTCAACCGTGTCGCCGTTCTTGAGGACGCGGGCATCGTGGCCGGGCTTGAAGCCGGAAATGGACGGGAGCATGTTGATCCAACGCGAGACGGGAACGTAGGCCTTGAAGTCGAAAGGCTCGAGCTCGAGCTTCGAGATACAGCCACGGTTAGCCTCGTTGGTGTTGACGTCCTCGAGCGTCTTCTCGTCATAGGGGTAGAGCAGGTTCTTGACAGTGGTTCCAGAGTTGTAAGGACCGACGATGGGGTTGTCGCGGCAGTTCACCTCCCATGTCTTGGAGACGTTGAGGTTGGTGTAGATTAACCAGACGTTCTGGGTCAGGTCACCGTCGCTGTTCCAGATACCGCCGGAACCCATCTGCTTCGGCGAGGGCCCACGGACAGACGACCACATGCCGGTTTCGGTCTGGACATCGCCCGATCCGGGGTACTGGACCATCTCGGTGTGGTTGCTGAGGCGGGACAGCATGAAACCGTCTTGGACACCGGGGAACATGCGACGGATGTAGTTCATGTTTCGGAACGTGCGACGGATGGGCGCCGTCGGGTCAAAGTGGTCGAGGGCGACCTTGTCGTCGAGACATCCCATGAGCGCGCGGTCGTAGGGCAGGTTGAAATACTGATCAGCACCAAGACGGTAGCACCCGTGTCGCTTCCAGGCGCCAGTAGCGACCATGGCCTGACGGGCATACAGATAGTTCGAGGCACTGCTGTCGAGAATGTAAAACTCCTGCTCCTCGCCGTACCACGCCTTGGGCATGCCGGGCATCAGGAGATGCGTGACAAAGGAACCGACGAGCTGACGCTCGACACCCTGGGCCATCATTGGCCAACGGAACACGTCCTGGTTGGTGACACCCCACATGTGACGCGGGTCAAAGTCGCCAGTCATCTGGTTGAGGAAGTCGTTGTTGATGAGCATGGTGTTCCACATGTTCACAAAGTTGACCTCGAGATCGAAACCGGCAGACAGCATTCCGTCCATGCCGAGCCAACGAAGAATCGCACGGTAGAGCGAGTAGTGGAACGCCGCGGCGTCGACGGGGGCGTCGTAGCGGTCGCGGATAAACTTGGACATGTCATCGTGGGTGAGGTTGAGCGACTCCTCGGTCGTCGTGCGCATCTGCGGGGTACGTCCACGGCCAATGTAGATGGAACCGAACGTGTCTCCACCCGTGATTTCTCCCGGAATGAAGAAGTTCTTCTTGCCCAGCTTGTCGGCGCACTCGCGGGTAGCGTGCGACCACTTGGCGAGACCGTCGACCGTGACCTGGATGGCCTTGTCGATACGGATACCGTCAATGTCGAGCGCCTCGATACACATGCACGAGAACACGGTGAGGCGGTCCATCACGTCGGGGCGCCATTCGCGCAGACGGTCCTGCACCGAGGCGAACTTGGCGAGCTGACGCATCCAGTCGGGGAAGACACCGAACGCCTCGACGTCTCCGTAGTGGTCAAACGTACTGGCGTAGCAGCCTTCCATGCCCATGTCCAGAATGACACCCGACTCGTCCCAGAACGTGGGGTACTGGCATGACTCGTTGTAGTCGTTGGTAAAGTTGAAGTCGGGGTACTTGTTGATACCCCACGGTCCATAGTCCGGCAGCTTCCACTGCACTTCGTACTCGTTCGTGTTGAACGGCGTGGACGAGTTGAGATGTCTGCTGTCAGCTAACCCTCAAGCCTAAGCACTCACCCCTTGAAACCGATCAGGTCACCCATGGTACCGACGGTAAAGTCAAAGATGACATACATCCCGCGGGCATGCACCTCATCGATCCAGGCGGCCCATTCCTCCATCGTTCCGAAATGCGGGTCGAGGAGACCAAAGTCGATGGCCGAATATCCGTCGGCCTGCCACGGCATGTTCACGAACGGCGTACCAGCAATATAGATAGACCGGTAGCCCATGCTCTGGATGTAGTCGAGACCACGGGGGTCGCGCAGACCCGCGACGTCGCCTCCTGATCGGAGCTGCGTCTCGCGCCAGTCATACTCGTAGATGAGACCGAAGAAGTCGTTGTTCGTCGGATCTCCGTCGATCCACTTGTCCGCGAGCATGGTGTACGTCGGGAGCGCCTGGAACTGTCAGCCTATTTCCCGCAAACAAACGCCGCCCTCGCTATGTCTGTCGAGGGCCCGGGCCACACTCACTCTCCAGTTCTCGGGTGATGGTGTGTAGTTTTGTCGCTTATGCGTCGTGTAGTCGATGCAGTCCGTCGCATCTGTGCTGCGTCAGTTTCTCTGCACACCGCCTGTCCCACCGCCGCCGACTGATCTTACACACCTTGATTTTTGTTGAGGTTCCAGGGGTCTAGCGTCTCGTTGTAGACGTGCGCCCTCACACCGGCTACCAGGGCCAGCAGCCCGATGGTGAGCAGATGCGGGAGCCATCGCCCCGGCGCAAACTCGCGGGTACTAGACCCTCTGCGCATGATCAAGCTTGCGTCTTGGGCTCGACGACGTTCAGCAGCTGATGCGAGGTGGAGGAGGCGATGGGGTTGCGATAGCGCTAGGCGTGGCGTGGAGGGGGGGTGCGAGCTCCTGTGATCCGGCTGCTGGATCCTCAGGAATGTTCAGGACGCGTGACCGAGACTTGCACCGGCGTTGGTGGTGATGAATGCGTGCGGTAATGTACAATGAGCAAGAAAAATGTTGTGCGCGTCGTAACGGTGGGATTGAGCTGGTGCGATGTGCAGCTGGTGGTGGTCGTGTCGGGAGCGTCGGGAACCAGTCACGAGCAAAGTAATCAGGGTCGTCGCGTCGTTCGTCGAAAGATGATGGGGATGGTTAAAGGAGAGACAGTGGTCGACAAGAGAGGTCAAAGGGTGTGTGAGTGGGTAGAAGGGTAAGGGGAGCTGTGTTGGGAGAAGGTGTGTGTGTGAGCGTCAAGAGACGAGGCGGGGGTGCGGATCTCTTCTCAGACTGATCAGCACATTTAGATCAAGAGTGGAGGGGTTGAGCACACTTTTTCGCTGAGCGTGCGTGCGTGCTTGCAGAGCCGAGCCAGTCGTGTCGGGGATGAGGGGTCGGAGGATGAAGGAGACGTTGCGCCTCTGTGATGGGTGAGTGGGGTCGGGGTGGTCGGGAGGAAGGAGGAGGCTGAGGTGAGCGAGATGGAGACGAGGTATAGAGAGAGACACTCGGAAAGATATGAGACCTGGCGGACGGCGGTGGGGTTGCGGTGGTGGTGGAACGCTGGGTGCTGGGTGGTGGCTATTCGGTGTACGGCGAGCAAAGTGAGGCCCAGGATTACCCAGGACTTGGCCCAGGATATGCCCAGGAGTACTACAGGAGTGAGTGTCTGGTAACAGGCAGCAGCAGATTGCTTAGGTGCTTAGCCCAGGTTGAAGATTGGTTGAAGGCTGAGGTCCGAGGGCGAGGGACGGCGAGAAGGCCTTGGCTGGCCTGGCTGGGGGCTCTCAGGACTCGAGGGACGTTCTGCACGCAGGATTACGGCCAAAGGGTCTTAAGGGTCCGGAGGCGTGCGTGCGGGTGTTGCTCGACCTGACAGGCATCAGACCCGAGACCCGGCAGCGGCCCAGGGACGACACGGCTGCTTGTTAAGTTTAAGGGATTATCGCTGGTGTGCTGGTGTGAGCACCGTCTGAGAGCGAGCAGGCAACCGGGCAACCGGTCTCACGGCTGGGCCTGACCGTATGCCGTGTGTGCCATACTGTACCAACCATCGCCGACAGCGCATCGCATCTTGCCTCTGTGCCAGCTGTGCTCTAGCTCTCTGGCTAGCTGGCTCGAGATAGAATCCCAGGCACCCAGCAGAGAACCCAGGATGTAGGAAGGACATGGCAGCCTTAGTTTGCAGCCAAGCCACAGCCAAGCAGCAGGGAGCCAGCTTAGCCAGCAGGGGAGGGGGTGCTGAGACGCCAAAAAATGCGCTGCAGGGGCAAGGCATCCAGGGTTCAGATCCTCGCGATTCAGGCTCCCTCAGGGTCCGTGTCATTTCGACAGCGACACTTGTCCTTGACTTTGTCCCAAGCCACCATAAATTTCAGACCGTCCACCATCAATGAAACGAACCACACGCTGCTGCCTTTCAGTTGTCAGCCTGCAGGTTGCGTTGTTTGTATGCTGAGAGTTGTTTGGGACACATTCTGATCGCAGCGGTTTCTCATGCAATGGCGGCGGCGTGTGGGAAAGCAGTAAACATACAAACAATGCCCAAAACGACGCTAGTCCGAGACAGCCACCAGCTGTAGTCCAGCTGGTGCAGGCGGGGTCTGGCTGGCCTGGCTGGTCTGGAGTGCCTGCGGATTGCGGCGGCGTTCCAGTCCGTGCTCCGGATTCCAGCTCTTATCACAAGTGACTTATCGGCAGCTGTTCGTCCTGTCTGGTGTGCTACCTAAGTAATGTCAGTCATGCGCAGTCGATAGTGCGTCGTATCAGCTGGGCTACAGGGCTGGTTGGGAGCATGGGAGCAAAGGAAAGATCAAGAAAAGAACACACCCCTCAGGGGCGCAGAAACGCAACGCGTCGTTTTTTGCTGTGCACAGTGCGATAGTGCGCGCCCCTCCAAGATCCCACACTTGCTGATCCCATCCTTTACAAGTCACACGCGTGTGTCGGGTTATCCAAACAGCGCTGAGCACGCGAACAGCTTGCCGCCACCCGCAGCTAAGCCAGTCATGCCAGTCACAAGCTGTTGACAGTTGGGTGCAGGCGGGGCGGAGTGTAGAGTGCGCGCGCGCGCTCGCTCTTCGCTGCAATTCATCGGAGGCGGCCAGGCGGCGGCTTGGCGCAAACGATGAGTGCCACTGGATGTACGGTGGAAGCTGAAGAAGCGTCGGAAGGTTCTCAGCAGTGCAAACCTACTTAGGCGCCGGCAGCGCCTAACGTCAAGTCTGTCGCTTGTCAATTACTGAGGCTGTTAAGGCTGCCGCACAGCCTGTGCATGCCAGCAGTCCGCACAGCAGTTCCAGCATGCATACACACTTACGCACGGCATAGAGTAGAGTGAGGCACGCACCGTGCCCGATCGGTGCCGGTTGTCCCGTGAGTTTCAAGAGCCCCTTGCTCTGGCCACTCTGTTCCCGCCAGCGTTTACTGGGTCTGACACGACACCATTACTCGTTACATGACACGCTTGCTCGCATCTGACTGACATTAGTCTTCACGATATGCAGGAGCGGGAATGGCGTTGAATGCACTGCACATCAGACGCGTCAGAGGCGGCGGCTAGGCGGACTCGCACCTGTTTGCCCTATCAATTCCAGTGTTCCCAAGTGTGCTTACTGACGCGGCGAGAGGCAGGGTGTGTTGCTCGCGTCACTCTGCCATCGGCGTGTCACTCGGCGGTTGCTCGCTGCTCGCCGTGTGCTGCGTGTGTGAGCAGTGAAAGCGGAGGACAAGGGACCGTAAATGGCCGCGCCAGGGCCCAAACCTCCAGGCGTCCAGGAGAGGGGAGAAGGCCCGGCGGCAAAGTGCGCCCCTTCGCAGACTTCCCCTGCCCCTGTTCCCTCAGGTGTGCACTTGTGTCCCTAGAGGGAAGACGAGCGCCCAGAATAATCATGCGAATAGCACAGGGAGGGGGGATCCGTGCAACGCTGCTGGGTAATGCACTCTCTGCGACTCGCTCGCTCGCGCTCGCTCGGGTTGCTCCCTGGGTAAAGACATACAGGACGTGCAGAGCGGTGCCAACAGCGCCGCATACCTATATCCAGGCATGCCCAGGCAGCTGCACTGCTTCCTGCCCGCTGCGGCGTGCACGCTCCTTAATGGCGCTCGTATGCATACCGGTTGAGTGCACGTGGCAGCTACTCGGAGTCAGTGCGGTCGTCGATGAAGCGGTGACGGGACCGGCGTCGGTCCCCGCTCGTCTTGGCGGAGGAGGGCGGAGCTCTCTCGTAGTCAAAGGTTTCTCCGTCGTCCTTGGCTCTGCATGTCGCTCCGCTCCAGCGGAACTCAGCGCGAGCATGCAGACCTCGCATCGCACGGACATTTCTACCAGCTGCCCACGCCCACTCCTCGCCGTCTGCGCCAGCTACGCCAGCTGAGCTGCCTGCCCCGCCACCCCTGAGTGGCGCCACGGCCCGAGCGTCACACCTGATAGCGATGCAGCACGCGTCGCTTGCTCGGCGTTTGGCGCTGCGCAGGTGGTAGTGAGCAGGTGTATGCCCGTTGGTCTATCGTCGAATCTCCGAGTGGCATGTCTGGTCGTCACCGCCGCTTCACTCGTGGCCGTCCCTTGTAATTGTCGTCTTCCTCTGTGGCGAGCGCAGTCACGGAGAAGAACCATTGCAAAGATGGCGCCGACGCTCTCAATGGCACACTGCTGTCCGCTGGGGATGCTGCTGTGTCGGTGGCACCGCCTGGCTGAGCACCGAGCATGGCGCACACTGCAGTGGCCAGCGGGTACAAGGCGGAGATGGAATGGATCTGCAATCGAGATCGCGACCTCTCTGCGTCAGATCCGAAACGCACCACCGAGACAAGCCGCTCTCCGGCATGCGCGTAGCGAGGAACCCGAACGTCCTCCGGCCGGAATGTCCACCCCGCTTGTCACTGCAACGGAGATCGCGATCTGGAATGCGATGCCAAATTGTCATCTTGCACCGCTGGCCGCTGGATAGCAAGTAGATTCTGCGGTGAACACCGCACACCGCTTAGCGCACAGCGCTGGACCCCGCCGCTCGCTGTACCTGTTCCTCGCGGGAAGGCGAGGAAGCACGCCGAATGCACAGAAACGTTGCCTCTGGCTCGAAACCTTATCGCGTATGCATATCGTACTGAATACGCTAGCTCGCAGCTTAAGAGTGCTGACGTGGGAAAACTTCCCACGTGGCTTAACGGAACCAAACATATCACGGGGAAGACCACAACAACACCGCGCCTGTTTTGTTGACATCACCAGGGCCGGGTTTGTTTGTGCTGAATCCTCGGAACGTCCACTAACCACAAGCAAGCGACACGACACGATGAGGATCGAGGAGCTCATCCTCGACGGTAAGCTAGCTTGTTCTGGTGAAGCTGACAGCAGGCTTCAAGTCGTACCCCGTGCGAACGACGATTTCAGGTGCACCAGACACCCCTTGTTTGTGCTAACGACAGGCTTCGATGAGTCGTTCAACGCCATTACGGGTCTGAACGGATCCGGCAAGTCGAACATTCTCGATGCGATCTGTTTCGTGCTCGGTATCACGAACATGCAGTCGGTGCGGGCGAACAACCTGATGGACCTCATCTACAAGCGTGGCCAGGCGGGCGTCACCAAGGCCTCGGTCACGATCGTGTTCAACAACCAGGACCGCTCCAAGTCGCCCGTCGGATTCGAGAACACGCCCCAGATTACGGTTACGCGCCAGATTGCCGTCGGAAACGTGTCCAAGTACCTCCTGAACGGACACAAGAGCACGCTGCAGACGATCCAGAACCTCTTCCAGTCGGTCCAGCTCAACATCAATAACCCCAACTTCCTCATCATGCAGGGCAAGATCACCAAGGTGCTCAACATGAAGCCGGCCGAGATTCTCGGCATGGTCGAGGAAGCCGCCGGAACGCGCATGTTTGAGGAGCGCAAGGAGAAGGCCGTCAAGACGATGGCGAAGAAGGACAAGAAGGTCGAAGAAATCGAAAGTTTGCTCCGCGAGGAGATCGATCCGAAACTCGAGAAGCTGCGCGCCGAGAAGCGCTCCTACCTCGAGTACCAGAAGGCGACGACCGAGCTTGAGCGTCTGACTCGTCTCGTCAAGGCATACGAGTGGCAGGTCGTTGTCGACCGACTTGAGAAGAGCGGCGAGATCATTGCGCAGAAGAAGGCCGAGATCAACCGCGTCAAGGAGGACGTCGAGCGAGGCGGCAAGGAGTGCAAGGACATGGAGAAGGAGCGCGAGGAGATCGAGGCCAGACGCACCAAGGAGATGGCCAAGGGCGGCAAGATGCAGGCCCTGACCGACGCCTTCAACGAGCTCGAGCGCGAGCTCGTCAAGGTCAAGGCTCAGCTCGAGCTGCACGAGAGCACCGTCTCGGAGGACACGAAGCGTGTCGAGACGGCCAAGAAGGCCATCAAGGATGTAAGTTGTCCTTGCAGAATCGGAAACTGACCCCAGGCTGAGGACGCTCTCGGAAAGAAGAGGCAGTCCGCCGAGGACGAAGCCGCCTCGTTTGCTGAGCTGAAGGAGGCGTACGACGCTGGCGCCGCCGAGCTTGCCAAGACCGAAGAGCTGCTCCAGACGCTGCTGACGGGTCTCTCGTCGAACAACGAGGAGGAAGCCGGTGGCTACATGGGACAGCTCGCCGAGGCCAAGGCTCGTCTCGCCGCTGCCGGCACGGAGGCTGAGCAGGCCAAGGTCAAGATTGGCCACGCCGAGCGCGAGATCAAGGAGGAGGAGCCCCGCGCAAAGAAGGCGGAGAAGGAAGGCGAGGGTCTCCTGAAGGAGCTCGCGGCGAAGCGCGCCGAGGCTGAAAAGCTGCAGGCACGCGTCGAGTCGGCTGGATGGGACGACGAAAAGGAGCGCGAGCTGCTGGAGCGCCAGGCCGAGGCGGGACAAAAGGTCTCGGAGCTCAGCGAGAAGCGCGACGCCATCAAGTCGCGCCTCGCTGCCATTGACTTTTCCTACTCGGACCCGTACGCCGGTTTTGACCGCTCGCAGGTCAAGGGTCTCGTCGCGACCCTCGTCGACCTCGACCAGTCCAACTTTGCCGCCTCGACCGCGCTCGAGATCTGCGCCGGCGGCAAGCTCTACAATGTCGTCGTCGAGGACGAAAAGGTCGGCTCGGCGCTGCTGAACCAAGGCAAGCTCCGCAAGCGCGTCACGATTATTCCCCTCAACAAGATCAACGCATTCCGCATGAGCGCTGAGAAGATTGCCGCCGCCAACAAGGTCGCCCCCGGTAAGGTCAACCTGGCTCTGGATCTCGTCGGCTATGATGACGAGGTTTCTGCTGCCATGTCGTACGTCTTTGGCGACGTTTTCATCGCCAAGGACAAGGAAGCTGCGCAGGCCGTCACATTCAACCGCAACATTGGCGTGCGCTCTGTCACCCTCCAGGGCGACGTGTACGACCCGTCCGGCACGCTTTCGGGCGGTGCCGCGCCGTCCTCTTCGGGCCTCCTCGTCAAAGTGCAGGAGCTGCGCGCGATTGAGCGCAAGATGACCGAGTACAAGAAGGTTCTTGCTGATGCGTCCCAAGAACTCGCAAGCGCCAAGCAGCAGATCGACCAGTGGCGCAAGGACAAGCGCCAGCTCGACCTGTGCGCGCACGAGGTCAAGCTGCTCGAGTACCAGGTCAGCGGTTCGAACGCAACCAAGATTATCGCCGAGGTCGAGGCGGCCCGCAAGACGCTCGCCGAGCTCAAGGCTGTGGTCGAGTCCGCCAAGGCGAAGAAGAAGGAGGCCGAGGCCGAGTGCAAGCGCCTCGAGCAGGACATGGCCGACTTTAGCAACAATAAAGACTCCAAGCTGAAGGAGATCAAGGCGTACATTGCCGCGCGCAAGAAGGCGCTTGGCAAGAAGACGGCCGACGTCAAGAGCCGCCAGAAGGAGGTCCAGACGGCCGAACTTGAAGTGCAGCAGCTCGAGGGCGACGTCGAGGCGGCCAAGGAGGAGCTTGTCGAGGCACGAGGAGGCGCTGAAGAAGAGCCAGGCCGAGCTGCAAAAGCTCCACTCCCGCGTCGCCAAGCACCAGGCCGACTACAAGGCAATGGAGGACAAGCTGCGTGCCGAACGTGCCGTGCTCGTCGCCTTTGACAATGAGCTCGCCGACCTCGAACGCGACCTCAAGGCGAAGAAGCAGGAGATTGTCGACAGCGAGCTCGCGCTGAAGAAGCTGGAGCACGACCTCGGCGTCATCACCAAGGAGCGCAGTGCGTCCGAGTCGGCCAAGGACAACCTCGAGAAGCAGTTTACCTGGATTCTCGAGGAGAAGCAGTTCTTTGGTCAGCGCGGCACGCCGTACGACTTCCACGGCGTCAACCTCTCGCAGGCGCGTGAGCAGTGCCGCGAGCTCGAGGCGCAGCACAAGGGCATGGGCCGCAAGATCAACACCAAGGTCATGAACATGATTGACAGCGTCGAGAAGAAGGAGGCGGCGCTGCAAAAGATGATGGCGACGGTTCTGAAGGACAAGGCCAAGATTGAGGCGACCATCACCGAGCTGGACCGGTACAAGCGCGACGCTCTGCTCAAGACGTGGGAGAAGGTGAATGGCGACTTTGGCCTGATCTTTAAGGAGCTGCTGCCGGGCAACTTTGCCAAGCTACAGCCGCCCGAGGGCCAGGACCTGACAGAAGGACTCGAGGTCAAGGTCCGCCTTGGCAGCGTGTGGAAGCAGTCCCTCACAGAGCTGTCGGGCGGGCAGCGCTCCCTCATCGCGCTCTCGCTCATCATGTCGCTGCTCCAGTTCAAGCCTGCACCGATGTACATTCTCGACGAGATTGACGCCGCCCTCGACCTCCAGCACACGCAGCACATCGGCCAGCTGTTCCGCAACCGCTTCAAGGGGTCCCAGTTCATCGTTGTGTCCCTGAAAGAGGGCCTGTTCACCAACGCCAATGTGCTCTTCAAGGCGCGCTTCCGAGACGGCACGTCGATTGTCGAGCGCACTGCGACGCGGAGTGCGAGTGTCGCGCCGGAGAAGCGCGCGCTGGGTAACAGCGGGGGGAGTGCGCGGACGGTTAGTGTGCGATAGCGAGCGAAGCGAGCGCAGCGAGCGTGCGAGTGCGTGAGCGCGTGAGCGCGTGAGCGCGTGAGTACGGCTGTGCGTAGTGAGGGCACTCCGGTGTCAGCCTGTCTTGGGTTGTTAGATCTGTAGATGTTGTACGATATGCAAGGGACTGGGCTAGACGTGCATACGGGGCTACATAAGAGCTGGCGTTAGCTCACGAGGTGCTGGATAGCTGGAAACTCACGCCTGGCGGTCAGCTGGAAGAGCAGATGGAGCGAAAGCTGGGTGGGAGACTCACAAAATCCCGTATAACAAGTCTGCGACACGCTTAATGTACGTTGGAAAGGAGCCATGCACAGCTCTCGTTCTGTGGGAGGCTGGAATCAGCTTTCATACGTGAGAAACTGGAAGCTGGGGTCTACTCACGACTGGGGTCAGCTCGAAGAGAAGAGGATCTCAAGCTGCCGGGAGTGTACGTGACGCACACGCGAATGGCTGTGGTTAGCTAGAGCCGGGGCAGAACGAAAGCTAAAGACACACTCACGTCTGGGGGTCAGCTTGACAGTACATAGGGCAGCTGAGACAGAGGGTACTCACAGCTTCTGTACAGTATGGGGATATGCCTGGGACGGAGTTAACGATTCCGCTCCATAATAAACTCACTGGAAACGGCTGGGGTTAGCTGCACCGTTGTGTCATAGCAGCTGCACATGCACTCACGTCTGGGTGTCAGCTCACCATACGGAACAAGAGAGCTGGGGCGTGAAATACTCAACTCATGCTTGTGGCGGAGCGCGTCCTGTGGCGGAGTTAACGATGGGGTGCAGCTTCAACTCACCGGAAGCGACTGAGGTTAGCTTGATGACCCCAGTTTCATAGCTAGTGCTTACTCACGTCTGGTAGTCAGCTCGCGGAACACAGTATAACAGCTAGGACAAAGATACTCACCCCCTTATCGGTGGCACAGCTCGTCCTGAGGCGGAGCTAACCATTGCGCATGCCTGTCAACTCACCGTAGGTGACTGGGGTTAGCTGGACTATCCGGGTCTAGTAGCTATTGTAGAGCTTAATCACCGCTGGGAGTCAGCTTTCGGTCCAGGGGAAGAGAGCTGGGACGGAGGATACGTGCAGATTGTGCGTAGCGCAGCTCGTGCTGAGGCGGAGATGGTACCTGCGCATTGTGCAAAACTCACTGGAAGCAACTGAGGTTAGCTGGATAACCCGGGCCTGGTAGCTACTGTAGAGCTCACTCACGGCTGGGAATCAGCTGAACTCCTTGATCAGATAAGCTTAGTGGAGGAATGACTCACGATGTGATGTGACTTGGTAACTGTCCCATGGCTGTGATCAGCTATCATCACCTAAACATACAAGCTGATGTGCACTCACGTCTGCTGTGAGCTGACGATATCTGTGGGTAGCTGCACAGGAGACGGGCTCCTCAAATGATGGAAACTCATGACTTGCCACTGTGTTGGCTGCGTTTGGCTGGAGTCAGCTATTCAAACCGATCGTAGAGCTGGACAATACACACGCCTGGCAGTCAGCTGGTGTCTCATCATGCCTTAGCTGCGCAAGCCCCACTCACGATGGGGAGTAGTACCAAGTGGGATACCATCCTTCACGGCAATCCCGGGGCGACTGACAACTCATGACCAAGGGACTGCGATCAGCTTACGCCACCGAGGTAATCCTAGCTGGGAACCACTCACGTATGGCTCTAAACTCACCGTCTGAAACCAGCAGCCGCACGGAGGGAATCAATCCGACTTGCAGCAGGATGCGATCAGCTGACGTAACATAAAGGAAAAGCTGCGAACAACTCACGATTTGACCGTCTGCCGCTGTGCGAACCCTCAGCTGGGAGATTTCTCCACGAGAAGAGCAACCTGAGGAGAGTTAATCTTTCGCTGCCTTTTACCTCACGACCCGGCTGAGATCTGTCATCAGCTTCCGCCCTGCCTGCGAACGCTTCGGTAGCTGGGCGGCCGACTCAAGTGTCCTGGGATGCCGGCTAAACCCATCCTCAAATCACTGAGATAGTGACTTGGGTGCCCACATGTATCGCCAGCGTCTAAACTCCTAAAGCGCTCTGAGCATAACTATTAAGACAATAGGGGAGAGTACTCACCAGACCCTTGAAGGAAGGTCGCAATCTGGGACAGAGTTGGCTGACGTACGCTTGTGGGCAACTCACAGTGCGGCAGTTGGCTGAGGCGGCTCCATATCAACGATTGAAGAGACATTCTGAAGACTTACGCGATGAGAGTTGAGGCAGGGCTGAGATAGAGTTAGATGATGTTCGCGCATGGGCAGCTCACTGTCTCGCCGGAGGTTGGCAGGGGCACGATATGGCCCAGTGGGTTTCGATAGCTCGCGCCACTCCCCAGAAATTTGAGTTGGTGGACAGGTTTCCCAAGCTCATGCGCTGAGGGCGGCACCGGAGTCAGACTGAGGTAGTTTGCCAGTTGAACTAAAGTGCTTGAGTCTGGGATGCGCCTGAAGGTTGACCCAGGATGTGTACTGGCCTCAGACGTTGCAACCAGGTCGAAGCGTTGCTAAAGTTCATGTGGCGCACAGGCGAGTTATTCGAATTTTCGACACTTGACAGGGGGCGATTTGGGTGGGTTGAGGAGATAACTGAAGGTACCTTCGCGATTGATGCCAACATGCATTTCATGTTCGAGGCCTGATGTCAGATGGTACGACTTGCCCTCCAAACCCACGTCACCGTGCAATGCCTAGCGTGTGTAGTCCTCATCTGATTGTCAGTTGATACCAGATAGGCGAAAAACTGACAAGTAGTATGCTATTAGACAACGTAGTCTGTTGCTCGCGCATCTTGCTTGGCTGCAGCCTGACCGTCAGTTCTTCCAGATCGGTAGGAAAACTCACGCGTGCGTAGCCGAACTCAGGAAGGTTGGATGGCTGGATGTCGCTCGTTCCCGATCTAAATGTAGGCCTAAGCGAAGCGGCTTTGAACGCCTACCTCCCTCACGCACAGACAATTCTGAATCTCGAACCCAGCTGAGTCAGATTAGACAGCTTAGCCTGACTTTGCTTCGATGGCGAAGCTGCCTCGCCAGCTGTTGCGTCGGTGAGACGACACGTACGGTTCTCCCCGTTACCGGTTGTACCGCTAGAATGTCTCCGATGTCTGTTGTGTCAGCTAGAGGACGCTCCATGCAGCTCAGCACCCACAAAATTTGCCGCACATCTTCGAGCTCGTCATCAGCTTTGACCTCTCTTAACCCCGCACTGACGTTTCGCGCGTCAGTGACCGGGTGGATGGCAGCTTCACCATCGATGTTTACGCCCACAGAGAGTGAGCTCGCAATGAATGACGGCTGCCTACGGCATTCCCCGATCGCCAAGTAGCAGACTGAAAGGTAAGCTCACTATGTCGCAGGTGCCAGCTACCCACGACTAACAGTCACCTGATCAACATGCAAGCCCAAGCAGCCGGAAGTTGTCTCGCACCTCACTGAGGAGCGTCGCAGCTCGAGGACAGGCAGGCTGTTTGGTCAGCTAACCCCAACCCGCGACACAGCTCTCATCTCAGTTTCTGCTTGTTGCAGCACGGGATTGAGAGTGCAGTCAGGCAAGTCAACTGTCGCGTCAGCTTCCAACAAGACGTACGTAGCTCACCCCAGCGTAGTCTCTGTGAGACGGTGCGCGCATCTCTCATACTGGACACTAGCTGACTATCCGAGCTTTCCAGCAATGTACTTGCGCTTTGGGTCTTTTTTCCAGCGGCATCCTGATCCTTCAGCTTGATACGGCTTCCCTAGCTCACCTTCGATGTCAGAGTTGCTGATGCCTTGCAACCTGTGCTCTGATGAAGGCGGACTTGCTATGCTGTCAGTTCACCAAGTCTCGGTGAAGCTCACGGAAAGTTTCGCCCAGTGATGCTGTCTACGGATCAAGTTGAAGACGTTTGACGCTGTCGTCAGCTGATGTAAACCGCAAGCAAAGCTTGTGTACGACATCGACGCCAATGTGCACTTACAGCCTGTAGGTCAGCTCGAAGTCTTTGGTCCAGCCAGGTACTTTTTCGTCCCGCCGGCTGGTCGGTAGGCTGCCGGACAACAGTGGAGGAGCTCACCCCAAAGCATTGGTCTGTAACGCAGGCTGGTCGCTTAGCTGCCACTGTAGGAACAGCTTACGCCTTTGTGCCTCAAGCAAAGTGGCCGCTGGAAGGGGTTGCGTCTATGTGACCGACTGTCATCAGCTGAACTTCGCCTGCGTTTCAGCATGGTCTTGCACTCACGAGATTAAGGACCTTCCAGACGGACTGACTTTCAGCTGACACCATGAGGAAGACCCAGCTACTTACCGAACTCCAGGCAGACAAGGAACGGACTGGATGTCAGCTAAGCCACAGAGATATTCGAGCTGCTCACTTCAGCCTTCAAAAAGCAGGGACCGGAGTGAGCTGAATGTAAGCTGACTATAACTCACACTCGCGGAACGGTCGGCGCTGGATGTCAACTCATTGGATTTCCACACCAGCTGACTCACACATGGGCAAAGACAGCGAGTTGTGGGTCAGCTGCATGTCAGCTTTTGCGGTGCAACCATAGCTGCACACCGAAAATTGGCATTGAAAGAACTTGGGCAAGCGGATCTTCAGATAACTTTGCGCGATCGCTGAGCTACGCACATCACCATTGCCAGGCATTTCGTGAACTGTAGGTGAGCTCACCAATGCCGGATGGCCGGCTGCTAACCTCTCCTGCTGGATCCGTTGTGATGGGTGTCGGCTGGATGTTAGCTGCACAGCAAAGGTTGTTGTTCTAGCTGCCTGTTTTATACCTTATACCTCCAACAACGCTGCATGGTCTAGCTGGTCATCAGCTTCCAAACGCTGCTGCTTAGCTGCCACGCTTACCCCAAGGTTCCAAAGGACCTGGATGCCAGTCTTCGTCTTGCACCGTAACGAACGACTTACTGCATTAGCTTCAGTGTTCGGGTGTGGGACGATGACTGGGTTTAGCTAACGATGAGACAAGTTCCAGCTACGCACATCGGGCTTTAGGAGCCACGGGCACACTGAGCGGCACAGCTGGAAGTTCACATTGCTAGCTTTGCATAATAGGTTGGACCTGGTGTTGCGTTGCCAGTAGGTAGACCCGTTGCGGTGAAAGGGGGCGGAATGGCAATCTGGTCTGTCAGCTGAAGTATCAAATGTACGTAGCTCACTTCTCCGGTCAGGCGAAGGGCGAAGCGACTTCGGCCTCTGAGGACGCGGATCAACGTCTGGACATGAGCGCGGGCAAGCATGAAGGGGGAGCGGCAGAACCGATTCGTCAAACTAGGACCAACGCTTGCCTTTGCATGTCGTGAGTTTCCAGCGCGGCTCAGCGGCATCAGATGCTGATCGGAGGGCGCAGGCCTCGCCTATGTTGTTAGGCGTGGTGAAGGAAGTGGAGGTGTGCTCCAAGACATCGTGCTGATCTCTGCCACCACCTGACAACATTCCAACACTCTTTCCAACGGCCCCGTTCAGCACAAGCACTCATGGTCATCTGATGCACGAAGCCGTCTACCGCCGACCAGTCGTTGTGCCACAATCCTCACGAGTGGTCATGACCAGCATCAGTAATCCGTACCCGGGAAGTGGTGTTGGTCATGTTTCGGTCATTTCGAGATTATTTCGCCCGCCTGATGTCCAGTGCCCGAGTCAGAAAGGACCAACCTCCACTATCAACTTTGGACATTGGGACCAGTTTTGGAGATCAGTTTTGGAGATGGACGCCGACACGCTCGTCCGTTCCTGGTGGTCGCCGCCGCCGCCGCACCGGCGGGAGACGCCTTGATCCGCAGCCTCCAGCCCTTCGTGATCGCGCGATCGTCGGTCGTCTCGGTCGAATACTGAAGTGGAGGTTCCTGGCCGCCCTGGGTGGGTCCCCCACCTCCACCTCACCCAGCTCACCCTGCACGGTCCGGTCGGGATGTCGGTACGTCGGCTGGAACACTCAGGCTGATGCGGCTATTGGGCTCAAGTTAAGGCACGGGTGGAGGCCGCAATTCACGCCGTGTTGAGCCGGGCCATCCGGGCGTGTTGCCGACGGTAGATAGCCGTGATTGCCCATCGCCTGGTGGGCTGGTCCATAGGAGCATGTGGGCGGGGGTCCGCGGGACCTCCAGAGCTTCCAGCTGGATATAAGCGACTCTCGTGCATCCGCTCATCCCCCAACACCCACAGCAACCATGATCGACCACAGCAAGTATCACCCCGCGTATGACCCGCGCTTCATGCACTTCCCCTCGCGCCGCTCGACCGTCTTCTCGACGAAGGGCATGGTCGCGTGCTCCCAGCCGCTCGGTAAGCTCACATGATATATAATCGCTAACCCGCCAGCCGCCCAGGCCGGCCTCGAGATCCTGAACAAGGGCGGTAACGCCGCCGACGCTGCTGTCGCGGTCGCTGCAGCGCTTAACGTCACCGAGCCGACGTGCACCGGTATCGGAGGCGACATCTTCTGTCTCTTCTACGACGCCAAGACGAAGCAGGTGTCCGGCATCAACGGCTCTGGCCGTTCGCCTGCCGCGCTCACCCTCGAGCACCTCCGCAAGCAGGGCATCACGGGCAACACGATCCCCCTGAACAACATGAACTCGGTCACTTGCCCCGGCGCTGCGGCTGGATGGTGGAAGACAATTGAGGAATTCGGATCTGGACGCCTCAAGATGCCTGAGATCCTTGCGCCCGCTATCCGTATGGCGAAGGAGGGCGTGCCCGAGCACGAGATCAACGCCAACGCTTGGGAGCACCAGGAGCAGCTGCTCAAGGATGCGTCGCCGAACTGGAAGGAGTGAGTGCCGAGGCCGAGGCGGAGCCTTGCGCATCCGCGGCGGACGCAAGTGAGAACCCGCACTGACAACAGAATGATGATGCCCAACGGACACGCCCCCCTCCCGTCCAACATCATGGTGCACCCCGAGCTGGCCGAGACCTTCGAGGCCGTCGCCAAGGGTCCGGAGCACTTCTACGAGGGCCGTATTGCCGATGCAATCGTCGAGCTCGTCCAGTCCGGTGGCGGCGTCATGACGCAGGAAGACCTGAAGAACACGCGTGCTAACCGCACCGACCCGATCTCCTACACCTTCCACGCAACTAAGGAGGACCCGGGAATCACGCTCAAGTGAGTCTAGGGTGCAGAAGAGTGGCGCTGACGTAAGTGAGCACGCCCCGAATGGCCAGGGTCTCGTCGCCCTCATCGCGCTCGGCATCATCGAGGAGATTGAGAAGCTGCACGGCTTCCAGGTCCTCGAGCTTGAGCACAACTCGCCGGAATACCTGCACATTCTTATTGAGGCGCTCCGCCTCGCTTTCGCCGATGCGCAGCACTATGTTGCCGATCCCGACCACTACAAGACTCCGGTGGAGGAGCTTCTCTCCGAGCCGTACCTTCGCTCCCGCGCCAAGCTCTTCGACCCGACCAAGGCGACAAACCCTGTCAACGGAGACCCCTTCGCGTGCACTGATACTGTGTACTTTACCACATCGGACAGCGAAGGTAACGCGTGTTCCTTCATCGCCTCGAATTATGCTGGTTTCGGCACCGGAGCGATTCCGAAGGGTTGCGGCTTCACTCTGCAGAACCGTGGAGCCGGTTTCCGCCTCGAAGAAGGCCATTTTAACTGCGTAGCTCCGCATAAGAAGCCCTTTCATACCATCATACCGGCCCTCGTCACATCAGGCGACGAGCTCGTGATGTCGTTCGGAGTCATGGGTGGTTACATGCAGCCACAAGGTCACGTGCAGGTGTTGCTGAACACTCTGCGCGGATTCTCGCCTCAGGCGTCCCTGGATGCGCCCCGCTTCTGCATCAGTGCGGGCCTGCCCGACGCGGGCACGAAGAACGCCAAGGACGCGGGCAACTTCAACGCCGAGATCTGGTTCGAGGAGGGCATCGCGCCGGAAACGGTCGAGAAGCTGCGCCAGATGGGACACCGCTGCGAGGTCGCTGACCACTTCAAGCGCGCCATTCTGGGCCGCGGGCAGATGATTCGCAAGGTCACTGATCCCTCGGGACGCATTGTTTGGGCCGGAGGCAGCGACCCGCGCGCGGACGGGTGTGCGGCTGGCCAGATCTAGTGGCGCGCGAATTGGTAGAAATGGGTCTTAATGCAGTTTCGTTGTAATGGTCACTGAGGCTCGGGATCTGACTTGCTGCACACGTTACTGACTGCTTATGAGTATGCTGAGTGCAGGTTGCGCGCATGCATAGCCGTAGTATGCAGAGCTCATGCGCGAAGGGAAGACCATGGTGGATGCCACATTGCCACAGAGGGGCGCACGGGCGATCACGTCCTGAGACATCCACACACGCGCTAGCTGCGCTAAGGAGGTCTGCCACGATCTCGTATGCTCATACGATGAGACTGCGATCCCGGAGGCGATTTGTGCATGCATGTGGGAGTAGGAGACACCCAGAACGGCGCACTGGTCGGCAGCGGGAGCGTGGGGCGTGGGTAAACGTTGTCAAAGACTGAACGGAGAGTACTGCTGCGGATCCGCGTACGCGGTGATGAGTTGGCACGATAGCGAGATGGCAGTGACGATCAGAGGGCGAAGCTCAGCCTGCCTGGTCATTCGTCACTGGAGGAGCTGAGTGGCAGCGCATTTGTTTATGCAGACGGGCTCGCACATCGTTTGGACGCACGCATGCATTGCATCGTAAATTTCGGCGATAACAATTTTCCCTCCCCGAAACTCCTTCAGGTGTTCCTTCCCATCACGTGACAAAACGGAAGCAAAACCATGTGGCGATGAAGCCTGCCAAATTCGCTCGTTCCAGGTTGGCAGGCAGTGGGCGCTGGGCGACGGCGGGTCTTGCGTTCCGTTCACATTCTCTCTTTCTCCTAACCTTCAACCTTCAATCATCGAAAATGGGCAGCAACAAGCCTCGTACGTGTCCCGGACGACTCTCTCGACGATGTGCTGACCGCGACAACAGGTGGAATCCAGGCCGCTCGTAAGCTTCGCACCTCGCGTCGCGAGAACCGTTGGGCCGACAAGGACTACAACAAGCGCGCCCTCGGCAAGTTCTACAAGACCTCGCCCACTGGTGGATCGTCCCACGCCAAGGGTATCGTTCTTGAGAAGGTGAGGACGACACGGATGTTGTGAATGGCACACGGAATGGAAACGGATCTGGCACGGCGGATATGGGATTTGGACGTGCGACGGGTCGGGCTTGAGGACTCGGAAGGCAGACATTCGGATGTTCGACAATCGCCTTGAAGATGGGGAACGGCTGCAGTTGGGGACTAGATGCGCTGGGATTGATCGACGTATTATCGACGAGAAGAGAAGAGAAGCGCTGCGAGGTTATGGAAAACGACGAAAATTCTGCGTTGTCGCCGCCCAGACGAAGGGTCGAAAAATCTGTCAACGCTATCGTCAACCTCGAAGTCTCGATGCTCTCAACCTCTGTTTCGCCTGTTCGCCGCACTCCGTCCCACCATCCTACGCCGTTCTATGCCATTCATCAACATCCATCAGCTTACTTCTCGAATCCTAAGCTAACAATCAGGTCGGTGTTGAGGCCAAGCAGCCCAACTCCGCTATTCGCAAGTGCGTTCGTGTCCAGCTCATCAAGAACGGCAAGAAGGTCACTGCCTTCGTCCCCAACGACGGTTGCCTGAACTTCACCGACGAGAACGACGAGGTCCTCATCTCCGGTTTCGGTCGTCGCGGAAAGGCCAAGGGTGACATTCCCGGTGTCCGCTTCAAGGTCGTCAAGGTCGCCGGTGTCGGTCTCCTCGCTCTCTGGAAGGAGAAGAAGTGAGTTACTCGCTGCTGTTATCATCGGAATCTGCGCTAACAAAACTCAGGGAGAAGCCCCGTTCGTAATCCATTCTTCACATTGGTGGGATGCACTGTATGATTGATACGGATACCGCAAGGCGCTGCAACACGACTCTCGATGTCAGCAGGATTGGGTTGAAGGACTGCGGGGACCGGTGGGCAAGAATGTTTGGATGTGCACAATGGAGGCTGTCAATGGGGAATGTCGGCGGATATCGGATCGGGACCGGCGAAGGCTATTAATTAAAGCTGCTTCTTGCCGGTCGTCTGAATTCCGTCACAGCGGATATGGGTCTGGGGGTTGGGTGCGGAGGCGTAGAGGGCTTGAAGCTGGTTCTGAGCGCACTTGTGGAGCACGCCTCATCACCAGACTGACGTTGCGAGTTGCTGACCTTGTCGTCGTCAGAGAGAGAGGGGCGGCGGTGTCCACCACTGATCAGGCACGCACTCACACCAGAATTTATGCCCACAGATGCAACCTTCTCCGGCATCAAGCTTTGCGGCCCGCATTGTCAACAGCGAGCGAACTCGACCTTGCAAACCCGAAAGCATCATCAGATCCTCGCAATGCACTGTGATGTGGCCAGTCGGGCGGCGTCACTCTCGAAGTCGAACAAGTTTTGGTGGTAGATCGACATGGGTTCCGCTCATCATCCACACCTGTATGTCATGCCTCACCTGCTGCCTTCGGGCCCGGTCTCGACTATCAGAGCACACCTACCACGTTGAGCCACGATACGGCCTCGTGCTGGTTTTCGGTCCGTCGCTGCCGCGGTCCAATGCCCTCGATGATCCCGGATCTCGGTACCGACTACCCCTGCCCGCGCTCAGCAGTCGATCACACCAATGAACTAGCAGTCACCGCTGTTGCTCGGTTCCGACGATGCGGTCCAAGCTCGTCGGCCATCCGAAAGGGGTGACTCCGTCTCCAGGTCACATGCTCCTCCGCTGGTCCGAGCGCTTGAAGGGCTGGTGGTTGACAAGGCCATTGCTGACACATGCTCCCGCTGTGGTCCGAGCGCGCTGAGCATGCCGATCAGCCTTTCAACGGATCAACGAACTCGTCCCAATCGCAGACCTAGATGGATTGTCGGAGCTGCGCGCTGCGCCGCCCAGACCGCCCGCCGCCTCTCCCCTGCGTTGCCCTAATGCTGCGGAAGCGCTGATCCCCGATCCGGCTTTTGGGTGCACCACATGCTGCCAGCTGATCAGAGGGCCGGGCACCGATGATCCGCCCAGGACTCGGCCAGGCAGGACAGTCCATGCAGTCCAGCAGCTAGCAGCTGTCTCCCCCAGTCGCTTCATCGGCGTCGCTAAGACCGTCTTGGCACGCTGAGCGGATCGGCTTCATCAGTAACCACGCATCGCTTCCCTCGGCACGGCGCAGGGTCTGCTGAGTGCTCCGCATGGAGCATACGGAGCATCGAGCCCGCCTCCGTTCCGTAGTCCGATTGATGGAGGTGCGTGCGGCGCGCTGTCTTGCCATCGCCGGATCACCGGTCGTTTGCCATGGCAAACACCGCATCACGAATACCCCTGTCGGATATGGGTCGACCTTGCCGATCTTGCGTGGCAAACTGCTGCAAGTGGCAATCGACAGCGAGGTTCTGGCAGCGCTGCTGAATGGCTCGAGCTCATGCTCGACAGTGGCGCGCAAAGCGACGAAAGTCAGCAAGCCACATCGAGCTGCACGCAACGGTGTCGCCTTGCAACAACTGATCGAGCTTCTCGACGTCAATTAATCGAGAATCACGGACACTGACCTCTCCATTGACTGACTCTGCTACCCTCCATCGAGAGCTCAGAGACAATTGCGTTGGTCTGTCGCCAAGCGACTCACCCATACAAGTCCTGGCGGGCAGGTGGCGCCACTCGCAACGCGCTACCCGACGTAGACGATCGCAGGCTCGTGCTGGTAGAGGCTTCGTCCATCCCTTGGAGCTGAGCAACGGCCTGCGATCGAGGTTGGAAGCTCGGCAGAACAGCCCAAGACCCGTCGAGCCCTGTTCTCGCCTTTTGCACGGTACATAAGCTGAGTTCCGGCATCGCAGTCTGGCATCCTCCAACCCTCCTCTCGCCTTCCCTCTACTACCTCTCTCTGCTTCGACTGATCAACGCTTCCACACTCGCTGCTCCATCTCGCTCTTTACCCCACACTCACTTCAACAACCAACATGCTGCTCACCTCTCTCCTCACCTCGACCCTCGCCGCTCTTGCTACTGCCGCGCCTACCCTCAACGTCGGAGCCGGTGTCGGTGTCGGCGCCTCCGTCCACCTCGGCAACGACCTCAAAGCCTCTCTGCAAGCTGCCGTTTTCACCTCCGTCAACATCGGCACGTGCTACTCGCCCGAGCTCGAGGGACACGCCAAGTCTGTTCCGAAGAAGGAGGCGCGCGCGCAGTTCGTTCTGGACCTCGTCGCGGCCGTTGAGGCCAAGTACCCAGGCCACAACTGCATCGTCTACCCCAAGAAACACGCCGGTGCCAAGATCAAGTTTGAGATCGACGCCGGCGTCAAGGGCAAGGAGAGCATCAAGGAGTGTCAGGTTGAGGCTCTCGAGCTCCAGGGCAAGGCCGAGCTGTACGGCGTCGTCGTGTTCCAGGGCGCTGGATGGCTCCAGATCGACGGCCACGGCAAGGGTCACGGCAAGGGTCACGGCAAGGGTCACGGCGAGCACGGCAACGGCAATGGCTACGGTCACGGCAAGGACAAGGGAGGCAAGGGCAACAACGGTGGCAACGGCCGCGGCGGCAAGAAGGACGAGGGCGGCGAGGAGTGCAACGAGTGCCAGGAGCCCGAGCCCGAGCCTGAGACTGAGGACTGCAACGAGTGCGAGCAGGGCGAGCAGGGCAAGGAGAAGGAGAAGGACTGGGGCTACGGCGGCAAGTACACCGAGCAGGAGGGCGGCAAGAAGATTGTCTTCCAGGACTGTGGCTGTGCTTAGGCTCTACTCTCCATCATCAGTCCCAAGTCTACCAAGCTCCGCTCAGGACATTGTCGAGGACACTACGGACTCTCCAGCTGTCACTTCCATAGTCTGTCTTTTGTCGTTTGTACCCTCTTCTTGAACGAATGAACGTTTTGACCAAGTCCTGCCTCTTTACTGCAAACTGACAGCTACCCAACCTCTTCTTGAGCGCTCAACGAACACCATCGCTGCGCTGGACCGCAACGACCGCCACAACGAGCTCTCTCAACCACGCTCGCGGTCACGTGACTAATCTCGTCTCAGACATCGCGAAGGAGCGAGCATCGACCGCGACTACTTTGACGTTGTACACATCTCTCTCCAGCGCGAATTTCTCAAATCTTCGTCCCATCGCCTTGGACGCCACACTCACTCCAATCTACTGACATATAGTGGACACTTTCTCGTCTCCGCGGTCTACGGCATCGAGCTCTGCGTTGGCAAATTGAGCGGACACTCATACCGGCGGGCAGGTCGCTCCAGGGGCGCAAGGATGAACCACGCGCTACTTTACCCCTCGGCGGTCACCAGCAGGTGCGGAGATCGACGCGGGATCGCATTAGTTGAATCGACAGACTGCGGAGCTGCGGAATGGGTGCGAAATCACCTCCATTGCGCGTCCGCCGAATCCGACCTCCTTCGGCGGAGGCACGAGGAGGAGGCTGGCACGAGACCCCTCCCGGAGTGATGGTAGTCCGACGCGATCTTCAGTATGCGACCGCAATGGGTGACGGTGCTGATGTCTCATTACCTGCTGATCTACGGGGCGGACTCAAGCAGATACGAGTGCGAGACGTTCCCTCCTTGGCTAGTTTCCGGTATTGACTGACTGCTAACCCCGACCAGCCGGAAGCGGTTCTCCGCTGTGTCACATTGGTGCCGAATGAACGAGGCACATCGTCGGGGCGAACGGACCGTGGTGATGAAGGGGAGGCGGACACTTCAAGCAAGGCCGACTCGTCGGATGTCATGTGCTGCTCATGTTACCATGCTGCGGCTCATCATCGCCCCCCGCCTGTCACAATCGCTGGCGAGGGGGGTGTGGCCCATGATTCTCAGGTCTTGCGCCGCGGGCCAGGTTCGACTGAGAAGACGAGGGCCAGCAGACATATAAGGAGGCGCCTGTTGGACCTCTCAAACCAGCAACCACCACTCGTCTTTCTCTCCACACAGCAAGCCAACTCTAGCCCTCTCCAGTCCCCTTCCCCGTCCCTCCTTGCCCAACCTTAGCTCGCTCCAGTTTCTCGAGCTCAAGACGCTCAAGACGCTCACTCGCCCAACGCTCAGCCTCTTCACTCAACGCTCAGCACAACCCACGCCACAATGCTGCTCGCTTCTCTCTTCACCTCTGCCCTCGCCGTTCTCGGCTCCGTCTCCGCTGCCCCTCTCGAAGTCGGCGCCGACGTCCAGCTCGGAGCCGAGTCCGTCGACACCACTGTGGACCTCGGTCTCGTCCCCCGTGCCGAATCTGAGGAGCTCAAGGCGTTTGTTGCCAACATCAAGGACGACTTCAACGAGTCGGACGAGACGTACATCTCCAGGATCATGGACGCCTGCACCAAGCAGTGGCCCGACCACAACGTCTTCGTCTTCCACAAGTACCGTGACTTCTCCTGGGCACTGACACGCCGAGCTCACCAAGGAGACGACTGCCGTCCACCACTACCTCTTCTGGCACGAGGAGTACTTCCAGGTCGTTGTTTTCAAGTGCGGAGGCTTCGTGGAGAAGAACTCCGGTGACGGTGGGAACGGCAACTGGCAGGTATGGGGGCGTTACACCATGGAGAACGAGGGCAACAAGGCCGTCTTCACCACCCCTTAGGCGCCGTTCGCCACCCATGCGACTCTTGCTCAATCCCTCGAGTCCGCGCATGCTCTTAGCAGCACTCACAAGGTTGTCAATAGGCGCTCGTCGGCCAACATCTTTAAGTCCAAAACATCAAAAACATCAAGCAATCAAGACGACCGAACTTTGTTAGTAAGCTATGTAGATAGGGAGTGAACGAATGAACGTTTGGTCAAGTCATCTACCTGTTGCAGAACTCAACCACCTCTTCTACTTGCACTGCCTCCACTGATCATTGCTTGACTGACGGCTGACAGGGACCTGCAGACAGTGACCACCAGTGCTTATCGTCACGCGCTAATCCCGACGATCAGGCCCACACAGCGCGTGCAGCCATCCGTCGTGTTCAGCTAGCCAGAGCGCAGACTTCTTGCTTACGACCCGAGCGAAGCGAACAGAAGCAAATGGTTACCTGGGAAGATGGCGCATGAGTTGATCCTCCCATGATTGCTTGCACGAGGCGGTCGAGACCCACACCCATCTGGTCGACGTGAGATCGATGGGTCACCTGCCGTATCGCTCCACGACCTGTCGCTCTCTTCTACTCCGCGACGAGAAGCCTCAACAGCTGGGCGGCTCATGGGTGTGGCAAGGTGGCAAGCGAGCGAGCCTACCGAGCTGTCATTCGGCGTCATGAAGAACCACGAGTCAGTGGCACCGCCATGCCTCTTCGCGACCCAGTGGGCGCTTGTCTTGGCAGTCCGGAAAAAGACTGGTGGTCCTGATAGTGGGAGGAGGAGACGGTGTGCTGCAGAGGGCAGCGTCGGGGAAAGATGAGGGTGTCGCGTCTGTCTGTGAGAGTATGAGATGCCTGGGGGGGGGGGCACTCCAGCAAGCATAAAAGGCTTGCTCTCAAGGACGTCTGAGGCCCTCATCTTCGTCTCATTCACTTCACCGTTTCTCCTCACCACCCCCCTATTCCTACAACAGCCCATCAGGTTGCCCCAGCTCCACCATGCTGTTCGTTCCTCTCGTCACCTCTGCCCTCGCCCTCCTCGGCCCCGCCGCTGGCGCTCCTCTCGACGCCAACACGGTCGCTCAAGCCGAGCCCCACTCCGACGAGACTTCTGTGAACGCCGACGTAACCCTGCTCCCTCGCAAGGAATCTCCCACTCTGCAGGCCTTTTTGGACCGCATCTCAGACGACCCCCTCGACAACGACGAAGCCTACGTCACCAAGGTCATGGAGGCGTGCCAAGACCGCTGGCGCAACCACAATATCTTCATTTTCCACCGCAGCCGCGGCTTCACGTGGGCGGTCGAGGACCCCGATCGCGCCCTGGAAGCCACCGCTACCCACAACTATCTCTTCAACGAGGAGCGCTTTGGCGTTGTTGTTTTCAAGACTGCGGGGTGGTTGCAGAAGTCTGGCGATGGCGGTTATGGGAATTGGCGCGTGTCGGGGAACTTCAACAGGGACGACGACTCGCTGTTCACCTTCGGTCCTGTCAAATGAGCTGCCCTCCAGTGGCCTCACCAGCGCCCCGAAGCCTCCAGTAATCCGGACTTTCGGAGCGAGCCCTAGTCAAGGCGTCGATACTCTGTTCGTGAACTTGTTGAAACAGAGCGAGGTTGAAAGAACAAAAGAAGCGTAATGGATCTGTAGTTCAGAGTAACTTAACCGGAGTAAACGAATGAACGTTTGACTGAGCTCCACTTCGCTGGGGTGGCTGATTGTTGCTGATGCACTGCGTTCATGGAGTGCCCGCCCACTGTCACTGACTTGTGCAACTTGATAAGAGTCATGCATATTGAATGGATTGCGGAAGCTGGATGCAGCACAGTGGGGTTCCCCACATTCCTCGGCGAACTACGACGCGCGAACCAGGCTGCCGGGCGCCGGGTGGCCAGAACAATGCGCCAAGGCCGCGATGCAATGTAGATATGTTGAATTGCTTCGCGGGCGCACGGGCAAGTCACGAGATCACCGACTAGTAAGCATATAATGCATCGCTGTGTGGTTAGGACCGGACATGACAGCGCAGGGCACACGCGATCGTCTGGGGCGCGCGCTGTCGAATGACCGCCGGCGATGTCCGACCGATCGGTGTTCGGGCCGTCGGGAACTGATAACCGACCTCCTGGGCTTCTAACCTTCCACCGTCACCACTGCCCACTACTGATATCAACAACCTTCCTCCTGTTCTATTCCAGTCAAGTTTCTTGTCCTCACTCACTCCTACTCATACTCCATAAACGACAACGCAATGACCAAGGAGCAGCAAGCTCAGCTCAGCCAGCAGGGTGTCGAGGCGCTCGACAAGCTCCTCAAGGAGACGGTTGAGAACCGCGTCCTCCCCGCTACGTACTTCGGCGTCACCGGTCCCGAGGGCGAGCTGTACTACTCCTGTGCGGGAGAGAAGGTGTTCGGCAAGCCTGAGGCGGGCCAGGTCGACCCGGAGACGAGTACGTTCCTCTTTCCTTGCATTCGCTGACGTGCAGCTGTCCAGCTGTTCTCGATGACCAAGTTTGTCACCTCGCTCGCTGCGCTCCAGCTCGTCGAGCAGGGCAAGATTGCCGTCGACGACCCGTCCGTGATTGAGAAGCACCTCCCTGAGCTCTGGGCGCAGCCAATCATCACTGGCTGGACGGACGACGGCGAGCCGCAGCTCGTCCCCCGCAAGAACCCGCTCACGCTCCGTCACCTGCTGACGCACACGAGCGGACTGGGCTACGCCTTCCTCCGCCCCGACGTGCTGGAGCGGTACGAGAAGAAGGAGGGTCTGAAGGGTTTCCTCGAGGCCAACATTGGCGTGGAGGGCTATGTCCGCCCTCTGCTCTTCGAGCCGGGCACGCACTACGCGTACGGCACTGGTGTGGACTGGGCGGGCATCCTCGTCATGCGCCTGACGGGCCAGACGCTGGACGAGTACTTCCACGAGCACATCTTCGGCCCCCTCGGTATCGGCAAGGAGGAGATCACCTTCCTCCCCACCGAGCAGGTCAAGGAGCGCCTGCAGTCCATGGCGGCGCGCACGTCCGCAACAAAGGGGCACATCATCCTGCACCCCGGCTGGCGCAATGTCGCCAAGATGACGCCCGAGATGATCGGCCTCCAGTCGGGCGGCGCAGGCATGGTCGGCACGCTCCGCGCCTACCTCAAGTTCCTGGCTGGTATCCTGAAGTGTCAGCAGCCGGGCGGTATCATCTCGCCGCAGACGTTCGAGCTCGTGTTCTCCGACCAGATGCCCGAGGGCAAGCAGCCGCGGAAGGACCTCGCCGACTTCCTCGAGTTCATGGGCGTCACGGACAAGCAGCAGACAGAGGGCAAGGTCACGCACTCGCTTGGTCTGTGCTACCTCGCGAACGGAAGCGACGACGGACCCCTCCCCGGATCGGCTAGGTGGTGAGTTCGCAGCTGGGAATGGTATGGAGACAAGCTGACGGACAGGTCGGGTGTCGCCAAGACGCACTACTTTGTCGACCCCAAGGCCGGCATCGCCGCCATCTGCGGCACCAACATCATGGAGGAGGTGCCCACGCAGTTCCTCGAGGTCTACTCCAAGTTCCAGCGCACCGTCTACGACAACCTCGTCCAGAGCAAGCTCTGAGCGGCGTTGCGGCGTTGCAGTGTGGCCGTGTCGGGCGCTAGTCCTGTGCGCCGGCAGAATCAGAAGTACCCAGATCATGATGCAGATATCCTTTGCCCCTATACCGCCTCAGTGAAAGAGTGTCGCTGGGTGGCCGCGCACCTAGTCGGAAGCGCGCTGATTACGTCTGAGACTTGTGGCTGACCTGGGCTGACGGACTGGCTTTGCCCCGTTGGAATCGAGTCAGTCACGGTGAGACTCTGACTGACTTGGACTGACGGACTGACTTCGCCCTGTTGGAACAGAGTCAGTCACCGTGGCAGTCGTGTGGGACATAGTTTAGGCCGCCTCGAGCATCTGAGCTCGTAACATGCCCACCGAATCCCTGAAGCGGCTCCTTCACTCTGACCACCCTCTCCGCCCTCAGTCACAGAGCACTCGGTCTCTCCACCCTACCCATGAGTTTTGACCCCTCAAGTGCTGCCCAAACGGCATTGACTCCACTGGACGACTGCCACGTCCTCCTTCTAAACCACCCGCCCTCAACCACCTCTTCGACATTGCAAAGGCTCTCCCCACCCTAGTAAGCCTCTCTGCACACAGCGAGCTGCGTGTGAGTGCTTGTGTCCCGCCTCAACGCCAATCAGCCCCGCACCCCGGTCATCTTCCAGCCTCACGAGACTCCATCGTCCAAGGCCGCTTAGCTCAGCTGGTTAGAGCATCGTACTAATAATCTGACGATTATCAGTCCATGCGGAGGTCAGCAGTTCGATCCTGTCAGTGGTCAAGCGCGAGAGCGCAATTCTTTTGCTGCATGCGTGCTTGCTTTGTAGAGAAAGGTTTGGGAGAAGAAAACGAAGATGTGGTGGTCGGATTGGGTGAGAGGATCGTAGCGGGGCCATTTTCGGTGGTGTGCCCTGGCTGACGGACCCTGCGTGGCGCTAACTCCCTTTTTCCGCAATATCATATTTTCGACTCAAGCCGCGATTTGTAATATGTCAACAGTCTTTGCATGTCATGGCTATTGTACAACTGTCATGTTTGCTGTCTACTTGTTCGCTTGATCTACTGATACTTTTGGACTTGGTCTACGCCGTTGCCGCCTCGCTGTCGAGGCCGATGATCTCGAGACCCTTGACCTCCACCGGACGACCCTGCACACTTGACGCCTTGGACGCCTGCGACTGGCTCTTGCAGCGGCGCATGTCGGCGTCCCACGCGTCATCCCAGTACCCGCCTTTGGCGCAGATGTAGACAACCCACCGAATAGCGCGGAGGAGCCAGCTGTCGGGGACCGTCTTGGGCACCGAAGGGCTGCGCCACGCTGGCTGTCAGTTCGTTGACAATTACGGCGTAACTCACTGCGCCGGAACTCGACCATCAGCCACTGGATAAGGTGGTCGTTGTGTGTGCCCTGCCTTGCCAGAATTTCGCAGGAGAGTGCAGCGTGCACACCACTATAGTTCACCGGCTCCTGCACATACTGTTTGTCAGCTTGGCCAAAGTTAACCTAGCTACTCCTCACCGTCTCGTGCACGTCCTGAACCTTCCAGTCGAATGAGCCGACGTCGGGGTCTGTGATGACTAAGATATCGAGAATGCGAGCGACCTGGAGTCAGCTCGCTGCCTTCAGGAGAGCAAATACCTTGGAAGCAACCTTCTGGTCGAGTTGATCGGATCCAAATGCATCGTACCAGGTGACGACGCGATGCTCAACGTCCAGAATCGCCACACTCCAGATATGGCCGAGTCGAATGGGGAAAATGATGCGGTCGTACTGTTTGAAGGAAAGCTGGAGTTAGCTCACGAGACCCCGGTTTATAAGCTCACATCTGTGTGGCCGACACGAATCAGCCCATACTGGCTAACGGGGCCACGAGCAGGGTGCCTGTGCATACACTCGTCGAGCAGCTCCGTCCAGTAGGCGGTGCCGAGCACCAGCGCCTTGACACCGCAAGCCTGGAGATTATCGTTCAAACAGCGAATGTACGCGTCGAAGAGCTCGTCGGTGAAGAAGCGGTCCGAGGCAGGGGTGGAGGTGTCGCGGATGCTCTCCCAGGAAAGCGCAGGTTGGTCCTTCTCACGGCGCGGCTGTTGACACCAGGCGGTGCGGCTGGAAATGGCTCTGTTAAGCCACAAGTTGTCGAGCATCTGATGTCAGTTAAGGTAACGTGAGGCAGCTCACGCTGTGCTTCGGGAAGACGTCGTCAGCCACCCGCCCCCAGAGCTCGAATGACTCCGTGGGGCTGTGGGTGTTGCCACACCAGTTACACTCCTTCAGGTCATTGAACGTCTGGAGCTGGATAGTCTGCATGGGAGCGCCTGAAGGGTTAGCGCTGCGATAACGTGCTTACACCCACGATCGGTGATGGACGACACAGTGTCCTTGTTCTTGAGGTTCCTAACACGGTCCCAAACTGTAAGCTCTTGTTCCTGAGGCTTCGACTGGTCGGTTGTAGTCGATTCGTCCTCGCCCTCAGTCTCCTCGAGCTCGCCAAGGTTCTTCTTCTTGTTCTTAGCACGCTTGCGAGCGGCCTTGCGCTGCGCATTCTTGTTCTTGCTCTTCGTCGGCGTGGGTGGCGCACTGATGGTGGTATCAACCTCAGTTGGGGGCGTAGGGGTGCCTGGGCTGGTGGGATCGGCATTCTTGGTGGAGGCAGGGAAGGGATAACCGGGCTTGGGAGTGTCATCAACGGTGGTGTCTTCCTTGCCGTTTTGAGTGAGCGAGGTGGAGGGCATGGAGGGAGAGGCGCCGTCACCATTGATGCTGCCGCTCTTGAGAGACTGGCTATCCTGAGGCAGCTCCTCGACGTTGACGATGAGATTGTTGCCGATGGGAATGGGCGGACGGCCGAAATCAAGGTCAGCCTCCACGCGCACGTCCTTCGCCTCGCCGATCTTCACAAACATCAGCTTTTGACCAGCTGTGGAGGTGAAAGGCACTCACCTTGTACTCGTCGTAAAGCTCATTGAACTTGTGAACCATCTCGGTTGACAGCTTGATCCATTCGGCGGTGACTAGGGTGATGCCGCGCCAGTCCTCGAGGTTGCCCTCGATGAGGCGAGTGACGAGGCTGGGGTCTGCGGCTTGGGCGAGACGGGGAACGATGACGAAGTCGGTGTCGGGCGGCGGTGCAACTGCTTTGGTACACGTACCACCGTCTACCTGCCCTGGTCAGCTCGTGAACGCCTGACAGCTTACCGTAACGAGCTTCTCGATAGCCTCGAAAGCTTCCAAGAGGAAGGTTCCCTCAACGACGGCGAAGCGCACACCGTCGTGGGCCTTCATGACGCAGTGGCGTTACTGAAAGGGAGGGATGCAGTCAGGGACCTTAGGAGGGAGGGCAGTTGAAATCAGACGGTGGCCGGCGGAAGGTCGAGATGAGATCAGAGGCGAACAGAGCAAGGGGGAACTAGATGATGGTGTTGATATGTAGACGGAGAGGGATGAAGGGAGGGAGGGCTGCGAGACAACTCGGCGGGGAAAGGGGGAAGGTGCACGGATGTGTCAGCGAGGAACAAAGTGACAGAGAGGAGTTGTCTGTGCGTGATACGCGCCGGGGGGCACGGTGTCTGGGAGATCACCACACCTTGCCCCACTTGGTGACTTGGTGACTTTTGTGCGCCTGCGGGCCTGCGCACCAAGTAGTGGAGGTCAAGATGATCTACCGGGACCCACAAAGGATCTGACTTCAAGATCCGAGTGCGAGTGGAGCGCACAAGTGTCTCGCGTGCATGTGTTGCTGCGGAGCACGAACGGTGCGAGCTCATAGCTCATCGAGTGCCTGGAGGCTGGTGTTGATCGTTAGGTCAGACATTTTCAACCGCTGACACTGAAGTCCAGAACGAAGGCAAGCAACGCCACCAGGCACTAGTTTATGTAGCCCAGACTGTTCACAATCGATAGACATTTCATAACTGATGCTAAAAAGATAATACAACTGGATGATACTTCGATGTTCTGCGTACGGTTTACTCGTCGTCCGAGTCGTCAATGACGATTGGCTTCTGGGCCGAGCCTTGGCCATTTGAAAGAGAAAAGGGTGGCGGCGTTGGCGTGTGGAAGCGAACGGTTCGAAACTCCGACCCGTCGCTGTCGATCTGCATCCTGGACGCTTCGCGTCGACTGCTGCTGGAGCCGGCGATGTTGTTGTCGACGGCGTTCGTGTCGGTGTCCCAGGACTCCTCGCTCTCCTGTCCAAGGAAGATGTCGAGCGCGTTGTCGTTCCACTCCTCTCGCTCTGGTGGGGCACACGTCGGCGGCGCCGGATCCTTCCAGTGCGATGCCAGTTCGACAGACTGCACCAGCTCCTCGTTCGTCATGACGCCGACGTCTGGTGCTACCCCAGCTCCCATGGCCCGCCACATGGGGGTGTTGGGCAGCATGACGCGGAAGAGTCGGACCATCATCGACTGGCAGACGAGGAGTCGGCGTTCAGCTTCATCGTTCATCAACTGCTTGTTAGCTTGACGAAGGCGGACGCAGCTCACCTCATCTCTAGTTGAGAGATGCAGTTCCTCCAGCGCCACCAGTTCCTCCAGGATCGCCTCGATTCTATGTCGGTCAGGGTCGTCCGAGTTCGTGTTCTGCAGAGATCCGACTCGCACGCCCTCCAGGATCCACTCGTAGGTCACTGCCGGGTAACGATGCCACTTGCTGTTCTCCTGCGCCAGAAGCTCGATGACGGCAGCCGAGCGGTCGGGGTTAGTCTGCGCAACTGTGGGCACCAGAACATAGTCTGTCCGCGGATCTGGGCCGTCCTCGCTCCCGACCACCTTCATCTGGCCGCCGTGCACCTGCCGTCAGCTATCGGAGGAATCTCATGAGCTCACTCGCAAGTATGTAGAAACCAGCTGCAAGTCAGGTACGTTGAAGGTACCCGCCATGACCGTGAACTTGGTTCCGCGGAGTACGTTCGTCGCCGCGATGAGGTCGGCGTGCACACTTGCGGACATCGTGTCAGGCTTGGAGGACTGGATACCTCGATCAACGCGGATCGTTTCTTCAGTCTGGCTGAAGCAGTCGACCATCGTAGCCATCTTTACAGGCTGGACGGGTTGCGGCTTCTGGCGCGGGACATAGTTCGGGCTAGGCGGAGGAAGCTTGGTCGGTACCTGCGTCGATGTCACAGAGAGAGACGGTCGGGGAACAAGGGGTTGGGCGAAGGTCGAGGAGGTAGCGAGGGGATCAGATGTCCGTCGATTGTTCGGTGGGGGTCTGGTGACTCGCAAGTGGTCCCATGTTCTTCTGTTGCTGGTGGGAGGTTGAGATTGAGCGGTGGAGGGAGTAGAGTTTTGTCGAACGTAGGGGCTCGGTCGCGGCGGCAGGCCCTTCGCGCCTTCCAGGCCCGTGTCGGTGGGTGTGCGCGGGCGACAGCCTGTGCTCGGCATTGTTAAGGGTGCGGTCAACGATTGGGTGCTGAAGGGTGGTGTTGAAAGGCCAGAAGCATTGTGATACCGCCCCCGCGATGATGGGAGTGCATGTGATGACCTGGCACTGCAGCGGAATGCGACACACCGTGTCGAGTGGAGTGAGAGCGAGGAAGACTTGTGTTTGGGCGTTATGCAGGCTGCGCCATGCCGCCCCCGCGGTGGCCCATGTGTGAGACGGGCTGAGTCAGTCTATGACGCCGCTCATCTTCCCCTTGATGTGCGCTTCTTGCTCGGCGCCGAGCCTTCGTCTGGTCTCTTTCGTCGATTGTCAAGTGCATTGTACTCCCGCCCGCAGGAGACAAGGAAGGAGTGGTGAGCTTGGGGTAAGTCGACGACGCAAGAGTTTTAGGACTTTCGGGGCATGGCAGCCGCACAGCAGTACAGCAGGATGAAGTGGAGGAGCAACATCATTGCGGAATCCATTCCGCATGGATCGAAAATCAGCTGGTCTGTGCGGATTCCAGATCACCAATCGGCGCCGCAATGCTGCGCGCTCAGTCCTTCTTCCTTGTTCAGTCAAGGACGTGGCGCGGTTATCTAGCCCAAGCTCCTCGGAGTCCCCTGTGGCTTCATCATGCATGTTGCATACATTATCTCTATCTTGCACAAGAGTTTCAGTCGGCTCAGCAACCGTCCGCCAGGAAGTGGCACTCTGTCAGATATCAGGGGTGTGGCAGTGGTGACTGAAGAGAGCCTGGCTGAAATCACGAGCGCCATCAAGCTTCAGCTTGGTCCGTGTCGGTCTGATACGACTCTATTAGCCCGAAACGCGTCGTCCGATGCCCTTCGGGTGTATCAAAGACCCCTGAGAGGCCTTGCTTCTTTACGCGACAAAGGAACAAGGCTGACCAAACTTATCCGTCCTTAAGGGGAGGTCTGAGTGATCTTTGTCCACGAAGAGCTGCCTTACTGGCTTAATCGAAGCGAAAGTCTCTGAAGCAAAGACTCTCGCTTCGGTTAAGCCATGGTGCTTACAGTCACTGTGTGAGTTACAATCGTTGTCACAACCATGCGAAAACTAGGAGTTCACTGAAGAGTCAGGTTCCGGGGATCTGGATATGAACACACTGTTCTCGTCCGGAGAAATCCTCCGCCAGTCTACATGTTATGGACGAGGAAGCCAATGGTTAAAGAGAGTGAAACGGTTACGAGAACAACAGAGACAGTCAACGACGTACTGCCACTACTTCCAGGGAAAGGCTGGTTCAGATCGTTGGGGACAACATAGTCTGCAGTCTTCGAAGCAGAAACGAGCGCAGGTGGATCGAGGACCACGGTGATGGTGGTGTCTGGAGCGGTCTCGGCCCACGGTGGGCTTGGTTTAGAGGCCGAGCTAGTTCCAGACTCGGGCAGCTGGCCGGTGGAACTGGAGGAGCGGGCGGCGGAGGTAGGCTCAGAGACACCAGACCCGGGAAGGGCGTTACTGGACGAGCTCGTGGGAGCCGGGCTGAACGTGTCGGTACCGAACGGCAGATCAGATGTTGGCTCAGTGTTGGGACGGCCTGCTGATCGAGTTGGCTCTGAGCTTCCATAGTGCGTAGAGGTTTCCGTGTTGTATCCTCCTGCGAGGGGTCAGCGACGTTGTTGCGATGGCACTCACCACATTGCCGTAGCATAGGGCAGCAGCCTCCCAGTGTGCAGTACTCGACGAGCCGGCAGTAGGAGCCATCGCCGTCACCGCAGCAAGTGCTTACGACGGGCGCGCATCCGTCATCGCAGAGCTTGTAGCCAAGCGGGCAATTCCGTCCAGTTTGACGCTTGACACCGATCAAGACCTCCCATACCGTCATCTGCACGGGTCCGATGGGGAGGACATCGTCAAGAGGGGCTGATACTGCACCATTCAAGAGGCAAATCGCCACGAATGCTGCTACTAGCATGATTGGTCGTGTTGCTGTGTGGAAGGAAGGTGATCGTCGCCGATGTTGAAAGTGCGGAGGGGTGCACCTAACAGCGTGTGTGTCGACGGCGTCGCTTTGTGCTCTTAAAGAGCCCGCAGCCTGGTTTACCGTCCGGTTCCGAAGCCAAGGTGTGAGCACAGGCTTCATCTTCTCTTCATCAGATGTGGTCAATAGCTCTTGTCGCGATACACCGATGGCCACTCAGCAGTGGATGTGGATTTCTTTCCCCAACTGTGTAAGCGGCAGAAGCTGAACCAGGCTTTAGAGTGAGTTTTTGCAGCAGGTCAGAGGAGGGGTGAGTTGCTCTCCACCTGGTATCAAAGTGCAGGGAAAACGGGGAAGGCGGCATGACCTGTCTGAGGGGAAACCGAGCGATGCGGGGCCGCACCAGGGTTCTCCCAAAGTTGAGTAGAACAATGAGGAGAGCGTGAAACCGGCTTTGCCGCCGTAGTTGACAATGAGAGCTTCGGGGTCAGGCCGGAGCTTGAATGTCATCCGCGACGCCACTGCAGGCACGCAATGATCCGAGCGTCCGCTTTGATCGCCACCTGTCCTGTGCGTTCCGGAAAGAAGACATCAACTTGAATGGAGGCAGCCTTCGCTCGTAGACTGACATCAGTTGTGTAGCTGAGAGGAGATGTGAAAGGTCAGGTAGATAAGGGCGCCGAAGAAGCGCCGGAATGTAGTCTGTCGAGGAGTGTGCAGTTGGCGACTGCGAAAAGCCATGGGAGGAGTGTTTCGAAAATCCAATGTTGGATACGTCAGAGTATCTGTGCGTCGGATTCGCGTGTGTTCATGGGTGGTTTGCCACCGTGCCACCTCGGGTCGCACGCGTAGGTCAGGTGGATCTACCCTCCAGCCCAGCGCTTCACCCGTCGCTGATACACAGCGAGGTAACTGCGTTTTAACCCTTTCGTTCTTCTCCCCTCGCCAGAGTCGCCAGTCAGCCAGCGAGAGCCCAGCCTCGCAGCCTCGACCCGTTTCCCTCGATTCCTCATCGTCTCCACTACCCTCCCTTTTCCGGCTTCCCTGTCTCTCACCCGCCAGCCTGATCCCCCACCGGCTCCCCGGCACAGCGGCACCGGAGCACGGCCTCGCGCACACGCGCACGCTCGCACCGTTACTTCTTCCCTCTCTCGCGTTCCTCAAACATATAACCGTTCCCACAAGCCTTGAGCATGGGTCGCCACTACAACTCTCGTCACTCGTACTGGGACGACGACTATCGCCACGGCCACGGTCACAGACACGGATACGGATACGCTACTCCTGTTGCTTCGATGCCCTACGTCGACCCCATGATGGGTATGGGAATGTCAATGACTCCCTACCCCATGTATGGCGGTTACGCCACCGACCCCTACGCGTATGGTGGATATCCCTACGGTGGATACGGATATGGTGCTGGATACGGATACGGCGCAGGCTATGGAGGTTACAGCAGCTACGGATACCCCATGATGGGCGGCATGGTCGGAGGGATGGGCTACTACGAGCCCTACGGGTATCCGCCTATGGTCATGGAACCCAGCTACTACCACCGGCATGGGCTGCTCGACCACTTCCTGCGTCCAGGCATGTACCGATACTAACTGAGTGTGAGCTGGACGACGGGTATAGGCAAGCTAACTGCAGTTCGAGCGCAAGGACTACACCTTCTATGTCCTCCACGATCGGACCGGCAGTCACATAGCCATCGACCGGCCTTCCTTTCTTCCCAGCCGGCCAGTCCGCGCCACCCAAGTCTGCATGTTCATGACCCGACCCGGAACCTACCACAAAGCGACGAAACGTGTTGTCAATATTATGATTGTAGTACATACAGCAACTTGTACAACAGATATGCGAGACTCCTTCTAAGCACCCGAAACGAGCGCGCCATAGTAAGCCGTGACGGCCTTGAGCTTATCCCCGACCCACTCCTCTTCGATCTCAACCCACTCTCTATCCCGCTTCCGCTCGCCATCGGGTGCGTCATCCTGCGGCATATCCAGCTTTTGCGCAAGCGCCGCGACCTCGTCCACATCCACGTTCCGTGGGAGGAAGTAAGCAATATTGGGCGAGATGGGTGCACAGAGGTCGAACAGCTCGTCGCCCGGGATGGGCTCGATGGCGGAGAGGGGATAAGTGCCCGAGGCGAGATAATCCGGTCCGCCTGACTGTCAGCTTCCTCCATTCACATAAACTCACCCCAAGGCGGGCTGAGAAACACGACATCGACGGGTTCCCTTTCCGCATGCCCCGACTCGGCATGTGTGCGCGCCCACTGCACAAAGTCGCAGAGCACGAACTCGATCCGGTCCGCGACGCCGTGGTAGAGCGCATTGTGCCTCGCCAACCTCAAACGCGTGGGATTGTTGTCCATGGCAATGACGCGCTCGCACGTGCGCGCGAACGCGATCGCATTGCCACCAAGCCCGCAAAAGGCGTCCAGCACCACGTCGGCGCGGCAGCGTTCTGCGATGTGCGCCGCGATCTCGGCTGGCGTCACGCTGAACCACCCCGTCTCGTCTAACAACAGCGGCAAGCGGGAGTACGCGGGGAAGAGCGAGTGCCGCTGCCACCAGTCTGCGGTTAGCTCGAAGACAAGGAAACCAGCTTACATTTGCGTAACTCCTTGGGCAGGGCGCCAGCGTCAGTGTAGCGGGGGACCAGGCCTGTGCAGTCCCAGGGATGATCGGCGTTCGCCTCCTGCGGGGCGGTCTCCACTCGTCGGGAGATGACTGCGGAGCCAGTATTGCTTGACGGACTGCTGGACTCGACCGGTCGTGCAGACGCAGGGCGGACGTTTTCCTTGTCGCTGTCATTGCCGTTGTCGCTAAGGGCGGCGGCGGCGTCATTATCGCTGTCCATATCCATGTCCATGTCGGAAGACTCGCTCTCAGCGTCCAGCTCTCCCCCCTTCGGCTCATCAACCTCGCTTGGCGGCTGCGTTGGTAGCAGCCTCGCCGTCGGCTGCTCCTCCTGTCGATGCACGATCGTCGTCGCAACGACGCTCTCCAGCCTTGGCTGTGAGCGCAGAGCCCGCTTCAGTGTCGGCGGCAGTGCCGAGAACATGGACAGACGCTTGCCCTTTCCGCCCTTTTTCTTCTTCGTCATGGCGGACTTTGGGCTGTGGGAACTCTAGTCGAAGGCTGAGGATAGACACACACAAAACGAGAGCGGACGAGTGCGAGATCTGTGATTGTTGTTCTGGACGAGCGAAGCTTCGAAAGTTACGTCAGGCACGGCTGTATGACGTTAAGGTCACGTGCAAGGGTTCAATCGGCACGCGTGTCGCGTTCCGGGAGTGAGTCCGCTGGATTCAGGCGAGTCGCTCGAAAGTTTAATTCCGCCCGATACCGGGGAGTTGTGGTCTGGACGTCTGGACGAAAACGGTGAATACCCAGATGGAAGAAGGAGGCGCGGGGCGGCACTTATCGGAGCTGGGGACTGCTTGCTGCCGGCCGGCCAAGTGTGTGAGTCCCTGAGCCCTTCTGCTAGCCTGCTGGTGCCTGCGGCACCAACTTTTCGAGTCGGTCCTACGTTACAAGGGGGGATCGGACAACCAGCCGTCTCGACCAGACTCCGCGACCGCCCGTCCGCAAATCCTTATCACCCGTGGAGATCTTTTTACTCCATCCTCTCTTTCCCCAGTTTCCCCCACAACAACAACCCAAAACAAAAACAGCATGCCTGCTCAGAACGAGAAGAAGGGCAAGGTTCTCCTCGCCTACTCTGGTGGTCTTGGTATGTTGCCCATGGTCCGATAGTCAACTGACAACAGACACCTCGTGCATCCTCCTCTGGCTCATTGAGCAGGGTTACGAGGTTGCCGCCTTCATGGCCGATGTGGGCCAGGAGGAGGACTTCGAGGCTGCCCGCAAGAAGGCCATGGACTGCGGTGCCGTCGACTTCTTCCTTGTCGACCTCAAGCGCGAGTTCGTCGAGGAGATCATCTACCCCGCCGTCCAGTGCAACGCCATCTACGAGGGTGTCTACCTCCTCGGTACCTCGCTTGCCCGTCCCGTCATTGCCCGTGGCATGATGGAGGTCGCCAAGCGTGAGGGCTGCGAGTGAGTCACCAGGCTGGCTCTGAGCTCTGTTGTTGTTTTCATCAACTTTTCGGTCGAAACTGAGCTCGGAGCGCCAGCAGATGGGGCTGCCTACCCGCAGCCTCGTGTTTATCAAGCCACTGACATCCCACAGCTACGTCTCGCACGGATGCACCGGAAAGGGCAACGACCAGGTCCGTTTCGAGCTCGCCTACTACGGTCTTGACCCCAACATCAAGGTCATTGCCCCGTGGCGTGACCCCACCTTCTACGAGCGCTTCGCTGGCCGCTCGGCTCTTCTCGAGTACGCCGCCAAGAACGGCATCCCCGTCACCCAGACCCAGGCCAAGCCCTGGTCGACTGACGAGAACCTCTTCCACATCTCGTACGAGGCCGGTATCCTCGAGGACCCGGACCAGACTCCCCCCGAGGACATGTGGAAGCTCACTGTCGACCCCCGCAAGGCCCCTGAGACCCCCGAGAAGGTCAACATTGAGTTCACCAAGGGTATCCCGACCAAGGTCACCTTCCCCGCCGACGGCCGTGTCGTTACCGACGCCGTCGAGATCTTCCTCGCCCTCAACCAGCTCGCTCGCAAGCACGGTGTCGGCCGTATCGACATTGTCGAGAACCGTTTCATCGGCGTCAAGTCGCGTGGATGCTACGAGTCGCCCGCCGGCACCATCCTCCGTGTCGCCCACATGGACCTCGAGGGCATGACCCTTGACCGCAACGTCCGCGCCCTCCGTGACCAGTTCGTCACCATTGCCTTCTCCAACATTCTCTACAACGGCTTCTTCTTCTCCCCCGAGCGCGAGTTTGTCACCGCTGCCATCCCTGCCTCGCAGAAGACCGTCAACGGTGTCGTCCGTCTCGCCGTCTACAAGGGCAACGTCATTGTCGAGGGCCGTGACGCCGACGAGGGCCTGTACGACGCCAAGTTCTCCTCCATGGACGAGCTTGGTGGCTTCGAGCCCACTGCCACCTCGGGCTTCATCGAGATTGAGTCGATCCGCATTAAGGCCTGGGGCCGCGCCAACAAGAAGCGCGGCCAGGACGGCCTCACCCCCAAGGACGTCTACCACCGCGACTAAGTGTGAGAGTCCGGGCCGGGGCGTTGTAGTAGCATGCATACATAATAGCATAAAGCATTTTTCGAGCTCTGCCGCGAAGCGGTAGGGCGAGAGTCCTGAGGAGCTGACTGAATGAGCGACGAGCAAGCGGACTGACGCACATACGTCAGCCCAGAGCTGCGCTCGGCCTACACTGCCAAGCGAGCCATGCGTGCATCGGCTTTGTCCGCTGGGACGTCAGCCAAGTTATGTACAGTCAACAGCGTGAAGTGTCGAACAAATATCACATGAACATCAGCCGCCTCCTCGAAACCTTTCCCTCCTGTGAAGTCTCCTCCCACTTCTTCTCTCCAACCCCCAACCCCCTTGACTGAAAGGCTGTATATCCATCATCACAACAGATAGGCCATTGTGCGCAATCACCGCCATCCTGCAAGAATGTAACCTCATCGCTCTCTGAGGAACAGCGGCCTCATCAGCGACCGCGTTTGCTCCCCGTCAACACCACCAGTTAGCCTCGTTATATCAGTCGGTAGATAGTGTGACTCTTAGTCTCTATGCCGATAGATCACACAGTCATGGGTTCGAGCCCCATACGAGGCTTCTCTTTTGTCCCCATGCAGCTGAGCGCGAAGCGCGAGGGTGCGCGGCGGGCCGTCCTACTCTGCAATATCCCAGGGCTGGAGGACGAGTGCCACCGCCAGGACGAAGTGGTCGGTGGAGGACGGCCGCCCAAACAACGAAAATTTTGATCCCGCCGGTCCTCCGCAGGGTGCAATTTTCCGAGCCGGGCGGGGGCGCTCCTGACGGAATCAGATCCCACGTGCCGGCGGACAGGGGGTCTCACCCCAGCCCTCCCAATTGGACAACAGTCCTTAGCGCAATGGCCATTGGTTGCCGAGGGAATGACCTGGTTAATGAGCCCAGTGAAGTCCTACCGGTATTAGGTTCGATTCGTCATGAGCTCCACCACCAGGCTTCGCCTTGCACCTGGCTTCCGCTCTATTTTTGCCTTTTTGCGTGTCTTCCATTCTTGCACCTATGCACTCCCGTACTTTTGGATACATACACTACCTCGAGACCCCCTGCCATCCTGATATTACGTTGCACATGCGTGCTTAGCAAAGGAAAGTCGCACTGTCGAGCTAGCCCCACGGGGCTGTAGTGCAGCAGCAGCAGCCTGCCATTCGAGACTTTTGTCAACTGCAAAAAGGGCGGCCAAGTGGCGTCAGGTAGAACGTATGCAGCGCACAACACCCAAGGCCGGCGTTCGGAAAGTGCCTGGGAGCTGGCCTCCCTTTATGCAGATGACAATAGGACTGCATGTGGTTGCTCGAGTGGTTGTCCCCCATGTAAACTCGCTGTAGCGGGATTGCCGGAACCAGTCACGTGTCCACTACGCTAGCGTGGTCTGGCCAATCACGTGCGTCCGGACAGGGGGTCTCACCTCACCCGTCTAGTTGGCACAACAGCCCTTCGCCAACCGGCCAATATCGAAAGGTGCGGGGGAATGTCCTGGTTAAGCGGTCCAGTGATTCGACCTCGGTTCGATTCGTCTTGGGCTCCACACCAGGCTTCCCCTTTTTGCATTCCAATTTTTCACTACCTTTCCCGATCCCGCTACCCCTTCTCTTGTTGCTTGGCAGTACATGAATGGCCGACGATGTGAAACCATGCAGCCTCCGACCACGAGGTAGGACGTGACTGCATGTTGCTCAGCGTGCCAGCCTGTCTGGATCCAGTCACGTGCCCACCCGTCTAGTTGGCACAACAGCCCTTCGCCAACCGGCCAATATCGAAAGGTGCGGGGGAATGTCCTGGTTAAGCGGTCCAGTGATTCGACCTCGGTTCGATTCGTCTTGGGCTCCACACCAGGCTTCCCCTTTTTGCATTCCAATTTTTCACTACCTTTCCCGATCCCGCTACCCCTTCTCTTGTTGCTTGGCAGTACATGAATGGCCGACGATGTGAAACCATGCAGCCTCCGACCATGAGGTAGGACGTGACTGCATGTTGCTCAGCGTGCCAGCCTGTCTGGATCCAGTCACCGTGCCCCCCCCCCCCCTTTTAACTCGCGTGGTCCAGTGGCCAATCACGTGCGCCGGGACAGGGGGTCTCTCGGCAGCATTCCGAATCTCACATCAGTCCATAGCGCAACGGGCTATTGGCCGCCGGGGGAAAGTCCTGGTTAAGCGGTCCAGTCGAGTCGGACCCGTACTAGGTTCGATTCCATCTTGGGCTCCACACCAGGCCTCGCTCGGCGCCTGGCTCCCCGCGCTCATTTTTGCTTTGGGCGGGTTTCACCATCCTGCATATATGCATATATGCACTGCTGCTTTTTTTGCATCTCACTTTGCTCCACTGTCGTACTGGGTATGCATGGGTATGCACTATCTATAATTATCTTCACCCAAATCGACGTACTGCGCAGATGCATGCGTAGCCGCGACTATCGATCCGGTCAAGAAGCAAAAGGGGCAATAGCTTCCGTCAATCTCCTCCTCTGCAGATCCCCCTTCGCCCGCTCGCTTCACACGAATCACAAAGGTAATGGGCTCTCTCTGCCTGACGGCCTCGCCTTGCCACGCAGTCAAAAACGTGCTCGCACGCTGAGTCGAACAGCGGTCAGCCCGGATCGGGGTGCAGAACAAACCACAACGGACGGTGATAACCACCTACACTATACGAGCTTGTACGTTCCTCGACGCACCGGAAGGCGTAAGAGGAGCGTCCGGCCATTTCGATCGTTGCAATCGTTGCCGTCTCTTGCCCCGTGCTGTGCTGTGCTGTGCTGTGCTGTGCATTCCCGCTTTCCTGTTCAGATGTATGTGGGGCTTCGGAACGCTAGCTGCTAGGAGAGGGCTGAGAGTATCTGGTGAAGCTCGAGGGTGGCCTGATAGGAACAGGATCAGTCGCGTAAGAGTTGCGTGTGTACCATTCCAGCCCATACCCATGAATGTATATGCATAATACCGCGCTATCGCCTGCCATAGACCTCGTTCGCCCTCGTCTCGAACGCCTCGACCATCTTCTCCGCCACCTTGGGCAGAACAGCCTGAGACGCAATACGGTGCAGCGGGTTCGCAAACGCGAACACGAGGTCGATGCTGAGAATGGTAGATGAGGGGCCGGCGGGCGTGAAGCTCCATGTCGTGACGAGGTTTTTGAACAGAGGGGTCGTCTCGGATGCTGTGGCCTGGGGCGTCAGCTAGCTCTCTCATTACCGCAGCTGGCCGCTGTCGCCTCGAGAGGGAGGAGTAGAGGGGAAGGGGCGGATGGACTTACCGAGACACGCTCAAAGGGCACACCGACAACGTTGGAAATGTACCGCTCCTCCAGTCCCCCGAATCCCACGGCCAGCTCCGCCTCGACCTCAAACGGGTCCTGGCCCGGCTTCCAGGCGTGGTTCGGCCGTCCGTCCTTGGTGAGCACCGTGCTCTCGGTGCAGAAGGGGATGAACGTCACGTAGGCTGGCACGTCGGAGACTAGCTCGTACAGCTGCGCGGGGGTGTACCTGGGGTCAGCTTGGGCTCCAGTTCCAGAATAGGACAGCTTGCAGCAGACGAGAAAGCAGGAAGGGAAGGTGACGCAATGTCCCCGAATGGCGGGGATCATCTTGAGGTCGAGAGGTAGAGTGGGCGGAAGCGTCACGCTTACGCTCACCCAAGCTCGTGCTCTTCACGATCATCGCCGCCTCGTCGCCTCCTCAATATCCAGCGAATAGTTACCGAAAGTACAGTCGCTGTGATGAGAGCGAGAACCTTCAGGTCCCTCCACTCCCTTCTCCCTTCCTCCTCTCGATCACTCGCCGCAGATATCAACTCACGGGAAAACCTTTCTGGCCTGAAACCGCTGTTCCTCTCCATCATTCTGCACGCCACCACTAGGTTGCTGGCCCGGGACGAGTCCAGCCAGCTTGCTAATGTCCGGAAGCGAGAAGAAGGTGCGACGTCCGGCGACTTGGGACTGCTGCCTGGGGGTGACGGCCGAGGAAGACGCAGAGCATGAAGGAAGGGCGGAGAGGGCGGGACGAACGATGTTCAGGCGAGATGAGGATGTCGAGCGGACAGCGCGCACAGCGTGCGCTGCTGATAATGAAGGACGCATTTTGTTGATGTTGAGGGAGATAGGTGGCCAAAGAAGGAGAGTTGGCCAGGGATGCAAAAGGTCCAACTCGCTACCCGAAGACGGTTAGGCGGTGGAGGTAGGGAGCGGACTTTGGCCGGTCGCCGCTCGCTTCCTCGCCACCCATTGCGCACTGCGTCACTCTGCCACTTCGTCATGTCCTCGGCCGGCCGGCCGGCCACACCACAGTATGCTTCTTCCCCAACCCTACGCACTGCAGCTTTGTCTCTATGGCTCGTGCATCCCGCTGAGTAATGTACAATGGGGCCTCAACAGATGCCACTCTAGCTGTCCCTTTCCCTTTCCCTTACTGCTCGTCTCCCTGCTTCTTCTTGCCAAAACCGATCTTGAACGCGTTACTACTGCGCCGCGCGAGGCTGCTGAAGCCCGTCGTCGCGCTGATTTTCCGTCCCAGTCCACTACCGCCCGAGTAGCCGTTTTGCGAACTGACGTTGCTCGCGCGGTCGGCGCGAGACGCCGTCGCACTCCGCCCGATGCGGTTCATGCGCTCGCTAGTGCCGTTCATGTTGCCGTTGCCGACGCTCGCGCTCGCGCTGTGGCTCGGTGCTTGGCTCGGAGCCGACGACGCCGGGAGTGACGTAGGTGCCGCATTGCCGTTGACGTCGCTGTGAGCGGCGCTCGCGGGGTATGCGTGACCATTGAGCGGGGCGTGAGCGATGCTGCCGTTCGGCAGGCTGGCCGCATGCCCGCCAGATGATGCCGAGGTCGCTGAGCGGATCGACGCCGACAGGTCGTTCGGCGCGCTGTCGTGGAAGGACTGCGACATGCGGTTATCCGGCATCGCAGGCATGCTCTGCGTCATCAGGGGGTCAACGCTCTCGGTCGAGGTTGTGTTCACCGTCGTAGATGTCGACTGGCGGAGCAGTCGCGGGTCGGCTGGGGTCGAGGCACCCGAAGCACCATCCTTCTTCTTGAGACCGAACCACTTGCCGCGCTCTCCGGGACTGTGTGAGATGGGGCCACCATGGTGCGACCAGCGGTTGTTAGACGGGCTGGGGTCGCGGCCGACGCCAGAGGAGCCACGTCGCGACTGCACTGGAACGTCGAGTGAGCTGTCCTTGTGGGCCTGGACAGGCAGAGGAACAGACTGGCTCTTCGTCGGCGAAGCGGGCGTGGCCATGAACTGGGGCGGCGTCGTGTGGTGGTCCAAGGGCGTCGTGGGAGCAGGAGTGCCGCCCACAACATCGTCCTCGACGAGGGCTGCGGCACGGGGCGCCGGCGGAAGCGAGCGCGGAATCGGGTCCTTCTTCAGACCGAGACTCTTCAGGTCGAGGTTGGCCGCCTGGTAGAACAGGACATAACCTGCGCCCGTGATGTTGTCACCGAAATAGTTGGCGAGGTCGCTCTCCTCGATCGGCTCAATGTTCTCATCGTCGCACATGACCCACTGTCCCGGCTGGGAGCGCACGATTGTCACATAGTGACCGTGGGTGGGGGTGCTGATCGGTTAGCACGGGCCATCAAACATGTCGCTTAAATCGGAATGAGGATGCAGAACGCTTGGCATGCAAACGTAAGCCTTTGATACTCACTTTCCAATGTGGACAACGACAGCAAAGAGCTCGTAGAGGCGCTCGGCGTCCTCGGTTTCTTCCGTGGTGCAAGGCACGCGCAGCTGCAGAGGGAAGGTCACACGATAGAACAGCTTGTGCAGCCTGCCCATGTCGTCCTGGCGGAATCGCTTCAGGTGCAAACCGAGGATGTTGGGAAGCTCCTTGATGCGCATTCTACGCTCAGCCTCGACCAAACCACAGCAGGTCTCGCAGTAAAACTTGTTCGTCGAGCACAGCATCTCAGAGTCGGAGAACTGCCTGAGACACGAGGTCAGCGAACTGTGCTGCTCAATGTCGATCGACAGGTCCAGGAAGGACTCTTCCCTGCTCGAGGTCGTCTCGCAGTTGAGGCAGCGGGTCTCGTTCACAAGTACGCCATGGAACAGGTTCTGGATGAAGGTACGACCGTGTTCCTTAATGTCGACGACATCCTTTCCTTCGCGCTTCAATTTGGCGTCCATCTGCTCGACCTCTTCCGATAGCTGGTTCAGGATGAAGCCGAGGAACTCGTGCGCATCTTGCTGGCCCTGGCCTGCGAACAGCTGATGCGTGCGACGAACTGTGCGCAAGACATCTTCTGGACGCACAACACCTCTTCCCAAAGTTCCGGCCCGGTACGGACCGCCTCCCCGCGGCACTGAGGGCGGGGGCAGAGATGCCAGTAGGGCGGGGCCTGTGGGCTGACCATTGTTGGTGAGGGTTCCGGACGGCATGGAGGCCGCGTTGCCACCTGGGGTGGGCTGCACCGCCGCCGGGGCTGGCGCAGCTTGCGGAGGTGTTTTGGGTTCGGCAGGGTAGTGAGGGGCGGATGTGGAGAGATGGTGGAACAGTGTCTGGATTGTGGAGAGGAGGGACATCTCCGGAAAGTCGGGGTCGTGTGGGAGGATGATCGGCGGGGGAGCCTGCTGGTTCGGCTGCTGCTGCTGCGTCGTTGCAGGCGGTGTCGACGGCTGGGTAGATGTCGAGAGGGCCTTCTTACCAAAGCCAAGGAGGCCGCCGCGCTTCTCCTTTGTCGGTGGGGAGACGGGAGTAGCCTTCTCCATCGGGTTCTCCTTCACCTCGAGGGACGGGCTCGGCAGCGGCCCAGTGGCGATCTCTCCGGCGAGGGCATTGTAAGGCTTGCCGACGTCGGGGTACGCCTCGATGAAGGAGCGAAAGGGGTCAGACGCGTACAGGGCTTGCAGGACCGAGTTGCAGTAGCACGTATTCCCGAACTGGTGGGTGTCAGTGTGTCCGTCTCGCCGGCGGCTGAGAGCTGATAAGGGCGACTCACGTTCTCAAGACCCCAGAGGGCTTCGTCGAGCGCACGCTCCTTGCCCTTATCCCCGGGGAGCGCTGCAGCATCCGCAGCAGGAGAGACGGGCTCCTTTGTCCCAATCCCGTTCCCGGTCGAAGAGGAAGCACCTCCGCCGGTGGAACGGAAGCGACGCCAGTCCATGCTCCTTGACTGGGTGTCTCTAGCAAGTCGGCAAGTGACGCGCGCTTGGGGACAATCGAGAGATCCGAATTAGGAGTGCGATGGTGACAATCGATCAGGTCGGGGCCAGATGGCGAGGGGCAATCGCAAGTGCGGAATTGCCGTTGGACCGGAGAATGGGAGGTGTGAGCCTGCTCCAATGCACGCCTCTGCTGCGAGTGATCACGGGCTGCGGATTCCGAAAGATAAAGATGCGATGTGCAGGAGTTGATGGGTGGAAAAAGATGGAGTGATGGCGATCCCGGTGGGCACCGAAAAGTGAGGTGTCGATGCTCTAAGCGTCGGGTGCGGGGCCGACCGATATTACGCGATTACGGTGCGATAGCTGCAAGGGCGATGGGAGAGGGGGGGGACCTTGCGCGGCGCGAGATGCGGAGACGGTGATAAGGGGTGAGGCGGGGTCGGTCGTGTGGACGGGGTATACAGAGGGGATGGGGAGGAGAGTGATAGTGAGGGATGATGGTGGGTCGGATGGTTGCGTGCAGGAGGGAAGGTAGGGCTTGCAGTGGTGGGAGGATGGATGTGGGGTTGGCAGACTAGCAGTCAGGGGTTGGGAGAGCACCGAGGCGTAAGGCGGCAGGCGAACGGCTGCGTGCTGGCTGGGTGCTGGCTGCTGCAGTTGGCGCTGGCGTTGGCGCAGGCGGAGCCAAGGAGGCCGTTGTCGCCAGGAACGAGGATCTCGCGCCTCTGCGCTGAGCGCTCCGGACGGCACACACGGTCCATTTCTCGTGACTGGCACTTAGGCACTCGGGCTCCATACTCTCTCCATCCAAGCTGCTCCAACTCTAGCACACGGGCAGTAGCACCAGTTGATAGTTGTAGCTAGCAGCGATGGACTGAGACGCAGATGCATGCAGTTAGGTCTGATGAATCATCGATACGGCCCGGAAGAGTAACAAGAGTACGACATGCCGCGTCAGTTTAGCGATGCATACCGTAGGCTGGACTGGCTGGCTGGCTGGCTGAAGGACGACAGATGCGGAAAGTGGCCGACAGCATAGAGAGAGAGAGACCAATGCTCGCTTGCAGTAGGCGAGACGAGGCGGCAAGGGCTATATCCTGAGTGGATCAGTTGGATGACGGCCGATAAGTTGGGGTCAAATACACTCAGGCTGACCCTGGAAAGTGGGACGGAGATCGCCTTCAAGTGCTCACCCGACACCACCGCGGACGCTGCCTGCTCTTCTCCCAGCCTCCCAAGCCTTAGCCAGCCTTAGCCCCGCTAGTGTCCCAAACTAACTATAGACCGTGGAGCGTCAGTATTTGGAACACAAATGATGTGTCGAGCTTGTGAGAGTGTCTTCCCCCGCCCCGCGATTCGTCGCCGCACATTCCGTCAAGCAGACGCCAGTGCAGCGGTACGTGCGACAGCGATCGTCCCGCACCCAACCTCCATTCATGCTTTCCTCCGTATCGGCCAATTCCCGACAACCACTGTCGGTTTTCCCATCCTCCAACGTTGCATCCAGCACGGAGCTCCGTCTCGTCTCCATCCTGCTCCATCCTGCTCCAACTTTTTGCTCCACACTTGTCTCGAAACCCTAGTGCAATGTCAGGATGAAGAGCAGCTGTAAAGGGGCCGGCAGGTTGTAGCCTCCTTTGCGCCTGCTCGGTCTCCTGCCGAGCCCAAAAAGCCCCAGGCACCGGTCGTTTCCACCTGCGATCCTGTCATGAACTGGCTCTCGGCGCGCGCCGTGGACGCCAACAACGGCCTTCACAAGTCGCCGCTGACATCACGCGTCCGAGCGTGCACCGCCGCGCGCCGCCCCCGCAGCGCAGCGGCGCAGCGGCCTCGCAATCCCCAGCATTCGCAAGCCAGCCCGCCGGTGTGGTGCGATCATGCACCCAACAAGACGTCGCAGCATGCCTCCGCACCACCCATGAGTCAAGCAACCGTGCGCCGTGAATTCGGAGTGCGCTGCATTTCTTGGGGAAACACCGGGGCATCATCTGACTGCAGCACCACGCGACCGAAACCGGCGAGGAAGCCGATTTCCGTACCTTGGCATTTTACACGGCATTGACTGATAAGGCAATCACGGAATCCTAGATCCAGTCACCCGGTACGCGTCCCACAGTGAGGATAACGCGACAACAACAAGCCGAGAGATCGAGAGCTGTGGCTGCCCGCCTGACCCGGAATCCGGCCCGATTATCCAGCCACCACCTGGTGCATGAGCGAAGTCGCACCTCCGTGGATTGCAAGGACGCTCTGCAGCCATCACGAGCGGCATGGCGGCGATCTCGACGCGGTCGTGACTGGGCAATACACGGCGCAGATTGTCAAGGTTGGCTCTTCCCCGCGACACAACTGACATCAGTTCCACAGCTATCGCACCGACGCCGAGCCGCACGCACCGGTATCGGCCGAGCTGTCCGAGACGCAGCACCGCGTGCACGTCGTCTTCGAGCCGAGCGCAGTAGACAGCTTTGAGCGGTAAGCTGCTGTCACGCTTTCTGGCTAACAACAGATCAGTAGCAGGCGAGCCCGAGGAACGCCTCACGGCGAACCTGTACGCCTTTGTGCGTCTCGAGTCGTTCCGTATCCGCCTCCGCTCCCAACCAGGGCGGGACGTGCCCCGCGTCATTCTGGAGGTGGACAAGTGGACGATCCTCTCGCCCAGCAAGCGAGTCCCGCTCTCACACCGGAGCGCACGAGAGATCGGAACGCAGCCCGGGGACGAGCGCGTGCGGGCCATTCTGAAGGCGTGGTGGACCGGTCTCAGTCTCTCATCCAGCGTCGCGATTAGCAGTGCTGCGCCCACAGCCGAGCGGCCAAGCTCACACATCTCGGAGCTGTTCTCAGAGCCAACACCGAGGGCCGCCATGCCCCCGCCCCCGGCCCCGATGGAAGAGAAGCTGGCCGTGGGCAAGGTGAGCTTATTTCGCCCTGCATGAGCTGACAGCAAAGCCCCGCGAGGACATCATGTCCCGCTGGCCGGTCATGACCCGGCGTCTGGGCGGGAAGAACTCGCGCGGCCTGCCGTCGTGGCTCTTCGAAGACCCGAGTGTGGAGCAACAAGCGCAACTCGAGCAAATACGCGTGTTTGGCCTCGATGTGGTGCGAGAGCGAGCCCAGGCTCAGGCCGCCGCGTCCCAATCTGGCTCGGGCGATCGCTCACAGGCGTCGCACAAGTCTGCCGAGTCGCAGCAGTCGCAGCAGCAATCCCTCACCCCGCCACTGGACGATGCAGGCCCAATCGAGCCGATAGAAGTGCACATTCCGCCTGTGGAGTCACAGCCTCCGCCGACGCCGCCCATGTCGTCTTCGCCTGCGCCGCAGCAGACCCCGATGCTCGCTCGGCAGCCATCGCCTCAACATCTTACTCCTCTTCCTCGACATCGCACACCGCACCATCCCGATCCAAGCAGCGACGACGAGATTGCAGTCCGGCCGCTCCGCCAACGCCAGCGTCCGCACGACTCGAGTTTTGGGTCCGAGACCCCGGCTCCGGACCTCCCTTCTTTACCTCCTCATCACACCTCACTCCCCGCCCAAACTCCAACAGCAGAAGAGGGAGAAGCAGGGGACACATCAGAGTCAGAACTAAGCGAGTATGAACGCTCCAGGCGCCGGGCGATGAAACGCCGAGCCGACCCGCCACTGAACCCGAGTCAAGACTCCCAGTCCCTATCGCAGTCGCAGGACTCGCGCGAGTTCGATCTGGCACGCTACGAGCTTCCCCTCAGCATGCCCGTGGATATGCCCGTTGATACGCCGAGTAGGCCGGGCACGAGGAGTATGCCCCCCTTATCTAGGAGCTCACCCATCAGCGCGAGCGAGCGCAGCGAGCGCCCGAATGAGAGGCTATGGGATAAGGCGGGGGAGAGAGTGGGGGAGAGGAGGAGGAGGGGATATGAGGTGGACGACTCGATGGGCCCGCCTCCCGCCCAGCGGCCACGAACGGAGGAGCCCAGCGGGCCTAGTGGGAGATGGAGGGAATTGCCCTTCGCCAGCGAGTGGGGGGAGATGGGACCCCCAAGTGCCCAGCCCCGGACGCCTCGGACACCGGTGAAGAGCGAGTTTGTATCATATCCCTCCCAGGCTATCTCCACCCCGAGTGCCGCCCCGACCGCGAAGCAGGAGCCGCGGGAGGCTTCCGAGCCCCGCGAGCCTCGCGAATCTCATGAACCTCAGCCCGCAGGGCCGGCACCAACTCCAGCCGAGTCGCGAGCGGCGGTGGAAGATGGGACAGAGGCCGAGGCAGAGGGAGAGGCCGAGGGGGCCGAGGTGAAGGCAGAGACGACGGATGAGTCGACTTCGCTCCCTCAAGGCCGGTTCAAGCACAACTCGCACGAGTCGCTCGCCCCTCGCCCGTCTCCCCGCCGAGTTCCCGTCCAGATGAGGGCGCATCCGTTCGTCTCTGCCTCTGTCTCTGGCTCTGGCTCTGTCTCTGGCTCCGGCTCTGCCCCCGGCACGGGGTCCGGCGAACTCGACGCAGAGGCAGAGAGCAAGCCCGATCTGGACGCTGACGAGCCCTCTATCGAGTCTATCGAGGAATCAGCGGGCAGCGAAAGAGAACTGCTGGGCGGGTGGAAACCCAATCTCGCCGTGCGCGGGTTGAATGCGGACTGGGTACGCAAAGTGGCCAAGGCCGCTGAGGACGTTAGGGATCGGAGACGGGTCAAGCGCGAGAAGTGATAGCCATATTTGCATAGATGTAATGTGTACAAGTGAGATGTGATGTATTTCCTGCTCTGCCACGCTCTCCTTCCTTCCCTATACCCACAACCGCTGCACTGCCTGAGCCACCTAAGCGGCATCAGCTCGCATGTCCACCGGCTTCAGCGGACACAGGGCCGCGGACACGGTACGGCCCTCCTCGAACAGGAGGTTGTAGGTGCTCGCCGCGTTGCGCTGGAAGTTAGCTTGAGCAATGGCAGCACTAGAGCTGGAGGGGAAAGACATACCGAGTCCATGACGTCGAGCTGGATGCCGAGGCCAGAGATGTAATCCCGAATCTCCTTCGGGATGGGGAGGGGCTGCGCGCCGGTGCCGAAGATGAGGATTTCTGTGGTCAGCTCTACGTCACAGACAACATAGCTGTGGTCGTCTTCGCCCTATCCTTCCTCCTGCCCTGCTCCTAGCCTCCTGCCGTGTTCCTTTCCTTGCTCCGTGCTACCCCCTCTCCCTCTCCCACACCCCTCCCTGGAACTTACCAGGCCTCGGCACCAACCGCTCAAACACGGCAAACCGCTCCGGCGTCCAGCCCGCCCACGCGTGCGCCATGCCCTTCATGATGTCGCCTGGCGGACTGACGTTCCAGAGGAACGCAGAGCCGTCGGCGAGAATAACCCCGCCGGGGACGACGAGCCCGTCAGACAGGTGGAAGCCCTTGTCGTTCAGCTTTGCCACGCTCAGTGGCGGGTTGTCCGGGTTCGCCTCGAAGAGGTTGGTCAGTCCCGAGCGGGCGGTCGCGGTCGCATGGAGCTGACGCGCGCTGATGGTGATCGCGGGCACGCGGGCCACAACTGGTCGGACAGTCTGGCGGAGCGCGGGTCGAGTGGCTGAAAGGGCCGTTCGGAGCATATTGGTGTGCTGGGGGAAAGGAGTGCCAGAAACAGTCAACAACAGCGGCTTACATGCTCACAGCCTGCTCTCGCTGCTCGCCTTCCCTCAAATCTCGGACATGACGTTGGCCACAAGTGAGCGGCTAGCGGGACCATTCGCACGTGGAAAAAGTTGGCGCTTCGAGTCAAGGGAACTTGGGCTCGTTTTTGGCCGAGATTACATTTCGCCCCCTCCGTTGCTTGCTCGCTCGCTCCATCCCTCCCAACGGACACGGACACGGAACACACAATGGCGACGAACAAGAAGGTCGGCATTCTGGGTAAGCTTCTTGCGCAGTATCCCTAGCTGACATCCAGGCGGCGGTCAGCTCGGTCGTATGCTGACGCACCCTGCTGCGCTGCTCGGCGTCGACCTGATCATCCTCGACAAGGGCGGGTACACGCCTGCGAAGCAGACGCTGCTCGCGCCGCAGGGCAGCGAGCACATTGACGGCGCGTTCACGTCCGAGGAGCACATCCGCAAGCTCGCCAAGGAGTGCGACGTGCTCACGGTCGAGATTGAGCATGTCAACGCCGACGTGCTTGCCGCCGTCGAGGCCGAGGGGCTGTGCGAGGTTCAGCCTGCGCCGGCCACGATCCGCCTCATCCAGGACAAGTACCTGCAGCACAAGCACTTGCGCGACAACGGCATCCCGACCGCTCCCTTCGCGCCCCTCGACAGCAGGGAGCAGAAGGACGTCGAGGCGCTCGCCAAGGAGCTCGGCCTCCCGCTCATGCTCAAGGCGCGCACGCTCGCTTACGACGGCCGCGGAAACGCCCCCCTCAAGACGACCGACGCCAAAGAGGTCGCTGCCGCGCTCGAGTTCCTGGGTGACCGCCCGCTGTACGCCGAGGGCTGGGCGCCGTTCGTCAAGGAGGTCGCCGTCATGGTCGTCCGCAACAAGCACGGCGAGGTCAAGTCCTACGACGCCGTCGAGACTGTTCACCGCGACAGCATCCTGCGCGTGTGCACTGCTCCCCTCCGCGCCGACGGCCCCGAGTTCGACGGCATCAACGCCAAGGCTCGTGCGCTCGCCGAACGCGCCGTCGCCACCCTCGACGGAGCGGGCATCTTTGGTGTCGAAATGTTCCTCCTTGCCGATGGTTAGTCACCGCACTCTCACAGCCAATCACGGCGAGGCTTTCAGGTCGTCTTCACTAAGCTGACATCAGGCTCGCTCCTTCTCAACGAGATTGCCCCCCGTCCGCACAACTCGGGCCACCACACGATCGAGGCATGCACTGTGTCGCAGTTCGAGAACCACCTGCGTGCGATCCTCGACCTGCCGCTGGGCGACACGTCGCTCCGCGTCCCCTCTGCGGCGATGATCAACATTCTCGGCGTCAGCGACGACATGGCCCCCGTGCGCAAGATGGTGCAGGACGCGCTCGCCGTGGACGGCGCCAGCGCGCACCTGTACGGCAAGGCTGACTCGCGCAAGGCGCGCAAGATGGGCCACATCACCGTGACGGCTCCGTCTGACGCTGAGCTGCGCGCGCGCATGCGCACCCTGCTCTCGCAGCAGCCCGACCTCGACGAGGCGTTTGTCGACTCGATCGCCCCCGCGCCCAAGCAGGGCCTCAGCAACGCCCACCCCCTCGTCGGCATCATCATGGGCTCCGACTCCGACCTCCCCGTCATGCTGCCCGCGACCAAGATCCTCGACCAGTTCAACATCCCCTACGAGCTCACCATCACCAGTGCCCACCGCACCCCAGACCGCATGGTCAAGTACGCCCGCAGCGCGGCTTCGCGCGGCCTCCGCGCCGTCATTGCCGGCGCCGGCGGAGCGGCCCATCTCCCCGGCATGGTTGCGTCCGAGACCTCGGTCCCCGTCATCGGCGTGCCGGTCAAGGCGTCCGTGCTCGACGGCGTCGACTCGCTCTACTCCATCGTCCAGATGCCCCGTGGCATTCCCTGCGCCACCGTCGGTATCAACAACAGCACGAACGCCGCCCTCCTCGCCGTCCGTATCCTCGGCACGAGCGTGCCCGAGTACCAGCGCGCGATGGAGAAGTACCAGCACGACCTTGAGGAGGAGGTCCTCGCCAAGGCGGACACGCTGGGCCAGATCGGCTGGGACCGCTACGTCGCCGAGAAGCTGAAGAAGTAAGCGCGCGTGTGAGCGAGGGTGGGCGGGGAAGTGTAGGAGTCTTAGTAAGTAGAGTAGAGCTAGAAACCTGTTTTTGTTATGCATCTTGGTCCGGATTTGCGTTTGGGATGCCGTGATAGTGATACATGCGTCGTCTATACTCAATGGTCTCACTTTGCCTACTCTATCGATGGACCGATTCGCTCAGTCATACACTGCTCGTCAGTTACTACTGTATGATTGCGATAACTCACCATGCACAAGCGCATACCCTCCGATCCAGAAGAGCAGGAATCCGAGCAGATTCTCCTGCCCCAGACCCATGGTCTCGACCCACCCACGCCAGGCGGACACATTGGCTGCTCCCAGCGGCCCCGACGAGGCGTGCGCCTGCACAGCGTACCGCCCCACGTTGCCGTGCATCTTGACCGCCGCGATCGTGAGACCCGTAACGATGGCGGTGAGGAGGTATAGTCCGAAACCGGCGAGATTCGTCAGACCGAGAATGCCGGCGACGAGACCGGCGAAGCACGCCGTGAGCTGGTGGTTAGCTAAAAACTGCAGCCTTCAAGCTTCAGAAAGGATAAGATAGGCCGATGTAATTACCTCGTCGTCCGGTGCTGGTGATCGTCTGAGAGGTCCGAGAGAAGGAGGGATAGAAGGAGGGCCAAAGGAGGGGGTCGCTCGCGAGGAAGACACTTACTGTCGCCAACGACCCGATCACGGCCGTGTTATGCTGCGCGGCAGGCGGATACACCGCGCTGGCGTTGGGGGAGAACTGCGACTGGCTGAGCGCGACGGGCTCCGAGGCGGCGGGGTTCATGTCGTCTTTGCTTGTTGTCGTCGGTGTAAGTCGAACGAACCCGGGTCACCGACGTCGATGCCGATGACGGCAGGCGCGTCTGGCCGGGTGAGTGGATGGGCGGAGGTAAATCGAGGTTCCTGGTGGAGGAAGATGGAAGCGGAGAATGGAGGCTGTCCACTACCGTGAGTGGCACCCTGCATGTGCAGCCCAGCAACAGAGGAAGAACGCTAGTGCCAAAAGCTACAGAAAGAAGGAAGGCTAGACTGGCCTAGCGCGTAGCGACTGCCCATCCACTGTCATGGGTGGGCGATGACGCCTAGCGCACCGTTCAGGTATCAACTGACCTCGGCGGCTTGGTTGGACTGCCCACGTTTGCCTCCAATCGTAGGGACAGAAGGTTGAAGCAGTAATGTGCCGCCTGTGCTCCGCCTACGCAGCAGACAGGGAGATGTCAGTCTGCAACTTTCAGCCGCGGCGTGATCAGGAAGTGCACGCTGCGCGATGTCCCTCATCGTATGATGTGCGGGGAGTTTGCCACTCGTACAACTCTACAGCTTCATGTATTTCGAACGTGGTGCCTGTGGTTGACATCTCCTTGTCACTGCTCCTTGGCCGATACTCCCGTCTCATTCACTCTATTGATTGATCATTTCTCCACGGCCCCTGTGGTGACATGCCAACCTCGGTGCTCTCTCGCTTCTCCTCCCGAACCACAGACCACTCACATGCCCGGCGACATCGCTCCCGCTCCTCCGTCTCGACATCTTATCCTCTCTCCACGGCTCCATCAACTGTTGGTTCCTCTGCGTTAAGTGAAGACCCCACCGTCCACGAACATCACGCACCGTGGCACTCAGCAGATACCCACCAACGACCAAAGCGGCCTCGAGTAAGTCGTGGTGAGGGAGGATACATCGGCACGACGAAAGTCGTTCTCATCACGATTGGCTGGGTGCTTATCACGGGTATGGTTATGGGTACGTGGTCGACGTTGTCAACGCTGACACCAGGCCTCACTTGGCGTTCCGAACGAAAGCGAAGAACGTGAGCTGTGAGGGTTGTCGTGTCGAGTGATCCAAAGTTTATGTTGTAGCTAATATCTTGCATCTGTCTATCACACTTATATCTTGCTCCAGCAGGGTTCCAGCATCGAGTTCGCTCACTGTGCTGGCAGTTCCCTCAGAGCTTGGCGCTCTGCTCCGCCTCCTGCTTCGTGTCCCAGGCGCACCGTCCGTAAAAGTCCATTCCGTCTCTCCTGGGGGTGGCCGAGGCGCTGCTCGCCTGTCCGAGGGCGGCACGCGCAGCAATGCCCTGGAGAATGATGGCGAGGCGGAAGGCCATCCAGCTCTTAACCCACTCAAAGTGGGGGATAGGCCACTGCCACTTGGCGCGCTCCTTCTGACCCTGGGACTTGAGGAAGGCGTATCCCTCATTCATGTCGTGGACCCACCACTTCTCGAGCGTCGCGACGTCGGGGATCCCGCTCTTCTCGGACGGCACGCCCTTCAGGCCACCCATCACGTTGGGCGGGCGGTTCGCCGCCTCCTCCTCGGACAGGGGGCGGATGTTGAACGCAATCGTCATGTTGGACAGATCGGCGAGGGGCGAGCCGGTCGTGCACAGCTCCCAGTCCAGAACGCCGATGACGCGGTTCTCAGTCGGGTGGAAGACCATGTTGTCAATCTTATAGTCGCCGTGGACGATCGAGGCGCCGTGCGTCTCGTCGGCGCGCGCGACGCGCTGCGCACCAGCCTCAAACCACGGCCGCAGCTCGGCCGTGTGCACAATGTCGCCGAGGGGGCCCTTTCCGTCGGGCAGGGGAGCCTGGCTCTGCGACGCCGAGACCTTGAGCATGCCCTTGACCTGGCGGGGGAAGTAGGGCTTGGCAATCGGGTCGGGGGCAAAGGAGGGGGGAAGGTTGAGCTTGTCGAGCGGCGTTGTGGCGAGCAGGGCCAGCGTCCGGATCGCACTCCGCCAGCACTCCTCGCGGTCCTTGCGGGGCATGTCCGGCATCGTGATGTCGGCGATGATGCGTCCCTTCAGAAACTCCATGACGTAGAACGGCGCGCCGGCGACATCACGGTCCATGCACAGGCATACACCTTGGGCACGGGAACGGCGCGGTCCTTCGCGTCCGCCGGAAGGGACTCGTTGTACTCGCCCAGCGCCTTGAGGATCATGAACTCGCGGTCGACGCGGTGCGCCGTCGCGGACAGCAGCTTGCCGAGCGGCGCGCGGCGGAGCACATACGACTGCTTCGGCGTCTGCAGGAAGTAGGTCGGGTTCGACTGGCCAAACTGTACCCGTCAGCTATTTCGCATTCCCCATGCCGATCTGCGGGTGCCGAGGACAGCTCCGGGGTCACAAGACTCTTCCGGTCGCGAGACCTGCCCTGTTACTCACGCCGAACTGCTTGATCGTGACGGGGCCAGCGAATCCGTCAATGTTCTTCTCGAGGTAGGGCTGGAGCTTCTCGAGCGAGATCGGGGTGCGGATCTCGCCCATCGCCTGGCCATCCTTCGGGTAGTCGGTGCGGGACATGTTGTCTCCAGAGATTTGTGGGTAAACGGTTAAAGTGGGCCGGTCGTTAACTGGCTGTTTTCGTCTCGCTCGGGGTGTTCACGCAGCACGGGGCGGGCGGTATATAGTATGCAGGGAGTGTGGTAGGTTGTGCAGAAGGAAGATTGTGCCCGGCGGAGAGGATATGATGAGCAATGGTGAGGTGGTAGAGTAAGCTTTGTAGCCCAGAGGGCACTGCTGTCGGTGGTCGCCGGATGCGGGCGATAGCCGGTCCCTTGGCCCCAACTGCCAGAATCAGCGGCCCCCGGCATCCACCGAAATAACGTTGGGCCGCATCGTTCAGACGCCGGTTGCTCTCATAGGTGCATGCATACATCCTAGTGTGGTCTTGGCTGAGTACCATGTTAATCGAAGAACTATGCATGCAGTTTGCAGCTCTCGGTAGAACGTTTGGAAAGCTTGCGGCCCCGTCGATCTGGTGACAGGTGGGCGCAGGAAGTGTGGATTCTCGCGGACTGAGCGGCCAGTACCCTCATCGATGGGCACTACTCTGGTCCGCCCACCCGTGCACACTGCGTCCAGCTGACCACATTAGCATCACTATATTATCTACTATAGCGCAGCCTCACGGCTTGCAGAAACCCCAATACCGAGAGAACTAACCCAGACGTATTTCACAATCGGGGATGCCCGAATGGACTCGGGAGTGGAACTCGCCGCCGTTCCTGCCCGCGCGTGGCCGTCGGTATGCGCCGAAGCCCGCCGGCGGTATCGACCCGCCTCATCCCCGCGTCCCCACTTGCAAGCACAAGCACATGCTGGCGTGCCGCGCGGTACGGCGATCATCCTATGATGCAAGATGGAAGTGCATGTGGCAAAGTACAGATAATGCAGTAAAAGATTATAAACCCTTCTATGAGTTGTGTTCTGAGATGTGGACACCAGATGAACCCGCGCGCTCAGCTTTGAGCAAGGTTTTACGCCTCCTCGACGACGACGGCGTCGGCCTCGGGCTCCTTGCCCATTGCCTTCAGCCTCCTCTTCTCCGCGATAGCGTCCCTCTCACTGGGCGGGAAGCAGTGGAGGGGAGCGGGCCGCCTGAGCATGCGATACAGGAACGGCCTGCTTCCCGTCCAGATGAAGGGCGGCACGGCCGCAACGGCGTGTGAATACGCTCATCAATCTGCTCGTCGTTGAGCTCCTTGGGGTCATCGAACGGGTTCTCCATCGACTCGCGGACAGAGTCGGGAATGTCAGGACCGTAAGGCATAGTCGAGGCGATGGGCATGGGGTAGACATCGGGAATGACGTTGCCGCTAACACGTCGGCTTCCCTGGCCGCGGGGGATGCGAGCGGGAAGGTCAGTGTAGTTGGCCTCGCGACGTCCGTGGTCGACGCGGTCAACACGGCCAAGACCAAAGTCGATCTCTTCCCAAGCGCCTGAGCATGCGATACAGGAACGGCCTGCTTCCCGTCCAGATGAAGGGCGGCACGGCCGCAACGGCAAACACAGCGAAGCAGATCCAGCACACGATGGCCCATCCGTTGCTTGCTGCGTCGTAGATCTGTCCGCCGACGATGGCGCCAATGGCACTGCTGACGGCGAAGGCGAGGTTGAGGGCTGCAAACTCGTGGATCTCACTAATGCCGGGACGGTACTTGGACGCAATGGCCATCTCGATGGACGCAATGACGTTGAGCACGGTCGCGACGCAGTTCAGCACGGCGAAGAAGACCATGAAGCCCGGCAGACTCGTCTTGAGGATCATGAGGGGCATCCAGGGCAGGACGAGAATCAAGCACGGAATCAGGACGACCTCGGGCCCAATCCTGTCGGCGAGGTATCCCGAGATGGGGCCACAGAAGAATGCGGGCGCAGCCGCCGCGAGATAGATGAGTCCGACAAAGTCGGAATCCTTGTTCCACACCTGCTCGACGCGGAGCGTGAGCGTCGCGTCGTACGCGCCAATGATGAAGCCAAAGATGAACACGAGGAGGAACGCGACAGTGCCGCGCGGGATCTTGGCGAGCGTGATCAGCACCTGGATCGGGCCGAGCTCGACGGGTTTCTCGGGCAGCATCGCGTTCTCCTCGACATGCTCGCGCGCAATGGCGGTTTCGAGCGCGCCGCCCCTCGCAATGACGTCGATGTCCTCGGGGTCTGTGGGCTTGACGTGGGGCTCGGCGCCGATCGGCTCTGAGGGAGGCGGGTGGGCCACCTTGGTGTCGCCAGAGAAGGTCGTCTTGGTCTCTGCCGTCTCCTCGCCGCGGCCCCAGTCGATGACATTTCCCTCCGCGTCCAGCTTGACGCCCCACTTGGGCAGATCCTTCCGCTCCACAACGAGGATACGTGCCGCGAGGTCGACGCCGCACACGATGATGCAGAAGATGAACGGCGCATGCCACCCGAGGTGCTTGTAGAGCGCTCCGCCGATGGGTGGGGCAATAGTCGCGCCGATGCTCATGCCAGAGACAGCCATGCCGAGATGTTTGCCCATGTCGGCCTCCGGGATGTTCTCACAGATGAGCGCGAGGCCGACACTCCACACGACGCAGGAACATGCGCCCTGCAAGAAACGGGAGACGATCATGCACCAGTAAGGGTTGGCTAGCATGAACATGACGAACGAGCCTTCCATCACCAACACGGCGACAATGAGCGGGCCCCGGCGGAAAGGGTAGCGGTGGAAGAAGAAGGCGACGGGAAAGGTGCAGATGAAGATGCCGGCGGAATAGGCAAAGAGCAGCCAGGTCATCTTGCCTGCGATGCCGGTGTGGCCGAGGGCTTGCAGACGGTAGGGGAGGACGGGGACGATGATCGCCTGGGCGTTAGCTTGCACTTCATCATAGACGCTGCCACTCGATTGGCACGGCCACGGCGGGAAACAATGATATGTCTCGCAAACCATCAGAGCCACTACGGCTGAGATGAGACAGCGAGACAGGTGCCACAGCCGATCCGCTGATCTGCTGATCCGGATGTCCCAGACAATCCGCCCCCAACGCAAAAGACACTCACATAAGCCAACACATCCATCGTGACGCCAACAGCAACAACAGCGGTGATGAACCAACTCGCACTGCGCCACTTGAGCCCCGGCGGCCGCCCTTTGGGCGTAAACACGCCAAACAGCTCTCCCATCTTCTTCCCAAAGGCCACAAAGCCGCTATGTCCGGGGTTCTTCTCGTCTCCATCGCTGCTCTTCCCGCCATGTCCGCTGAGTCCGGTGTGTGAGGCGCCAGTGGCGTCCAGCTTGCCGTCCGACTTGCCGTCCGAGCTCGAGGGGATGGTGGGCTCCAGCTCCTCCAGCTTCTCCAGCTTCTCCTCCCGCCATGCAATCGTCTTCTCCCCCTCCCCTTCTGGGAGACTGTCGGGCTTGACTTCGTATCCGTCGATGGTTGTTGTTGGGGTGTCGAGCCCAAGAGGCGCCACCCCGCTAGTCCCCGTGGGTCCGCTAGCCCCCGGTCCCGGTGGAGGGTCAGCCTGCGCAGGCTGGTTGGCGGACATTTGAGTATGTTGCCGATAATCGATCGATCTGCCTAGGCTTGCTTTTCGTGACGTTTGCTAGGTGTGCCAAGAATTTCGCAGCTCAGATTTCGTCGATCGATCCTGATCCTATCCTTTTGAGATGAGTGTGAAGTGAGAGTTCCAATCGAGTCGCGCAAGGAGTCGGGATCATGACCGAAACGCTGCATTGCAACTCTGCTACAAATCTCGGCACAGGGAGTGGGGCGGAGATTACGCCTACCTCCGGGATCAATGTCCGTCTCCGATGTTCTGCCTGAACATTCCTTCACCCAAATGAGCCTGTAAAACGGAGAAAGGCGACGGAGTGGGGCGTAATCTCCGCTGCGCCGGCGCATGGTCCGAGTGCGAGCTGGGCCTCGAACGCCCTGACATGACTCGGCTTTGCCGATCGCTGAGGCCCGCTGAGGTTGGTGGTTAAGTGGCTGAATGCAACATCTCGAGGATCGAGTCACGAGTGAGACAGTTTCGCTCACGGTTTGCTCGCACAGTGTTCGCTCACATTAGCAAGCGGCATGCATTCGTTTAAAGAATATTTACTACATATGATTCCCTTTACAAAGCCCGGCCAGCGGACTGCTGCACAACCGTATTGTCCTTAGAGGTTGCGCACATCCTCGAGCGAGCTCGAAGGGTTGGCGATGTGCAGGCGCGACGACACCGAGTCGCGGCTGCCCTGCTGCAGCCTGGCGAGACCGAGGGCATTGCGGGGAAGCGTGCCAATGTGAGCGCTCTCCATCGACTCGCGGCGGACGTGGCCGGCAAGCTGACGCATGTTGCCCTGGTTGATCGAAGGGTACTGAACAGAGGCACCAGAGACCTTGAGGCTAGGTGAGAGAGGAGACTGCGAGAACTGGAGAGGAGGGAGGCTGGGAGGGTTAACAAAGCTGTCGCGCGACGTGTGCGAGTGGGTCGAGTTGCGCTCCTCACGCGTGGCCTCCGTCTCGTGGGCGTGAGAGCGGAGCGTGGAGGTGGGCGAAATCGACTGGAACACGGGGCGGTTGACGAGCGAAGCCTCAAGAGCAGCCCACTCAGAAGCGTCCTGAGCAGCGGCAACAGAGCCAGGGGTGACAAGAGTCTTCTGGCCGTCGTCCTTGGGAGTGCCAAGGCGAGGGCTCAGGTCGACAAGCTGAGGGGTCTCCTGAACGGCAGTCGAGGCGGTGTGAATACGCTCATCAATCTGCTCGTCGTTGAGCTCCTTGGGGTCATCGAACGGGTTCTCCATCGACTCGCGGACAGAGTCGGGAATGTCAGGACCGTAAGGCATAGTCGAGGCGATGGGCATGGGGTAGACATCGGGAATGACGTTGCCGCTAACACGTCGGCTTCCCTGGCCGCGGGGGATGCGAGCGGGAAGGTCAGTGTAGTTGGCCTCGCGACGTCCGTGGTCGACGCGGTCAACACGGCCAAGACCAAAGTCGATCTCTTCCCAAGGCTGACCGTGCTGCGTGAGCTCGTTGGGGTTGCGGACCTGGGTCATGTCCTGCTGGGGCTCGTTGATAGTACCATCGTCGCCCACACCGTGGTTGCTGCCACGGCGGAAGACATTGTAGACGACGTCGCGCATGCTAGACACGAAGCTCGGGTGGCTGTCCTCGTCGTCAGCACGGCTGTGGCCCCAGCCCCAGCGGTTGCGGTTGTTGTTAAAGTCACCACGGTCCTCCTGGGCAGAGAACGAGTAGTGGGAAGCGAGGCGGCGCTGGCGCTGGCGCTTGCGGTGGCGGCGAATGAAGTAGACGAGAAGGGGAATGAGGATCAGCACACAGATGACAGTGGGAACGACAGCGGCGGCGATCGTTCCCTTGTCAGACTTGGAGTGTGCTCCAGACTCAGAGGAGGCGGCGAGCTCATTGGTGAGGTAGTTGCTCGACCAGTCAGACTGCCAGCCCCACGCCTTCTGGTCCTTGCTGCGCATGTCGAGGTAGGCCTGGTTGTCGCTGGGCGCACCGTCGAGGCTCATACCGAACGACGTGATCATAACACCAGAGGGAGTCATGACGGCGGTGTGGTAGGAGCGCGCAGTGGACGCGGCCGGCTGCAGGTGTGACGGGGCCGACCACTTCCAGCTCTTCATGTCAAGCACCGACACGAGGTTGGTGGGCGAGAACTTGCCGCCATCCTCGGTGGACCCGCCATGGAGGATGAGGACGTTCTGAGTGGGGTGCGCCACCAGGGTAGCACCGAGACGTCCAGCGGGAATGTCGCCAGAAACCTTCTGGGAAGACCAGCCTCCCTGCTTGTTCCAGACAGCAATCGTTGAGTAGTCGACGAGGGAGCCGTCCGCAGCCTGACCACCAGCGAGGTAGACAGTCTCGTCCTTGGTCTGAGCCATGGCAAAGTCGGAGATGGCAAGGTGGTCACCCGTGAGGGACGAGTCCATCTTGTTGCTCGACGCGCGATGGTCAGACGCAGGGAGAGCGATGGTGTCGGCCGCAGTGTAGGCGGACGAGGTCCTGCTGCAGACAAACTTGTCGTTGAGACCAGCTACAACGAGAAGCATGCCCTTGGCGCTACCGTTACCGATGGTGGCGGCACCAGAGCCGTGGCGACGGACGAAGCCTTCAGGCGTGGCGGACGACCAGGTCTGGGAAGACAGGTCGAGCGTGTGCGTGATGTCGTCGTCGGCGCACGAAGCAGTGACACCACCAACCACAGTGAGCTGCGACCGGTCATGCGACAGCGCCATCGAGGCGAACGCATGCGCGGGGAGACCTTCGTTGGGGCCGTTGGACCAGACTTGGGTCGACGAGTTAAGCTTAATTATGTCAGCCACGTACTCCCGTCGATTGCATCCGGTCAAGCGAAAAAGAAATCACTCACGGGCAGAACGAAAACATCGTTCGTCAACTGGTTGACCGAGTTGGACACGGCGCCGCCAACAATGTAGAGAGAGCTGTCGTCCTCATTGAAGATGGCACGGTGACCCCAACGAGCCGAGGGCGCGGCGGCCTGCGCCTGGGGAAGGTTGGAGAGGAGGAGGAAGAGCATGTTTGGGTGAAGCCTTCAAGGCGTTCGGGTGGCAGTGGCAGTTGCAATTGTTCGGACGTCGGATGTGCTTGCTAAAGACCTGCTGTAGAGAGCACGACAGACGAGAGACAAGAGGCGAGTTGCTGGCCGGCAGCAACGATGGTGGTGGGAGAGGTTTGCACGGTGACAAGACGAGGAAGGAAGAAGAAGAAGATGGCACGGGGGGATCCATCGCAATAACTAGCGGGGGAGACTGGCTGACGAGGAAGGCGACTGACTTCCTTACCAGGGCCGGTGCCTCCTTAGCCTGAGGGCGGGGAGACGAGGAGAGGGGGGAGGGGGGACAGCCATCTCTGTGCGGTGTGGGTCGGTGAGTTGTAGCGCGGTCATGAGGCGTATGACCCAATCGACGCATCCGATGCGCTATGTCTATTCAGTCAAAGAGGATATTCAGGGATCATCAACGGCGCCAAACAAATGGCTGGTCATCCAGAACGCGCTCCAAATTCCACCATCCACCGCCCAGAGTCATTCAGACAGGTCTTGGAACGGTTGATTATTTCCGAGCTCTTTTTGAAGGATTAATCCCACCCTCTGTCGATCGGATGTCACCTGACTCTGTTATCGGGTTGCTCGTGTTAATTTTTGCCACCGTGCCGCCACCATCCCACGTGGTAGCTTGGACCCTGCCCCCTCCTGCAAAAGTTCACCAGCTCGTTGAATCCCTCCTCCCCAGATTCCACCCGGCTGCTCGCCCTTCTTCCTCCAACTCCCCTTCCTCGCCAATCCTCCCATCTTCGCCCGTCTCGCCCGACCTCGTCACTCAAACAGCTGTCGTCGACTCTGTCCTTCGAGCTCTCATCTTCCAAAACTAACCCACTTCAAAAGACCCTAATTTCCGGTCACTCTCTCCTTTTCTGTCTCACTAGTTCCCATTTCCACCCACCACCCCGCATACATCATGTCCGTCGAGGAGACCAAGCCTGTTGTTGAGGTTGCCGAGGCCAAGCCCGTCGTTGAGGAGGCCAAGATGGAGCTCCCCGTCGTCGAGGGCAAGACCCCCGAGGAGGTCCAGGAGGCCCTTGAGAAGTCGGCCGCCCAGGGTGAGTGTCACATTGTTGTTGACTCGGAGCGTTAGTGCTAACTTGCCGCAGTGGCCTTCTACTTCTCCGACTCGAACCTTCCCCAGGACAAGTTCTTCTTCTCCCTCACCCAGTGCAACCCTGAGGGATGGGTCCCCATCAAGACCATCCTCACCTTCAAGCGCATGCGCGACTACTCCCCCATCGGTGTCGCTGGTGTCGCCCAGGGTCTCCGCCAGGTTATTGCCTCGGAGGGCGACGACCCCCTCCTCGCCGTTTCCGAGGACGGTGCCAACGTCCGCCGCAAGCGCCCCCTTGAGCCCAACTCGACCATTTGGAACCGTTCCGTCTACGTGAAGGGCTTCGGCGAGGGAGACAACGACGCCAACTCGCAGGAGAAGATTGAGGAGTACTTCAAGCAGTTCGGAAAGGTCAACGCTGTCAGGAAGCGTCGCGGTGACGTCGAGGGCAAGGGCGACAAGGGCAAGGGCAAGGGCGCCTTCAAGGTGAGTAGTGTGCTTGGGCGACCTGCGTGTGCGCGATTGTGTCTGTGCTAACGTGCTAGGGATCTGTCTTCGCCGAGTTCGCGTACCAGACCGACGCCGACAAGTTCCTCGAGCTTGAGTCGATCCCCAAGTTCGGCGAGGAGGACATGCAGAAGATGTCGAAGGATGCCTACGTCAAAATGAAGGCTAAGGAGAAGGGCATTCCCGAGAATGAGATCTCGCGCGGAAAGCAGGACAGGAACAAACCCACCAAGTTCAACGCTTTCCGCGAGATGGAGCGCCAGAAGAAGGGTCTCAACCCCTCGCTCGCCAAGATCCCCAACGGTGTTGAGATCGTCGGCGAGGCTCCCTCGTTCGAGGGCAAGAAGCGCCAGCGTGAGGACGACGAGGAGGGTGGCAAGGGCAAGCAGCAGAAGAAGAACGAGCCCGTCACCATCGAGTACCTCGGCACCACCCTCGACGTCGACACCGAGAACGGCACGCTCGCCGACCCCTCGCAGCTCAAGTTCACTGACGGCGCGTGCATCAAGTTCTCCGCCCCCGGCGAGGGCTCTGACTGGACCAAGCTGAAGGAGGCTGTCATTGCCTCTGCCGTCATCGAGGCTCCCTTCATCAACTTCCCCCCCAACTCGACCTCTGGTGTCATTGCCAAGTCGGACAACGGCGCGATCACGGACGACGAGCTCTCCAAGCTCAACGCCGCCTCGATCACTTACGGCGACAAGCCGGTCACCTTTGAGCGCCCGACCGAGGAGGAGCAGCGCGCGTTCTGGACGAAGCGTGCCAACTTCCAGGCCTCGCGCGCCGCCAAGGCTGCGCAGGACAAGGCCCGCGCGGACAAGTTCCGCGGCCACGGTGGACGCGGCGGACGTGGTGGCCGCGGCGGCAAGTTTGGCGGCAGGGGCCGCGGACGTGGCGGCAAGTTCAACCGGGATAACAGGAAGGACAACAGGGCCGACTCGGGCCTCCCCCCAGCCGTCGGCGCGGCTAACTAGAGTGTCTGAGACTATGTGACTTGTGCTACTATGCGGTGCGCAGCGAGCGAAGCGAGCTGCAACGGTACTGACCGAGCGTAGCGAGGCCAGCGGGCATCGACATGACATCTGATTGACGGCAGGGAGAGAGGCGACACTTCGGTGGCGACGGCCAACGGGCGGAGCATGCGTTCGACGCAGTGCGACGTGCACAGACAGAAGCGTTCTTCATCGACTCGAAAACAGTCACCCCAACACTTTGCCGGTCGTGCGCCCTCCGCGTGCCAGCCTTAATAGCAACGTGATGACCAAGATCTGCATCGGGCCCATCAGGCCGAGGTGGTCGGGGCACTGACGACTGCACAGCAAGCACTGACGTCTGACTAACCATCTTCTCATCGTTAGGTCAGTTCTGCATCGATCAAACTGCACTCCAATCGACGAGCTTTGTCCACGCACCCCTCTGCGTCCTTCTTTGCTCCGTCACCAGCGCCGATCGCACACCAGAGGCGACGAGCGGTCCAGGCCAGGCGTTGCGGACAATAGAGACCCGCATTGTTCACCCACCCCCGCGCTCCGGGCTTATCTCAGCTGACCTGTCCTCTAGTTGTCACCTCTCCCGTCACCTCCCTCGTCACCTCTGCTTTCCCAAAGTGGTCTCTCTAGCAGGAAAGAAGATATATCAGGATGACCCGAGACACGTCCCCGATTCGGGGCTGTTTCGCGCTCAAGTCAACAGTCAATCCGCCCCGGCACCTCCCCTCCGAGCATTCAGCTTCGTGCCCCAAGTGTCCCGGCCATCCGCTCCTCACTCCCGCCGAACAGGAATCCTTCGCGAAAAAGGAGCAGACCGCGCTCGAGAAACAGAAACGACAAGTCGAAGGCTACCTCAAGAAGATCGGCAAGTCGTCCTCCACCTCTCCCTCTCCACCTCCACCTCTTCCACCGAGCCACTCCGTGCAGTGGGCGTCCTACCTCTCCGCCCTGCAAGCAGCGCAGGAATCACAACGCGCAGCCGAGTGGCCGCGCACCGAAGCCGACTGGCTCGTATACGCCAAGCTCCTCGCCGCCTCCAAGGCTACGACCCACCCACCACCCGCGCCCCCACAGGACGGCAGTATGGAGGCATGGCAAGCCTACGCGTCCGTGGCGGCGTATCAGGCGCAGCAAGCGCAGAAGGAGTGGGAGAAACACCTCGCGTCCCAGGTCGCTGCGGCCGAGGCGGCGTCAGCCGCGAGTGCTAAGGTCTGGGCCGTCCGGGCCGCTGACGCAGCCAAGGCGGAGAAAGCGAGAGACCTCGAGACACAGCGCTGGATCGCACTCACGATGGCGAAGGAGGCGAAAGCTAGGCGGGAGAAGGCGGAAAGAGAGGCGAAAGAAGCCAAGGAGAAAGCGGCCAAGGAGGCCAAGGAGAGGAAGGAGAGGGAGAAGAAGGAGGCGAAAGAAGCCAGGGACAAGGCCGCGAAGGAGAAGAAGGAAGCCAGGGACAAGGCCGCGAAGGAGAAGAAAGAGGCGAAAGAAAGAGAACGGAGAGAGAAGGAGATAGATAAGATATGGAAGGGGGCGAGTAAGGGGAAACTTTCCAAGGGCGGGCCCGCGTGAGTCACCTTCTTCCTTCTGCCACATTCTGCACCTTCGTACCGACAGCTCACTGAGGTTCACGTAGCTGACTTCAGGCCCGCGGCGTGGAACGGATTCGCGGATCTCCCACCGGCAGACTTTGCCTGGCGCCGGCCCCTCGATGCCGACCACTGGCCCTGGCCGAGGGGAAGCCGGACGTACACGGCCGCAGCGCACGAGTACGCCATGACGCTGGACGCGAGCCGGAGGGGACATGTTTCGACACTATAAGCTAGGCTGTATGCATGCTATCTACTTGCTGGGTTTCACTACAACAAGAAGGGTTCTCGGGTCTAGATGCCACCCCTGCGCCGCGGCGTCGCGCTCGTCCTCGACCCAGCGCCGATACCTGCCCGCCGTGGGGTGGCTCCGGCCCTAGCGGGCGTGCCGACGCCGCCGATCCGCGGTGTCCGCGCCGCCTTGGCGATCTTGTCGGCCTGGGCGCGCTCGCGCTCGTCCCGCTGCCGCGCCATTTCGGCCTCCATCTCGGTCTTGCGCGAGAACTCCTTCTGTGCACGGGCACGCGCGAGACCGTCAAAGTTGCGCTCGCGGATTGAGAAGAAGACGCCACCGAGCTCGGCGAGCCAATACGGATCGACTGAGGTCACGCACATCATATACTGCTTCGATGTGAGAACCACTGGGGACTGTTAGCAGCTGAACGGTTGGATAACATGGGGAAGGCAACTTACACTCGTGGTACACGACGTAGTCGGGCATGTAACCTAGACCGTACAGCGCTGACGTCGGGTGCAACACACACGGCAGGCCAGTACGAATGTTGACATACTCGCCCAGGTTCTTGACGCGCGCCGCTTGGTGGAAGTATCCGGCCGCAATGCATTTTCTGCCATTAATTAACGCGCGAGAACGCTCAACTCACCTGACAATGTCCCAGTCGGTGCCACACGACACGATCGGAAGCTTCTGCGCCTTCATAATGTCCTCGAGCTGGCCGCGGACCTCGCGCGCCTTGCGCAGGATCTTCGGGTGCAGGAAGTGCTTCATGCACCACTGGTCCTTGAAGCCGTTGTTCTTCCACTGTGTGTAGACGTGCAGAAGCGTAAGGTGGTCCGACTCGGGGACGAAGAACTTCTCGCGCGCGGCGTCACTCTCCTCGGCACGCTGCGGGGGACGGTAGAACACGCTCGGGACCGAGAGCATGGATACGATCGTGAGCATCTCAGCACTGCAGTTGTGCTTCGTCGCCACGATGAGCATCTTGGCCAGACTCGGCTCCATCGGGAAGTCGCTCATGATCCGGCCCTCATCGGTCAAGTCGCCGACGTTGTCGAGTGCGCCCAGCACCCACAGCTGGAACATTGAGTTCAGAATATTCTCCTGCGGCGGCGGGTCCATGAAGTCGAACTCGAGCAGGTTCTTCACACCAAGTGTCTTCAGCTGCAACACCGTGTTCGCCAAGTTCGTACGCTGAATTTCGGGAATATTGTTTGGCAGCAGCTCGTTGAGGTACGCGATCTCCGTGTACATGCGGTAGCAGTATCCTGGACCAGTACGACCGGCACGACCAGCACGCTGTCCGGCGTTCGCCTGGGAAATGGGCGTGATCTGGAGTGCGTCCATACCGACCTTCGGGTTGTAGATCTTGACCTTGGAGAAGCCGCCGTCGACGACGTACAGGATACCGTCGACGGTCAGGGACGTCTCCGCAATATTCGTCGCCACGATCACCTTGCGCCGCCCGTCAGGCGTTGGTTCGAAGATCTTCGCCTGCAAGTCTGCGGGCATTTGCGAATAAATGGGCAGAACCGCGAGTGGTGGCGGATCGTCGAGCGTCTCCAGTCGCTCTTCCACAACGGCGCAGGTCGTTTCGATGTCCTCTTGACCCGTCATAAATACGAGGATGTCGCCCTTCGGGTGCGTTAGGTGGATCTGCAACACCTGCTTGATCGCGGCATCGACGTAGTCCTCGCAAGGCGACTTGGAGTGGTAGATTTCGACAGGGAAGGTACGACCAGGGATCGTGAATTGGGCGGCGTTTCCGAAGAACTTTGAGAACTTGTCGGCGTTCATCGTCGCCGACGTCACGATCAGCTTCAGGTCCCGGCGGCGCATGAGAATTTTGCGGAGCAGACCCATGAGAATATCGGTCGACAGAGAGCGCTCGTGCGCCTCATCTAGAATCAGGACAGAGTACTTGTCGAGGTCCGCGTCGTTCAGCGACTCTCGCAGCAGAATACCATCGGTCATGACTGCCGTTAGCTTCCGCAGTCCGGGCTTAGGGACTCACACTTGATCTTCGTTTCCTTGGTAGAGCAGTCCTCGAAACGGATGGAATATCCGACGGTCCCTCCAAGCTCACAGCCAACCTCCTCACTGACACGCTTCGCCACGGACATGGCCGCGACACGACGCGGCTGAGTACAGCCGATGATGCCATTGGCGCAATATCCGTCCTCGTACAAGAACTGGCCCAGCTGCGTCGTCTTTCCGGAACCAGTCTCTCCGATGACAACGATGACTGGTTGTCAGTTTAGCGACGGCCCTCAAAACTCACCTTGGTTGTCACGAATAGTCCTCATCAGCTCTTCCCGGACAGCGAATGCCGGAAGGTACTCTCGCTGCTGCTTCAACGTCCGCGTCCGCGCAAAGTCGGAAACTCCGTCGTTCTTCTGCAGATGCGTCGCGAACTGTGATCCAGCCTTGTAGTTGTTCTCGTCGACCTCCTTGCCCTCCTCACCGAGGTCGGGTTCGTCCTTGACACCCATGAGGTTACCCAGGGTCGTTCCAGCCATGGAAGCGGCTTTGGCCGCGGCGCGCTCTCGCTCCTTCCTGTCTCGTCGCTCGCGAACGAGAGCACTTCCCTTCCGGGAGAACTGCGCCATGTCGCTGGTGACATCCTTGACCGGAGTCACTGGCTCCAACTGCTTGGTATACGCAGTGCGTCCATCGAGGAACGGCGGCTTCAGGTCATGCACCAGCACGTGCACCTTGGATTCTGGGTCGTCTTCGAAGTCCTCGTCCAAGTCACCGGCTTTCATGACACCCGACGTCAACATTCGGTTGTTCTCCCACTTGTCGGTGTCGGCATTCTGATGTCAGCTCAGGTCGAGACATTGCCATCACTCACGTATTGAGCTTGCCTTGCTGTTTGTCGCTTGGCAACCTTTTGCTCCATCTCCGCCTCTTTGCTCGTCTCAAGGTTGCTCCACTGGGCAAACGGATTGTGCTCCTCATCGCCGGCAACGGCGCCCTCGTCGTCGTAACTGTACCAGTCGCGATCCAGGCGCATCTGCTCTTCCTCCCACTCTTTCGCATCGACCTCGAACACGGGCGAATCGTCTCGGCTCCTGCTAGGCGTTTCATCCCAGCCGCGACTCCGTCCTGATGGTCCTGGGCCACCGTCCCAACGTCTTCCGCTAGGGGTTTCATCCCACCCACGGTTCGGGACACGCATGCTCCCTCCATCGTACCGGCGGTCTTCCCTTGGAGTTGGCTCATCGCTCCAGTTCTTTCCACTGCGACGCTCGTAGCCACGATCGTCTCGTCGGTCCTCCCGATCGCGGTCGTACCCCCGGTCGCGGTCTCTCCGATCGTAACCCCTGTCGCGGTCTCGGTCCTGCCAGCTGCCCTTGTTGAGCTTCTCCTGGAAGTCTCCGAACCCACGACGCTCCTCGCGTTTGGGGACGGCAGCGGACGTCTGGGTCTGAGGCTTGTTCTTTTCACGTCGTCGAGCTTCTAGCCGTTGACGGGCAATCTCGGACAGTCCACCTCCGTGACTCGGCGTCTCCTCAGCCTTGACACGGGTGTGCTCGCGCTTGACAGGGACAGCAGGAACTTGTCGTCAGCACATGAAGACTTCAGTGCGACTCACCCTTGAACACTCCACTAGCACCCTCTTCCGGCTCCTCCACCTTGAAGCGCTTGCTTGGAGGCTCACTAGCTTGGGCGCGCTTCTCCGCGGCCAGCTTGTCGAGACCCAGAAGACTGGCTCGAGGTGCGGGTGTCTTAAATTTCGGCGCCGCCCCACTTGGTCGCAGTCCACCCTTCCTCCGCGGCTCAGCTGCAAGAACATCCGAGTCCTCGTGATCCATTCCGGACATGGAGCCGCCCGAGGAAGCCGAGGCGAGGGCGTCGTGGGCCAAGATCCTCTGGTGAAGCGAGAGCACCGCGTCAACCGGGAACTTGCCGAAAGTCCCCATCGCTGCTTGTCAGCCTTGATTAGAAGACAGCTGAACGCACCCTTTGTGAATGAATCTCCAGTGCGGTTTCCCCTAGCGATGTCGATAACTCTCTGGGCGAGGAGATCGTTCGGTGTCACCATGTTCATCAAACGGGACATCTACGGTTGTCAGCGAACGCCGATGTCGATAAACTCACCTCGACGGCGACGCCGTGAGTAAAGCTGTCCACGCCTGAGTCATTTTTATCGCTTTCCGACATGTCTGCGGCCGAAGTTGAGTTGGAGATGGCTCTCGTCACTTGTTCCTGCGCGGACAGCGAGGAGACGAAGGAAGAGTGGAGGTTGCTTCTAGTCGGCGGCAACACCGTAGAGATATTGTTGTCATAGAACGGACGGAACCAATTTTTCGGATGATCGATCTGTTATCAGACCCTCGATCTGCTCCTATCTCTTTGCCATCTCCGAGGACCAGCACGCGACATGGACAAGCGTAACGCGTCTGCCTGCGAGGTAGCGCGTAAGGCGCTGCTCAAAAAGGGTCCCGAAGAGCTCATCTCTGGGTGAGCTACCCGCTTAGCCTTGGCTGACATCAGGACAACTCTGACAGACGCTATCGATTTTGTTTGTGCACCAGGCGAGGGATCGGAGGATGTCCTCAGCCGCCTGGCGTACCTCACCGTCCTGTGTCGACAGATCACAAAGTTGTCTTCGATACCCCAACCTTTGCTTGGAGCTGTTGTCGACAAGCTGGGTGCTGCCTTGGAGCCCCGTGCTCCTTTAGGCATGCTCTTGAGCCAGGGCCTGGCAAATACGACCAAGCCTCATCCTCAACGCGCGGGTGAAGCTCTGACAGCCGTCGTGCGGCTAGCCTCCCATTTGAACCATGAGGAGATCCTGTTCCCGCTCTGGTCGGACACCCTCCGCCAGGATCTCAGCGTTCGTTCGACTCTCGTAACCCTTGGACATCTGGTCGACAGCATCCCCGCTCGTTTGGTCCCGACCGACCTTATGCCTAAGCTTCTGGAGGACGTGACAAGCTCTGATGGTGTTTCCAGCGTCCGTGGAACCCTGCTCGCGAAAATTCTGGGACGGGAGCGTGCAGGGCGCGCGGACGCCGCGGCCGACAGGGCCATGCTTCGCCCTTTGCTGCCAAAACTCGTGACGGAAGATGGAGAGGACGTAGTGGTCGTCAGCCGCTACCTCCTACCTCCGCTCGTGGCTGACCACCCGAGTGCTCTGAAATCATTGTTAGGACTGTTGGACGAGGCTGCCAGCGAAGGGAGGGAAGACGAGTGCTACGCTGCCTGGATCATGGTTGCCGCATTCGGGGTCCAGAACGGTCTGACCTCTCTCGCAGATCTGGATCAGGAGAAGCTGCAGGAGGCCTTGTATCATGCCAACTACAGGCTGCGGATTATGGCGTTCGAGCTTGTTACCGGTAGCAAGGACTTACTGGAGCGTAAGGTCATGAACTTGATCGTGCAAGGTTTCGAGTGGAATGAAGGGCTTCCTCAAGCTGGGTGAGGATGAGGTTGCTGTCCGACGCTGACAGACAGTGGACGTACCGACATGAGCTCCGCGGTGTATCAGTTTTTTAAAAGGCTGAAGGACCTGCAGAATGCAACGGTGCGCGACGCCAAGCGGCCGAAGACCACACCGCAGCAGCGAACGATCTTGGAGCAACGCCTAGCTGTGGCTGGAGCTTTCCACGCGTGGTTCGCCGACGAATACATTACGCCGGCGATCCTGGCCTGTCGCGAGACTCCTGCTGTTCGCACCATCTTTGCGCTGAACCTTCTGAAACGCTACTTGGACGTCTTCAGCGGGCAGCCGGAGGGGGCGTACATCTACACCCCGACGCGCGTTCGAGCGCTGGTTGCCTGTCAGGCATCTGAGTTCTCCGAAATGCGAACATCAGCCAGGGACGTGTAAGTCTGCGGCGAGCATATCAGTCATTGACAATCAGCATCGCTCAGTCCCCTCTGCCTCTTCCAGGATTTGAACCCGGCAGCGTTGAGGCAGAGGAGCTGCTGTCCGCCGCAAAGTTGTCCATCAACCATCCCAGAAACACCCAGGCCGAGGCTGGCCGGGCGGCTCTCAGCATTCTGTTCACGAAAGTCATTCAGCCTCAGGGTAACGACGCTGCTGCTTCTTTCCTGGAAGGCATGTTGCAGTTGTTGGAAAGTCACCTCCAGCGCTGCGAGGCGGATCTTGCGAGCGGAATTGTTGAGTTCCCGCTGCACGGACTCCTGAGCGCCATTGCGTATGTTTGCACATCAACGATTTGCTTCTGACAACAGTGAACTTGTTCAGTGTCTCGATACCGCTACTCCTGAGGGTCAGTCGAAGTGGTCACCCTTCCTCCACCAGCTCTTCGGTATCATCGAGCGAGTTTGGGCTATCACTTCGAAGGTCATCTCACTGGGCCCCGAGACTGAGGACAAGACTGCTGCTCACGAGATCGCTAAAGCTTACGACGTACTCGGGGACGGCGATGATGAGGACGAATTTGATCACACCGGCCTCCTGAGCGGCTGTTGGCGAGCAACCAAGGAAGCCAGTGACATGCTGGCAGCCATCATCACCGCGCCGCTGAGGGTCCCGGAACAGAAGGTCTGGTCGCGGTCTGAAGTCGACCATGCCGGTCACCACTTCCTCATGTGGCTGCAAGAGGTTCGACACAGAGGAACGTTCTCAAAGATTGCGCCGGCGTTCGGCTCGGTCGTGGACGCTGTGCGTAGAACGGAGATGAAAGACCTTGTGAAGGAGTGGTTGGATGTGAGTTTTACACTCTCCATGCAGTGATCTAACCACAGACCGAGCTTTACACCATAGGTAAGGGGCATATCTCCACCCTTCGGAGATCGGCTGCTCTTCCTTACACAACTTTGGCCCTGGTGTCCACAGATGCCGACCTGTTGGAGTACACTGTCAACGCGCTGGTGACTATGGCTCGTCTCGACACTCCCTCACCCGATGCTGCCAAGGTCCACGCCTTGAACTGTCTCAAAATCCTTCTTCTGGATGCTAAGCACTCCAGGTATCTGGAAAGGTACTTCGAGAGGGCCGTGACCGTCGCGTTGCAGGCATTTGGCTCGCCCAAGTACGTCGTGCGGCGGGGAGTACTGCTGACCCCTCAGTTGGAACGTTCGAAACGGTGGCCTGATCATCTTCTCTACCCTTTCACACCGACTGCTGAACCACAATCCTCGATCACAAGGCGATGCTGGAACGAGAGCCGCACTGGCGAACCGTCAGACTTTGGCGTCGTGGGTTCGGAAGTACCCAACACTTATGCCGTGGATCAACGATTTCCTTGTCCGCAACCGCCGCGCTGGACCGACAGGCTTGGGCGAGCACTCGCCGTTGTTCCCCGTACTCATTATTCTGAGATCTCTTCGTTGGTCTCAAGACGGTGCAACCGAAGCTGCTCAACTCTGTCCCATCGTTGAGGCGTACCTGTCCAACCAGGACATTCAAGTCAGAGCTGTGGCTAGCCAAGCCCTTTCGAGTCTCCTGAGTCCCGACCAGGCCGTCGAGAAGGCGAAGGTGACAGCGACTCGCATCTCCCACTCGTCAATGGATCTCAATCTGGTCCACGGGCGACTCCTGTTCCTGGAGCATCTGATCACGGACGTCATCGAGTGGGAGACGGTTTCCAACGAAGACCGACGTATTCTCGAAGACCGGATGCGCGAATCGCTGTGGCAACAACGCAACCCCACCATCGTAACTGCCGCTGTTGATTGCGTGAACGCGTACACCTCACTGGTCGAGCCTCTCACGCCCTCCTTACCGTCAATCATCAAGGAGATCGCTCTGTCGTCCCTCAGGAGGCCAAGCGCCCCCGGTGTTGATCTCCTCTGCGCCAGCGCTGCGAAGGCCTTGCTGTCCTCGAACCTCGCGGATCTACTGCACCCTGCGATGCCTGAGGATGCCCACCTTGCCGCTCTGGAGCACCTTGGTGCTGCGGACTACACTCCTGCTGCATTGAAGGCACTCATGAAGCTGTGTCGGTCGCCGGTCGGCGACGGCGTGCATACTGCCGTCTTCGACGTTCTCGCTTCTTGGCCGCTTGATGCAGAGTTCGAGGAGAACCGGGAGGTCATTGCGGACATCGTATGGAAGCGATACCAGAGCACACGTTGCGTGCCTTTGAAGGAGGCGGCATTGGCGGCCATGGGTCGTGTCAGTGCCGGCCAAGACGCTGAGCGTGTCGCGAAGCTGGCCGCGCTCGTTGCGGAGGCGGCTGCGGAGGAGCGAGTGAGTTGATATCCTGCTATAGTTGAATTATACTGACCTCAGGCCGAACCCAGCCGAATGGCCGCTCTGCGAAGTCTCGAGAGCATGGTAGACGTCCTGTATGGCTCACCTTCCAGCTCGCGGACTGTCCTGCAACGTGCACTCCTCGCTCTACTGCAGGACGATGATCTTGAGATCCGGCAGGGAGCAGCGGCGATCGTGCAGCGAGGGCTGCGTCTGAAGCGCCCCGTGGTGCAGCAGAAGGCCGTTGAGCTTTGGTGGTCTTGGCTTGAATCACAGCTCGTTGACGCGGCCGAGCGCGCGCAATGGGAAGAGTGGCTCTGGACCAAAGCCCTGGACATCGATGGCGCGGAGTCTGACTTCGCGCTCCTCAGTGCTGCTGATAACACAACTGAGCTGTTCGTGGAGGAGCCTCCGAACATCTTCCGTAACGAGCTCATTGACGTTAAGTACGCCTCAGCCCTACTCGCCAAGCTCGGTGCGAAAAATCTAAAGACGGCAGACGCTATTCAGGCGCACGACCGGGTTTATGGGAATGGCGTCATCGAACCCAGCTGGGTCGTGCGCGAGAAGGCTCGACGTAGGCTCGAGTGTATCTTACGACTAGCATAGACGTGACATTCGCATGTATGGACTATCTTTCTATCGCTCGTTGCGGTTCGCCTCCTTCATCTTCTCAACAGAAACCGCTCAGGCGATATCAGCAAGCGGTCAGACGAATGGTGCAAACATGCCGGCTTAGGTAAGCCACACAACCGGCTGACGTGATAGGGATGATAGCTCAGTTGGGAGAGCGCGAGAGTGAAGATACTCAATTCTTGAGGTCGGGCGTTCGATCCGCCCTCGTCCCACACCCAGAGTCTGCCCGCCTGATCCTTCGGGAGCTGGTTCAAGGGCAACATTGTGTTTTGCCAGTCAGTCGCTTCATCTGAACAGAAAGGCCGGTAGACCGGAGAACCTCAATGCAACGCCATGGACCTATGCCTCTTGCCTTGCCTTGCAAGCGAAGTGCAGGCTGTGTGTAAGAAGTCCCGGCCCCCCAGAAGGGTTCTGGAAACCATGAGCAGAAAGTTATCCAACTCTCAGATTCAAGCAGCACATAGGCGAGGGACCATCACATTTGCCATCGAACAGCACGTCTCGAACCAGACGACCAGGCGGTGCTTACGACTCGTCTCCTAGGCATTGACGGCCATTGTCTCGTCGCCGACGGCGTGTTCCTGAGTGGCCGCGGCCCTGAGCCCGAGCCCAGCTCGATAGCTCGACACCAACTGGGCGTTTGTACTATGCTACGCTGGTTGTACTGGCACAGGAGGGTGGGCCATAAATCTAGTCTTGACGAGGTGCGCTGGAATCTCGAGCCTGTAACTATCTTAGTGCTGCATCATGGTGCCAACGGCCAGCGCTTATCACATCACCCGCCACTTTCACTTTGAGGCTGTTCCTCCGTTCCTCAACTTTATCGGCCTGCTCAATCTGACCTGGCTCTTGCTCTGGGTATCCCTCAGCGTTTCCCGAGGCTTATCAACACCCTACTTGCGGCTTCGGCGTCGTCATTGCGACCGCATGGCCAGGTCTGGCCTGTCAGACGGCCGTTGACACCAACAAGCCAGCTGAGCTACAGCCAGACGAGATCTGGTAATGGCAGCGCAAAGCTACCATACTCTGAGACGACCAAACGTAAGGTAAGGCAGCTGTATGACATAAGCCGCGGAGCTCGGGCTAACAACCCGATTCTTCGGTTATGCCATGGACGCCTCCACTGGTACTACTGTACAAGCCTCTCGATCAGAGTGTTTCCTCCTCTGCTGCAAACTTCAGCAGCGTGGAGAGGCGAGTGGAAGCTCTGTGCTCTGTAGCGGAGGAAGGATTACTTCTGCTAGTTAAGCTGTAGAGTTGTTTCAACCAGTATATCGAGAGCAGCGCGAGACCTGGGTAGATGGCAGGAAGTAACGCCCTACCGATTGCAGTGCGCAGTCAACGTAAGGATGAGCTTTCGATCGCATGCTCGTAGATCCTTCAGCTTATCCGACAAGGTTCTCGGTCTGCGCATGGGTGTCTGGTATTGAGCTTCGATACCGTCGGACCAATGTTCTTTGGTGCTGGGGAGAAGCAGCGGATGTTACTTCGTTTCGGCGATGTTTGGGTAGGGGCTACCAAAGACCAACCGCGAGTGCAGTGGCTGATCGCCGTATGGCACCGCCGCAAACTGAACCCAACAGCTAATGCTGTGCCCTCAATCTTGGACCTGGTAGACCAGGAGTGGCATAGAGTTGGATACCGGGAGTGATCGCTATCTGTACTTCGCCGAGGAACGGCGCACACACTCCCACGGTGCTCACGTACTTTCTCGTACGCAATGCTCCTTTGTGTGCAAAGGGACTGCGCGACAACAACTCTGCAACAGCGAAAGCTCTCAGTGAGCTCTTCTGATACTGGCTGACAGTGGAAACGTCGTATTGCATCACGCCCAGCTCCCGCACCAGATCCAGGAAGCTGGGACAGGAAGACTGGGAAATGCTGGAGATGTACGCATACACCTGCTGAACCCTGTGAACGTAATTTGTTACATACGGGAGCTGGCCCGACAATCTTATCTCCTCATCGACGGATAGAGTTCAGCACCCCCTTGACAACAGCCAGCGGTAGTTCGCCGCTCCTGACAACGACAGCATCACCGCCTCCGACGACGCCGTCCATGCCGCTTCAGCGCGGCCGCCCGCCGCGCCTGTCGCCGTCCTTCCACCCTGGCGTCTCGTTCACCTGGATAGCTCATGTTCCCGAGCAAATCGGATTCGCTGGAACACTTCCTCATGTTTAGAGTGTGGCTTATGCACCGCATACACAGGCTCTGGCTCATACCCTATCCGCAGCGGGAAAGCGTTAAGCATGCCCTCCTAAATCTTTTTAGACTATAGGCTGGCAGTGGCCTAATCCTAAGTTGGACACATGTCTGCGGATGAGATCACAAAATTGACGATAAACAAAGGAAGAGGGGCCACGCTATATTCGAGGTTCCCCCTCGAACGACAACAGGAGAGAATGATGGGTAGCAAAAGGCGCGGATGGCGCCTGACGATCTCGCATGATTGAGCATCGCTGACGGCCACCGGTCTGACAGCCTTGTCATCTAAGGATCTGATGTAGAACGGAAGTAAACGTCGCCGGGCCGATGTCTGACGTCTGGGGTATCCGACCGAGGGTTCGCATCTGCAGGATAACGAAGCCTTATGTCACATCAGCATTCCAGTCGTCAGTGGTGGCTCTGCTCTGCGTCCTAAACATAGGGCCAAAGCTGAGGGCGGGATAGCGCATCATAGCGCAAATCACCACACGTGAGCGGGACAGCTGCCTTCCTCTGATACCACGCACGATCTCAGCCCACGCTCGCCGTTCCCGGAGCTGGAGAGCACCTCTCGGAGGTTTGCCAGTGCATCGTCTGCACAGCTACGACGCTGCGGCCATCGGTGTCTTCTCCGTAGCCCCTGTCCCGCTGTGCCGATCGGCAGCCTGCTCAGGTTCGAGCTCCAGCGTCCGTTATGCCGATGCCGTGTCGATCCGATTCCCAGACTCACCTCCTCAGGCGTTGCGGCGAGATCAGATCAGGTCGCAGGCTTCCTGACCTACCCACACCGCTGGATGAAGTAAGCCCTGCACCTCATGGTCCACAAACGATTGAACCCTTCGCTCACACCTCCTTGACAACGTCGGCAAGCTGGTCTCGAACGTCTTTGCGACGTTCCCGACGTGACAGGGCAGTTCTTGACCTCCTTGACGATGGTCTTGCTCTCGGGTGCTTTGGGGGACGTTTTGAGTCTCCTCAAACCATGGGTTGACGAGTTGGGAGACGTTGAAAGGTATATAAGAAGTCGAGGGAACCTGTATCGGAAACCAACAACGTCTCACGACCTCCCCTCGCGAATCAAGCAAAAACATCTACCTCACTCTCAACCCTTGTCCACACTTTCACACCATGGTCGCCACCTCTTTCATGACTGCTCTTGCACTTGCGGGTGCCGTCGCTGCTGCTCCCACCAGCGGAAGCTACAGCCCGAAGCCCGGAGATCTTCCTGCCTCCCTGAAGGTCGTTGACACCGACCTCTGCCTCGACAACGCTCACGGTAACACCAACATCGGTAACCCGATCAACGGATGGTACTGTGAGGGTCCCTCCAACAAGAAGCAGGGCTGGTTCCGTGAGAATGGCAAGCTCCGCCTGGCTGGTGTCGAGGACAGGTGTATTGGTGGTAAGTTTGAACGCCCTTGCCATTCTGTAAAACGAACGCTAACATGCAGTGAACAAGCAGGATCGTCTCGTCCTCGCTTCGTGCACCAAGAACGGACCCGAGATTAAGACTGTCACGTTCGGCTTTGGTCTCCCCAGCGAACAGGCTTCCACCCCCGGCGAGGGTGCTTACCTGTGCACCGACGTCGCTGCTGTCCCCGGACGGATCGTTAAGGCTACGTGTGTCAAGGCGCCCGTGGCCGGTGTCCAGGTTCAGCTTGTGTCCGGCCCGCCCGGCACTCACACCCCGATCTCGTGGCAGGACGGCGCTGCCGGTGTCTACAGGGACACTTCCGCTCCTCACTACCCGGTCAACCCTAACATCGAGTAGGAGTAAGCATATTGACCAACCGCATCACAATACGAAGGCAGCAATACAACAACGACAAGCTGTTTGACACAGCGAAATGACATGTATAATCTCTTCCCAGCGATGATCACCTAGACGAGCGACTAACCGACTAACGTTCTCGCGTTCTCATTCAGCGTACTGCTCAGAAAAGCACAAGACAAAGCCGTCCCAGACCGCTCAGCTGGACGTTTGTTTGTGTCAATGGTGACAACAGATTAAGGTTTCGTTATCTTACGGCACGCTCATATCGTGGGCTCCCCATGACGTAAACCCCAATAACTACAGCCATATCATCTTCGGCGATTCCCCGATCATCGAGGCCTCCGCTCTGTGACCCCTTGGTGCTGGGAAGCTGAGGAGTCCATGTCGAACCGTTGTCCCCATCCAGACGATCCTCAGCATCATGGTCGAGTAAAGTCCAGGTAGTGAACCGTTGCTCGGCGATAGTACGCGCCCACGCTTGGATATAGCTGCAGGGTGAGTCAAACATACCGTGCGGCGTTCCTAGGAAATCCTGAGAACGGGCGCTCCGTCAAACTCAGAAACCCAAATCACTATCGGAGCTCGTTGGCGCTGAGCCGACCTCGCATGGCTAGGGAATGCGGAAGGAGTCGAAAACCATCCCCTCCACGGGTACGCATAACCGCCCGCACGATACGAGCGGACCAACTCTCGCTCTGGGTCCCGGAAGCGGGCTCGTACTTGAGACGTCCGTTGTTTCGGGACGAAGCTAGCAGCTTAGAGTAGACTATCCTGTGCTCGGATGTTCAACGCGGGATGCTAAGTCTGCATAGACTTCGTAGTCTGTCGCTCACAAGGATGTCCCGTTGCTTCAGCGTCGACCACATGAGAGCCCAACCGATCAACCGATGCGAAGGCGGCGGTGCGGTATGCTGTCGGGAGTTAGGAGAACGGTGACCAGCCCTTTCAGCCTCTCGCATGTCTGGGCCTGGCTGAGCGCAGCACTGCCTACACAGAGTGGAGGTGTCTGCCTATATCTCAGGCTGCAGCATCAGACAGACTGAACCGATAGCGTCTGTGGTGTGCTTGCCGTACGGCTACCCAGTGAGACACCGCAAGGGGCCCTTGGGCCCCATGCGTTCAGAACAAGGGCCAAACCTAAACTTGGCCCATACCGTTGTCGACGTTCTATTGGTATCTGCTTCCATCCGGATGTCGTGTCGCGAGTAAAGAGCGCCCAACGTGGTAGGTTGACGTCTGTAGCTACAACTGGACACTTTCCCGACGTCTGAACTGTGCTGAAGGTGTTGCAACAGCCCGTGAGCAGGAGATAAGACGTCAAAATCGCCGATCATCGGTCAATTTGATTGGCGTCAGCCAATTGTCCAATTGAACCTGAAACGCATCGTGCGGTCTCAGAAGCGGCTTTGCAGCGTAAGCAGAGCGCAGCTATCAATGGAGCGTAGCGACATGGAAGCCGAAGGTCCAAGCTGCAGCTGTGTCGGGCGCGATTGCACCCAAGCTCGGCATAGAGATCTGCAATGAGGTGTGCCAAGAGGATCAATGCGGATCCGGATAGATCAGCTTGACAACGCTCCCACGCGTGCGGGATGGTGAGAGCGCGACGTCCATCCCGCTTCGGTCGCCGCATCCAGCTGACTCTGACCATCATCTCAGGCCACTTATAACGCTGCAAGGTGTTGTTCGTGTTCGGCTCCCATCACAAGTAGCACTGCTTCGCTCAACCACGGCAAAAGTCTCCGCCGACCGCACATTCCCCACAACGCCCACTCATCTTGCGCCCGTGTCGCTGAACTCCCGACCAGAGAACCTCACCTAAGCCCAGCATGCGTCTCCTTCTCGGGCTTTACCTCGCCTCTCCTGCACTTGGGGCTGCGTTCACGTCACTCCAGCTCTCTGGATCGGACGGCCCATGGTGCGTCCAGACCAAGGGTGACAGCACCGAAATCGGCACCCCACTCGAATACGGCAAGTGCGGTCCCGCACCGACACAGCGCTGGAGCTATGTCGAGAACCAGCTGCGCCTGTCTGGCGAGGTGGACCGTTGTATCGGTCTGAAGCAGGGAGCGGAGGCCCCCGAGGCCGTGCTCGCATCGTGCATCCCCACAGACGATCCTACTGTCGAGACGTCTTGGACGTGGGACACCACGAAGCGATCTCAGATTTGTACATGTGCGTGCACATCCGCTTGCCCATGCCTAGATTAGGCAGGGGGCGATTTGGAAGCCTGACTTCAGTGTTGGATCAGCTGACACCATCGTAGATCACGAGAAGACGACCACTCCTCAGCAGACTTGGTGCCTCTCGGCGATCGGGGGCCAGGAGCCACCGAGGCTCTTCCTCTCATGGAGGCAGCGCGCAGGCCGCTTTGAACCCCAGCGCACCCCCGGTGGTCCTGTCACTGACGAAGAGGGCAAGTGTGGGGCTGCCTCGGGCGATGAGTGAATGAGCAGACCAGTAATGGTGTGAACTTGCCACTGTGGTGGCTCGATGACGTTGCGGCGCAGAGCGTCCAGTATGCACATTCCATGTGTGGCTGTCGTCCACTGAGCATTGTCAACAGCGATGAAGAGTCGTCTGTCCGACGGCGTCTGGCCATGCTCGGGTGTCTGGTGCGACATTCTCAGAACGCAAGCTTCAATTTTGGCAACTAACGTTATCTCGTCCGAGCAGACTGAGTTCGAGTGACTGACCGTCCTGGCAAGAGCCAACGCAGTGACCTCGGGGGCTGTCATGGTCTGTGCCATGCCCGTCCCGAACGGCATGCAAGGACGGAATGCAAGAGCCGTGAGCAGGAGCCCCGCGCAGAGAATGGCGGTACCTGGTCGTTATCTCACGTACACGGACCGGCTTGGTCCCACTGATCCAGAACCCCCAACTCGTTCCATCACCACATCCACATATCACGAGAACATGTTCGACCCCAAGCGTCCACAGATCTTCGGCACCGTCCCTCCCGTCGTTGCCGGAGAGCCGAAGCATAGCCCGGCCGCTCCCTCGATCACTCGACCGGCGCCCACCACTTCATGGCTCTCAATGATGCTCTCAGGTCAACCCGGCAAATGACGTTTGCTGTAGAGGCCTGGGAGAGAATTCCCGGCACAGGTGCTGTTCGGGCCAAAGTGGACCGCCGGCCGAGTTTGGAGGTTGCAAGAACACATATCGCCTCCCGCTCAACGTCGACGTCGACGCCTGCCAAGCCTGAGCCGCCAGTGTCGGGCTTGACAACTGACCGATACTGAACCGGGCACAGGTTCACCTGGCCATCATGCCACGGGCTGTAGATGGACGCTGACCGACTCGTATGGAGACTGACCAAAGATAGCCTTGGTCTTGCGCGCGGGCGAGGTAGTGCTGGTCGTCAAGATCAATGCTCCCACGCCCCCAGTTCTCGGGAGCGACATGAACCGACTGATGGGGAGAAAGGTGACAAACTCTCTATCGTCCCGTGGATCTCGAACTGAACCTCATCTGAAGACGCTCTGGGTTCATATTGGGTCGCGAGGGAGAAATGCCTCATAGCCTCGGACACCCGAGAGCTTGTCGTTGACGACACATCAACGGGTGGCAGTGATGAGCGTAAGCGCCCTCGAGCTCGCTCAACTGAACCACTTCATGGCGGCCACAATAACCTCGTGAAAGGTATATAAACGCCGTCTTCTCGACCTTTGTCAAGTCCAGCGACCAGCTCGATCACACCAGTTCAACCACCTCCCACCTCACAAGCAACATGAAGTTCTTCTCCCTCCTCATCCTCGCCCCCCTCGCCCTAGGCGGGTGGCACCATCCCCCCAAGCCCTCCTCCATGTCCCCTTCTCCCTCTCCTACACCTTCCTCTTCCCGTCCTCCTCCCTCCTCCTCGCCACCTCCCTCTTCGAGGCCACCTCCCTCAAGCAGTGTCTCACCCACACCCTCCGTGTCGCCCAAGCCGCCCCGTCCTCCCCGCAGCTTCCGTATTCATCTCCGTGGACAGAACTGCTGCGTCAATGCCAAGGGCACGAACGTCTGCGACGAAGTAGAGCTGTGAGGCAGTCTCCAACATCAATGCTGATGATGCCAGTGCCGCATGCAACCGCGCCTCGCGCTGGACATGGTACGGCGACCGTCTCCAGCTGGTGGGGGTGCACGACCGCTGTCTGGCGAGTACGTCTCCCCTGCCCTTTAGGTGCTCCTTTAGGTGCTGACAACAGTCTCGCGCGAGAACCGCGTCATCGTAGCCGGGTGCGCGCCCTCCAACGACCCGCGCATCAAGTCCATTGCCTGGTCGTACAACGCCTGGAAGGGTGTGCTGTGCTGTAAGTAGATGTCGGCCGAGCGAAGCGAGGCCCAGCGAGGCTTTGCTCTCCTCCGCTCTCCCATCGCTCCCTCCCCTCTCTCTCCCCGCCCCTCTCTGCCTCCCCACCACACTGCCACGCATTGCCAGGTTGCAGACGAAAGCTGACAACCAGCCGAGTGGATCTGTCTCGGCACAAAGACGCACTGGTGGCGCCGTAACGACCCCGAATCCCGCGCCCTCGAGATCGAAGAGTTGTCCGAGCGCGACGAGGCCGAGGCGGCCGATGCGGCCGACGCGGGCGCAGAGCCCGAGTCCGGCGCAGATCTCGGCGTGAATGGTGACAATACCACACCTGGAGGAGAGGGCGAGAAGCCTTCTGGCTTCCGCTGGCCCGTGTGTCCCCGCCTGCGCACCGTGTGGAAGAGGAATGCTGCGTGTTTCGATTTCGACTATCGGATCTGGTGGTGAGCCCCCCTACTCTCTTCCCCTCGGTATAGCTCGTTAGTCGCCGGTCGTCCTCTGGGTCCTCGGTCGACTCCCTCGGTCCAGTATCCTGGAGATTTGCGGGCACCTCGCGCCTGAGGGATGCGGGGATAGTAATTCTGGGGAGAGAGAGAGCAATGTGGGGAAGCCCAAAGATGGTTTACCCGCGAGATGATAAGACAGTGCGAAGAAACGCCACCCCGGCATCTAGCCGGGTAAGTCGTCGCTTGATCCGAACTTGGCCTGGAATTGGAACAGACAGAAAGAATGAAAGAAGATCGAGAAGTCAACAAGGGGGGTGTTTGAGACGCACACCTCTGAAGTTATGGAAAATGACGATAACACCATATCCTTGCAGCCTGGAATGAATCTGTGCCTCTTTACCTCGTTGCGGGTTAATGACTGTTAGTGGTGGTCAGTCAGGTTGCTCTCGCTCGCACTCGCTTCGCTCGTGCTCCGCTTGTGTATATGCAGTTGTTACATTTTAGTGACACCTATGTCTAGACTACTACTGAACCCTGAACTCCGAACGAGAACGGAGCGAGCTCGTCGCTGTTATCACGCTCGCTCGCTGCGCTCGCTTCGCGACCTTAGAGACGCTCAATGACCATGGCGGTCGCGGCACCACCACCGTTGCAGATGGCGGCGACACCCTTCTCTCCGGGCTTGAGGGCGTGGATGAGGGTGACGACGATACGGGTGCCGGAGCATCCGATGGGGTGGCCGAGGGCGACGGCGCCACCACGGGTGTTGACCTTGGAGCGGTCGAGGCCGAGGACCTTCTCGGCGGCAACGGCGACGACGGAGAAGGCCTCGTTGAACTCCCAGAGGGCAATGTCGTCCTTGGAGACACCGGCGTTCTTGAGCGCAATGGGGACGGCGAGGGTGGGGGCGGTGGGGAAGTCGATGGGGGCGGCGGCGGCGTCGGCGTAGCCGAGGATCTTGGCGAGGGGCTTGAGGCCGTCCTTCTCGACGGTCTCGCCCGAGGCGAGGATGACGGCGGCAGCACCGTCGTTGATCGTCGACGAGTTGGCCGGCGTGACAGTGCCGTCCTTCTGGAAGACGGGGCGGATGCCACGGAACTTGTCCTTGAGGAGCTTGTTGAAGTCCTCGTCCTTGTCGACGGTGACCTCACCCTTGCGGGTCTTGATCGTGACGGGGCAGATCTCGTCCTTGAACAGGCCCTTCTCCCAGGCGTCCTGAGCACGCTCGTACGAGCTCAGGCAGTGGTCGTCCTGCATCTCACGGGTGATGCCGAGCTGCTTGGCAGTGTGCTCGGCGCAGTTGCCCATCGGGAACTTGTTGTAGACGTCAAAGAGACCGTCGACGACGAGCGAGTCCTTGCCCTCAAAGTGACCGAAGCCGGGGAGCTGGCGGGGGAGGAGGAAGGGGGCGTTCGACATCGACTCCATTCCACCGGCGACCATGACGTCGCGCTGGCCGAGCTGGATAGCCTGCGAGGCCATGGTGATCGTCTTGAGACCAGAGGCGCAGACCTTGTTGATGGTCGTGGCGTCACAGGCCTCGGGGAGGCCAGCGGCGATACCGACCTGACGGGCGGGCGACTGGCCGCAGCCGGCCTGGACGACGTGGCCCATGTAGATCTCCTCGACCTTGTCGGCGGGGACCTTGGACTCGGCGAGAGCAGCCTTGACGGCGGCGGCACCGAGCTCGGGGGCAGTGAGGGGCTTCAGAGCACCATCCTTCGAGCCGATGGGGGTGCGCTTGGCGCCGACAATGTAGACGGGGTTACCGGGGTTGGCGGTCGACTGTAGTGGTGAGTCAGCATGGAATTCGACGTGTCACGGAGCCGGCGCGAGCGGTAGTGAGCTCGGAATTTCGGTGGGCGAGCGCTGGTCAATGTCGTCGCTGTCGTCGCCGTCACTGAAACCGTTGTGCTCACTGCTCGCACAGTGGTTTCTACTCACCATGCTCCTGGCGAGTTTGGGAAGGGTACGGGTGGAAGAAGCAAGACGGTTGGCGAACATCTGGAAAGGTCGTGGATGGGGGGGTTAGGCGCCTCGTACGATTTCGATGGGGGTAGTCAGGGACAATGCGATTGGTAGCGGGCTGGGGGGTGCGGCGCTGCCTGTTTGGATTGTTGTTGGTCGGAATGGGACGACGAACACGAGAGGTGAGACGATGAGTACGCTCTGACCTTTAAGTAGTCTGACCTTTTTCTGTCTCGTTTCTCGGTGTGACATGGTCTGTAATCGTCGGCACTGCATCCCATTTGCTCGAGTGCTGAGAAAGTCGGCTCCAAGCTCCATGACACTTGACCCTCCACACTCACTCGCCGGTGCACCGCGGCGACCCTCGCGTCCTGCACCCCCCGGAACCGGGTACTTGCCCCGGCTCGCCTAAGTGGGCGTAAAACCGAAACCGGCCGCAGCATTTCATTCGTCCATTCCTCTGCTCGCCTACTCCTGCCTGCCTGCGCCGTCCACGGCATGATCCTTCATGCTCCGCCAAGCCACCATCCGCTTAAGACGCCTAACACGACTGATCGATCACAGACCCTGCTCTTCTGTTATCTATCCACACAAATTTCGAAAGACCCGGCAGTACCACATCTTGCGGGGGCTAGGCTGTGATGCATAAGAGCGAGCGGTGTCTATATATAGTACAGACCAGAGGGGATATATGCCTCCCGCACCAGCGAGGGCGTCCTCCGTCCGGTTTTTAACATGGTCCTCATCCTCGAGCAGCAGGTACGCTACACTTAGACGTACTTGCCGAAGAAGGGGATCAGCGACTGGGCAAGAGTGTACGAGAACACGAGCTTGGGGCCAACAACGAGGATCTAGGGGACAAGTCAGCGCCGGAACCGTGATTGGCTTGCTTTAGCCGAAGGGACATTCATGTCTGGGAGGAAGGGCTGGTCGTCCGCATCTGTACGCGCATTTAACGCGTCCACACGCCGCGACAATAGGTCCGCGGGGTAACTCTGGAGTACCCCGGGGTCTCCATAGCCTTTTTTAAGCCACTGCGGTGCAACATTTTGACTCTCCGCAAGATGTGCTTGGACTGAAAGATACCAGGGCTCACTCATCCATAAAATGTCTGTGTTGCAAACTCACCTTGGGGGTAAGACCCTTGAAGAAGGCACCTGGTCCCTCCGAGCGGACCATGTCCTTGATGACGGTGAAGCCAGAGACGTTCTGGCCGAAGTTGGCGTTCTGGATACGGGTCTTGACAACATCGAGGGGCGCGGCGACAGTGATCGACGAAACGGCACCAGCGATGGACGCGATGAAGTCTGGGGAAGGCGATCAGCACATCTCCTGTGTGATCCACAGGCACCGCAGGGTACTCACTCTGGGTCCAGGTAGCCTGAGAGTAGTCGTTCAGGTGGAAGAGCCACTCCTTGGTGGCAGCAGATCCACCGAAGAGCTGTGGTGGTTAGCGGACTGCTTGCGTGTGCGCCACAATCTAGCCAAAGTTAACTCACAGCAAACGATCCGGGAGCGTTACGGGCCATGGTCCAGCCCCATCCACGGTAAAGGGATCCAAGACCCTCCTCAGTGATCAGCTTGACGAGACCACGGCCCTTGATGGCCTCGGGGTTGGTCTGCATCTTGATCTTGAGGACATCGAGGGGAAGGAGGACGACCTCACCGATACCGGTAAGCCTGGGCTGTTAGCGACCGACCGTTACCACGCCGCCCCAAACCTCCTTCAGGAACCGATCACACACGCGTTGCGTGCGGAACGCAGGCTGGTGAGGCTTGAGAAACGACTGCCCACATGGTGATACTCACGAACCAGCGGAAGCCTGCATGAGCATGCTACCAGTCTTCTTGCCGAAGGTGTCACGGAACCAGTCACCGGCTCCCTTGTCGATCAGGTCACGGAAGTACGGCTGGCCACCGAACTTGTAGACACGCTGGGCGACCTTGTAACCGGCAGCGTAACCGAGACCGGGGAAGAGGGACATGAACTTGGTGACGACGGGGGCGTTGGCGGCATTCTTGAAGATGATCTGGTTGAGGGTGCTGGCAGAGACCTGGCCGCGGTTGGACATCAGACGCTTAGCGACGGTGTCGACGGGGTGGAAGACGATAAGCTCGGCGATACCTGGGGCATCAGTACGGGTTGCATGCGCGTGGGAAGAGCGCCAACTGGATCAGCAGAACCGGACGAGCAACGCCTGCTGAACGCTGTCGCCGCAGCTGTTCGAGGTGGTTGCTGCTGGTAACAACTCTAGCATCGATCAGTCCGTCTCACGATCACTTACCCGAGGTTCCGGAACCCAGGATACGGGCGGTGCCGCTCTCGCGCTTGAAGTCACCGGGGGGAGACATTTTTGATGGGCAACAAGAAGAAATGGGTGGGAGACAAAGACGAGGTCGAGGGAGAGGGCGTTGATTGCCTAGCTTATCAGGTCTTCCTGTGTCGTGCGCTGAAGAGAAAGAGTCACGATCAGATTCGGACGTTTGGCCAGGATTTTTGAGATAGCACAGAAAAGTCGGCCGCTCATTGCACCCGACGCCCTTTGGTTCCTGGCGCCGTACTGTCACTCGCTCTCATACCCGCCGTCGCGCACACTACGACTCGCTCGCGCAATCAATCCCCTCAAAGCTATTTGGGCGTTCCAAATGTCCCCTACATTTTCCGATGCGTGTCACGTGATCCACTTTTCCACGTGGTATTCCCTCTTCACAAGGAAGCCCCCATGCCACACACGACGGCGTTATCGGGTGACAAGATCACCCGCTCCGCTCGCGCTGGCTGGCTGGCTGGCTGGCTGGGCGGGGGCTGCTCCCCTCTGCGCGGAGCGGGTCGCTGCGTCGCTGCGTCGCTGCTCCCTGCTTGCTGCCAGTCTAGTCGTTGAGGTCACCTCTCTCATCTCCCTCAACCTCCCTCACCCCTCTCCCAAAATGTTCGCCTCCGCCGTTCGCCGCAACGCTCTCAAGGGCCTCATCCCCCCCAAGATCGCCACCCCTTCGGCTGTCGTGCGTATCGAGTCTTTTGGTCGACAACACCCGGAACGACCGAAAACGAATGACAGAACATTGTGCTAACTTTGCAGTCGTCGGGCGGCACCTCTGCTCGCACTGAGGAGGTCGTCAAGTTCTACTCCAAGCTCCCCAAGGGCCCCGGAAAGCCCTCTGGTGGTATCCGCGGCCGCTACTTCGAGGGCCCCAACGCCTCTGGGTACGTGCGAACAAGTGTTTGTTGGATCGCGGACGGATTGTGACACCTCGGCGTGCGCTCGGCTACTTCCGACCTTCAACCGCAGTCGATAGCCACAACACGCTCGGAATGGGCTCGGACTTGATACCGGAGAGCAGAGCGGGCGCGCGCGAAGTGCATGGAGGTGTCTGATCCGCGAGAACAACAAACCCGATCGTCATACCTTGCTAACATCTCGCAGCAAGCCCATCCTCGCTACCATCCTCGGTGTAAGTCTTTCTCTTCTTCTTCATGCTCCTCTTAGTCAATCGTGTAGCATGCTAACCTTTAGCTTTTCCTCATTGGTTACACGATCGACTACCAGATGCACCTCAAGCACCACAAGCACCACGCCCACTAGACGACCGAAACGGTGTAGATGGGAAAATGCATAAAATGACAAGGATGACGGAAAGAAAAACGCGAATTACGGGTCATAAGGTGCTCCTCCGGGCGTCTGTTGCGGCCCGCCCGTCGCCCATGGGTCCTGGGCTATCTTTGCTGTCCTTCCGAGGCCAGGTTGACTGATGACAGACGGTTGTTTCTGATCGGTCGACGTCAGTGGATAGTCGAAGAAACTCACGACAGGTGGCCGCGCCACGAATCGTCCTGCTACACCGTCCGCAGCGCCTGGCGGCTACACGATCGACTACCAGATGCAGTGGGGGAAGGCAGCGGGGAAGAGTCCGTCTCGGGGTATTTTGGAGTGCGTAGGGAGCCCGGAGCGATTCAGGTCCGTGGGGCATCGGCTCGGCAATGTGCTGCCTCGTCTTCGTTCGGTCTTCCTCCTTCGTCAGGCAGCTTCCCATGTCCTCCCCGCGCTCCCCGACGTCAACTGCACATTGTCCCCAGCTATACTGACTCAACAGACGCCACTTGCATGTATATCATGCGGTCGTCACCGATGACTTGGCGCAGGCTGCACCCCTTCGCTTCAGAGAGGCTACACTCGCTCACGGAGCCAAGTCCGTTGCGCTGCGCAATCGTACAATGGGACACACTTCGCACGACGTACACTGGTGCGTGCGAGCTGTGTGTGCGTCTACGTACGAGCTGGAAACGTCAGCAACATGAGGGCGAATCTGCAAGGCCGGGGCAAGCGATCCAGTTGAGGTTGGAGAGAACCTTTGCTAGTTTCATCCCTTCCCACGGTAACGCGAGCGTGGCCTTGCGCTGCGACGCCTTCGCCGGATCGCCGTGTATGTCAAGTGTGCCGGTCGGGACAGGCAATCTCGACCAGGTTGGAAGAAGCCTTCGCCAGTCCCAATGTCTCCCACGGGTGTCACAAAGTTCGAGACGTCTGGGCGCCTTGCGGAATGGCACTCTGGCCCTATTGCTGCTTCTCTGAACACATCCCACGCCGTCCAGTACTCTTCGCTTGAGTAGGAAAAACGATTCATATCAATGCACATTGTCCTGCGTATCCTATCTATAACAACTACAAACCAGCTTTTTAAGGGCGCCTGGTCAACGTCCACTATCGTATCGACACGCTCGTCAGAGGAGGCCCTTAGCCGCCCTCACGATCGAGTTCATGCGACCTGGTGCATTCCTCTCTTCTCCTCCTTCCTGCTGCTGCCCCTGTCCCGTCCCGTTACTAGCGAGACTCCCACTCTCGGCCCACTCTGGGTTATAGCTGGGCGGCATCTCGACTTGTGTCACGGTCGTTGGGACGGGGCCCGCATCCTGCGCATTGACGTAGTCGATTAGGGGAGCGCGGGGACGACGACCGACGCCGTAGCTGCCCCCACCGCCGTGGGAGGGACCCACATTAGTGCCGTGCGAGTTGGACGCGGTGCTTCCGCTCGCATACGTTGCCAGTTCGCTCTCGGGAGGCGGAACTAGGAGGCCGCTGCCGTTGCGCGAGAACGAGTTGCGCCCGCTGCCCGAGGGACTGAGGGGGACGGACTCGAAGCCGGCGAGCTGCCGCTTCAGATCGAGTGCTAATGGGGCCAAGGGGGCGGGACGGCCAGGCGGGGGATGGTGCAGGACGCCTGTCTTCTCGTCCGCAGGGTCCTCCTCGCCCAGAGGCGTGAAGTGCGTGTATCCGAGCGTGGAGACGTCGTTGGCTGCGTGTCAGCTTGCCACGGGAGAAAGAGAGCTGGTACGTACTCTGCAGGGAGCCGCGGCCGAAGGAGCCACGGCCCGATCCCGAGGACGCCATCGTGTACTGCGTCGTTTGCAGCGTGGGGTCGACCTCGAACCGCTCGTCGTCGTTAACGAGGTAGGGTCCGGGGCTGTTGTCAGCTAACCAAATAACCGTCGAGCTTACATGTTGTAGCGGTGTGTGTTGCGGCGGCGCCAGATGAGGAACCCGATGAGACCGCCGATGAGCATCGCGCCGAGCACCGAGCCGATGGCAATACCCGCAATAGCGCCGGCGCTGAGCCCGTGCGATTGCGGCTGTTCGGTGACCGGTTCGGGCTGGGCGGCATTGGCGGGGTCGAGTGTGTAGAATCTCGCGCTCGCGAGATCGAGGTACTTATCCTGCTCGAGGTTCTCGAGACGGAGGGTGTAGTCCGTGTTCGGGTCGAGCGGGGCCATGTACAGCGGCGTGTCGATGATGGACCACGTCGCGAACCCGTTCAGCAGTGTCTTGCCTTCTGTCTTGGATCCGGGCGGCGGAGGAGTCACAGTCACAGTAAAGTTTCCATGGTCGAGATTCATAGTCCCCCACAGAGATACCATGGTTGTGTTCTCCGGGATCCGGAACTGCGCGTACGAGTTGGCCTGCTTCGTGTCGATGCGCCGGTAGACCATTTGGTCCAGGCCGTTTCCGAGCAGGTGCACGCCTCCCCACACTGTTCCGTCCGGGTTCTTGGAATCAATAGCGGGATTTATGTTGTTATCCGTCCCGGTCGTCGTGTTCAGCCAGTTCAGAGTGGTCTCCGTCACGTCCGAGCTGCTGTTAGTTGCGAAACTCCATGTACACTTACGCATATGTCTGGATGATACTCGTCAGATACGCACGCTGCACGCCTATCGCACCCTGCTTGAGCGTGAGCACGGCCGTGTTCTGGGTGTTCTCCGTGGCATCATGGTCATTGAAGAACGCGAGCGGGCCACCGCCCTCATACCCCGGGCCGGGGGTGAACTCCTTCTCCGGGCCTCCGTTGATGCTCAGCGTGACCTTGCAGTCATTCTCACACCCGCCGTGGAAGTAGACCCCCGTCCCGAGCCAAGTGACGCTGACGCTGTTGCCTGCCTTGTTCGTGCGGTGCGAGGACTCGCCGCGGCCAAGCGTATTCGGCTGCCACTCGGTCCATGGCCGGCGCACGAACGTCGTGTTCCACAGGTCTGGGTTGTACGTGTAGTTGGGCATGGAGGCGTTCGCCTCCCGCGGCGAGTAGACGAGCAGTGGCGAGCTGTCGGGCAGCGTGATGTTGATCGGTTTGTGGGAGATCTGCGCCGCCGCCTGCGCACCGGCTGCCAATAGCAGGGCCGTGGCGAGAGCCTTCACCATGGCTGGTGAAAGCGTCGAGACGCTCTAAGGTTCTAGTTGCAGAAGGAGTCGAGCACGCCGCACGCACGCGGGCAAGTGGGCTTCCGTGCTACAGCGGTACGGCGTACGGCTGAGCCGTTAGTGCCGATCGATTCTAGATGTTGGCAGGCGAGCGCGGGCGGTGGAGTCCTGCGCTGGTGGAGCTCGTGGAAGCAGGGGAGGGTCGCGTTCGCGCGGTCGTGGAGAAGGTCGTGAGTCGAAGCGTATGAGTGACGAGCAAAGATGAGACGACAAGTGCGATGGAGAAAGTAAGCGAGCAGTGGAGAAGGATATGACGAATGGCCCAGGCAGTGTCTCACCCGGATCTGGCTGGGCGCTGCAGGCGGATGGAGGCGTTGGGTGGTTGAGGTGTGGGCGAGTCAGTTGACAGGGAGAGGGGGCCAAGTATTCCTTCCTCCCACTCAATTCGCACTTTCGCCTTGCCGCTCGGCAACGCACTCCAGCACACTCTGCGTTTGGTAGCTCTGAACGTGCTGCGTCTTCCACTCCTGCATACACCCCTTGATCACCCAGATCCCAGCGCCTAGAGCGTGATGGCGCCCTTGGTCGCGTCGAACCTTGCGACGCTGATGAGACACCGGTGCCCTCTGTGCAGGCCCATGCCAGCCCGGTTGCTTCTCGCAGCGCTGAGCCATGGTTAGGCGCTACTCTACCCGTGGGCGGCGGCGACGGGGACGAGAGCGCAGGCCGCTACTCCCGAGTGAGGCTGGAGTCGACGGGGGTCAGCGACGCTCGGCGACAGCGGTCATCTGAGCCCACAATGACATCGTTCCCTGACCATCACAGTTCACTGTCGGCTTGGCCCGGCGTGCAGAGCACTAGCTGCGCCAGTATTCCGATAGAGTTGCAGAATGCCGAGTACGCAGGTCGTACGTAGGGCTCGGTCGGGTTGGGAGGTCACGAGAATCGGAGGCGACGAGGGAGTGGATCAGCAGGAGGCAATGAATGCTCTTGGCAGTCTGGCGTTGAATGCAGTCTCGGAGCGCGGGGCACGAGAGGAACTGAGCGTGCCCAGGCACCACCCTGCGGGGTAGATGACTGCGACATTGAGCGCTCTTACGTTACCCCTCCTCAGACTGGCTCTGTGCACTGAAATCCGGAGCATAGTTGCCAGGTCAGTTCTATTCACAGATGCTCCGCGCATTCCTGAGTTTCGAACGCTGGGCTCAGATGCCTTGGACTCGCTTCCCTCCTCGCGATTGACCACAGACAAGCTCAACTCAGCTCAATATCAGCTCAAGTCCCGATCATCTTGTCGGCGCTTCTCGTCTCAGTGACGGCCCACTGTGCCCTTCTGTGCCAGTTTGTGCCCTTTCGGTGCCATGTCCCAAACTCAAATGCATTCAGTTCGTTTACACACAACACATAACGTCGCCGCGCATCATCATGTAAGAAGGTCGTCTAGTCGTTCGGGGCGTTCGAATTCGGACTGTGTAAAAGCTAGTCCTTGGGCCTGTCCTGGTCAGTTTGAAGTCCGCGAACGCAAAAGCTCACCAAATGCAATCTCGCTGGAACACCTGGACAATGTGCTGCAGCTCCTCGAGCTCGACTTTCGGGAACTCGGGCTTGAAGCCCAGCACGGCCTTGATTTTGGACCCGTTCAGGTGGATGGGCATTTCTGCTGTCAGCTGCTGGACTTCTCAACCTAATCTCTTCGCCGGTCTGATGGAATCTGCGCTACAACGCGGTGACGCTGACTTTCACCTCTGAGGAGGGTTGACAAGGTTTGCCATAGGCGGTCACGGAGCCTAGACCGCTGTGGACAGTTCACTGTCCCCTCGTCAGCTGCTACCCACGGGCAGCAACGGCAAGGAACGCAGGAACCGACGCTGCCCGTAGTGGAGACTGACCTCGCTCGGACTGCAGATCATTGACGAGATGTCTCCCCCGACGCCTCGACTGCGGACAGGGCCGCTCCTCCCCAGTACTAAGAATAGTTCTGGCCGAGAGAATGTCGGCATGGACGGTGTTTGGCCATCGCGTTGACGCCCCGGAAGGTGGTCCAATCGCTTCTTGACTGAGCGACGCGATCGCAGCACATGGGTCCAAACGAGCAGGGGCTGACCAGCGCGCTCGGCAGGCCGGCCGGCATGTCATTCAAGGAAAGATCCACGCGCTGACAACCTGACTCCCAGGATCCGGATCGGAGACTTCTGCGATCGACAGTGGTACTCACTCCTAAAGCTGTGCGGGTCGAGGTACGGCGAGAGGGGCGTGGAGTGGATTGGCGGGTCGCAGTTGAGGAGCATCTGCGACCAGGCCTCGACGTGCTTCTCGTTCACGTCCTCGATCATCTCGTTAAAGTCGACCTTGGAGAACTTCTCAACGAGGCTGACGACGGTGCTGTTCAGGAACCCGATCTTGATGTCCCACAGCTGCGCGATGAGCTTGCCGAGGGACTCCTGCGTCGAGTCCGAGTCGTCCGTCACGTTGAACAGCGGGATGCGCGGCCGCTCGCCCTCTGGCAGCACGGTCGGGATCGTCTTCCACGTGTCTGTCAGAGACGAGGGCCGCTTGTTCTTCTTGTCCTTGCCGTGGAAGATCGAGTTGAACGTCGACTTGCCCTCCGGCTGCGGGCTGAAGGGGAACTCGAGCTCGACGCCGGCCTCCTTAAGAACGACTTCTCGCGGGTTCTGCGCCAGCCACAGTCCCATCAGGTGCATCGCCTGCGAAATGTCCTGCGCGTGCACCGTGTTGATCCGCAGGTCGCCACTGTCGTTAGCTAGGTCACTGGCCGGAAAGCTCACTTGTGCAGGAACTTCATCTCCTCATTGCTGCGGGCGTCAGTGTCTTCCTCCCCTCCCAGCAGGAGCTCGCATGCACTCACAGATACTTGTAAACGTGTCCCGCAACGAGTCGCGGCACGACCTCAAAGTCCCACGTTCCCGGCCCGTACCACGCCGCACAACGGATGATGCCCGTGTTCAATCCTGGGATCGCGGCGATACCGCGCAGCGCCTCGTGCCACCATCGTCCGCGGTTTCCGTCCGGCTTCAACTTGTCGGCCTCAGTGTGTCCGTGTGATGAGCTCGACGACTTCATCTCGTAGAATGGCTGGTGCAGACGCACCCACGCGAGCGGTTTCTGCTCATCTGGGAGGTTGGCCGCACTCGTCGCCAGCGACAGCGCGGTCTGGTATGTATTCGAGATTTGCAGCTGCGTTGTCAGCTGTGCTTGCTGCCTGCAGCTTGGAACCCCGGGCGCGGAGCGACATCTGGCAGACTGCTGCGCGATGCAGCATCCTGCCGAGCTGCGCCGTGGCGTCAGGCGCGCAGGCTGAGTGGAGGCGCTTCGATCGCACCACTCAGGCCGTCGTTACCTGACCCCGTCCGGTTGGCCGGCTTGCTTGCCTTGCTCGCCTCGCGGTTGGTGGGTGGCAGCCCTCACAGCCCGGTGAGCCCGGTGTCCTGGGGCGTTTGGGCCCCAGCTCGCCTGGTCCCTCACTCACCAGCTCGGCCTTGTCGAAGCCCGTCTCTCCGGAAAAGTCAAAGACATAGTCGAAGCGCTTCCAGTCTCGCTTCACGCCCTGCCACTCTGTGGGAGGGGTGAAGATCTCGTCGTGCCGCGCCGTGTTGCCAAGGTTGATCTGGATGTACTGGCAGTTCCAGCCGGGACTCATCGCGAGCTGCATCGACTCCGAGTCGATGTACCTGGGCGTCAGCGTGCCTCAGCCGAGTCGAGTAATACGCACGTCGTCGCGGGCTGCAGACAGTACCTGTCAACTGGCAGCGTTAGCGGTCGCCTCGCATCACACGTCAGATTGCGTCAAGTCGCTCGCCGGACAGAGCGTCGACAGTCGCGGGAAGGAAGACCGAATGGCGCCAGAAGCCCGGCCGCAGGGAACCCGGTGTTCGGCACAGGGCAGCCTGCCTGGCGGTTGGGCACTTACCCGCTCTCACAAACTGGGGTCAGCGTTGGGCCAAGAGCACGCACTCACTGTCGCCTTGGGGTTGTCGCCGCGGAGGAGGTAGTTCGCCAACGCTCGTCCGACTGTTGTCGTTCCTCCTGCATCGTGTCAGCGGTATGTCCTCGCTTGTTGAACTGGGGAAGGCAGCCAGATCTGACGGCCTGGTGATCGAGCTCTGGGGTGGACGAAAAAAGTGGAGGTTCGTAACGGGTCTGAAAAGTCGGTCCTGAGACGCACCGAGAATCAAGCACACTGGCGGCTCGCCGTCTGGGAGTGTTGGCGGGGACATGGTCGCTGCTGGTCGGCGATGGGGGAGGGTGAGTGAGGAAGAGAGTTTAAGAAGAGAGGGAGCAGGCGCAACAATACTAGAGAGAAAAGGGAGCAGCCAGGTGGCCAGGAGGCCAGGACGTCAAGGAAACGAGCAGACAGGGAGCCAGGCAAAAGGGAGAGCGATGGACACCGTGCGCCGAGCATGCGAGCAATCGTGTATCTGCGCACCGCGGGCTGGCCGCCTGCTCATCTGCGCCTGAGTCCACAGTGCGACAGGCCTGTCCGCGCTGTCCGTTGCATAGCCGAACGACACCGTTGCATAGAATGTCGAGCAAGCAAAAGAGACGCGATGGGGCAGGCCGCTCTCGCGATCGCAAAAAAGTTCGAAAGCAACAATCCCTACTCCCCGTCCCTGGTGAACCTGGTTCTGTAACGTCTGCCTTACAGTCTCCTATGCAGTTTACGAGATGCATTCGTCATGGCAAGCGTCCGGCCCGTTCCTGGTCTGTACACCATCAGGACAGGCTTGGTTCCAGCCAACAATCCCACCCGGCCCACCAGACAAAGCTGTTTGTCTCGTATCGACCTAAGCACACTTTCTCCTCATCACTCCCCGCATTGTACTCCATCATGTCAGAGAGACTGGGGAGAGCGCGGAAATGCCGTCAGACAAAGCGCAGTGCTGACCTCAACGATGCACGAGTTGCTCGGCAGGTGCTGCGCTCGACCTGGGCATCCTGATGGCGACGGTCCGTGCGCAGGAGGCGCCAAGGTCGCCTGAGACGCCTGAAGTGCTGCCCGCCCTACTGTCCCCATCGCCTCAGCTAGCGCGGCCCACAGGTGGGGAAACGTTCAATGCGTCTGTTCGGCGGTGCCTATGGCGCTCGCGGCGCTCCTCCCCTGTGCTGTGTGCATGCTGCGCGATGCATGCATGCTCGTCCCGGACCTTCTGTCCGTCTGCGTGTCTACGGCTCATGCATGTTGGAACACAGTGTGGCTTTGTCCGCTCATCCGCTCGTCCGCTTCTGCCGCTTCAGCTACGCTCATGCAGCGATGCGCAGCGATGAAACCGCTGTTTGCCTGTTCTGGACGTTGCGATCTGGACGTTGCGAGAGATTCTGAAACGTCGTCATGGCGCCGATCGCTCGATGGGCTGTGCTGCTGTGACTTGTGCCATCAAGTGCACATCAAATGCGAGTCGACGAAGGGTGTGCTCGTGGGTCTCCTTGATCTTTACAAGGAGGAAGAGTACATGATGACGGCGTTCGGCTATGAAGTCTCCGGACGTTACAGGCCACCGATCGTGATGTTGATATCATAGTACATGGAAACCCCTCTATCTAGTGTATGATCAGAACATGCGGAGCCCGCCGAGCTCGACGTTCTCCTGCGCCGGCATCTCGCTCGTCGCTCCCTTCGTTCCCGCACCGCCGAGCAAGCTGGCGAAGAGCTCGTCTGTCTGCTCCTCCCCCCATCCGTTCAGCGGCACCGGCACGACAAAGTTGACCGCCTTGTCGTGAACGGTGTACCGGATCCTCCTTCCCTTGGAGCCACCACGCTCCGCCTCGCGCTTCCGCTTCTTCTCCCGGCGGAGGTGCATGAGGTCCACCGGCGTCGTGCCCTGCTTGCTCTCAATGACCTCGCGTAGGAGGGCACGGTACGCGTGCTCGGCATCCTCGAGCAGCGGCTTTGACTTGTCCCGCTTCTGCGAGAGCGAGGCGTCGATCGCATCCACGACGCCAGTCGGCTTCGTGCCCTGCATCAGCTTCGAGCCACCTGCAGCACGCGAACCAAGAGCAGACGTCGCAGCCTGGATCTTCGTGCTCCACTTCGCGAGAAGCGGCACGAGTGCGGGGTGGGAGGCATCAACGAGCGCAAAGGAGTCAGTCGCACTGTCCCGCCAGTACTCCTCGGAGGTCGGGTCGGAGTCGGTCTTTCGTCGCTTCGGGACAGGCTCTGAACCAGGGAGGATAAGGGAAGTTCGGAGGGAGAGGAGAGTGTCGTTCAGCTTTCCGAGGGAAGCAAGCACGGAGTCGCGAGTTGAGGGGATCTCGCCCGCGGGGTCAGAGGGGAGCGGAACTGGGAGCCCGAAAGCGGTAGTGAGAGCCTTCTGGAACGTTATCCGCGTCGTCATAAGAGAATCGAAGAGATCCTGCTTGTCAGTTATTGTCCGGAAACCAGCTAGCTGTAATGAAACTCACGCGCTGCCGCTTGATCGCACCACCCTTCTCGATATCCTTCATTTTGCTTGCCTTCAGTGCTCCCATGGGGTCAAGCGCCTTGCCGGACGGTGCCGGCTGATCTTCTCCCTCGTCCTCGTCCTCCTCTTCCTCATCCTCATCATCCTCTTCCTCTTCGCCCTCATCTTCGTCATAGTCTTCCTCGTCCTCATCGAAATGTTCCTCGTCCTCATCCTCCTCCTCCTCCTCGTCATATCCTGGCTCGTCCTCGGGCTCGGACGCCTCCTCGTCATCATCGAAGATCTTCATGCGCGAGCTCGGCTTTCCCTCGTACTTGTCCGACAGAAGGGTCTGCGCAACCTCTCCCCGACGCAGCGCAGAGGGACCGACATCTGTGTAGTGCTCTCGAGCAGCATGGGAGCGGCTTAAATCATGCCCATCGATGTCCGCGTAGGCCTCCTCGGGATCGACAGCTGGACGTTAGTTTTTTCCGTTTGATTTTCAGCTGGGCAACGCAAGTTCCTGCGGATATCCCTACAGCAACATTGAGGATGGTCCTCGCAGCGGCGAAAGATGATGGAGAAGGTAGAGCGGTCAGGGAGTCGCAAGGGCTGCGCCGCAAACAACAAGGCTAGCCCAAAAACAACTCACTCTTAGGGACATCGTCCTCGAGCTGCTTGAGCTGCTCCGCGAGCGAGACCATGGCTTTGGCTGAAGAGGTGATGCTATGTTGACAAGCTGTGAACGTTGTTGCCGCTGGACTTGGTCGTGATCAACTTTTGGAGGCCAGGCACGGACAGCCACGTGCAGAGTTAAGGGGTGGAGCGTATAAGCGTCATGTACACCCGTCGCCTGGTGGAGGTGGGCTAGTGGAGGCTAGCGAAAAGGACTTGTTTTGTCGTCAAAAAGGGATGCTGGGAGCGGACGGGAGCCAGGCAGATTCGAACGGCGTTACCACGCAACGGTATCACACACGAATACCCGTCAATGCGGCTGAAGCTTCCCTATGTGTCCATGCTACGACTCAGCTAAAGGGCCCTTCTTATTTTTGTGCCCGTAGGAACAATATGACTCAGACTGACGTTGTTACGTAATTATATGGCCGCCTCTCAAACCGTGCAGTTTCGCCAGTTAAGCGTGCCGGGACGGAAGGCGGCTCGCACTGACCTATGTCTCTGTTGCTGATTGTTTTACTGCCATCATCACTATACATCAATGAAAGACGAAGGGAGCAGAACTTCGTCGCTCAAGACTGACTGCGAAGTCATTCTGATGAGTGGCTGACGCCGCGGTCCTGAGCCGCACCCACGTTGCTGTGGCTGTGAACGATCGTTGAGGAATTGCATCTCGTTCTCCGCAATGCTTCGTTAGCATCCCCTGGCCAATCAAAAGCTTTAAGGCTGCCCGAAGTGAACATAGCTCACAGCAGACCTCCCCTGCACAATTCGTCTTCTTTTCAGCAAGGACTAACCGAGTCCTCCAGCCCGAGAATCGAAGTTGCCAGAGATCTCGAACTTTCATGAGCCGTGATGTCTGACAATCAGTGGCGTAGCGTGCCTGATTATTGTGTTCCAGCGCGATACAGCCTTCCCCTTGTCGCACGGACCGCTTCCTCAAGGACTCTTCTGCTGTCCAGCTGAAGAGCAGCTCTCTTGGCCACGGCCGCGGTCTAGACCGTCGAGCTTGGCCGCCTGAGCGCACCGCTGTGCAGTAACGGCGAGGAGAGGTCTATCCCCCACGCTCGCTCCTCAGCTGATGCTCCGAGAGGCATACGGCGGCTCTGCAGTTCACTGCCTACGCGCGTGTGGCAAATGTCTTACAAGACAATAGAGAGCGAGGCCATCCCGCTGGCCATCCCGACGACGGCGCCCACATATCTAGCGGCAACTCAAGTGAGGTCCTCTGCAACAATTGTATCTCACGACAACACGACACACGATGTTGCCGCTCATCCTTCTCTCGATATCGGCGATTGCTTCTTCGCTGGCGGCGGAGCTGATCCGCCGACCACTGAACATCTCGATCACCGACAACTCCCCTCTGCTGATCTACAGACCCAAGATCCCACGCCCCGAGGAGAACGCGACCCGCAGTGGCATGGCGCACCAAAGCTGGAACGTGAGCTTCTCCGGCTCGAAGTGGTCCGAGTGGACTCCTAATCGCGTGGGACATGGCAGCTCCGAGCATCGCGTCAGCTGGCCGAACGCGACAGTCATGTTCTCATTCATGGGCACTAGTGTGCAGTTTCTCGGCTCTGTAGGCGAACGCACCAACATCGAACTCCGACTAATCGAAAGCACGTCGGCAGACGGCGGCCAAGTGGTCTATGACGACGAGGACGGGAAGCTTGCAAGCCTTAGTGTCGCTTGGGGGTGGCACACGGTGCAGCTTTTCCTCCGCACTGGCACTGTAGCCCTGACCGGTGTTCAGTTCACGACAGAAATAGAAACCCTGCAGTGAGTGTTGCGGCTCTTACAACGGCTAATGTGAGCAGAGAGAGCGCAAACGACACCCTGACCGTGGACGTGAATGCTCGCGACGGAGACAGCATCTCGCCCCTCATCCCCAACCTACAGGGCAGCAACACACCCGGAGGCAAGCCGTGGCATGTTCACGACGTCATCTGCACGAGCGACGACCCCGTCTACTGGCCACGTATGGATACGTGGGACAAGGATGCGTGGGCGACAATGGCTGTTCCGCAGAACGCATCCTACTTCACATTCTGGGGTAGCATGAACGACGACCACCGCCAATACTCGATAGAGATCATCCCACCTGCTCCCGGACTGCCGCAGGGGCCGCAAGTGTTCTCCGGATACACGTCGTGGTGCACGCCCGATACACTCATGTATGCGGCCCCACTGGACCCGCAGGAGAGATACCGCATCCGCGTTATCAACCTCGTCAACGACCGCGTGACCGATATCAAGAAGGCGACGTTCTGGATCGCGAACGAGACAAGCGCATCAGAGGCGGCGGCAGCGCTATCTTCGGCCTCGCCGTCGAGAGCCCCCGCAGCTGTCACTACGGCAGTCGATACTGCAAAGACTTCGCTTGCCCCGGCGGCAATCGCCGGTATTGCCCTCGGCGCAGTAGCCGTACTCGGTGCCGTGGCGCTCTCGGCTTTCCTGCTGATGCACCGACGCAACGCGAAAGAGAAGGCAGAAGGGGAGCAGTACGATTTGTGAGCTGCCTTGCACTCCTCTAGCTAACCACAGGGATGAGAACAAGCGACTTGTGCACCGGCGCTCGCACTCCTGGGGCCCTAGCATGGCTCTCTCGGAGGGTTCCGGATGGACGGACTCGAGCGTTGGACCTACCTCAGTGGCCGGCGCAAGCTCGTCGCCTGTGACACCATCTGCGACCACTCCAGCACGACAGCGACACACGTACGCGACCCATACCCCGCAGTCGTCCATCGGGATGTCCTCGCTGCGGAGCATTCGCGAGGACAGTGTGTTTGTGACCGACACGGATGCGGGTACGATTCCGGTTCTCATGCCCCCGACGTATGACCCGGAGTGGGCGAATGAACGCTCCCCACCGCTCCCGGACGAGGGAGCTGAGCTGGGGAGCACGGCGGAGCAGACGACTCGTTCCACTCCGCACGTGTACTTCCCTGCGGCTACGTCGCATGTGTACATCGGCCAATCCTCACATAGCGCCCGCCAGGCTGAGAGGGCCAGGGCTAGGCATGAGCCTAGAGACCCGAGGCGCACGAGTGGTCAAGTGACAGAGCTTTTGAGCGAGCTGTGGGGCGCACCGTTGCAGCGTAATGGATCGACATGGAAGCCTGTCCGCTCTGACACAGACGCCAGCGTCACTTCGGGAACGCCTCGGTCGGACGTCTTCTCCGATCTTTCCATGCCCAACTCCAGACCGTCGATCGACTCGAAGGGTCCAACAAGTCCCAATACCATGACGGACATCCGTGAAGAGCCGAATCGTTTGAATTCGAAGTCAGCCAAAGAGACACGCGAGGTTATGATTCAGCAGAAGAGGCGGGAACAGAGGGCGTCACGAATCTCGAGGGCGACAAGGGACGGAAACTACATCTAGGAGGGGGCACGGAGGACATATGTCTATGATATCACTGATGACCGCATGCATGTTGTGCAATATGACGAGCGGCAACATTACGAACGCGGACGTCCTCGATCGTCAATCCATCTAGGCGTTGGCCAACTCCGTCCACCTGTCCTCTTAAAGGTTATGGCAGACTTTCCTCTATCCACATTCCAATCATGGTGGCGACGATCTACCAGCTCAAGACGATCACCGAGTACGGCGCAACGCGCACCGAATCCACCGCTATCGCTACTGTATCGGCCACTGGAACGTTACTGGGAAACGCGGAAGCATACACGAAACCTTCGACGACCTACCCGGAGCCGACATGGCGAAGCTCGACGACAACTACCCCACCCCCGCACTCTGTAACGGAGCCACCGGACGAGAGCGGCGACTCGGGTATGAGTCCCGGAGCCATAGCAGGCATCGCTGCCGGCAGCTCAGTAGTAGGAATCAGCATACTGCTCGCTGCCGTGTATCTTTATATTCGTCTTCGTCGGCAGCATGACCGACGCGATTCGTAGGCTTGTCCACGGCATACCTCAGCTGATCCCAGTGACCCGTTCGACATCGACACGTCCGCGGTTGTATCAGTCCCCAACGCGGCGGAGGTGACGCCCTACACATTCCCGAAGTCCAGTCTCCAGCCTCCAGATAAACCTGTTGTGTCAGATGAGGTACCGCCCGTACCGCCACCTGTGCCTCCCAAACCGGTCAGGATGCCGAGGCCTGTCCCGCCACGGCCGATCGCGAGAACTACACTAGAGAAGTTGGAGGCTGAGGCAAGGGGTCCCAGTCAAGTGAAGTGGCTGCCTGCATCACAGTTGGAGAGACGAGCTAGAGTAGAGAGGCGGCGTGGTGATGGGACACGGGGAATTGAGAAACGCCCAGATAACCTCCGCGTCCAGAACCCCGATCCGGAGCCGGATCCTACGCCTCCGCCCTATGATCCAGCCTGGTCAGAGGGGCGTCATTGAGAGCACAGCTAAAGTGGAGTTGCCCTTCATGCGCGCTATGCACGGAGCGATGTATATCCTCGAAGTACCCTCGGTTGCGGTGATGATGGCTGTGACGCAACTGTACAATTTTACAGCAGCCAAGTTTCGACGAACGTTTTGCGGTATTTGTCACAATTAACGTCAGTTTCTGTTCTCTGTTGAACGACGGCGCCAGAAGTCGCAAAACGGCCCGAACAAATGGACAGACGCTATGTTTTGGAAATCATATACATGAACAAAGAGGAAGAGCTAAATGGAAGTTTCTTTTGGAGGGCGAACGCAGGAAGTGCGTGCGGACGCTAAACCTTGTTGTGGCCACCTGGAGCGAGCTAGATCAGAGGCACTATGATCGTTGCTGCTGGTGACTGAGCTCGTGGCTGAAACTCAAGGCCTACGGAGTCAGTACAGACACTCGGTGCCTTACGGGGACTCACTTCTTCGCCAGGTGCGGGTACTTGCGCCTGCCGTAGTCCTCCTCTACATAAGCTGCCACGTAGCGCTGGTCAGCCTCGCGAGACCACTCCTTCTGCGTTGCCAGACGATCCACCGCCCACTGGTGGCTCTTTTCCAGACTGCGGAGGGTGAAACCACCGGCATCAACCTTGCCCATCCCATGCTGCTTGCAGAGAGCGCGGTGATCGTTGAGCTCCTTCAGCGCAACCTTGACTTTGTCCTCGAACTCAGGAATCTCGATACGGTAACGCCACGCCATGAAAAGGCCATCACGCAGCCAGTCGCTGTCAGGGTGAACCGACTTGGCGAGGGCCATACGCTTGGCGATTGTTCCGGCATTCTCGGGGGTGGCCTTAGCTAGGTTGGCGTGAGCGTTCCTAGCAGGCCTGGGCAGCTGGAAGGGCGGAAACATGATGGCAACGCGCAGGATGTGGAGGTGAATAGAGGAAGGACGGCGACAGTGAGGCGTCAGGCTGGAGATGTGCAGGGTTGGATGCAAGGCCGGTGATGTCAGGTTTGGAGTGGCAGGAGTTGCGGATGTTTAAAGCGTGGGTGAGATCTGATGGAGGGGAGGAAGATAGGTGTGAAGGACGATAGGAATGAGGATAACCGCAAGGGTTGGGGAAGACACAGCCACGGCGACTGCTTCTTATATCACTCGCTTGAGCAGTTGAGAAGGTCCGCAACACACTCATGAGACGACTGGTAAGCCCGCGCTACTCGCACACCGAGGATAGCATTGTTGTGTACCTGTTGCGACGGTGCGATGGTGCGCATGTGGGAGCGAGAAGAGTGAGACACGATGTACTATGGTGATCTTCTGGTGGTCACTTGACGGTCTTGGCGGGCGGCGAGAGCGAGACGCGAGCACACCTGGATCAGTGCAGAGGAAGTTGGTCGTGATGAAGATGCAGCTATCTCTGTATACGGCAAACAATGTGTTATGCAAGTATGTACATGAAATGAAATACGAAAAGCGAAAGCAAAGGTATGAGGCAGGCGTGCAACGAGGTGCGGTGCAGTGGCCGGACGCGTTGTGAACCATTCGACACTTTCCTAACGATTGGTACAGGCTGAGAAGTCTTGGATGACATTGAAGGTACTAGGTGCCCGAGTCTGCAGCGTCAGCAAAGAATTGTGCATCGGTGACACTCACGCCTTCACTGAGGAGCTCCATGCTTGTTGTTCCAGTCCTCGACAAACGCCTTGACATACTCCTGGTCGGCGGCGTTGGATGACTCGCGACATTCTGCGGCCTGGTTACGCTGGAAGATGTACCAGTTCTCCTTGCCCTTGACCTCGAGACCGAAAGGGTCGACCTTTGCGCGGCCGTACTTCTCGCAGCGACCGAGCATCTCCTGCCACGCCTTGTAAGCCTCCTCAGCTTCGTAGTCGCGGGAAAGAATGGTCGCGCGGTAGTACAGGGCCAACATGAGGGCGCCGTGAACATGGCCCTTCTCCTGGTGGAAGATTTTGGCCGCCGCTTCACGCTTGTCGATTGAGCTAATCCCTCGGGCGGTAGCCTGCTCGAGGTTCTGCCAGGCGATCTTGGCGGGATCGTTGCTACCGAAGCCGAAGACCATCGTGTCTGGGCTGTACAAACCGAAGGAGGTGGTAATGAGCCGGTTAAAGCCTAGGTAGAGGTGATTGAGCGACTATGGGCGGCTGGGTGGTTGACGGTGCTGGTGGACAGACGTCGAGTTGGGAGGGCTGGGATGAAGTGTCCATAGGCAAGCGGAGCGACCTGTTGGAGATGGTTCTCAAATACTCTCAGCTGATGCTCTAAGTACCGCAGCACACATGGTGCGACCTGCATTACGTGTACTGGGCATGGAAGTGTCAGTGGATAGTACTCCTGAGGCGAAGCACTGCTGATGCGAAGGTGCGGAGGTGAGTGGGTGAGGGATCTGGCAGAAGCGGTGGGCGAAACTCCTGTTTCAGCAGTGCCACGAACATCAGGGATACTAGGGCACACCTCTGATAACAAGTGTTGAGCTTCAAGCGCAAGTGATGTGCAAGCGCGGAAGTGTTGTGCACCCAACTACATCCACGACGTTACCCGTGGCCCTGCTGGTGAGGTGGCTGTCGTGGAGAGGTCGGGGATCATCGTCTCGAACATTCCGAGAGAGTGCGAAAGGTGACACCGAAACGTCCTTAGACTGAAGCTGGTTTGCTACCTTGGACCGCTTTGCACCCCTCGCACTGTGGGCGGTGATGGACACAAGCTCACAACCCCGTACTACGCGTGCCCCAAGGCATTCCACGCCCATTGCATGTGCATCAGTATGTTTCCAAGGATTGTCATCATGCAGAACATCAATCTCTGCGATCTTCGCCAAGTATGACATGCATCAGTCAACCTGGAAACTACAATATGTGAGAATATCAAACAAAATATACAATAAAATAGACTAATTTCCCGTGTCTATTCGGAACGAGAATTGGAGCCAGTGCTGATCCCTGCGTCTCCGGCGCCGGAAGCTCCAGCCAAACGAGCACCGTTGGTCAGCAGCACCAGCAACAGCAACAGCAGCAGCATCAAACTTATCAGACAGCAGCAGCAGCCACAACACCGCATGGTAACGAGTAGTGGCAGCGGCAGCAAGCAGCAGAAGCAGCCATAGAGCCATCAACAGCAACAGCAGCAGCAGATCACGCACCAGCTCCCCAGATACTTAGGGGGCTCGGGATACGACCCCTATCAGCCGCTGGAGAGCGACGAGACTCAGGCTCCAGCTGCCGGTCAGCAGCACGAGCAGAAGGAGCTCCCGCGCCGCCGAAAACGGCGCCCTCCTGCCCGCTTCACCCCCTCCCTCCCACGCTCCTGCGCCTGGCGACTTCTGATACTACCCTCCATTCCTCTGTCGTTCAAGGTCAAGGCCTGTTCGCTCTCCAGCCCCGGTACAATGCGATCTCCTCGGCCATTACGCCTCTCCAGATAACCCCTCTGGTCACGCTACCGTGCCAAGGTTACGGACGGTCAACAAGTCTGCAGTCAGCTAAGCACAGAAAACACGCCAAGCTAGCGACGGCGGCCTAAGGAGTACGAACTGTGCCATCACAGCGGGAGGCGGAGCGCCAGGCGTTTCAGGCCCGTTATGTACTGATCCTCGTCGAGGCCCGCTTGTGGAGCTCTTCCACTCCAACCGACCAACCCGTGGTTCAATGAGTGGCGGAGCCCGTCAGGAAACAAGATATCTTGCCGTTGATCTCCTGTCGGGTGCCCCTGACCGGAGCCCCAAATTTCTGTGCAGCCCATATGCCTGGTGTCAGCTCGGGGCCACTGGATTGCTGAAGTGAGGTGTGAGACTCACAGACACCGAACGTGGACTCTGAGACCACCAACAATACCAGCGAAAGGGGCCAACAGCCCTCTCCTCCCACTGACGCCGTCCACTTATAGCGGCGAGATCGTCGTCCTCTGTGGTCAGCTTTGCCGCCGTCAACAGAAAGTTGTGTGTCGTGGGTGATGACTCACAGAAGCTGGCCACTTGTAGTGCACTGTCTTTTGTTACCGAGGAGAGGCCATGAGGCCCCTCTCTCGGTAACCGTTGGAAGACGAGAAATACAAGCTCGAAGCCGCCGCCAAAAGTGCCAAGTACCCCACATCGGGGATCCAGTTACTGGCGTGTCTTCTGCGGCTGTTGACCCAGGCCGGACATTGAAATCCAGTGGGAGCAGGCGGCCCGGGTCTGGCGGTTTCCGAGTATCGACGAATGCGAGTATCTGGCGTCAGCTCGAAACTCGTCAGAAGGCAGCTGTTCGGCGAGAGACTCACTTGGGCGGGACTTCGCCAACCTCTCAGCCTCCTGTCGTCAGCTTGTAGGACAGCCACCATCAAGCCTGATAAGAGATTGGTCTATACTCACGCCGTCTGGACTTCCGATAAGGGCGAAGAAGTTCCCACCGAGCCGGCCCTCCACTGAGGACAAAGGAAAGAGCCTTTCACTGTCCAGGGAGTTGAAAACCCACATGACTGGCGTCAGCTCTTGCGGACTTCATGTAGCTGAATGCTGAGGAGACTCACAGACCGCAAGCGGTGCATTGCAAGGACGCGCGGCAGTGTTCCCAGCCCCCATGCTAGCAAATCTGCCAGCACACGCACCTGCAGTCAGCTCAAGCGTTCGACGTTTGAAGCTAGACACCTCGAAACTCACATACTGCAGACGAGGCGGAACAGCGGCCCCCGTATGGGGGCGCCGGCGAAGACCTCCCGACGACGAGTGCACCCCGGGGTCAATGTCCCTGCCAAGCAGAAGCACACCTTACCCTTCGATCCGCAGCCAAGCCGAGCCAGCCAAGGATCGGAGTCCACACACCTGAAGTCAGCTTTCAAGTGCGCCGCACAGCTGCCGTGAAGGGACTCACAGACAAGACGAGAAAAGGAGGGGTCGGGGCCGGCCCCACTTATCCACCGGAGACATGGCAACGGCACTCCAATTCGTGAAAACACAGGTTTGAAGGCCCACACACCTGTCGTCAGCTATCCCGTGTTCTCACGAATAGCTTGCAACTCACAGACAACGCGCGCTCGAGAACGGAGTACCAGCCCGCCATCGCCCGGGACTGGCCTCCACTAGGCGCCCGCCACCCGTGCCGCCTACCGCCCGGGAGCCCGGTGGTCCAGGTAGGAAGGCGGGGAGGTCGATATTTCCGGAGCTCTACTCCGGGAACAGGGTCAGGGGTGCAACAAGGGAGCCGACACCCATGGCCGAGGACGACATCGAGGGTGTCGGCCATCTGGTCCAGGTCTCAGGATCAACCTGGTGGTGTGAGTGAGGAGTTGATTGTCGGAGGTGCGACATGCCCTCGACGTCGCTGCTGTCGTATAGCTTGATTCCATCGTGAACCTAGTCGAAGGCGAAGGGGTGACGATAGTTTGCAGAGGCAGCAGGGGAATCGCGCTGGTGGTTGAGGTGGGATGAGTAGGATTGGAGTGGAATATGTCGCTTTGGTTGAAGTCAGGTACGTGGAAGTGAAGACGTGTCAGGGGGTCGAAAGTAGTAAACTCAGTCCTGCGCTGGATGGATAGAGGAGCGTTGGGGAGAGATGTTCTGGACGGATGGGGCTGATATACTTTGGCCCTGGGGTGGATAGGCGTGCAGCAGACAGCTGCTCTGGTGCAGGAGTGTAGGTGAGCAGACATGAAGCGGTGCAATGGGGCACACGGAGAAGCTAGAGTACCCCCAAGGTCACTGGTTGAAAGGCGGATGACCAGAGGATTGCCAGTGACGATCTGGTGTTGCGAGGAACACGACGCCACAAGTGTGTGGCACGATCTGTGCGTTTCACTTCCGCCCCTGGCGCGAGAGACGCAAGTTCATCATTCACCATCAATGCATGATTCGTGCATGCGAGGGTGTATGTTCAATGCATAGGACAGTGTACTACTGGATGCGCTCCTGCTAGTGCATGCAGGGGTCGTTGGATGCATAGAAACGGAGCCACAAAGCGAGGCGCCTGGTGATGGAAACCAGCATCGAAAGTGACTGCTTGGGTTACAGGTCGAGTAGATTGCAGCTCACGGGCGCACACGATGATACGTAGCACGTACTTGCACGAAAAGATTGCAGTCAGAAGCGGTTCAGAGTGCGTCGCCTCTTCCGAGCGCACCCGAGTCTGCGCTCTCCGCCAACCCAGCTCATCCCCAAGCTCGACACCCGGAGGCTGAAAGCCAGGGCAACGCCGTCACCATCACCGTCACCATCAGCAAGGCTATTTTCCTTCACTGCTGTAGACACACTTCTACAACGCTTAACAGGGGGTTTACTACGCTACATCCTCATACTACTATATATGTATACATGAATGAGTGGTGCTGTTCTTGATGGTTGACCCTCGGGAGAGTCTTTCGTAGCCTAGCGGCCGGTCTTGGAGGTATGCCGCAGCGCAGTCTACTCCTCCTTCTTCTCGTCCTCCTCATCGGAGGACTCGTCGTCCTTGGGCGAGTAAACGCCTGGTTGTCAGCTTCGTCCTTCACTCGGAATAGAAAGGACTCACAGACGATGCAGAGGTCGCCCTTGTCGCGACCCTGCGCGTAGTCGACGTAGACGGCGCTGCCGCAGTCGCTGCAGTAGTAGTACACGGTGGGCTCCTCCTGCTGGTTGGTGCTCATCTTGTTGATCTTCGAGTTGAGGCGGGGTGAGAGAGGTTGAAGTTGGAAGAGTTGGAGGGGTGGAGAGTTGGAGTCGAGGTGTTGGTGGTTGGAGAGAAGAAGATGTCGAGGGGAGCGCGTTATGTATTCTTCGACCAGACCTTCATGCACACAACTCCTCGGAAGGGATAGCACTCTTGGAACGTCGTCGAGGGCGAGGTGTGCGAAGGGGGCACGAGTGTGTTGCGCGGAGAGCGGGGTGCGCGGGTACGAGGGGCTCGAGACCGGGAATGTGTGTACACAGAACGCACTCCGACGTCGTCGGCTTGCCGTTTCTGGGAAAGAGGTGCGCACGCCAGGTGAACTCTCGGTGCGAGATGGGGTATGCTGGACGACCGGACTCACTTCGCTTGCTCGGAGCTGGTACTGCGTAGTGCATCTCCGCGGGTATCGGAGGACAGGTCGCACACAGCACGCCCTGGCAATTGGAGTTGTAGAGCTCTTTTCGGAAATCTTTAGGCCCGGAAGAGTGCCATGTTCGAGCTGGCTGTCCATCAGGCTCGGCGCCCTCGTAAGTGTGTGCTGAGCTGACTACCGGTTGCGCAGCCAGTGTGTGTCTGTCTATCAGCCATCGAAAGTGATGCACCCAGGTGCGTATCTGTGATTTCACCGCATACGCAGCACTCCTGACATGCATGGCTGCCGACCTGGATAAGCTACGCAGTGTCAGAAGAGGAAGTGAGGAGGCAGTTCCGATGGAAGTGGCTCTCGCCCCGAAATACACAGAAATTCTGAAAATTGCCAAGCGCGGGTCAAATATCGCTTTTATGAGGGGTTGAGGTGCATGAGAGATGCTCGCGCATCTTGCATGCGGATTGGGAAAGAGGTGTATGCATGATAATCTCACGAGGCTAAGGGAATGACAGTGGTGGATGCTAGAGGAACGGTGTGTTAGTTGTCGCTGCAGTGAGGTCGGAGAATGGACACTTGTGCGACGCAACGATAGCTCGATCCCTAAGCATCAAGTAGAAAGGGATGCTAGAGCATCACTGAGGAGCTAAGAAGAATGGAAGCTTTGGAACAGGGATCGGATTATGCAACTCATTCAAGAGCTATACGGAACAAACGCTGAGGCCGAGAAGGCAGTTCTCGATAGTACATCGCACAACGTTCGTCCCTCGCAATTATGTCACCTGCTGTGAGCGGTTCGTGTGCATCATGTCAAAACTCTGTGCCACCGTCTTCTCCCCGCCAAATGTATCCGCCAGATCCGCCGCTCGACCGACCCTCCGAGCACGAGGACACCACCGCGTACTCCGTGTGAACTGCGGGTCGTGCATGTTTACGGTTCGAACGTGTTGGGTCGCGTCGTTCCCAGGCGCCGTGGACGGGACGTTCCTGGTCCGGTACGGCGGGCAGGTGCATTGATCGGGCCTAGCACGTGGGTGATCGGGCAACACGCCAGGTCCCACTGTGACAGTGCAGAGTCGACACAGCGTTTTGGCACTGTGCGATGAGCCGGTGCTGCTGTGTCGCATTCCGGGGCTCGATGGCCAGGCCCCGGCAGCGCAGCGCAGCGCATGACGACATGACGGGAACGGAGGACCTGAGTTGTGTCGGAGCTGACGATGCGTCTTTGGCAGCTCGGGCGTGGACGGCGTGAACTCACGAAAAAACGCGCTTTGGAGGGTGACACGCCGCGTGCCCTCTTCCTGACGTCACCAGCTCCGCAATCGCCTTTTTACGCCCGACCCATTAACGGCCCATCGCCCGATGGTGCAGTGGAGAAGTGGAGGTGTTATCACGTGATTGGCTCCAGACCCTTGTTTTTGCCACCCACTCGAGACCCTGATTGTTTTCCTTGCCCCCCTTGGCCGCCCTTGCGTTTTCCTGACTCCCCATTCCTCCGTCCCATTAGCCAATCCTAATGCACACGTGGCGCCCATTAATACCCCCATCACGCCCCAAAGCTAATCGGATCAAAAGTCGGACCACAGCGAGGCCTCTTGAGGCCGACACTACAACCAGTCCAGTCAGGACGCAGCATGCACGTTGATCACCCAGCGAGACCCCCACAGCGCTCTTCCTTCCTGCTCATCACTCTCACAACGACTACTCGCTCGCCACCGATCTATCGGGTACACCAACACCCCTCTTGGCATCACCAACACTACGTCTCCGGGCACCAGCCAGTCCAAACAGCTGAGCTGGTCGCCCAAAGCTTATCCTCTTTCTCGCCACCAACTTTCCGACCCTCTCCTTTATCTCGCCTTACCCGACCTCGCCACCTCCTCGGTGGCTCTCTCCGTCATGCCCGCCACCCTTTCGCCGTTTCGCTACATCCAGCTGGCGCGCTATGTTGTTCAGTGGTGGCTCGAGACCGCCCCGGGACTCCAGGCGCGCCGCAAGGCAGCCCAGGCTCGCGCCGCCCAGATCATCTACGCCCCCCGAATGCGCAAGCCGCTAGCCCAGCCGAAGAAGGAGGAGTACGTGACGGCCGCTGCGGGCGGTTCGTCTGCTGCTCTCGCCTTCAAGCCGACAGCGGTGGACAAGTTCGAGGGCTTGCACACCGAAACCGAACTTGAGGACCTTCCGCCATACCCCGACAAATACCCGGATCCGCGGTATCCACCAGAGAACATGGACATCTACCGCCTCATGAACGACGAACGCGCTTTCCTCCCGGGACGCACGACCCCACCGAAGGAGATCGTCGTGCTGTGTCATGGTGAGTTGGACCGGACCGCTCGCTTGCGGCCCCACACGCTAGTTGTGGGGCTGTAGGGGTTTGACGGCTCGAGAGCCGGGCGGGTACGATCAAACGACCGGTACACCGCTTGGACCCATGCATTAGCGTGGCTGACGTGGCGCAGGATTGTACGGCTTCTCTACAGCAACACCGATACCACTGTTCCCGTCGCTTAAGCTGCACTACTGGGCATCCGTGCTCGAGGTGTTGCGCGATCGCATGGGGGCAAAGGTCGTCGTCGTCGGCGTCAAAGGGTGAGTGGCTATTGGTATTTGTTTACTTTTGGGGCGTGACACGCATTTCGGTGGCTTGACCGATTGATGTGTGGAGCCCTGCGCTTGATTTGCCCTTGGGGTGGCAACATGACAATATCAATCGCGTGGCGTGGCTGTGTTTGGTCCCATTGCTGACACGGTTTCAGCACTGGCTCAATCCAAGAACGTGCTCAGCAGATGCACGAGTTCCTCAAGTCGTACCTGCCGAGAGGTGTCGGTGTCAACTTTGTCGCGCACTCGATGGGCGGACTCGACTGCCGGCACCTCATCTCGACGATCAAGCCGAAGGAGTACAAGCCGCTGAGTCTGATGACGATCGCGACCCCGCACCGCGGCTCGCCGTTTATGGACTGGTGCGCCGCCAACATTGGCGTCGGATCGATCGCCCCGCCGTCGGTCAAGAATGCCGACGACCGTATTGCCGCCGCCGCCAAGTACCTCCCGTTCACGATGAAGTCGCCGCTCCTGACGCGCGAGGCCCGCGAGGCTGAGGCGAGGAAGGATACGGACGCATTCTCGTCTTTCACGTCGGGACTCACTAACTACCTGCTCAACATCTTCGACTCGCCCGCGTACCACAACCTGACTACGAGCTACATGAACGACTACTTCAACCCGAACACGCCTGACGATCCGAACGTCAAGTACTTCTCCGTCGCCGGCCGCGTTTCGAAGATGTCGGTGCTGCACCCTCTGTGGTTCACCAAGCTCGTGCTCGACTCTGCCGCTGAGCGAGGGTACCCTTCAACTGAGGTGCTCCCGGGGCACCAGTACGAGGGCAACGACGGACTGGTCTCCGTCGCAAGCGCAAAGTGGGGTGACTTCCTTGGCGTCGTCGATGGCTGTCACCACTGGGACCTGCGCGGCGAGGGTGGTCTGTGGCCTCAACACGGCGCGTTCAAGGTTGAGGACGAGGAGGCGCGCAGCGGAGACTGGCAGGCGCTTGGTCTCTCTGGCTCTGGCCCAGACTCGAACAAGAAGGACCCGCAACTCGAGTCGTCGCAGCAGCACGACAAGGACCTTGCGACCGCACGTGCCATGTCCTCACCTGCCGCTTCCGCGGAGGGCACCCCGAAGGACAAGGGCTGGGACCTGGCTCACGTCGGCCAGCTCGTCGATTGGGTATCCGACATCTTCCCCGGCGACAAGAAGGACGGGCAGGAGACGCGGCAGTACAAGGATGCGAAGGCCGAAATCGAGCGACCAGAGAAGGAGAAGGGCGAGGGCAAGACGCTGAAGAAGGTCGTGCGGGACAAGTTCGACCTTGCGCGGTTCTACGGCGGTCTCATGCTCAAGCTGCGTGAGGAGGGGCTGTAAGATGGGTAGGGGGTTAGACAACTGTTAGACATTTTCGCATTGGCATTAATCATAGCATGTAACATCTTAACACAACGTCCGCTAGGACGACACTATTATCTCACTACAGCTCACAACAGGTATCTAGACCGAGTTGGAGTTATCGGCGCAGGACCAGGGACGATCGGACGCGGCCGAGATGAGGTCGACGACAGACCCATACGTCCCGGCGACGGTCAAGAAGACGCCGGCGAGGATGATGAACACGTTGATACCTGCGACAATCCTCGTGCGCAGAGTCAACCGCCACTCGGGATGATCATGGAACCACATGAACATGTATGGCACCATGCACACGGTGGGGCAGAAGATAGCGCCAATGAACGAGATGAGGCTGCCAAAGACAGGGATGCCCGACGCGATAATGTACGCGATCAGGGTGCAGCCGCCGGTCGCGCCGAACCAGGCCGTCCAGTGGATCTTGGTCGGGCGCGCGAGGTGATACTTCCACCTTCCCCTCAGGACGCGCACGAAGACGTACTTGGCCGGAATGTGCGTGTACAGTGTCAAGCTGACGAGAAGGGCGGGAATGGCGAGTCCGTACGAGATCCGTTTCAGAAGCGGGCCAGCGGATCCGAGAGCCGGGGTGGAGACGTACTGCCCGCAAAACCCGTACACGACGGCAGCGATCACGACGTAGAAGACCGTCACGGCCGTCTGCCCAATGAGCAGGGCCTTGGTGTACTCCCTCGGGTCGCGCATTTCAGCCACGATGCCGAAGAAGGTCGGTGTCGCTGCAGCGGCGAAGAGCACGCTGCCAATGGCAGTCATTGCGCTGCTGAACAGCGGGTTGGCGGCGACCCTCACGTCGGGGTTCCACGGCAAGGGAGGCAGGGGCGCATCAGACGGCCTGTCCTGCAGTCCCACGGCGACTGTGAGCGTCATGATCGACACGAAGATGGAAATGACGCCCACCCAGCCCAGCCAGGTGATCTGCCCCAGGGTGGGGATGGAGGCGAGAAGGAAGCCGCACAACGCCGAGACGAGGACGAAGATGGCCGTGCATGTTGCGTGCAGGCTGACTGCGTTCAGTGAGACAGAGACGGCAATGATGGCACTGGCCGAGACGAAGATCCTGCCATCAGCTGCGGACTCAGAGATAAACTTACATGTAGAGACTGAAGATGACGCCGAGCACCTCACCCCCGAGCTTGCCCCACATGATCCGTCCGGCGTCCGAGAGAGAGTACACCTCTGGATGTCTCAGTTTGAACTGGCCAATGTTGTAGTTCGCCCCTGCCGTCAGCTTACACTCGCACAGTTCTCTACTCACAAGTCACGATCGCCTGGATGGTGATGATGACGATGATACCAGGCACCATGCCGAGTGTATGCATGACGACTGGCAGACTCAGCACGCCCAGCCCCACATTCGACTTGATCATGAGCACGCACGCGCCCTTCCACCCGACGCCGCGGTAGTTTGGCCCTCCCTCACCCATGTCGCCGAAGACGGCGTCGGTCTGCGGCTCCAAGGCTGCGACAGACCCGACTTCGACGGTGTACGCCTCGGCCTTCTCGTCCATGAACTTGTCCGAGCGGGTCGAGGGGGGCTTCGTCGTGCCCATGTAGGATGTGGCCGAGGTCATCTCGAATGGTGGAGGCATTGTAGCGAAGTGTGGAGAGGACGTGGGGAAGTTCTCATGAGATCGGGAGACTTATAAGCTTGCCCGCTTCACATCGCATCTCTATGCGCAGTCGTTGCGGAGCTATCAGCTCCGAGACTTGGTGGGAGCCTCCGGTACGGGGCGTCGGGGACGGTGGGCGACCCCAACAGCCGATGTTTGCCTGGACCCATCCGCCGACGCACCTTCATTCAGCATCCAAAGGATGCAACTCAATCGCACGCTGCGCAGATTACCGCAGGGAAAGCGGGCAGCAAGATCTGATCAGATACGCATATCGGTCAGGTGACTCTTATCAGCCGACCCCTCTGAAGAGGGGGTGCCGAAGGATGCCGTACGCCCAGTGACCGCAGACGCCTATCGCGGGGAACATCGGCGTCGCCCACACAACTCCTCTCCATCTACGAACTGTCTTTTCCCCCTTCGATGACTCCAGATGGCACGCCAGAGCACATCCCGACCATCTGGGGTCAGTGCTACGCAATCGCAAATGATGGCAGAGGACAGGGGGCGAATCGCTCGACGTCAGGTTCGAAATCGCCCGCGGCAATCTTCGGCTCGGTCAATTCTGAGATGTCGCGTTAGACGTTCTTGATACAATGGGCGTGGGAGAGCAGCAATTTGCACGTTTCCGTCTCTAACTCTCACGCTTTGAGTGCTTGCAGGTCAAGCCATGAAACACCCGCCCCTCACGACCGCCGCCACCGCCCACCATCATTCGTCCACCATCCTTCCGACCCTCCAAGCCACGCCGCAAACCTCCGACGCCTTCGGCGCCGTCGCAGAGGGCAAAAGAAGCAAAGGAACTGCCCCACACGGGCTCGAACCGTGGACCTCGGAGTATGTTATCGGATGGTAACAGCTCCACGCGCTAGCCAACTGAGCCATAGGGCAGAAGATCTTGATGACACGGGAGGACTCGCGCGCGTTCGCTTTTGCCCTTGCTCAATCCTCCAGATTTGTGAGAGGACTGTTTGCAAGACTTTGGCGACCACTATGCGGCCTATAGCTATATGCTGAGGGTGCGAAAGGCTGTGCTGTCCACGGCTTCAGTTGAGGAAAGACGAGCGTTGTACGCAGATGCTTCGAAGGTGTTCTCCGTGCCGGTCTTTATCAGTTTAGACGCACTGCCACCGCTCCACATGCGCAGCCGCATATGAGCGGCGCTTCGAGCGACGAGAGTGTTTGAATGGGACACCTGGGCCATGTGACCGACATCTGCTATGCATCGCGCTCGATCGCGATTCAGCCTCGGAGTTTACCGACCCATTCAGCGTCATGGGTGCGGTGTCATTCCGTGACATTTGAACAGCGACCGTGTTTGGCTCTGGGACGCTCGTCCAACACTGGTGCGTTCTCGGAGCATCTGCCGAGCGCGTGGCGGGATAGTCTCGGTGTGAACATTCTGCAGGGGTGTGATCGGTGTTGTCTGAAGGGCTCGGGGGACGCGCCGAACGAGTCCTTCACGCTAGCATCCAAGGATAGCACGCGCGGCGCAAGCGGCAATCTTATCTGTCCCGCCTCCCTGCTCCCGCCGTGCGTCCCCCTCCCCCTCCTAATCTGCACCATGTGACGCTTCCCCGATATTGCGACATGGACACCGAACCTGGGGGTCGCGGGGCACGCGGGGTGAGCGGAGCTGCGTAGCACCGCGACGGGTAATGCAAGCATTCTCTGCATATAACAGCAACTGCGGAGGGTGCTATCCCTCCGCGCCCCACTCCCAATTTAGACTCACCGACCACATAGAACTGAGCCAAAACAGAACAACAACATGCGGACAACAACAGCTATCGCCCTCGTTGCCGCGTCCACTGCGACGACCGCCCTCGCCAAAGACGCTGGTGGCTTCCAGCTGCTGTACACTTCTTCGTCCAACGTCTCGTGGTGCATCCAGCCGCGCGCCGAAGACGACAAGGGCAACACCCGTCCGCCTCAGGTCGGTGACCAGCTCATCTTCGACGACTGCCATTACGCCGTTGAGGGCTTGAAGCGGGGTCAGATCTGGAGCTGGCTTGGAAACCAGCTCCAGGTCCAGCTCGGCGGAAGCAGCAGTTTCTGTCTTGGTCTCGGCGAGAGGGTTGTGCTTGCCCCGTGCAGCCAGGTTGAGGATGACCAGGGCGAGGATGGAGATGACCAGAGCCAGAACGAGGGAGACAATGAGGCCGCAGGTGCCATGGCGCCGAAGACCACTGTCGCCGCGAGCCTCATTAACTGGAAGGCGTTGAGTGTAGCGCCGGGCTCCCACGCAACTGCAGCTGCGGACCCGCCCAAGACCGCTGGAACGGCTGGGGAACAGGCGAAGAAGGAGGTGGTCAAGACGAAGTGGCTGTTCCCATCCGATGGCAAGCTCTGTGTCTGTGAGTATCTGCCTGCAAAAACGCGATGAAGGCGAAAGAGCAGTCGAATAAGACGGGACGCTAACGCTCAGCCAAGGACGAGTGTATCAGCGCACAGCATCCCCAGGACGCCCCCACGAGCATCACCCCTGCCCTTACGATCACTGATCGCGACTACGCCGCACACATCGGCTTCGCCCGTACCTACAACCCCCACGGCGTAGACGCCGCGAGCCAGGCCGGAGCTGGGAGAGTAGGTGGGGAGGGCGTCCAGAACCAGTCCGGATCAGCACAGGGACACAAGGTCCCTCCATCTAACAACGGAGGAGAGCAGAACGCGGACTCGCACAACGGCCTCGGCAAGTTTGGTCGCGTTGGGCTTCCTGCGAAGGTGTGGCAGGATGATGGAGGAAAGAATGATGAGACCAAGGAAAGCGAATAGTTCGATGCATGCATCCCTCGTATGATGTTGTGGGGTATGCAGTGAGCGCAATCGCATTCCGGACTGCAATGGCGGTGATCGTGCTCCGCAGCGCACAGTCTCCCGTCCTGCTAGAGATTCCAGATTAAAGCAAGATTGCTAGTCAGCACCGGATTGGGATGCAGACTATCAGCCCGTCTCAGCATCTGCCAGTTAGGTGCAGAATATCTGGGCATTGCGGACGGGAGCGACAGCCATTGCGTTCTTCTCACGGCTTTATATAGGGAAGCGGCAGGTGAGGAGGCTGACAACTCCAGGTGTGGATGTGATGACGTCCAATCAAGGAGTAGGTTTGACCTTGGCGGCTGTTGCCGTGGACACCGTGCTGAGGACCGGCATCTCCGTTTGAGCTGCGGCGAAGACGTCAGCTTGCACGTGGGATATCTCGCTCGAGGTGGGCAGCAGCTCTACACAGAGCCTACACCTTGTTCGAAAGGGAGCGAGGACGCTAGCGACGCTACCGTTGTTGCAGCATAATGGTAAACGGAGACCCCGCAGTTCATGGCCGGAACAAGCGCAGGCAAAACCTCAAACGCCAGGGCGGTGCAGGGTGTGAGAACATGCGGGCAGGCAGATTGCGGCAATTTGCGACGCCGATGGCGAGACTCAGTCATGCCTCGGGTCCGGGCGATATGGGCGGTGAACGCATACAATAGACGTTGCGAGGTGTTGCGAGGAGAGTGCCGAGCCAAGAGTCAAATCTGGAACCTCCGCAGCGCGACGGGGTGGGGTCGCAGCACCTCTACGGTGGCAATACTGAGCTTGCTGGAGACAAGGTTTGCCGTGTCCCAACGCGTACGGAATGACGGGTTCCGTTGTTCCTGACCTTCGGCGACGCCTTCGGTTTGTGCGCCGGAAGGCGGCGACGTCTCGGCGTCATCGCAGTCCAGTTCCCGCCCTGGCCCCGGCCGTTGCCCCGGCTGCTGCCCGTCCCAGATTGATCTCGATCCCAGGGCAGCGATCTCCTGAGAGTCAAGAATCAACTGAGCACCTCTGCTGCGGGGTGGCAGTCATGCAACGTACACTCACCGATCGCTGACACTTGAGGACATGCGTTAAGCCACCTGCCCGCCGCGTGCCTTGTCTGAGCTGGCCCTGTGGCTCGCGGGCGTGCCGTTTCGCCGCGACTGTGCTGTGAGCGCCGCCTGACGACCTGATCTGGAGTTCACTGTGCAATCCTAAAGTCAGTTCGACGGTCGTGTCCTTCCTCTCCCCGCCGTTCTCATCACCCAGCAGCTCCTCCTGGCCACCGTGCTCCTTGACCTCGTATATAAGCCAACGATGCAGCACTGTCACCCGCTGGTGATCCTTCTCTCTGTCCCAGTGTAATCGCTCCCCCAGTCCCATCATGATCACCGCCCTTTTCGGTCTCGTCGCCGTCATCGGCGCCCAGGCCGCTCCCGCCAACATGCCCGGCGACGGTGCTGCCTCCCCCATGGTCTCCTCGGTCGTCGGTGCCGCCGCCACGGCCAGCATGGCGGCCACCTCAGCCGGCGCCATGTCCGCCTCGGCTGCCGGCCCCAAGCCCCCCATGTCTGCCTCTGGTGGCGCCGCCATGCAGTCTGGATCTGCGGGTGCCACTGGCTCTACCGGCTCCAGCACCGGCTCTGGCGCTGGCGGTGCCGGAGGTGATGGAGGAGCTGGTGGTGCTGGTGGAAGTGGAGGCGGAGCTGGAGGTGCCGGTGGCGCAGGGGGCTCTGGTGGCGCCAGCACTGGCGGCTCTACGTCCATGGGAGGCGACAGCAACCACCCCGTTCGTCTCGGCCCTGGCCCGATTGGAGTCAACGGAACGCAGTTCGTCCTCGACAACAAGGACGGCATCCTGGGCATCAACAACCCCATCCAGCTCTGGCAGTACTTCCCCGAGAACACCAACCAAAAGTGGCACCAGAGCCAGAGCGGCGAGCAGTTCTACATCGTCGCTCGCGAGGACCTCTGTCTGTCGGTCTCGCCGAAGGGAGGTGTCAGTCTGACTCCTTGTGGCAAGGGCGACCCCGCCACACAGGCCAGCAACACCTGGGTCATCGAGCAGAACAAGTACCTGTGCACCCAGGGCTCTAACGCAGCCACTGGCGGCTGCATCTCCGCCCGCAAGCCGTACAGCAACGGCGCCGAGGTCATGATCTCGGCTGACCAGGCCAACTGGCTTCCGCTCGTCTACGAGCAGATTCCCATCTACGAAACCGTCAGCAGCCCTGGCTCTGGCCCGGCCGGTGCTGCCAACTCGACGGGTGCCGGCTCTACCGGTGGCTCGTCCGCTTCGACTGGTGGCTCGGGCGGCGGTTCCATGGACGACATGGACAGCATGGGCTCTGCTGGCACTGGCTCTGGTGCCGGATCCCAGAACGGCACCGCTGGCGGCTCCGCTGGCACGGCTGGTGGCGCCGCCATGAGCTCGGCCAGCATGCCGGCGACCAGCGCTTCCGGCGCCCCCAACAAGCCTCCCTCCGGTGCCTTTGCGCCAAGCAGCGCCCCTGCCGCCGGTGGTGCCGCCTCGGCCGCCTCGTCTGCTGCCGGTGTCGCTTCCGCGGCTGCTTCGGCTGTCGCCTCCAAGCCCGCCGCTGCTGGTGCTTCAGCCAGTGCCGCCGGCACCAACTCGGCCGACGCCGATGCCGACATGGCCGACTCGGCTGGCTCGGCTTCGGGTGACTCGACCGGCGACGCTGCGATGGGCGGCAACTAATCTAGTCCTTGATCTAAGTCCTGTAGAACATAGAACGAAGAACAATGTATTCACCTTGACTTCTTGCGTCTTTGCCCGGGAGAAAGCCCTGTAATGGAGTCGATTAGCCGAGTCACGAAGAGCAAGGCTGCAGAGACCTCGCCGCTCTCACTGCACTGCAGGGAGGTGCTGGTACGGCGGGGCAATGTGAGGGAGGTACCGGCGAAGTTCTGATCTTCGTTCGTGAAGCGCCTCGACGACGTTCATCGTGACGCTGTCCACAGGCTGTGTGTGATGTGAGGCCCAAGTGAGTGGATGGTCAGAAAGCGAATGAGGGATGCGTGTCTGGTGTGCGAGGCAAAGAACATCTGTGCATGATACGTTTAACCTTCGCACGCAGATCTACAGTTTCACGGCTTTACACATCAGAGCGTTGCGGCCATTTATGCACGATGCGGGGGCGGCGTGAGGACGGTGCGAGCGCGTGAAGCATGAGAAAGGTCACAGGTGAAGATTAGCGATGTGATCGATTAGCCCCTCCTGAGCAGCGGCGAGAGTGTAATCGATTCCCGGAGCACTGCTTCCGCTTTCATTCGAGTTGTTCTGGACCGGAGGGAGGACTTGGTTCAGGCGATCAAGAACAGGTTCGGGGCGGTAGGGTAGATAGAACCCATTGAGGTCGCACAATGTGTCAACGGTGATGCGCATGCTGCCGCCGAGCTTCGACTTCATTCTTTCGATCCACAACAGAGGGAGGGCCTTCAGCAGTCGGTCCGCGTAGTAGAGAGGATCGTCATGTTCAATCGAGATGCAAATTGACAGCTCAACCTCAAGATCTTCGGGCAGTTCATTGTAAACTGGGAGGAAACGGTGCGGCTGCTCCTTCAGCAGCTCATCCGTACCCACATCCGCTTCGAACCCGATCTTGAGTCTCCACTTGCGAGGTCAGAGAAGTGGTGACTGTCGATGAGGGTCGTGAAGTTGTTCAGGGTTTGGCTCAGCGGCGCCGTAGACCAGACCTCGGCTTCAAAGACTTTCAGACCGGGGGGTGAGAGCCTGGTCAGGTGCTCGATCTGCGGGTAATAGCTGCCGAAGTCCCAAGTCAATTGCTGAATTGTAGCGCATGCAGTGTTGCGGTAGTGCAAGATTGTGCACCAGTCGTCGGATATCTGTTCACTGTCTCTGATGAAGAGTTGCTCGAGAGGCAAGCAGAATATGGCTGGGATGTGGATTTTGTCACCCTCATCTGGAAAGACAGGTCGCAGACCGTGGCCAGCAATCTTCGACAACAATGCGGCTCCCCCGAGCAGTTGGTTGCTGATTTGCTGGGAGCTCGTAATGGCGTTCTCATTGACGGTGACCCATTGATCGAGAGGGCCGTAATCCTTCGCTGTGTGACTAGCCCGGCGATTGAAGTGCAGGGTGGTGCCCTCGAATTGGACGATGGTGAGTTTCGGGAAAAACGAACAGAGCTTGGCCCAGGTCCAGTTAACGAGGAAAGACAGGCTTCCCATCAAGTTCAAGGTGATGACCCCAGCGGCATACCCCCTCATGCGATCCTTCAGGTTAGTGGGAAAACCTCTGAAGTGCCCTGGGGCGCCTACCTTATCCTTGCACTCCCACGGAAATTCGTCGAAGAAGGTGGCAGGATACTGGAGCATCGCAACGTCCACGGATGTCTCTCTGCTAATCGTCATGAGCGAGGTGAGAAGTTGCCTCTCTTCGCGTCGCACATCGGTGATGGTCCGCGAGCGGCGATCGATTGACCGAACTAAGTGCTTGAAAACTGCCAGTCGGACGTGGGGCAGATACCAGACCTGACTGGCGAGGTCTCGAACTCGGGTGTGATCGTCGACTTGCTGCATGAATCGAGAGAGTTGATGGCGAGGTGTGAACAAGAAGCAAACGAAGATGGGAGTAAGAAGGCGGAGGACCAGCTGCAGAACGCAGAGCCATGCTGGAAGTCGCACTCGCTCTGATATGGTTGCCTCCGGTGCCGATCACCTTGAGTCAACCGTGAAAGGGGCGCAAGCTGTCCATCGTGTGTGCAAACCGCCAAACACCGGGTGTGACGAGAGCTCTACCCCCAGGGAGAGTCTGGACGATGGGGAGGGGGATTGGGCCGCAAAATGAGCGACACTATCCATGGGTCGAATGACTCTGGCCCTTCTCCCTGGTCCCAGTATGTCCTGACCTTGAGTCGATACCAGTTGTCGCGACCGAGCTTCCGCCTGGCTTGCGCGATCCACCTGTTGGGCAGAGCATTGAACAGCACCTGCTCCATGTGCTGTTCGTCGGTGCGCTCGTCAATGTTGTGGCTGAGGAGAACGAGATCTACCCATATCTCCAGCTTCTCGGGGATGTCGTTGGACAGCCACTGCGGCGCTGCGACCCAGCCGGCGGAATCTGGAGCCACATCCTGGAAGAAGAGCAGCTTCACCTCGAGGAACCGAAGATTGGGGAAATGCTTGGTGTCTATGTGCTCGAGAATGTTGTCCAGAGTGGTTGAGAGAGGTCCGTCGGATCCAAGGCGTAGCCTGAGTATGCGCAGGTCTGGCGGTACCACACAAGCCAGCCGAGGAACGACGCTCAGCTCCTCCCCAACACCCATTCCCCACATGAGTACATCGATAGGCAGACCAGCGCCTTTACGATGCTGTAGAAGTCTCAGCCAGTCGTCGTGCTCGTCGCGCTTGGGCTCGATCACCATTTCCCGCTGAGGTTGGAGGAAGATCGCAGGAATTTCCAGCTGCCCGTCGTCGCGAGCGATGAGGGGCCGAACGTCGCCCATCTGGTAGCCAGTTTCGAGATCACGCGCAAGCTTGTACTCGAATCCTTCAATGTCCCAGAATGGTGCAGGCTCAGTGATGGAACCGTCATCTTCGACCCAAGCCGTTTGGCTGATCTCGAACGTGTCGGGTAGTCTGGGATTGCACCACGCGAACTCTGCAGTATTCGGCATAGTCGAGAATGAGAGATCCGTCGAGTCGAAGAACAGTTGCCTGACGTTTGGGAAGAACGCGACCATTTCTGGAAACGACTTCCAGCGAGTGCACAGGGGCAGACAGCCGGTCACATTGATGGCTCGGACGCCGGCCGCATAGGCTCGTCTCCGATTCTGCAGAATGTCAGCAACGCATCTCGCATCAGAGCTCACTGCATCCGGACAACCCCATGGAAAGTCATCGAGATTGATGTAAGGGTAGAGTAAGAGCGCGATGTCCAAGGAGGTGTCTCTGTTGAAGGTAAGGAAGCCTTTGAGAAACCCTTGCTTCTGGTCGGGAGCTCGGCCGATCTCAAGCGTCTCGCAAAGTTCGTCAAACAGGGCCATACGGACGTGGGGTAGATGCCAGACTTGAGGGCCGCGCTCCTCCAGTCTGGACGCTGTAGAGTTTTGGGCCATCGCGTTCAACAGGTGTGTGAGTTGTTGGCTGGCAGGCAGGTGAGTGAAGAATGAGTTCGAGTTGGGCTGCAGATGGAAGAGCTGCAGCCGTGATTCCCGCTCCTGAGGTCGTTGCCCGAGTCCTTGACGATCACCGTGAACTCATGGAAGCCCTTCACTGCTCGCGCAGAGACTCGGTTTGCGGAGACGATATTGAAGAGTGCAGTGTGAAGCACTGCGATAAGACTTGTCCTGCTCGCTGCATTAGAACCGTGTGGGTTGAGATTGCGGAGATCACAGTCTGTCCGACAGCCATTACGTCATCGTCTGTAAGTGGTGAATAGTGTGTGTGTGGCTTTCACAAGTGAACTTCATTGCATGTACATCGACGAACCCTTCACAGATGCGCTCATGTTGACAGCACGAGATAGAATAAGAGACAGAGGTTCAGCGCAGTTGAAGCCTGTCTCAAACGTGCGCAGACCGATTGTAGAAATCAAAGGAAAAGGAGAAAGACAATGGGTGATGAATCGTAGACTTCAGGACCTCTTGCTTGTCAGGGGTTGGGACCCAAGAGCGCGTCTTTCAGGCGAGCTACGACAGAAGGGGGATCGAAAGGCTGCTCGCGGCTGTCATTTTGCAGGAAGGTATGGACAAACAGGCAATCCTTGCGGCTCTCTCCTAGCTTGCGCCTCGCGTTCTCAATCCACAGAAGAGGAAGAGCGTCGAACATGTCTTGGGTAGCGGCAACCTCGTCCGAGGGATCGTTCATGAAGTGGGTGTAGAGCATCAGATTGACGGAGATTTTTAGCTTGGGTGGCAGTTTATTTGTCGTCCAGTCCGGATTTGTGAGGCCCCTGCGCCACGCTTCAGTCGCTTCAGCGTCTCTCATAGCACCAGGATAGAAGTAGATTCTCAAGATGAGGCGTTCGAGATTGGGGAAGTGGTCATCGTCGATGATGTCCATGAGAGTGTCGAGGGTCACGGAGAGGGGGCCAACGGAGCCGACCTCGAGTGAAAGAGAGCGGAGGGTGCTGGGAACAGCTTGAGCGAGGCGAGGGAGAACGTTCGTTTCTTCGCCGTCTGCCATGGTCCATAGGACACAATCCGTACGCACACCGTTCGCAGCACGATGCTCCAAGATGGTCAGCCAGTCGTCGTGCTCTTGAGGGCGAGGACGGACGGAGAAGTGCCTCACCGGCTGAAGGAAGGCTTCAGGAATATCTATCTCTCCGTCCTCCTGGACAATGAAGGGCCGCACTCCCTCCTCGCACCAACCAGTACACAACATGCGGGCAACTTGGTAATGGATTTTGTCGATGGGGAAGAAGGGGATTGTGTCCTTGATGGAGCCGTCTCTCGCAACCCAGACCGTCTCCGTGATGAAGAAAGTGTTAGGGCGTTCCCAACGAGAGCCCTTCTTCTCGAACACAATATCACCAGATCCAAAGACGATCGTATTAGCGTTGGGGAAGAACTCGAGCATGTCGGCAAAACTTTCCCACCTGACACAAAGAGGAATGCCGCCAGTCATGTTGATGGTGTGAACACCAGCGGCATATGCTCTCTTGCGTTCCTGTGCACAGTGTGAGCAAAAAAGCAAGGTACCGCTACTCACCTCATCAGGGCAATGCCAGGGGAACTGGTCCAGAATGATGAGATCGTAGAGCAAAGGTGTAAGGTCCAGACAAGTTGCCTTGTTGAGGGTAAGATAGGAGCGGATGAAGGCGAAATCGCACTGCTCGGGTGGCAATGACTTCACGAGCTCCTTAAAGATAGCGATGCGGACGTGCGGAAGATACCACACTTCGCGCCGAAGCTCTTGCAGATGGGGATCATCCGTGGGCTCCATGACTGTCGAACGCCAGTGTCTGATTGATGGTGAGAAGAACGATGTGTTAGTGTTGAGGATGATGAGTGGGCGAAGTCGAGGTCTCTGGAAAATGGGAAGTCAGAACTTGCAACTGAGACGTTACAACGGGTCTTGACTCCGTATTGCGCCCTCAGAACGGTCGAGATCCTCCACACGATCGCTGAGTCAATCTATCGAGTGGGACAGTGCGAGTGGACGCCCCGCAAGGTGCTCCCCGTGACGCCGCTGGTACTGCTCGCGTGATCGCGTAAGAGTTTCGCAGTCGGTTTCCTGCGACGCTTGCAACCGTCTCGATCCAGATCGGACTGCGAGTTTGACAGACAGCAGGGCTGTTGCCCTAGCTAGCGCCTCGTGCAGTCAATGGGGCTGTTCAACATGGTTGAGCGACTGTGTAACAGCGTGTTCGACGTATGTAGCCTTCGGGAACTGCCTCTAACGGACGTGATACGGTCCCGTTCACTTCGTTGTAACGGTCAGGAGTCAACATCACTTCCTCATGCAGTGTCGCGCGATGTGACACTTGACTACCTTGCTGCACAGAAGTCAGGTGTACATAGAAAGGCGTGTGATGATAGCTATAATGACAGCGAAAAGACTAGCCACTCTGGTCACAGGTGCACTGGCCGACCGTCTGGGTCGACTGATCGAGGGTGAGCGGGCCATAAAGGGCGTGTTCGAGCTTGTCTTTGAAGTGCGGCTCATTCCAGTCGTCGAGACCTCCGCCGATGTCCCTCAACACGTCGACGCAGAGGTTGATCTCATCACCAAAGGCGATACGAGCGTTGCGGATCCAGCTCAAGGGCAAGGCTTCGAGGATGGGTTCTGGATCCTGACAGGGGGTGATGGAATCATAATCAAACGGCTCGCCAGTATACTCAGGGCCGTCCATGTCCACAGCGAGAACCAACAAGATGAACTCAAGGTTCGCCGGCATCTCGTTGGTAATCCAGTCCGGGATGAAGGTGTCACCGTGGTCTGCCACCTCCGGAGCGACGTAGCGGTCGAAATGCACATACACGATCAGGTTTTCCAAACCCAGAAGCCAATCGTCCCGAACACTGCTCATGATAGAGTTCAAGACAGTCGAAATGCCCTCCCTCTCAATATGCAGATGCAAGACGAGCTCTTGCAGATCGGGTCCTGCGACACGGGTGAGCTTGCTCAGGTCGTCTCCCTCCAGCGCCGTCCATGTGATTGAGTGAGTAGGTATACCGAGCTTCTTGCGCTGGCCCAGAATTGTATACCAGTGACCCTGCTTAGAGAACGCCCTGTCAGCGTCTAGTTCTTCGAACGGGAGTAGGAAGATGTCTGGAAGTTCGATTTCTCCGTGTCGTTTGCGTTTGTAAGGTCGCAACTTCACAGGCTGCCGGCTGGGTCTGAAGTTGTAGAGTGTGTTATATTCCAGGTTGGGTAGAGGGTGGAAGATGTGCGTTGATATAACGGCTCCGTCTTGTACTTTGGGCATCAAGGCCACTTGGAAGTTGTTGCTGTTGTCGGCGTGTCGACTCCAACACACGTCTGTCGAGTTGAAACGGATCCTCTTAACTCTGTGGAAATAGTCGAGCATGCCCGGGAAATCCCACTGGACACACAGAGGTAGACACCCGGTAGCATCGACGAAGCGAACACCGGCAGCATACAGTTGTTTGCGGTCCTGGGTCTCGTCAGTGGTGCTCGGTAAGAATGCTCACTTCAGAGGGGCAGTTCCAGGGAAAGGCGTCGAGGTCGATACTCGTGTAGAGCAGTATCGCTACCTCTGGGAATGAATCTTTGTCAAGAGTCAAAAACTGCAGAAGGCCGCTGTTTGTCTTGCGGTGCCGGTATGGGCGCTTATCCTCGAGGAGAGTAGCGAGGAACTCAAACACTGAGAGGCGGACGTGGGGGAGCTTCCAGACCCGGTGTGCAAGCTGCTGTGCTCGAGGTTGATGAACATCTATGGGCATGTTGCTGAAGCGTGCTGCTATGTGATGTTCCAATATGACGATGTGTGAGAGGAGTATGGCGACGTGGAGACCGAGTCCATGCATTAGGTAGACACTGACGTGTGCAGCAGCTCTGTTTGCATCCGGCGACGATCAGTTGAGACACGAGACACCCATGAGTCGATGACCATACTGCAGCGTGTGCTTGACGAAGCACCAGCACATGCGCCGACGGAACATCACTGTTTAATAAACATGCATTCGCTGCCTCCCACCTATGAACAGCAAGCCTCAGCATGCTATGCCGGTGCGGCTACTTACTGCAAACACAGGTGCACTGACCGACGGTCTGAGTCGACCTGTTGACGGTGACTGGGGCGAAAAGGGCATGATCCAGAGCCTCGTCGAAGGGCTCATCCCAATCCTCCAGACCGTCCCCAAAGTCGCGCAACACCTCCACTCGCAGAGGGAAGGACTCCCCGAACTTGATCCTTACATTGCGGAGCCAGCTGATCGGGAGTGCTTTGAGGACATCGTCGCGTATGTCGTCTACTGTTGGGGGTTCGTAATCGGACCAGTCATCGTCGTTCTCCTCATTATCGCAGACGAGAAAGAGCTGGATGTGGTCGAGATTGGCTGGCATGGTGTTACTTAGCCATTCTGGGAACTCCGTTGGCCCATCATCCTGTAGTTCAGGCAGTATCGTGAAACTGAAGTGGACCCAAATGAGCAGATTATCGAGTCCTGGCAGCAAGTCGTCTTGAAGACCATCCATAACACGGTTCAATGCGGTTGACAAGTTCTCCACCGCGGGGAAAAGGTTCAGGTGTAGGTTCTTAACTTCGGGTCCGGCAGCTCTCGCGAACAAAGAGAAGTCGTCACCTTCGTACATCGTCCAGGTGATGGAGAGTGTAGGAATGCCGAGCTTTTTTCTCTGTTCCAGGATGATGAGTCACTCAGCTTCGCTTGGATGATGACCGTCTGCATCAATCTCAGCATATGGCAGCCGAAAGATTTCAGGCAGTTGCATCTCTCCGTCACCGTTTCGCGTAAAGAGCGGGGCTGGGACATCCCTCCAGCATGGCATGAACGCATAGGTGACCTCGTACTCGACGTTAAGCGGAGCGTGAAAAGGTTGAGGGGGAGCGATGACCCCATCCTGAGCCTTGAGCGTTTGATTGATCGTGAACTGATTGAAACGCGCCATGGCACCACCATCTGTCTTGCGAATTTCGCGAGACCACCGCACCCCGGATGCGTTGAAGTAGATCTGTTGGACGTTGGGAAAGTAGTCCAGCAGGTCGCCAAACTCCCACTTTCCACAAAGAGGAAGACAGCCAGTGGCTCGGAGAGTCTTGACGCCGGCAGCATACAAGCGCTTGCGTTCCTACCACCATCAGCGACGCCCTCACCGCTGCAATAAGGATATCATACCTGTGAGGGGCAATCCCACGGGAAGCTGTCGAGATCGATACATGGGTACAGCAGCATGGCGACTTCTCGGAATGATGCTTTGTCCAGAGTAAGGTATTGCTTTAGAGAAGCATCGTCGCCCGCAAACTTGCTCTTCCGCTTACGAAGCGTGACCAGGCGCTCGAATACCGAAAGTCGGAAGTGCGGGAGTTGCCAGACTTGATGGGCGAGCCGCTGTGCTCGAAGATGAGGAGACTCCTCAACCATCTCAATTGTCAGAGGAGGCTTGATGTGTGTTTGTGAGTGGTCTGGAACGAAGGAAAACGGAACCGAGACACAGTCTGATGGAAGAAGCAGCGAGTGCATTTGACTCCGTCGCCGATCAGTCGCGTCAACCGTCAACCGCACCAGCCTGCACCCGCCCAAACACGGCCAGGGCTCGTCGACGACACCAGTCAATCGATCCATTGCAAAGCGTCAGAGTCAGTTTCGTGAGCAACATTTTGTTGTTAAGCAAGCAGCACGGTCATTCCAGACGAGGATTCATCGCGGATGCCCAAAAGTGCACCTCTTGGTGGTCACTTTCAGGCACGGCATCGCGTCGTCTTGCGGGGCACCACATCGCCTGCAATTCTCAGTCGCGTAGCTCGCAGCGCGACAACATTTACTTCGAATCCGTCCATTACCCCAAACCCACCAGCCCATGCAGTCAGCGTCACGCCGTCGGCATGGGCAACTCTGCGATCTCCCATTACGCCAAGACAATGGGGCCGAAAAAGTGCATTGTAAGCTTCATCGGGGGGCAGCACAATAGCTGACAGTAGCATGGTGAGACTGCTCTACGCCTGCAGCGGAAGGAGGGTCCTCAGCAGGGCTTGTTCTACTACACGTGTGCGCGTGAGCAGAGTCGTTGCGTGTACTGGGTGTGGGAGAATCCGGGACTCGCAAGAGAACGAGGGCCTTCCGCCCAGTCGCATCCACAGGCACCGAGAACGACTACAATACCGCTCAACGCGACTGCCGCTACGGCCGAGGGGAACACGCCAGCGAAGTCTCCACCAACCACGAAAACAACGAAAGGGCCTCCGCCCGTAGAACGCACTGAGGAGGAGAAGAGACAGATCCGAGCATTGAGGAAGCGGAGGAAGGCGGAGAACAAGAGGAAGCGGAAGGAGCTACAGAAGAAGGAGCTCGAGAGAGCTAGGCGGGAACAGGAACGACTGGACTCGGGGGCCGGGACGGAAGAGCGGTACGCGTCAGAAGGGGAGAAAGCAGCGGCCATGCCGATGAAGGAGATCGCACAAACCACTGCGGCGATGCGGGCAAGAGCAACCGCCGGCGCTGTTGACCCCCAGCCCGGACAAGACTCAACAGCCGAACCGACAGCACAGGAAGCCGGGACGGAGCAAGATGCTTCAGATTCTACGTCTGCCCGCGAATCAGAACACTTCTCGCACTTATCATCAACCCAACAACCTCATGAACGAGCTTCCATGGACCTCGTTCAGGACACCGCCCGGCCGTTGAGGAGTGGTCCGCCGTCTGCATCACCCGGGCGATCTCTCGAGCCGGCGCAAGCGATGTCTCCTCCCTATCCCCCAATCGCTCATTCGACCACTGCAGCTTTGAGGGCGAGGGCGACGGGCGGTGGTGTTGAGTCGGAGGAGCCGGTGGTGAATGGAGCCTCGCGCAAACGCAAGCAGCCCGATGCGTCTCCCTCACGATCGACGGCCTCTTGCACCGTAGCCACAGAGCAGCTCTCGTCCACGGTTGCTGGATCCGCCCGCGCTTCTGCGCCGCCTCCCAAGCGCCGCCAGCTGGATCTTGAAACGGAGATCCGCCTCGTCAAGTCGCTGTACGGCGTAGTAGACTCGCCAGCAAACGGTCACACGCATACGAACGGCCATGTGCACGCTAGCGTCGCACCAGCCGTCGCATCTCCGCGTGACGGGCAAATCGCCGCTTTCCAGTCCTGCTTGCGCTTCATGGAGGCGGAATACTTGTCAATGGAGAAGGAACGGGACGCACTGAGGCGTGAGCGTGATGCGATGCGCAAGGAACGGGAGGACCTGGCGTCGGAGAACACCGCCCTGCGCGTGCACCTAGCCGCGATGGGGGTGATGCCCGAGTAGTAACTGTTGTTGTATCAATGCACTGTACCTGTACCTTGAGCTTGCCCGCCCATGCGGTCATGCCGCCATGATACCATGCTGCATGCGCCGTGCCGGAGTTCCGATACATACGTCATGGGTGGGGGATGTCATAAGCGGTGGGATTAGAACGGGGGATGAGTGCGGAAGTGGTCTCAAAATGGAAACGCGTTGGTGGGACCCCACAGGCGGCAAGTGCGTTGATCGAGCGGAGCGACAAACGGGAACGGAGCTCGCTTTGTCAAAGAGGGCAACTTTGTTTGCCACCTTCCTCCTCCCTTTTTTCTCGAATACTCCTCACAGACTTAGCATTCACGTTCACTACGACCCGCGCGCATGCGGTAGCGACCATGGCCACCACAACGGCGAGTGCAAATGCAGGCCCGTCGGTGCCGTGGCTCACGCAAGGCCAGCCAGAGCACCACACCTGCGAAGTGAGTTCCTCATTCCCCCCTTCCCTGCCCTCCTTTAGGTCCGGTCATGGGATTCCGGCATCACCGGGCCACCATACTGGAATCGTCAATTCGATGTTTCTTGATTGTCAACTAACGTCAGCATGGAGATTCGGCACTGCGCGTAATGCGCACGAGCGGTCCTGATGCCGGGCGGTGGTACTACATTTGCCCTCGGCGGGACAGCAGATGTAACTTCCTTGTGTGGGAGACGGCTCCGCCTTTGCCATCGGTGTGGCAGCGGCCCACTGTCACTCGCACGACCAGTCTTCCCAGCGTATCTCCAACAGCTCCGGCGGATCAACCTCCACTGGGCTCTCAGTGGATATCGCCGGATGATCCCCAATGGCCGCAGGCTCAGGCTCGATGGGCTCAGATGCAGTCACAAGCGCAGGCTTCGACACAGCCTGGGACGCAACCCCTGCCATCGACTTCAGCGCGAGCTGAGACGCAGGCTCAGGCGCAACCACCTCCGACAGCCCCGACCCAGGTCCAGCGCCCGGCGACACAGCTCCCCCCGCTTCCCCGGGCGCAGGCGATGTGGTCGGCGCCGCTGGTGCCTCGCCCTCCGCAGCCCGTGTGGTTGACGCCGGCTGAATTCGCGGCCGAAGCACGGAAGCGGAAGGAGAAGCGCGACCAGCTGGAGGCAGAGATGCGATCCAGGTCTCGGCGGCACGAGCGCTCGCCATCAATCATCGAGATCCCCGACAGTCCGGAACCTGAGCCAGCTCGCACTGGGGAGGTTAGAAGGAGAGAGGGAGAGGACGGGCGACCACCGAAACGGGCTCGGGTTGAAGATGACTCGGGTTCTGGGTCGGAACCACCGCCATCTGCGCCCGAGAGGAGGGAGGCAGAGGCCTTCTTCAACGCCCTGTCGCTTCCTCCAGCTAGCCAGGAGAGCCAAAACGGCGGTGCTCGTATCGAGGAAATCCCCGAGAGTCCGGAGCGACCGACGTCGACGCAGGGTCCCGCTACACACGCTTCGACGTCTCCTGAGCGTACACCTGCGACTCAAACCTCAGCATCCCCTCCGCCCGCCGGCCAAGCGCCCAGATGGGCAACCCAATCGTCTCAGCAGCACGGTCGGGAGCAGATCTCGACGGGATCTGCACCGCGACCGGAGCCTAGCGGCACCTTTGCGACTCACCCTCAAGCTGGATCACGGCCAAGCGCTCCAGTTCAGCCGGAGAAGAACCAAGCTGTGGTAGTCCGGGGACCTGCTTCTGCGTTTGTGGCGAATGGACATGCCGAAAGCTCCAGTCAGGCAAACGTACACGCCCAAACCTCGACGATGCTGAATGCTTTGGCGAACGGCGCTACCCCAGCCCAGGCGACAACGCACGCGCAAAGCTCGACATCGGTCATGCCAGCGACGCCATCAATGCCGCGGACCCCTGCTCAGCCTCGCGTTCCAGTACCTGCTGTCCAGGCGGCTACGCCCTCTACTCCCGGCCCAGACCCGAAACTTGAAGAGCACGAGCGCCGTCTCGCCGAGCTGGAGGCGCAACTTCGCATGCTCCGGGAGCTGATTCCGACACCTGCAAGACCTGCAAGACCCTCAGAGCCGTCGCAGGCGAATGGTCATGTCTCTCAGCCTCAGGATTTCGAATCAAGGGAGTCGGCGGCCATCCAGCAGGCATCGGACCCGAGGAGGGAGCGATCGGCCGGTGCGACTAGCCAGCCTGCTTCCGCCATGGATATCGACGAGGATGTTCCAACTGCCTCAACACCTGCTGTGACTGGCACGGCCGCAGCTCCTGCAGCTTACAACACTATGACTGCTACTTCAGCTGCACCGAACGGCCCAAGTGAGGGCGCCTCAACTGCGATGTCGACCACCTCGCAATCTTCCTCATCCCGTGGACCTCAAGCTACCGCTCCTGTCGCCACCCCGCCGCAGACAAGCGAGACGTCCAGCGCTGCTCAAGTACCAAGCACTGCACAGGTGGCTGCCTCGGCGCCAACGAGCGATGGTCCAACTCCGCCCCCACCTTCTGCTCCTGAACCAGAGACCACTCAACAGAACCAGCGCAGCTCTCCTCCGCCTCCGCCTCCGAACACGCAAGCTCCTTCCGCATCCCAGAGCGCTCAACAGGTGCGCCCCTCTCCACCAGCAGCTCCCGACTCTCAGACGCCAACCCCGGCTGCCCAACCCACCCGAGCAGAGCCGACCGACGACCAGCTCGTCACCCTGAAGTCCTGCCTCGCCTTCATGGAGTCTCAGTACCGACGCGCAGACAGGGAACGTGAAGCTCTGGTCTCCGAGAACGAGGAGCTCCGGAAGGAGGTCGAGGCTATGAAGCTGGCCAATGCTCGACTGAAGCTGCGCGTTCAAATCACCAGGGAACGGCAGAGTAGTGGTGGTAGTGGATTGGGGATGCCCGTGAGCCAACCTTCCATCGATCAAGCCTGAGGAGATGGAATAATGGGGTCGGCAAGATGTGTAGGGGAAAGGCCTTTCAAATATGTCACGAATGCATTGTACAGTTACATCAGAACATGGCTGCAGATGTTGTGATTGACTTGGAAAGACTGTCCGAGCTGTGGAAGCAAGTTTTAAGAAATCATGATGCTCGAGGTATCCACGTAAACGGCCTTCACCGTTTTCCTTCCAACCTCAACTTCTCCTAATGCATAATACCCCCGCTGGCGCGTCCCACCCTCTCTTACGAACCGTTTCAATACCGACAGATAAAGCGGAGACCTCGCCAGGAGATCAGAAGGGCTGGCGAAAACGCATAGGGGGGAGGTAATGCCATATGTTTACGTAATCGGCTCTCCCTCTGAGTCATATTGTTCCTGTGGTCTGTGAAAAAAACGGGCGTTGGCTGAGTTGTCAGTTAGGGTCTCGGTAGGTCGAAGCTTCAGCCGCATTGACGGGTATTCGTATGTGATCCCGTTGCGTGGTAGCGCCGTTCGAATCTGCCTGGCTCCCTACCGACCCATCCGCCCCTTTTTTGACGTCAACACCTGTCTCCTTTTTGCTGATGGCTCCTCCTCCATCACGCTGGCTGCACCGTCTCTTCATTCTCACACCGTTCGCAGGCGCTAAACCTCCCGTGGAAACGTGACAGATATCGCAACCCGTCGTCCATGCAGTGCCGATCACTAGTATCGTGTCAAGGTCAGAAGAATCCATTCACTGTCTTCCAAGATAGGATATAGCGATAGGATATACACTGTTGTGCGTGTTCGTCGATCTCGTCTCGACATCGGAGGTCACATCTTGCGTAAGTCCGTCTCCCAAAGTACTCTCGGCTGCTCTCCATCCCAGACTGCTCTCCACCTCAGGTCATCAAGTGCATTCGGCGAAGTAAGCCTTACAACACTCTATACTTAAGGACGACCGGACGTGCACTCTGTCCGCGCGGTCATGATGGTCGAGTGAAAATCTCTCGGACGCTGAACAGCGAGGTACACATCTCGCTGCACGCGCTGCGCGATCTAGCGGACTTGCTGGACGGCCATCTCGTGGGCTTTAGTAGCCATCTTGCCAAAGGCACCTGTGCTGCGGCACCGAGGACTCACAGTGCTAGCGTTCCAGGATCCAGGCTGATGAGATCGTGCGCGCGACCTGTACTATGTAGACTTTGTCGTGTCCAAACCCTCGTTCCACACTCCAGTTCATCGTCCTTGTTTTCAGCTCGCTTCTTGCCACAGTGAGTTTCGTCTCGGAACTCTTTCGTACCTTCGTACTGTCGCATAGACACCGAGTCAAGGTGAGGTAATTCCCCCGTTCGTCAAAGCATGCACAAAGCACTAGCCTGGTGTAACACGTCAGCTTCCGATGCGCCCACGCTTGCCCGGGACCTTTGACGCAAGCTGTGCTGGCGGTGAGATCAAGCGTTGTTATTCGCAGTCAATCGTTTTTGGCGCGGGTGTCTCTTAGCCGAGCGTGGGCATTCTTTGTGTCCTCGCCGTTGGACTGGGCGTGACTGTGCATGTTCGGCCTGTGATGAGATCGATGAGGTGCGTGTTGCCGCCCGAGCCGGTCGCTGCAATCCTGGAACGAGCAGCGGGTCAAGGCACGCAGGCACACAGGGGAGTGATCGACGAGATAACGGGTCGCCAGTGACGTCATAGGGTGACAAGGTGGGAGCACAGGACGGCACGGGTTGCACGATCATGCAGCTGCTGTGGTGGGGGCATGTGACACCTGGTCAGCTCGTGGTTTCAGGTGCACCAGCTTGATTCATCACTGCACTGGCAGCTGGTAGCGGCAGCGCACCGTCTTTTGCGTGTCCTAGCGCGCTTGCTTTCGGCGAGGTACTCTCACTGCACCCGCGGCAACCATCTCACCCACCAGACGGCCAACACGTGTGCCATCCGTTAGTCTGGTCGCCATGCGATTGACCTTGCAGCTCGCAGGACGGCAACTAGCAGCTGGGCGGCGGCACTAATGACTCACTACACTAGCGTGACAGTGATCCAAGTGATGCCGCCCGGCGTGTGAGTTATGACAGGTAAACATCGTCAAGTCCATCTTCCTCAACACACTCAACTGACAGTACTGTCCCTGCTCCTACCCATTACCAACCTGTTTCTTGCCTTCCCCACCTTCACACTCTTACCTCAATCATCGAACATCGACCATGACCAGCCTTCCCCATCGATTACGAATTCACCAAGTCGTTGTGAGTATTCGCGGCTGCCCCCAGCCCAAGGGTGGCGACTGCATTGTTTGGCTGGCGCGCACCCATCCCTGTCAAAGCGATCGTACTCCTCCTCGACCAGAGGGGACAGTATCACCACGACATCTGGCCCCACGGCCTGCTTCCCGACCCTCCCATTCGCTCCTCTGACGTCCTCGCGATAGCCGAGGCGTTCAAGGAGTTCACTGCATCAAGAGCTGCATGGGGCGTCCTTTACGCATATGTCGAGGCGCACGCCAGCTCCCTCACTGCCGACGCATTGACAGAGAAGAAGATCGGCGACTGGTTAGCGAGAACTTACCCCCGCCCTTGGGCGGGGACCGCATCGTTCGCCTAGGCCGCACCCACTCGGCCACTGTCGAGGCGATATTGCTCCTCCTCGACCAGAAGGGACAATATCACCACGACATTTGGCCCCACGGCCTCCTGCCTAACCCCCCCATTCGCTCCTCCGACGTGCTCGCGATTGCTGAGGCGTTCAAGGAGTTCTCTGCCTCACGAGCCGCATGGGGCATCCTCTACGCCTATGTCGAGGCGTATGCTAGTTCCCTCACGTCCGATGCAGTGGAAGCGAAGAAAATAGGGGATTGGTTCAGGTTCATTCGCAAGATCCCCAGCGACAAGACTCTGGCTTTGATTGTGAGACAGTTCGGCGCCCTGTGGGTAATCCGCAAGATCTGATTCGGAAGAAAGGGCAGCTGGGTGACGGCCTCAGTGCCGTCCCAGACGAGCAATGGATACAAACATCGTTTTGAACCTACTTCCTACCTCAACAACTCTCCTACTCCGAACTCCGTCTCTTATCACTACGCTACTCATAATCATAATCCTCCTACCTGCCGTCCAGACCTGTTGCTCCGGCTGAACTCTCCTACCATCCACCGACACCTTGCCCGCCGTCGTTGTCTGCCGCTACCATGCCCGACCTCTAGCAGAGCCGTAACGGGCGTCGGGCGACCGCTCCGGGCGCGCCCCGGTACATCAACGACACCCTCGAGGTGCGATGTTACGACAATCACGGCCGAATGTCCTCTTTCCTCGTTGGTTCCGAGATTACTGGACTGTTGTGAGTTCTGTGGTGTGGACGCGGCTGAACGAAAGTCGTGGTTTGCCCGAAGCGGCGGGTGTCGATCGTGTGGTCCAGCTGGATAACATCCACCCCGACACTTTCGAGGCGCTGCAGATCCTCATCGACTTGCCTTCGCAGCCAGTCGCTCGTCAATATGTCGTACGACCAAACCCGCCCCTGACGCCTCGCGACGTGATCGAGCTGTACCAGATGTTCGAGCAGTTCGAGGCGAAGGACGAGGCATACGACCTCCTGTACGCGCTGGTAAAGCGACATGCCATCGCGCTGACACTGTGCGGACGAGTTCTTCACGGTTGTGAAGGCTGTCCTCGGCGACGAATGCGCGTCCCTAGTGTTCAAGTTCTTCGCGACGAACTGGGGCTTCACGGGGATATACTCGCGGACTTGAACGCTCGATTCCGGTTCCAAGTAATGCGTAGTAGTCCTTGACATGCATGTCTATTGCACAATGATGGTGCGTTTTGCAGCGGTGGCAAACCGTGACTTGCAATCCGACGCGGAGCATCGACCCCAGTCACACATTGGCACAGTCCCCCGTCCGCTCGAAGGCGCGAACATAAGCTGCAGTGACTTCCTCATTGAACCAAACGCGGTCGCCTGGCATGCTAGATCCCAATTGCGAGTTGCGTCCATGACTGCGTACATGCGCGCGGCGGTGCCGGCGGCGAGGGCTGTCCTCTGTAACTCCACATTAATTGGAGTCAAACGTTGTCAGTCGTCGGTCTCCGTCAGCCGCACACACGCACATCAGTCCAGTTCACCTCACCCTGTCTCCGCGCCATCCCCTCTAGCTTTCCTTACGTCTATAGTCGTCGCGGGGCAGCGCGAGGTGCACAACACGAGCCGCTGTGGTGTGTGAGAGCCGGTAAGCTTGTGACTTTACCTTTACCAGAGCGTTGACAGCTGGCAGCGCGCCATCACTCGCAGGATTACGGTGTGCTAGCGCGCTTGCTTCGCGGTAATGCTCTCACTGCACCCGCAACGGGCGTGCAACTGACCATAGAGTCATCATGTGAGCCCTCCATTAGTCTGGGTCCCTGCAACTGAGACCCGAATGAAAGGCAGCTGGACGGCAGCAGCCAACGTACAGGTAAGTGATGAGTTTATTAACAAAAGGGTGTCGACAAAAATGTAGGGAGGACGGCGGGCTCGGGATCCAAACAGATTCGAACGGAGTCATATTGACTGAACGAATGGCTGAAGGTCTACCCAACAAGTCCAACTGTCATACTAACAGATAAGCTAACGCTGCTTGGAAGCCAGATCAATCAATGTTTGTTATGAATCCACCGTAAACATTACGTAATCCCCCAGCATCACTCACAGCCTGGCCTACGTTGGAAGGCATGCGTTTTCAATTGCCAGTAACTCGACAACGACCTCGTCGTTCGTTCAGACAGGATATGCAGGAGGCCCCGTGACAGAAAGGTCCATTCTCAGTCTGCCCATGATGAAAGCTTCGGCTACGACTCTTGGCGCAGGGGGACATCGGCGTTCCGTTGATGCCGTTTCGCCCGCGGGTGCGCATGAGACACCGCACCCGCAGTGCACAGGATCTACTTCGGCGGTTCAAGAATGTCTGTCGGTTTCCGCAATGCAGGTTACGAATGGCGGAGGGTTGCCGAGACCATCAAAGCTTTAAGCCGCCTGCTCGAGCAACCGCTCTGTCCAGATCAGTGACCGGTATCATGCTGTACATGTACTTCATTCAAGGTGAGAAGGCCGGGTTTCGGAGGTAGCAGTGTCTCTCTCCAATCGTAAGCCACCTCTTGTTGGCCATCACCCCGACTCCCGCTGCGACTATGACAGCCACCGCCGCCGCTCTCAGCACCCCAGCTACCCCCGCGACCCTGGCGCGCACCACGGATCTCGCGCCCGCTGCGAGTGGCGACGAACCCGCCCCCGCAAACGTCGCCAACGCTATGACCCTTACCCTCGCTGCCAGTGCGACAACCATCCTGCCAGTACTCCAGCTGCTTCTGCGGGCCGCCTGGCGGCCCCCACAGATCCCGCACACGCCGTAGATCCAGTTCTCCCCGCCGCTGACGGAGCTGGCGATTAGGAGCCTGTCCAACGCCGCAGCGCGAGGCTGCGCCATCAAGGCTCCGACGAGGATCACTTTGCAGCCGAGCCTGCTGCCGGTCATGACCATACCCCGACTGAGGCGCCCATGAGTGATGACGATGCTGTGCACGTGAGGCGTGTTGAATAAGAGCGATGCATAGTTCTATACAGCCGTGCAGAGTTCAAGTACGCAGGGCTCGGTGGCGCTTGCCACAGTGCTTACCCTTTGAAACAAGATGTTACAACTGGGCCGGATTTGTCCATACGTTCAGAAGACCCCGCTGTACATGAGTTGTTGTAAGTATCCCAAGTGTAGTCGCGGCTAATGTCAAGCGAGAAATGACCCCAACCGGTGGACGGGGTCATCCATTTGCTTGGAACCGAGCCTCGGGCGTTCGACACGATGCTCAGGCTGCTCGACATGAACCAGTCCCATCATGATAGATGGGAAGCCCAGGTGCTCATGCCCAACCCTGTCTCAGCGTGCAGGGACTCCTCGTCCTCGCCACGCACGTCTCGAGACGTCGACATAGGCGTCGTATGACCCGAGGATCTGTTGTGATTCATGAGGTCTGGTGATTATTCGTGGAGACTAGTCGACGGATACGGGCGGTTGTACGGGTCAGTTCAGCTCTCCATCGCCATATGCATTCGCTGGTGACGTCTCACTTTGCAGCTGTGCAGTGCAGAGCGATTGAGAAGCTCTCGCGATGTGTAATTGTGTACTGCCCTACCGACCTCTCCAGCCAGCGGCGTTGGCACAGAGGGACATGTACTTCATCGTCTGACGACGTGTTGGGAACTTGGGCACGTGATGCCGCTGAAGCGATGATCTGGCAGGCTGAGCGTAGTAGAACTGATTGGAGATGGTGATTCATTGCACGCTCAGAAGCCGTTTATATATCTACCGACTGCTATAGAACAATAGGGCTGTGCCGAGTGCTTGCCACTGCGCCGAGAAGAGAGCTGAGCAAGCGAGAGTTGAGAACAATGGAAGTGAAAATCAAGGCTGCAACGAGGCTTCGAGGCCATCGTAGGACTGGTACGCAGTCACGTGATTTTGGACAACCCAGGGAGCTTTGTCATAACCAGGTTTTTAAGAGACAGCACATCGGGGCCTTTGCTAATCGGTTAGTAGGGCCAATTAAGGAAGTCCTGGTTAATAGCCCAGTGAATTGACTCCGTTCGATTCTTCGTGGGTCCCACTACCAGGCCCCTGTCCTTTTTGCGCATACCGTCGAAGCATTCCTCCACAGATTCGATTGTCAAATCACAGAAGTCTACTCTGCGTCTGACGAGAGGTTCAACGCTTCAACGCATGCACGCTGTGAGGTATTTTGTGGCTGAATCGCGATCGACTGGGATACTGGGACCCTTCACGCCCCGCATCAAGATCACAGCAACAGACGATCATCGTACAATGCTTTATGCACCAAAGAATTCCGGGTCGTTCAGTCTGCCGAGAAAAATACCACGCGGCGTGCTGTTGGATGGATTCTCTGTAACACGTTGCTATACAACATTGCTCCTCCACCTCGTCAACATGAAAGGCCTTATCGGACTGGTCGTTGAAGCTCGGCGCGATCGTGACCCTCGTGCTTACGTAGGGAGATCTCCATTAACCACTAGTGTATCTGACGCAGCTACCCAGAGTCGGTATGTTGAGAACCCGCGCGGTCATTGGTTTGCTATTCGGTGGTCTCGCATAGCAAATCGTGCACTTTCGCCCCAAGAGGCTAGCTCAGCGGCGAGTTGAAGATCAGGAGGGGTACCATGCCCCATTGCCCTTCTGGCCACATCGGCCTGAATTGGACCTGATGGTGCATTCTCATCTGCCGTTGGCTTACAGTTGTCGAACCCTGCTCATGGACGAGATGGGGGCACATTGAGTAGACAGTTCGAGGGGAGAAACAGGATATTGTGTCTGTAAGTGACCCTCGCTTCGTCTAACCTACAGTATCTGGCTCTCCCGAGGCTGGCTGTACCGGCTGACACCGTCGAGTTTGCGGTTCGCTTGCCAATGTGATGCACCATTGCCCGTGGCTACATGCGGCGATCACATGATCACAGCCGGTAGTTCGCTAACGCGCCCTGGCTTTCGTCGCCCGATAGGATGGCCGTCTAGCGCGATCTCGCGTGAATCGTTCGCTGGCCTGGCCGGCATCACTTCGTGACGCAAGTCTTATCAAAGTCTGAGAAGCGCCAGAGAAGTTGACTTGCCCAGCACTTTTCAGGGACTTTTAGGCCTCTTTACTACAAGCATCAGACAACGCTGCCGGCATACCATACCGGCTGCGAGGGGGAAAGGCCATGTGCTGCGGCACAGCTGGCCCTCATCCTACCACTAACGCGCTAGCGTCGCACCGGTTCGCGCCACCTGTTCACGATAACCACGTGAGCCACGCGGTCCCATTTCTCATGTGGGCCACGACTGACATATAAACAAATCGCCTTCGCCGTTCACCTCATCTTCATTCCTTTCTCAAGTCTCACACCGACGAGCCTCGTCGATCAACCACCTGCCCTTCAGTGCTTTGTTCTCCTCATAAATCAACACCACCATGCCACCTCTTAGGTAGCGTCGAGAGGTTCACGGTGGTCGACTGGCGCGCGCTACCTCCGCCGCCGCAGAAGAGCATCCCGACGACAACAACGCTCCTCTCCCCGGCCCCGTTCCCCGTGGCGCGACGCCGTTCCAGGTCCTCGCGATCGCCCCCGACCCCCGCCAAACCCAACTCTTCACCCTCGACAACAAGACTGCTGCTCTCTTGTGAGTCAACGGGGCGTTGACACAGCTGACAAAGAGCGGGGACTGGCCCGAACCGTCGGGGGAAGATCACGTGGTGCGCCTGCAAGGTGTACATCCGCAAGCTGTCGAGACACTCGTGACTCTGGTCAAGCTGCACACTCCCTCCCGCGCCCGTCGTCATCAACCTTATCAATTGCGTGGGCCGCTCGACCTCAGAGGCGTCCTTGGCGTGGAGAAGCTCTTCGACCGCTACCGGGCGACGCCCGAGGCTCTTGAGATTCTCTTTGCTTATGTCATCAAACACCACGGGCATCTCACTCATCAGTCCTGCCCTACCGTGATTGAGCAATGGCTCCAACTGCTGGTCCGAGCTGGTTGCCTCGTCTCTCTCTTCGAGGCTATCAGCATCATTTCGCGCTCCGAGTGGCGCTTCAGGCTCGTCCAGGTTCGGCCCCCTCCGCGTCGCGAGTAGGTCTTTGTGTTTGTTTCCATATGCATTGCGTTGTTGTACAGCGACGCGGCCGACGCGCCAGTTTTAGGGTGACCAACCAGAGCTTCCATTTGACGAAGCAGGAGAGCATAGTGCGGTGACCCTCCATGGATCTCGCCAATCGGAGCAATGATGCCTTGTCCCAGACACGCAGGACAGCGCGCCCGGCGTCGCGACAGCTGCCCATCATATTGTTGAGTTTATCAATGCAGGCTTCCCTCACCTCCCCGGCAACGTGGAAGGTCAAGAAATAGGCGGCGACTGGGTGGTGACTGGGTGGCGAGTCAGTGGCGAGTTAGCGCGCAAGAGTGAGTTAGTACCGGTCAGAGTCAGATTGTGTTGTAGCGTCAGTGACGCGAGCTCACGCTCCCTCCTCGCCTCGCTGTCCGTCTGTGTACCTCGCTCCGAGTGTTGTCGCTCCGCTTGTGCCTTCCCTCGCTGGCTTCGCTCGCGCTCCTTGTTGCTCGCTGTCGCTCGTACTTCCGCTCCGCCTAGCTCGCGCTCCTTGTTGCTCGTTATCGCTCCGCTTCGCTTCGCTCGCGCTTCGCTCTGCGTCAGTCATCAACATATGCCATGCATACATGCATGGCTCGGGGGGACACATAGGATTAAACGGGCAGGCGACTGTAGATTGTCCATGTATGATGGGGGGTTGTAGTGTCCTGTGGATGGGTGGCGTGGATGGCTGTGGTGAGAATGAGAATGTGGATTGTGGCGGGGTTGCAGGGTACGGATGCGTTGAGGTTGGGGTAGAGTACATGTGCGCGTGGGGGTCGTGAGGCGTGGTCGAATCTTGTAGTCGAGGCGAGTGGAGTTCCGTCGGGCAACAATGCTGAGGAGTGTTCCTCCTGTCGCCCTCGTCGCCCTTCGGGCTCCTCGGGCGTTCAGTCGACCCAAAACTTGGCCAGCGCGCCGGCAAGATGCTTGACGCTCTTCTCACTCTTCATCTTCCTGACAGCGCGCTCGTTGCTTGTTCGATCAGGCTCCTCCTGGTTCTGCGGTTTCGTCAGAGATGCCTCGCTCGTCGCGCCCGATCCCGAGGACGCCGATGCCGAGCCGCTGCCCGAGTTGCCCGAGACTGACGACCCGCGCGTATGCTGCTGGAGCATGGAGCCGCTGTTCGTGCGCGAGAAGCTCCCAGAACCGTTGGCCGACTCCTGGGACCGGATCGTGGACGCACCTCCGCTGTGTGCGCCGTTGGGCCCGTTGCCGTGGGCGCCGTGGAAGGAGACACTGCGCGAGCCCGCCATGTTGCCCGGGAACAGCGCCGAGTGCCGCAGACTGCTAGGTGGGTTCGGGCCGCGCGAGCCGCTCAAACTCGTGCCGTTGGCGCGGGCGGCGGCACTCGGCGGGCGCTTCCCACCCTCAGAGTACTTGGCCTCGTCCCAGTACACCGTCTGCGAGCGGGGGATGCCGGTCGTCGGCGAGGCTGCTGAGCCGTTGCCGTTCGCCGAGCCGCGTCCAGGCTGCCGAGCCGCGTCCAGGCTGGCGCGAGCCGCCGGGAGACGACATCTCGTCCGCGATCGTCGTCGGTCGCGGCGCCCTGTCCCCCGTGTTCTGGCGGCTCATCGGGGCCGGAAAGGAAGGTGGCTCCAGATCGATAGGCGGGAGCGAGAACCGGTTCAGCGACGAGCTAGACCCCCTACGGCTGCCGTCGCGGATTGGGGGCGGCATAGGGAGACCGGCGCCGGGCGAGTTGAAGGGCGAGTAAGGCGCTGGCGCAAACGCCGGCATCGCAGGTGGGACAAAGTAGTCGGTCGGCTGGGCAAAGGCGGGCTGCTGGAACAGCTGGTCGGGAAGCCGCGTGTCGCGCATGAGCAGCTTCTGGAACGCGAGGACCGTGTAGAACGCCTCGTTGCCTGCATTGCCGAGTGGCGCGTGCGGCGCAACGGGGATCTGCAGGTGGTGCAGCAGTTGGCGCAGTGATCCGAGCGGCTGACGACGGTCGCCGACACCAGGGACGCCCTGTCGCTGCGCCTGCTGAAGGAGCGCAAACTCGAGCTGCAACACATCCAGCTGAAGGATGTTCTGCTGTAACGTCGTCGTCGCCGGCAGAGGGATCGGCTGCGGCTCGCCGACACTGAGCAGCACTAGCGTGTTTGCTCCGCCCTCCGAGTCGTGCGACGCGAGCGCTCCGAGCGACGCATCCACAATGCGCTCGACACTCTTCTCCGACACGAATGCACTGCGTCCGAAGCCAAACGCGCGCGGGTAGTTGGGCCGTTCCGTGTTCATACGCTGGGGTCAGCTGTCGAACATACTCTTAGCCCACCTTGTCCACCCATTCCTCGATCACGTAGTGCGCCTTGCGGTAGTTCTTGTCCGGGATAGGAGGCCAGACGTCCTGTTATCAGTTGGGGCGATTGAATTTCCAACTCACGACAGCGCGCAGGTTCGCACAGCGCAGCGCAGCAAGACCGAGCTCAAGGATGAGCGCCTTGCCGCCCTGTCCCGGTTTGGCCATGACGGTGCGGCCGTGTCCGGGGACGTAGCCCTGGGGCGGACCACCGCGGTCCCACCACGTAGTGCGCAGACACGCCCAAGTGTACCCCTGTCCATTCGTGCGGACACCTGCCGTGGCGGCATACGCGTCGGGGTCTGGTGAGCCAGCATGGAAGAGCGCGCCGATCACACCAGGCTCTCCGGCGCGCACCCTCGCGCGGAGATGGGACAGCTCGGCGGGAGCCATGGTCGTCGACAGCTTCTTGTAGCCCGCAATGTCGTGAATGTTGACAACACGATGCAGCGTGCGATTACGCGCCGGTGCCGGCGTCAAGGGGAGCAGTGACGGCGGTTCCCGGTCGAGCGTCTCACCGAAACTGTCGTCAGTTCGGGCTACAGCACAAATCAACTCACCGAGTCTTGATCATGCGTGCGAACAGGGCGATCTGCTCTGCGCGAGCAGCGATGTGCGCGCGTCCTGTGTGCAGGTCGACAATGACTGCGGGTTAGCTTTCGGGCTCCCAGCAGCTTGTCCGTGCGTCGCCGCTGCTGACGAAAGCGCAGCCTCGCAGAAAACTTACCCATGGCCTCCCAGCCGAAGCCGAGAAAGTCGTTGAACGAGCGAAAGTACCCGCCCCACGACGCATCCCACCAGTCAATGTTCTGCGCGTCAAAGTCACCGCTGGGGGGAGCGTCAGCATGTCTGTTGGGACAGTCTGGGTGAGTATCTTCACCCTCGCCCGCGCGCGGGGCGAGACTGGGCTCGAGCTAAACAAAACTCACAGGTACGCGGCGTAGATCGAGTGCAGGTCGATGTCGAACTCGGACGGGTTGCCGTAGCGCGTGTTGTCCCCCATGGTGGATGAGTGGCGAGGATGAGAGGGGGAAGGGGAGGAGAGAGAGAGAAAGGAGGGGGATGCGAGTGCGCTGCGGCAGCGTTGCGAGGATCGGCGGGCTAGCGCTGCGGCGGCAGACTAGCGTGTTGGCTGTGACTCTGCGTCTGGCCGGGAGGTCGGTGCAGAGTGGTTCCGAATAGGGCTCGACGTGTGCAGTGCTGGCGAGATGGTGGTGAACGAAGGCGGGCTTTGACTGACGGACAGCACAGAAACAGCGAGATGGCCGGTAGCTGCGGGCCGGGCAATGCAAGATGAGTAGTGTCGAAGGCGTGTGTGTGTAACGGTGGACGTATGTCGGATGGACTGGAAACGTGGTGGGTGAGGCGGTGCGGACTGTGCGAAATGGGTGACAAGGTGACGGGGGTCGAGCTGGCCAAGTCGAGGGGGTATAATTAGTGAGGAGATGAGGATGTGAGAAAGGATGTCTTGATCGTTGCGAGTGATGAGGGGAGTGGAAGGGAGAGAGAGAGAGAGAGAGTGTGTGTGTGAGAGTGCGGCGTCGCTGGCGGCGCAAGGAGGAGGCTGAGGCTGAGCAGCGAGCGAGCGAGCGATTGATTGAGCGAGGGAAAGGACAAAGCACCGCTGGCTGGGTGAAAGCTTGCGCTGGCTGGCTTGGGCTGCGGGTGGATGCCCCTATCGTTATGCGTTCCTGATTTCGGTGCTGGGTCTGACTGGGCAGAGGATGCACATGTTGGGGGCGATTGACGAGTTACAGACGCGTGCCGGCCCTGAAATCACCTGAAATGCCAGACAGCCCTGGCAAAAGAGCAAGACACACGCGTACGGCCAGAGCATGCAGACCAACCTTACAGCTAAGGCCCAATCCGAGCCCTGCCCTGTCTCTGCCATGCCCCTGCAGTCGTCTCACACTCCCACTCGAGTCTCGCTTGCATCAACACCCAGCGATTAATATCGGTTCAACCGCAGTCCTTGATCGGTTCCAGCATCCTTGCTCGTTCAGGCAAACACCCTCGCAAATCGTTTACGCCATGCATACCAAGGTCGCTTCTGGCCACATCTGGAAGCATCGCAAAGCCACCCGTCGGTGTGGAGCGATCTGCGCTGCATCGCATGACGCAGTAGACACTACTAACGGACTGCGCGAGATCGAGCTGCGTTCGTGAGTCCGGTGCGTACAGCGTAGTCAACGTACTAGCTTTGCGCCCGGTTCAGAAGTAAGAGCAAGCGCCGGCGGGGCGCACTGGGGTGCTGAGATCGAATGAGTCATGGATTACTGAGCTTCCCAGCTGCTGCATGCTGCATGCTGCAGCTCAAGTGGCCAAGCCATCCGTCATATGTCAAGTGACTCGCTGTGGCGCAGGCGGCAATCTCGAGATCTCATGGCCCCACAAGCTCACAAGCACGCCCACAGGCTGCATGCGGCATGCCCACCTATGGACTTCCCATTCTATATTCTGCTGCACGCAGCTGATCGTAGTACTTTGGACTGCGACGAATGACGCAGCGGTTTCATTGATCCATCGGCCATAGGCGACGGCATCAAGACAAGTTGTGACATGTGCACTCTGATCGCAAGTGGATCGTATATCGTGGAGAGAACTACGGAACTACAGCTGCGCAATATGTGTAGGGCGCAAGTCACAGCACTCCCAATGCATGGCGACGACGCGCGAATGACTCATCTGATCATCTATCCGCGCACCACCGTTGTTGCGTTGTGAGCTTGTGAGGAAGTGCTACAAGTGCCAAGCAGCCAAGCGGCCAAGGTGCCAAGGCGGCAACGAGGTGTTGACATTCATGCGGCATGCAGCTCTGCCCTAGTGGCCAGAACACCTTTGTCCTGAAGTTGATCGTCGCTCTGTGCGCTCCCTACTTCGGTGCTTCAGATGCCTGCCAGCGTGGGGTGTGAGACTAGAGGAAGGAAAGAGGTATGACGGAGGAGTGGCAACTGATCCGAGTGGCCGTGTGGAGTCCAGTCAACCACCCAGCGGCCAGCGGTACGCAGCGGTCAGACAACGCGCACCGCGGTAACGGCTAGCCGGATGAAACGAATGCTGAAACGGTGCCATGCTCCGAGGGATTGGCACGTCGCGTACGTCGCAGTATCGCAGTACGCAGCTCACGGACTACGGCTCGGAGTAATAAACATGAGCCGCGGAGTGCGCGGAGTGCGCGGAGCTGGAGGCTGCGCTGTGACGTCGGCGCTGCGGCTGCGGCGTGAGTACACCGCACTCCGTAATGGCCACTGCGATTCTCGCAGTACGAAGTCCGCAGTTTACGGAACGCTTATGTCCTCCATCGTGCTCAAGATCCGAGAGGCGCATACAAGTGTGCAGCTGGTGCAGTCCGTAGAAGGACGCTTATCGGTTCTCATGTGAACCTTCCGTTTTGTGTTCTGACGCTTCTGATTCTGCTGGCCTCGGCTTTCCACACTCCCGGGCCATTGGTATCCGTTTGCGTCGTCAAGGCCGAACCGTAGTGGGACTGTAGAGTGGCTACGCGATTGACTTTCGTCCTGGGCGCGCTTGACTTTGACTTTGGCAGTTCCCAGGCCCAGCAGTCGAAGGGTGTACGTCACCTCGATCGCCGAGCCAAACTCAGACTCTGGGTAATCTTTCGGCCTTCGTTCCCACTGCACTCGACGCCTGTTCTTCTGGGCCGAAGACGCCAGAGAATATGTCCGAAGCCACGCTCGATAAGCTTTTGGCCCCGAGCACTGGGCGGCGGCGCACTCTGCCTGACAACTAAGGCTGCTCAGGCACGCCGCCGAGTCCGATACAGCGCCGCGGAGCCCAGGAACGGGGTGATTCCCGCAAATCTCCTCCTGATGCTGGGAATGGGAAACGTGCTGAAACAGGATGTGGAATGGATATCATATGGGACCGGAGGACAGACGCACAGGAACGAAAATACAGCTGCCACACTGCCAGGACGGTCGTGGTAGACCGGGACCCACGTAATGGGAATCACAGCGGGTGTGTATCTGTGATCTGTGACGGAGGGATGCATGACCGATGGGCTATGAATTACAGACCGATGCGATGGGAAGATCAAGGGTGGTCGAGCTGGAGTCTGGGCTCGGTGTCGGGCTTGGCTTGATGATCGCCGCCCGGACTTGGCGCACCCCGCTCTTGGCCACAAGTTGACCACAAGTTGGCCGCTACTACCTCATCTTCATTTTATGCCGTCTTCATCTTCGGCGGCCTCATGCTCACTACCGCCCTGCCCACGAAGCACACCCAGATAAACACCGCACACAGCACACTCGCCGCGTCCTCGCTCAGTCCCATTCCCGCCGGCCAGCCCTTCACGGGCCCCATGAGGGAGAGGAAGAGCACCGGCACGACTACAGGCAGCCACGCATCGGCCGCCGTCCAGCCCCACGGCTGCAGTTCCGCCGGCGTCTGGACGCACAGCGTGCCAAACATGTTCAGGCCCGAGAAGGCCACGGCACCTCCGGGGGCGGCGAGAATGAACGGGACCAGCACGAGCGTACTGGGCGTCGGCGGCAAATGGGCGAAGAAACCCTCGGGCGGTGGGCGCAGGAGAGCGAGAATAGGCCGCGTGAGGAGGAGCATACGTCCGATGGCGTCGAGGGGGCTGAGGGCCAGCTCGAGGGAGAGATTGGGGCGGGTGGGGAGGTAGCTCCGCAGGCGAGTCCGGGTTAACAGGATGTCTGGTGTTCAGCTCAAACTCACGCAACAGCAGCTCGTAGAGAACACAGATTCAACTCACGGACTCCAGCAAACACGAGCGCCAGCGTCGGGTCCAGCATCCAACTCGGCGGCGTGCCCGTGCATGCCGCTGACGTCAGTACTCATCTTATCTCAGTGTGCTAGTGCTAGTGTCGTACCGAGAAAAGTCTCCCCGCCGAAAAGGACGACCCATAGTCCCACGAGTTCCTGGAGCAGGCTCGCTTTGCCCGGCGCAGCGAGCGAGACGGCGTAGATACCCATGCTGAGGCGCACAGCTCCGAAGACGTCGAGCGCGGGCGTGCTCAGTCCCGGCACCGGGGTCAGGAGACGCGGGACGTAGGAGTAGTACGGCGCGAGCGCCTCCGCGCGCGTACTCAGCGCTCCTAGCCTGTCCGTCGACATCACACGTGGGTCGAGAGCGAGATGTGGAACGAGATGGCTGTGGGTTGGAGCGAAAGAAGCAAACGACGTTGTCCGCTGAAACGAAGCGTGTTGTCAGGTACGCCCACATGCGGGCGGGGCGCGCGGGGCCGGTCATTGTACGGCTCGAAATTTCGTGTCACTGCAGCAGCATCATGTTAACCGGCGCTTTCGAACGTTGTCCATGCTGAAGCACTGGGGTTGAGCAATGTGAAGAGCAAGCTTGGGAAGACATGAGAGTTGCATGTGCATGTACTCAACGGTCCTCCGTCATGAGCATGGGATGTCCGAAGCATCACGGAAACCGGCATTAAGAGCTGGTGAGTCGCCATCAGACTTCCGTGATTACGCCTGTCGGGCTCTTCCGAGAATGTGCATGCCGCTGGCCGATGTTCGCCGCTCGGATTGGACGATGCCGTCTGGGCCGCGTTGAGAATTTCGAGCATCCCGCAATGTCATGAAATGGTTGTGGGCAGGCGGCTCTGGCGGCGGCAGCCTGGGTATGTACCGCGTTTACGGGCAAGAGAGGCGGCTTTGGCGCTGCAACCGACTCCTGAGTCCAGGATCGCGAGCCATAGCGAGCCATAGCGAGCCTGGCGAGTCGCCGTCCCTTCTGCACGCTCCTGATATAAGTACATTTGCGCAATCATGGCATGCATGGCAGCAGTCATTTCCGATACGCACGCATCGCTGAAGGCGTGATACTCAACAGCCAGTTACACTACTCACCCCTCATCTCTCAAGCTACATTACTCCGAACTTTGTCTGAAGCGACAAACTACAACACGACCTCAACGCCCGTCACCTGTTCACCGCTCGTCACCCCGCGCTCTCCAAGGCCAAAGTTTCAGGTAAACAAACCTGAACTCGAAATTTGTCTTCCTCCACACTCCACTCTTCCTTACGAACTTCCGCAGTCATGGCGCCCGCCCAAAGTAAACAGCCGTATCCTTTCTGGTGAGTGCTGATCCTTCTTTACCCCAGCTGACAGAACAGGTTAGGAGGTGCGTAATCTATGCCTCGGAAAGATCGGGACACTGACACAGCTTCCTTGCTTCTTCTCGACTCAACGTGCTCAACTACGTCCTTGTGCCTATGCCCATGTCCCCGGTTATTCGAATTCCAGGTGTCGCCGCCTCCAGTGAGTCACCAACCGACGGCAGCGCTGACCGCAGTGGCCGCGTGCTGCACGCACCCGCTCGACGTGATGAGAGTGTGAGTTAGCGAGGCCCTGACACGAACTTACACCCAGGCGCATGCAGACTGCCCAGCACAAGCAGACGCTCGCAAACGCAGTGAAGGACGTCGTGTCGCACAAGGGTGAGTCCCGCTCTCTCTAGGACGTCCGCGATAACGGCGTGCGGTGCAGCGGTGGTCCGAGTCATATCTCTCGGCTTTCGGCATTCCGCCCTTCCTACATCCTTCCAGAGATAAGAAAGCTGACACCCAGGCGTTCGCGGCCTGTACACGGGCCTGACGGCGAGCGTGTTCCGACAGATGACATACTCGCTCACGCGCTTCGGAGCGTACGATGCAATCAAGGGCCAGCTGTCGAAGAATGGTGAGTTGCGCTCGTTGCGTCCGAGAAGACTCGGAAATCGCATCCGGCGGCAACGGTGGCATGTGGTCTGTCGGCAAACTCTGCCTGGTGCCTGGTCCCAACCATCGGGGTCGCACTTGCGACACGGCACACTCTTCCGTTCGGGACCCTCCGAGAGGCATGTTGTCTGTCGGAAGTCGGGGCCCATCAGCTTCACGATGCCAATCTCTGGAGTGTCCAGTCCGAACGTCTCGGAGAATGCTCGCTGGCGTTGTGGCTGAGCTGACGCAGCAGGAACGAGGAAGCTCAACATGCTCGAGCTGACGGGTATCGCGGCGTCGTCGGGCGCGCTCGGCGGACTGGCCGGTAACCCTGCCGACATTGTGCTCGTCCGTATGGTGTCGGACCCGACGAAACCGCCCGAGAAGCAGGTGCACTATCGCAACGCCCTGCATGGCGTGTACAAGATGGTCCAGGTCGAGGGCTTCGGCAGTCTGTTCCGCGGTCTTATGCCCAACACTGTGAGTGTGATTGAGAAAAGGTGTGCGCAGCGAAGCAGTGCCACCGCTCGCACATCCAGTGGCAGTTGTCATTCGCGCTCTTCCTTCTCTCACAAGCTCGTCGTCATTGTTCTCTTAGCTGACCCCAGGTCCGTGGTGTGCTCATGAACTCGGCCCAGCTCGTGTCCTACGACACGTTCAAGTCGATGCTGTTGGGCTACGGCATGTCGGACGGTCTGCCACTGCACGCCCTCGCCTCCTTCCTCAGTGGCACGATTGCGACGACGATCTGCTCGCCGGCGGACGTGATCAAGTCGCGCGTCATGCACTCGACCGACCCGCTCGGACCGATGCACGTCCTGACCGAGTCGATGCGGAAGGAGGGTCCCGGATTCCTGTTCAAGGGCTGGATGCCGAGCTGGATCCGCCTCACGCCCAACACGATCTGCATCTTCGTCTTCCTCGAGCAGCTTAGGCACGTTGTCGACATTGTCAGGAGCAAGCCCGTCGCTGCTGCCACTGCCGCTGCCGCCGCCGCCGAGCTGAAGTAAGCCAACGCTCGTGCCCATACAACAAGAACACAACATCAATGAACATCCGACTGAATCTACCTGTCAAGAACTTTCACTTACACCAACCTACTGCCTCGCTAGACTCCTTGAGGCCAGAGGAACGATCCAGAGGGGATCGCACCCGAAAACTAGACCAAACCATACTGTACATTACGGAACCAAGATGCAGCCCAATGTCTTTCGATGGGGAACAAATCATACATCACGATGTGTCGAGGTATTACTATACGTCTACGTCTGGGTCCTGTCGCTACGGGGAACTCGTACATTCTAACACACTTTTGGCTCACACCAGCCGTGACGCTTAGGCAGCAGCCTGCTGCCCAGCAGCGGCCATCTGGCCCCTCTGCCACTCCTGGACTGAATCGTCAGCTAGAGGTAACGAGTAGCCAGCTGGATAAAAAGTACTCACACTGCGGGTCGTTGACGTCGTAGCCATACGCGCGCCAGTAGGCGGCATACGCCTCCCACTGCTCCGTGCCCGGCCCCTCGGCGGGCGGGTAGTACGGCGCGGTCGACGCGTCCTGGTTCGCCTGCTGGGCAGCGGCGGCCGTGTCCTGATTGTCAGCTCGACTACTATATACGCAGCTCCTCTCCCAGCTCAGCTACCATGCATGCAGCTTGTCTCCCATCCGGCACACTCACATATCCGTGGGCGCCCTGCACCGCCGCGCCGCCGTAGGAGTCGTACCCAGCGCCCGAGGCGGGGTACACGCCGCGGGCCTTGTCATACTCGATGCGGAGGACCATGAGGAGGTCGTCGGCGAGGATCTTGGCGCGCTGGATCTGCTCGTCCGTCGGCGCCACAATCGAGATGTGCATCGCCTCGTCGCTCTCGCGGCCCGTGTCGTTCTCGATGAAACCACTGCCGCGGCCCTTGATCTGCACGCGCGCACCCGTCTCGGCCTGGATGTACTTGACGAACATGCCCTGGGCGTTAGCTACACTGCTACGGAAGCTGAGAGCTGGCTGCACTCACTCCGGGGCCGACAACCTTCGCCCTGATGTTGAAGTTGCGGATGGGGTCGAGGCCGATGAAGAGCTTTTCCTCAGGCCACTTCTGCCTCTGGCCGACACCGGGCGGAAGCGGCTGTCCCGTCGCGCGTGCGCGCGCGATCAGCGTTCGTTCCTCGATCAGAGGGCCCAGCTCCTGGTCGATCAACTCGTTCACCTTGGCCACCGCCGCGTCGAGAATGACCTGCGACTTGGCCACAATGTGCAGGTACAGCGGCATCTCGCCTGGCGGCATGCGCGAGCGGTCCGGAACCCACACGCCCTTCGTCTCGATGCTCGCTCCGGTCTCGTCCTGGATCTGATTGTTAGCTCAAGCGTATCATCCTTCCAGCTAGATAATAGTAGGCAGAGAAGGTAGAGGGGCGGCGAGGCTGCTCTGGGCAGCTAGCTCCTCGGTTCGACACACTCACGTTCTTCTGCGTCGACGATCGCGTCAGCACGTAACGGTTACGCAGGTCGTTGATCTCGATGTCCTTGACAAAGTCTCCCTCGGGGGCGCCGGCGCGGCGGGCGACCTCGAAGCCACTCGATCCTGGCGGTCGGAGCGAAGCAGCAATCTTGGCGGCAATGGCGGCGGCCTTCTGCGCCGCCTCATTGTCGGCAGCGGAGGGCTTGCTCTCGCCACCGGCGGGGGCGGGGGCCGGGGCAGCGTCACCGCCGGCACTTCCGGGTGCAGGGGCGTCCCACCTGCTTTTGCGCTCCGTGGTCTCGGACATGGTAGAGTGTGGATGGAGAGTGAAGAGCAAAGGAAGCCGATCGGCTACAGCCTTCGTTGATGTAAACTCGCAGTGACTTGCTCATGAAAGTGTGAAAACGCGAGTCCCACGTGGGAGTCACGGGCGTCGCCACAAGGCTTCCACCCAAATATCGCCGGCACTTAAATCAGTCACTCTCACTGTGGATGCTACGGTGAGCTCACCGCAACAGCGTCATTGCGATCCAGAACCATCCGCATCAACACCACTCCGGCACAGACCATGGCCTTCTCCTTCGGTGGGTGCAGCTGGAGTAGTCGTGTAGAGCTGACCATCAGGCGCGCCCGCGGCACAGACCCAGGCGCAGCCCGCGGCCTCCGGCTCGTTGTTTGGAAGTACGTCGCCGTTCCATTGTTTACCATGCTGACCGCAGACACTGCCAACACTAGCACGTCCAACACGAGCGGAACGGGAACGGGATTCAGCGGATTCGGCACTGCCAACAACACCACGACGCAGCAGCCGGCGAGCGGCGGTCTGTTCGGCTCAACGAGCAACAACACTGCCAACACTTCCACCGGCGGCACCGGGCTGTTTGGACAACAGCAGGCGAAGCCCGCCGGCGGTCTGTTCGGATCGACATCGACGCCGGCAACGAACACGGGCGGCGGTCTGTTTGGCTCGACGTCACAGCCCGCGCAGCAGACTGGCACGACGGGTGGCGGTCTGTTTGGCTCCACCAGCACGCCGGCTGCCAACACAAACACTGGTGGTGGTCTCTTCGGATCAACGACGCAGCCGGCTCAGCAGACCGGCGGCACGGGGCTGTTCGGCTCGCAACCTGCTTCCAACACGGCGACGACGGGCGGTCTCTTTGGTCAGGCGAACAACAACGCGGCTCAGCCGGCATCAGGCGGTCTGTTCGGGTCAACGGCGGCGAAGCCTGCGACCGGTGGTCTGTTCGGATCGACGACCCAACAGCCGGCTGCTTCTGGCGGCCTTTTCGGATCGACGACTCAGCAACAGCCTCAGCAGAGCGGACTCTTCGGCTCGACAGCCAACACTCAGCAGAACCAGCAACAGAGCAGCCTTTTCGGTGCGCCGAAGCCGGCAGGTGGTCTGTTCGGCTCCACGGCACAGCAGCCGAATGCTCTCGGAGCGTCCACTCAGCAGCCCGGTCTCTTCGGAAGCACGAATCAGCAGCCGCAGCAGCCGGCCGTTGCGCCCGAGCCGACGATCGAGGAGCGAATGATGGCGATCAAGAATGCGTGGGATCCCGCTAGCCCGGACTGCAAGTTCAAGTACTTCTTCTACAACGTTGTGGAGCCGGGGACGACTGGGGCGTACGGTCGGCCAGCAGGTGCTACGGACGATGCGAAGTGGGCGCGTGCCGTTCGAGACAACCCCGATCCCTCTTGGTGAGTTTCAAGATCCTGCTTCGTAACTGACCTCTCAGCATGGTCCCGGTTTTGGCGACAAGCTTCTCGGATGTGAAGAAGCGAGTGCAGGCGCAGGAACAGCTTGCGAGTGTTCACCAGCAGCGTGTCAAGGAGCTGAACGCCGCACTGCAGAAGCTGAGCCAGCAGACGGCGCTCTCGTCGAGTGTACGGCTACAGGCTCTGCAGCAACACCTGGCCCAACTGCAGCAGCGTCTGCTGCACCTGGCGGCGCAGGCGCCGAACTTTGCGCCTGCCCAGTCATCAGCGTTCCGGCCAGAGGAGGGTGAGATGAAGCAGACGCTCGAGGAGGTGAAGGACACGCTGGACGGCCGCCAGCGCCTCGTCACGAAGAACAGCGTGGGTCTTTCCGCCGCGCCGCGCGCGCCGAGCAAGGGTCGCATGATTGGCCAGGTGAACGAGCTCTGGGGACAAATCGAGGAGGTCCGCCGCCTGCGCCGAAGAGGCGACCAGGACTGGACCGGCGATGAGAAGCTCCTCGCCGAGATTGCCGTTGTGCTCGAGCAGCAGCAGACGGCGCTCAGCAAGCTCAGCCAGCTGTCGAGCAAGGGTGTGTTCGATGCGGACGTCATGCAGAAGGGCATCGTCGGGCTCGAGGGGAGGTAGATAGATTCCGTAGTGGCTTAATGTAACATTGCTATACTCTGTCCATCGCGGCTAAACCGCAGAGCAACTTTCGGCAGCACGAGAGTTCATCGACATCCAGAAACAGCGAACTATGATAGAAGAATGTGCAACGTGCACTGAGGCGTGCTGGCGACAAAGATAGACCAGCCCGTTTCAAACCTCGAGATCTGTCAATGCAACGTCACGACCCGAAGGTACCATTGCTTTTGCACCCGTTTTCTTCACTACTGCCCGTGAACTTGACTCCAAAGAGTCCCGGACTGCAGTGTACACACGCGATGCGTCGGAGGAGAGGAGAGAGGAGATAGGATGGGGAGGAGAGGTGTGAAAACCGTCAGTACAGATCGTTAAGTATCGGATTAATCTTCGAGGCTGACAACGGTGCAGCGAGGGTCTTGGGGAAGTCGTAGAAACGTCGAGGTCGAGGTGAAGAGAGAGAGTCAACATCAGAAAAAGTCAGCAATGCATCTCGCAACTGACTTTTGGGTGAGAGGCTGACTGATATGGCGCGTGTCGAATAACACGTAAACTCGTTCCCACGTGGTGAAGTCAGGCGACCTCCACCGGCTACTCATTGAAGTTTCTGTGAGGTCAGAAATTTGTTGACGACATTCGCACCTGCCGAGCCACGACAGACCGCGATTCCGACTCGTTCCCGAGAGCACCGACGCCGAGCTCTCAGACATGAGTCAAGGGACTGCTTCTGAGCAGTCTCCGCCCGCCTCTCCAGAGGTCGGGGCTTCTTCGTGAGCTTCAAAGTTGCCATCTCAGCTGACTCTCAGACCAAGTTCGAATCCCGCACCTTCCCTCTCCCGACCCGCTCCCATGAACCCGCTCGAGATCGACGTGGAGCAGCGCGCCACTGCTCTTGGAGAGGACCTCGGCATCCAGATTCCCCAGCGTGGCGCCGAGCTCCTTTCGACCGTCTCCAGCATTGCCTCCCGACCTGGTGGCATCCTGCCGGTTGCCCGGAGATTCGCGCCGGTGCTCCTCGACATTGTTGTGCGATGGCTTGATAGCGCAGACGACGTTGGTGACAGGCTGGCTGCGCTTTCAGAGCTGGCAGAGCCGCGTCCTGATCTCTGGCCGTAAGTCTACATCCATCTAGCTGGACTTGCCAGCTAACATCCAGTGTCATCACCTCGTACCTTGAGGCTAACGTCCCCACTTCTCCCCTTTCCCTTGTCGACGCTGAGACGTCTGATCACCAGCTTCAGCGTATTCTCCTCGCCTACTACCGCCTCCTCATTGCCGACCCCGCCCTGGCGAAGCGGTTAGACTGGCCGACTGCTCCGCTGCACGCGCTCCGCAGCCATGCCGACATTGCCGTCCGCTTCCATGCGATCCAGGTTCTCAGCAAGCTGCGTGGATGGAGTGAGACGAAGCGTTCCGAGATGCTTGCCTCATGTGTTGGAGACGAGAACACCGTTGTCAACGTGCTGTTCGGATACCACGTGCGAAATGGCAACGTCGAGGCCGAGTTCGTTGACGGCTGGATGTTGCCCGTCCTCGAGGAGCGGAGAGTCAAGGAGTTCGGCCGGGACGCCCAGGAGGAGAAGGAAGAGTCTTCCCTCACCGAGGCTGACCTTTCGCCGCGCTCCGCCCTCGTCGGCAACAAGCTCTTCCTTCGACACCCTCCCCCGCAGAACACTCGGCAACAGGTCGGCCAGATTCACGTCCCGACAGTCGCCATGGACAGTGCGATTGAAGCTATCGCGCCGCACCTCTCAAGATGTGTTCCTGTTCTTATCACCGCGCCGCCGTCAGCCGGTAAGACGCATATCGTCCAGCACCTCAGTACGACCCTCTACCCCTCCCAGCTTCCCACCAGCCGCATCCTCACGATTCCCCTTGCCGACACCACGATCGACGTCAAGTCTCTCATCGGCACATACGTTTCGAGCCCGACGAAACCGGGTACGTTCGAGTGGATGGAGGGCGCTCTCGCCAAGGCCGTTCGTGCCGGTCGCTGGGTCGTGTTCGAAGACATCGACAAGGCGTCTCTCGAGATGCTTGTGACGATTTCCGGTATCACGAAATCGCTGCACCTGGGACGTATCGGACGACGTGCCGCCCTCCAGGTCCCCGGACGTGAGGACATCGAGGCTGGTGACGGCTTCGCCGTTTTCGCCACTCGTACTATCCGCTCTGATGCCCACACTCCACCAACATTCTTCGGCCACCAGGACTTCGCTGAGGTGCACCTCACTCCCCCGACGGACGAGGACATCCTGGCCATCCTGTCGGCGCAGTTCCCGCGTCTTCCTTCCAACGTCACACGTGCTCTTGTTGGTGTGTGGCACGACCTGCGTCCGCTGGCGAAGACGAGTGGTCAGGTCAAGGCTCGCGACATCGGCTTGCGTGATCTGGAGAAGTGGTGTGCTCGTGTCGAGCGAGCGCTTCCTCCAGCTGCGTCGCTTGCCGCTCTTGAGTCGTCTGGGGCCGGCGCTTTCGGAAATGCTGTGTTCCAGGACGAGGTCTTCCTCGAGGCTGCCGACATCTTCCTTGCGTCTCTTGACAACCGCGCTGGCTCCGCTGAGAAGCGAGCAAAGATGGTCGCCGCCATTGCTGACGGTATCGGCATGGAGCTTGACCGCGCCGTCTCGCTCATTGACACGAGGAAGCCGCGGCTCGAGGCCGAGAAGGGAGCCTCGCAGATCCACGTTGGCCGCTACAGCCTCGACGCTGCGTCAACAAAGAAGCGCAAGACGGACGATGACCGACCCTACGCCCTGACTCGTCCTTCCCTCGTCACTCTCGAGCGTATCGCCGCCGCTGTCGCGCTCGCTGAGCCGACCCTTCTGGTCGGTGAGACCGGTACTGGAAAGACGACCAGCGTGCAGCATCTCGCGAACATGGTCGGCAAGCCGCTAACGGCTCTCAACCTGTCGACGCAGACCGAGACTTCTGACCTGGTTGGTGGCTTCAAGCCGATCGACGCGATGGCAGCCGCGCGCACCCTGCACGCCCGATGGCAGAAGCTGTTCACCGAGACGTTCAGCGTCAGCAAGGCGCAGAACGGCACCTACCTCGAGATGGCTGCGAAGGCGCTGTCGGCTCGCAAGTGGCAACGTTGCGCGGAGCTCTGGGCCAACTCGGCGCGTCGTGCGGTGGACAAGCTGAACAAGTCCAAGGAGGAGCCGAAGGATGACGACCCCCGGAAGCGTCGCAAGCTTGCCAACAAGACGGCCCGTGCTGCCGTTCTGTGGCAGAGCCTCCTGGTCGACATCGCTGAGTTCGACCTGCACCACGTCAAGATGAAGAGCAAGCTTGTCTTCTCCTTCGTCGAAGGCCCGCTCGTTAAGGCACTCCGCAACGGCGAGTGGATTCTGCTTGACGAAGTCAACCTTGCGTCTCAGGAGACGCTCGAGGCTGTCGCTACTATCCTCGAGGCGTCCACTGCGTCTCTCGTCCTCACCGAGCGTGGTGACGTTGAGCCCATTCCTCGCCACCCAGACTTCCGCCTTTTCGCGTGTATGAACCCAGCCACGGATGTCGGCAAGAAGGATCTCCCGCCAGGACTCCGCGCACGCTTTACCGAGCTTTACGTTCCGCCGCCTGATGACGATCGCGAAGCTCTTATCGCCATTGTTGAGGGATACTTGGGTGACGCTGCTGCGGGCGACCGTGGCGTTGTCCTTGACGTCGTGGAACTCTACGCCACCCTCAAGCGTCTCAGTGCAGCGAAGGAGATCGTTGACGGCTCCAACGCCGCGCCGCATTACAGCATGCGTACGCTCGCTCGTGCGCTGATGTTTGCGGTCCAGTCGGCGCCGATCTTCGGTCTTCGCCGCGGTCTCTGGGAAGGTTGTCTGATGGCGTTCACGATGAGTCTCGACGCTGAGAGCGCAAAGAAGGCGCACGCGGTCCTTGAGAAGCACATCCTCGTGCCCATGAAGAACGCGAAGGCTGTCCTCGCCCAGATCCCAACGCTGCCGCCCAATCTCGACGCCGATGACTACGTCCGCTTCGGTCCCTTCTGGCTCGAGCGCGGCCCCATGCCTCCTGCCGGCGAGAGCAGGTATATCATCACGCCTTCCGTGCAGGCCAAGCTGTCCGATCTTGCCCGTGTTATCCTCACCAAGCGCTATCCTGTCCTCATCCAGGGTCCTACTTCGGCTGGTAAAACGAGTGCCGTCGAGTTCCTTGCCCGCCAGACTGGTCACCGCTTCGTGCGTATCAACAACCACGAGCACACCGACATCCAGGAGTACCTCGGTACCTACGTCACGGATCCTCAGACTGGCAACCTCACCTTCCAGGAAGGCCTCCTGGTTACTGCCGTCCGCCAGGGACACTGGATTGTGCTCGACGAGCTGAACCTGGCGCCCACTGATGTGCTTGAGGCGCTTAACCGTCTGCTCGACGATAACCGTGAGCTCGTCATCCCCGAGACGCAGGAGGTCATCAAGCCGCACCCGAACTTCATCCTGTTCGCCACGCAGAACCCGCCCGGTCTCTATGCGGGTCGTAAGGTGCTGTCTCGCGCGTTCCGTAACCGTTTCCTTGAGGTCCACTTTGACGATGTGCCCAAGGACGAGCTGGAGACGATCTTGTGCCAGCGCTGTGCGATTGCGCCGACCTACGCAAAGCGCATCGTGCAGGTCTTCGAGGAGCTTCGTCACCGCCGCCAGGCGAGCCGTGTTTTTGAGTCGAAGAGCTCCTTCGCTACCCTTCGTGATCTGTTCCGATGGGCTGAGCGTGGCGCTGTCGGCTACGACCAGCTCGCAACTGACGGTTACATGCTCCTCGCTGAACGCGCGCGCAGCGACGAGGACAAGGCGGTCATCCGCGAAGTCATCGAAAAGGTTATGAAGGTCAAGGTCGACGTTGACGCCATTTACCGCATTTTTGACCCTGAGAATGTCATGTTCAAGCGTCTGCCGTTTGACAGCGTGCCCGAGTCTGGCATGGTGTGGACAAAGGCCATGCAGCGTCTGTTTGCGCTCGTTGCTACTGCGGCTGCACACGACGAACCCGTCCTGCTTGTTGGTGAGACGGGATGCGGTAAGACCTCCGTTTGTGAGGTCCTCGCTGCCGCCTTCGCACAGAAGCTTGTCGGCATCAACTGTCACCAGAACATGGAGACGGCTGACCTGCTCGGTTCTCAGCGCCCCGTGCGTAACCGCCACGAACGTCGTGCAAAGGTCCTCGCTCGCCTCGCCGAGCTGGAGGTTCCCGTTAGCGCCGACGCCTCTGACGACGACCTGCTTAACGCGGTCAACGCTGCGCTCAAGATTGCGCCGAACGATGCCACCAAGGCGGCCCTTCGTGGTGTTCAGCGAGAGGTCAAGAAGCTCTCGGCCCTTTTCGAGTGGGTCGATGGTCCTCTCATCCACGCCATGGTCGACGGCGACCTCCTGCTTCTCGACGAAGTGTCGCTGGCAGACGACTCTGTGCTCGAGCGTCTCAATTCGGTTCTCGAGCCTGGACGCACCCTTGTTCTCGCCGAGAAGGGTGGCGTCGACATCGATGACGCCACTATCGTCGCCAACCCCCGGTTCCATGTTGTCGCGACCATGAACCCTGGTGGTGACTTCGGTAAGAAGGAGCTGTCCCCTGCGCTCCGTAACCGTTTCACCGAGATCTGGGTTCCCGCTCTCGGAAACAGGGACGACCTGCTCCAGATCATTGCCCAGAGCTGGAAGCACGACGAACTTCATCCCGCCGGTCCCCTCATCCTCGACTTCATGAACTGGTTTGGAGAGCGCATCGGGGACTCGTCCGGTCTTGGTCTTCGTGACATTTTGGTGAGTTTCAAATCTCAGTGGCTGAACTAACATCAGGCATGGGTCAACTTCTCGAACCAGATGTTCGGACAGGGCACGCTTGGTGTCGCTGCCGCGTTCCACCATGGTGGTCAGATGGTTTTCGTCGACGGTCTCGAGTCACTCCCGCAGGTTGCTGGTTCTTCGCTCGCCAACATTGCTACTCTGCGCGCGGAGTGCATGGCGCATCTCGACACTATGGCTGCTACGCTTGGTGACTACCACACCGCGAGCAGCACCGAATTCATCATCACCCCCAACAAGGTCTCGATTGGCGGCTTCACCGTGCCCCGCGGCCCGTATGCGACCGACTCTATGGACCAGGCGTTCCGCTTCGAGGCGCCCTCGACAGCTCTCAATGCCATGCGTGTCCTCCGCGGTTGCCAGCTGCCGAAGGCCATTCTGCTCGAAGGCTCTCCGGGTGTCGGAAAGACCTCGCTCGTCTCCGCCCTTGCCAAGGCTGCCGGGTTCAAGCTGCAGCGTATCAACCTGTCGGACCAGACCGACCTCATCGATCTTTTCGGTTCCGACCTGCCCGTCGAGGGTGGTGCGGCTGGTGAGTTCCAGTGGCGCGACGCCGCTTTCCTGGACGCGATGCAGAAGGGCGACTGGGTTCTGCTCGACGAAATGAACCTCGCCTCGCAGACCGTGCTTGAGGGCCTGAACGCTGTGCTCGACCACCGTGGAACCGTCTATATCCCGGAACTCGGCCGCTCCTTCGACCGCCACCCCGACTTCCGAGTCTTTGCGGCCCAGAACCCGCTCACGCAGGGTGGTGGACGTAAGGGTCTGCCCAAGTCCTTCCTGAACCGTTTCACGAAGGTCTACCTGCAGGAGCACACGCCTGACGACCTGCTCCTGATCTGTCGCTCGATCCACGACGAGCCTGAGATCGTGCAGAAGATGATCGCGTTCAACGAGGAGATCCGCGAAGGTACCATGGTTACCCGTACGATTGGTCGTGAGGGTAGCCCTTGGGAGTTCAACCTGCGTGACTTGTTCCGATGGTTCGGTCTTGTCGCCAAGCGCAACGGACTCGAGATGTCGCAGCACCCCGTCGAGCACCTCGCGACTGTGTACCTGCAGCGCTTCCGCAATGCCGCAGACCGTGCAGCCGTCGCATCCATCTTTGAGCGTGTCTTCGGCATCAACCCAGAGTTCTCTCGCCCTGCGGCCATGATCACGCCTAAGTGGCTCCAGATCGGACACTCTGCCGTCCCCCGTGCCAGCTCGGCTGCGGTCGACATCAATGTCCCCCACCACCAGCTTCCTCTCGCCGAGAGCATTCTCAAGGCGATCGAGATGGGCTGGCTCGTCATCCTCGCGGGTGACAACGGCCGCGGTAAGCGTGACCTCCTGCGTGCCATCGCTGCTGGTGCTGGTACCACGCTGGGCGAGTTCGCGATGCACCCTGGTATCGACACCAGTGAGATCCTCGGCACCTTCGAGCAGCAGGACCGCTTCCGCGCTCTCGACAATGCTACCAAGGCCATCAAGGCGTCCCTTGAGGCTACCGCCGACTCGCACCCTGGTGCCGCTTCGCGCATCGCTGAGATCACCGAAGCTCGTGCTCGCTGCAACGACCCTCGTGCTCTCGATGCACCTGATATCTTCCTTACCACGGCTCAGGGCATCCTCGCTGACCTCAGCGCCGCTGGAGCAGACACCGATACTATCGTCGCTGCTCTTGGTGATGTTGAGCGTACGCCCGGCTCCGCCACTGGTTTCGCATGGGTCGACGGCGCTCTCCTCGATGCCATCCGCAATGGTGGCTGGTTCCTCGTTTCCGACGCGAACCTCTGTTCCGCCTCGGTTCTCGACCGTCTCAACTCGCTCTGTGAGATTGACGGTGTCCTCGTTATGAGCGAGAAAGGAAGTGCCAGTGGCACGCCTGAGGTCATCACGCCCCACAAGGACTTCCGTCTGTTCATGACGTACGACCCTCGTATGGGCGAGCTCTCGCGTGCTATGCGTAATCGTGGTGTCGAGCTGTACGTTGATGCTCCTGAAGCGGGATCTGAGGTCGTCACCATCACCTCGCAGCCGAGTGAGACTTTTGCGCTGTCGGAGAGCTCTCTCCTGCGTGCGGCTGAGCGCATGAACGCCAGCTATGAGTCTGATCTTTCGACCCCTGCGTTCGTCGCCAACCTCATCGCCTCCGAGAGCCGCAGTGGTTACAACCTCCTGCGCCACTTTGCCTACGGCTCCGGATCCCTTGACCGTGCGGTGGCTTTCATGGGCCACCCGCAGATCGCGTCTGTGCTTCAAGCCTCGGCGCAGTTCCTTGCCGAACGCGGGATTGACGCCTCTCTCATTGAGGCTCTCCCCTTCGACGCTGCGACGGACCCGAACACTGGCGCTGTCGACTTCATAATTTTCCGCGTTCTGCAAATTGTCCTTCGCAACGCGGCTCAGCGCGCCGATGTCGACGCCTGGATCCTAGACCCGACCAACAACAAGAGCATCCTTGCTGCTTCGGCTGCAGCTGCTCGTCGCGGATCCAGCCGCCGCAAGGCTACGATCGGTGACGAAATCTACCCGTTCCTGAACCTCGCTCGCGAGAGTTTGCCAGAGCTCGTGCTGGAGAACATCGCTGACCCCGCTGCTCTCCATGCCGCTGAGGCAACTCTTCTCCTCCTTCGTCTTGTTGAGGAGCACTCCAAGACGGATACCTTCGACTATTCGTCCATCCAACTTCTGGCCGGCTGGCTCAGCGAGCAGCTTACCCGTCTCAATGCCACCAAGGCACAGCAGGCTGTCGCCAGCCTCGCCAAGACGACCCAGATCACCAAGGGTCTCGGCCAGGCGGCCCTGTGGACTCTCTTCCGTTCTGGCCAGCTCCCGGCTGACAAGCGCCAGCAGCTCGCTGCTCTTGCTGAGCGTCTCGATGGCGTCACAGACACTAGGCTTAAGCTCGATGCTGTCCAGGCGCTGTCCACTGCGGCGCACAACCTCACCGACGAGGTCATCGCGGAGCTGTCCGCGCTGATCGACACGCTTCCCATGAAGCCCGTCGACCTCGAGTCGACTGCCGCCGACACTCCTTGGACCAATGCTAGCGTCGCGCGCGTCATCGAACTCGACCTCCTCGACGCTGGTCGTGCCACTTGGGACTCGCCGACGCTCGCCCTCCTCGCGAGCGCTGCTGACGCTCGTCCCACTGACCTTCTGGAGCTGCAGAGCACTACCTTCACTGCTCTGTCTGGCTGGCTTCTCCGTCTCTGGCAGCCCGGAAGCCCCGCCAAGCTTTTCCAGCCCGTCCAGCTTCCCGCTGCTCTCCGCTTCAGCCGCACTGCTGGTACGCCTCTCGCCCAGATCGACGCCATGGACGATGCTCTTGCGTTCTCTACCCGTACCCTTCTCTGGTCCGCCGGCAGAAACGATGACCGTGCCGACCACTCGTGGACCCTGGCTCTCCGCGTGCTGACTCTCGTTCTCGGTGCCTTCGGTGTCACGGTCATCGATGGTCACCTTCAGCGCCCCGAGATCTTCGAGACGCAGGCCGACGAGACTGCCTTTGAGTACTTGGAGAAGTCTTTCGGCGAGCACCTCGCCAAGCCCCTGGCGCAACCGAAGACGCTCTCCACCGTTGGTAAGATCTGGTATGGTCTCGGCCGCTTCGTCCTCGACATGTTCGTGACGAACGTCCCCATCGACCCTGGAGTCAGGCGTGTCTTGCTCGGCGAGTCGATCGCGGCTCAGCTCGAGCACGTTACCGAGGAGCTCAAGGTTATCCGCCATGCCGAGGAGGTCCAGAAGGGTATTGCCGACTCGGCCCGCGTCGCCGATCTTGAAACCCGGGTCTCCAACCTTGAAGCGGAAGAGGCTGGTCTTGGTCCTCGGATCGATCGCGAGGTCAACGCCGCCCGTCTTGGACATCTCTTCAACGAGGTCTTCTCATTCTTCGATGACATCTTCAGCACCATGGCTATTGATTCGCTCCTCTCCGCAATCGCCAGCAACAACAAGGCGGCTCTCGCGCGAGAGGATGCGTTCCAGCTTGCGTCCATGGCCTTCGTCCAGCGTCTCTCCACTGGTTACACCGACTTGGAAGATCTCGCACGCCCCATCGCCACTGCCGTGCTTTGCGCAAAGTTCGGTGTTCGCTTGCTCGCTCGCGACCTTGAACTTCAGACTACCCAACCTTCGAAGGTTGTCGAGCCGGTTGTATCCTTCCCGACTGTCGCTGGATACGATGAGCTCCAGAACCTGCCCGCCGGTGGCAAGGAGCCCAGCGTTGCCAGCATGCGGGCCGATCTCCTCGTTGCGCTCTCCCACGCCCAGGAGGCTGCCACTACCGAGCAACGTATCGCCCACATCCCCGGCGTTGTCTCTGGTCTCGACCGCCTCTACGCTGCATGGAGTGCGATCCGCCTCCGTGAGCAGCAGGAGCAGCAGGAGGCTGAGAGTCTGTTCCGTGTTCGCAAGACCGACATCGAGGTTCTCTCTGACGAGGAGTTGATGGAGAAGGAGTTCGCTGCCCTCTTCCCTTCTTTCGCCGATGTCATGGACGACGACGAGCCTGAGAAGCCGGTCGAGGAGGAAAAGCCCTCCGCCAACAAGGTCAAGTTCTCTTCCGCGCAGATCTCAGCGTTCCACAAGATCGTTGTCGGTGCCTTTGGCGAGAAGCCAGACACCGTCGCGTCTACCCTGAAGCAGACGGTGGACGAGATCCTCGACTCGCTGCGTGCTAGCGAGTTCCGCGAGAACCTCGACTCCAAGTCGCTTGCGTTCCAGACGCAAACTCTCCACCACCGCCACGCGGAGATCCGCACCTCGAGCGCGCAGAACAACTTTTACTTCTCGCCCAACGAGTGTGAGGTGCGCAAGGCTTACGTGATTCTCGAGAAACTTCGTGCCCGTCTTGACGTTCTGGTTGGAGAGTGGCGCGACCAGATGGTCCTCCAGCACATCCGCGAACGTGTTCTCCGCGTGCTCAACCTCGACGTGCGCTCGCCCGTCGCTAAGGTGCTCGCTGCGCTTGAGCAACTTCTGCTCCACACTGACGACTGGGAGCCGTACGCGAACCGCGAGAACAGCCTCAAGAGCTACCAGCATGAGATGTCGAACCTGATCGTGGCTTGGCGTCGTCTCGAGCTTTCGGCATGGGTTCGTCTCCTCGATGACCAAATGGTTGAGTACGTCGCAAAGGACGACGAGTTTACCCTCCGCTTGTACGGTGCCTTCGTGCATGGCATTGTCGACTCGGACGACCCCGACAAGTACCTTGCGACAGTCCAGCCCGTGCTCTCCGAGTACCTGAACATGAGCACGCTCGGCGCTTATGAGCACCGCCTTTCCGTGCTCTCTGCGTTCCAGCGCATGACCGAGGAGCTTGGCAAGAGCGAGGCACCTGCTGCGGATTCGCTGGCGAAGGTTGCTGCGCTCCTGCACAACGTTATCGGTAACGCAAAGCTTTTTGTGCCCCGCATTCGCACCAGCCTCGAGCAGCAGCGCAAGGTTATCGACAAGGCCGTCAAGGACTTCGTCAAGCTTGCCTCCTGGAAGGACATTAACGTCTTCGCTCTCAAGGCGAGTGCCGCCAAGAGCCACAAGCAGCTGCACAAGAATATTCGCAAGTTCCGCGAGGTGCTCATGCAGCCGGTCGCTCCCATCCTCGGTGACCCGAATGCGATCTGTCCGCAGGAGACTGTCGGCGGCGAGGTTCAGGCCCACACTGGCCACTTCGAAGTCTCCTCGATCAGCTCCGCTGCTCTGGACGCCCGTAAAGCGGTCAAGGCCGCTGTCCCCGCCATCCTCGCGGATCTGCCAACGACTCTTGCCCGCTATTCTGCAGTTCAGGAGAAAGCTCGCGCTGCGATGACTCAAACCGAGTCTTCTCAGATGGAGGGTCTTGCCACCGACATCATTGAGACCGCCGAACACTTGCGTAAGCAGACGCCTGCCTTCCTGACGAAGGAGAACACCAAGGTCGTCAACAACTTGACCAGCCGCAAGCGCAAAGCATTCTCCGACCTCCTCAAGACCCTTCGAGCCTGTGGCTTCTCACAGTCCGTCCCCGCCGACAAGCTTCAGCGCCAGCAGTCGACGACTTGGATCTCGGGTCTGCCATCGCTGGAGGTCTCCGACCTGCCCGCTGCGTTCGACACCCAGACGCTCGCCAAGGTTGAGGAGTACCACCATCGTCAGTCCGTTCTCATGACGGCTATGCGTGCAGCTTTCAATGGTCACAGCCCCGACATTGCTTCGCAGGATCTCGGTCGCGCCATGGGATACGTCGAGTCACTATACGCGGCATGTCTCGGCGAGCACTCTGTCCTGGCGGCTCAGCTTCGACAGCTCTCCCGCCTTGCGGCCACTGTACGCCGCTTGCACCACGTTGCGCACGCGCAGAGCGTTGCTGGCGGTGAGGCACTCCTTGAGGCTTTGAGCCAGGCCGAGCTTAACGCCTGCCGCATCCGAGATGCTCTCCGCGAGGTCGAGGTCACGGTTCGCGCCTTCCGAGAGCTGCAGCACACTCAGCCGGGCACCCACGACCTGAGTGTCGTACACGAGTTCCGCCAGGAGGTCACCCTTCTTGTTGCTGCGCTTGAGAACGCCCTCAGCTCTGCTCGTGCCGCCGACTGGACGCTGCTTGGTCAGGACGAGGCTGCGCTCGTCGACAAGACCAACAACATGCTCTCACGTCTCCAGGCGGCTTGCGAGGCCCGCGCCCAGGCTACGCCGGAGCTCGCCCACCTCTTTACGCCCGTTGCGGAGATGGCGCGCGGCATGGTCAACGCCGTCAAGGTGAAGTCAGCCAAGCTTCCGGCGGCTGTATGGAAGGAGTCTGACGAGCTCATCCAGGTTATCCTGGTTGCTGCTCAGGGTATTGACATGTCTCCCCCCGCCGCTCGCGGCGACGATGAGTACGCCAACCTGCCCCAGGCTTTCTCCCGCCAGAACAAGTCTGCGGCTTCGCTCCGTGTTGGTGCCGTCATCGAGCGTCTCAACGCTTTTTCGCAGAACGTTGTCAGCAAGCTTTCTGGCAAGGAGGCTACCGACGCTCCAGCCGTCTTTGCTCGCGTCCCGCCCTTCATCCAGTCGCTCGCTGAGACGTACGCTTCCACCATCGGGTCGCACCTCGTTTCGACCAAGTCCATCTACAAGTTGACCTACGTTGTCGGCCGTGTTGTCCTCGACATTGCCCAGAAGGGCTTCTGCAAGCCGCAGGAGGAATCGAAGGACGATGGTGAGGATGGCGACGAGGGCGAGATCGAGGGCACGGGCATGGGAGCCGGTAGCGGCGACAAGAACGTGTCTTCCGAGATCAAGGATGAGAGCCAGGTTGAAGGTCTCCAGGGCGAAGACGAGGAGGAGCAGGACCAGCAAGGTGGTGACGACGATGACGACGACGACGCGGTCTCGATGGAGAACGACTTCGACGGCAAGCTCGAAGATGGCAAGGAGAAGGAGGATGGTGACGAGAGCGGCGATGACGAGGACGAGGAGGAGCTCGACGACCACGTTGGTGATGTCGACCCCCTCGACCCCGGCGCCGTCGATGAGAAGTTTTGGGACAACGAGAAGGAAGAAGGCGGCGAAGAGGAGAACGAGGGCCGTGAGGACCTCATGAACCAGAAGAACGAAGAGGAGAGCGGCGAAGCCGAGCTCAGTGCCAAGGATGGAGCGAAGGAGGACAAGAAGAAGGACAAGGACGAGAAGAAGGAAGAAAAGGAGCAGGAGGCGAACGACACCCAGCATGACGATACCCCGCAGGTTGAGCAGGGCGAAGGCCAGGACGGTGAGGACGGCGAAGAGGCCGAGGAGTTCGAGGAGCACGAAGACCCCGAAGGAGAGGCCGAGGGCCAGGATCCCGACAATGAGGGACCTGACATGCAGCAGCAAGACAACGTGGCTGCTGAGGAGGGCGACAAGCTCGACCTGCCCGAAGACCTCGAGCTGGACGGTGATGAGGAGGAGGGTAACGACGAGACCGAGGCGTTCGACGATGAAGACATCGACATGGGTGAGCCTGAGGGCCCCGAAGACAACGGCGTCACCTCTGACCACGGCGAGGAGGAGGAGGATGCACCTGCCGCTACTGGCGTCACGGAGGAAGACGCCGCTGAGGAGCAGGAAGAGTCCGCCAACCAGAACCTCGATATGTCTGCCTCCAACGACGCTACTCCCCAGGAGTCAGCCGCCGCTGGTCAAGGCCAGGGTGCGGCGGACAAGGAGGAGGCGAAGGAGAAGGGCGAGGATGAGGAGATGGAAGGCGTCGATGAAGAGGCTGCCGAGGCTGAAGAGGAAGCTGAGGCTGACGGTGCCACCCAGAGCGCTCCTCAGGGCGCTGGTGGCGCTGATGAGCAGGAGACCACTGGTCCTACCGACTCCACTGGCGCGGCTATGCCGGACCAGGGCATGGAGAAGGAGCGCTCGCTCGGTGACATCATGGAGGAGATCAAGCGCCGTCGTGACGAGATCCTGGCTCAAACCGAGCGTGAAGAGGAGTCTACGAATCAGGACGCGCAGGAACAAGCTCCTGGTCAGGTGGAGTACGTCCACGAAGGCCAAGAGGACGAGGGCCAGGCTCTCGGCGCTGCCCGCGAGGAGCAGCAGAAGCTCGAAGACCTGCACATTGTCGACGAGGAAGAAGGAGAGACCGACAAGCCACCCGCAATGGAGGACGACGCCGAGCCCGAGGACGCCGACATGGAGTCTGCGCCGCAGGCTCAGCAACCCGATGCCTCCGTTCAACGGGACAAGCAGGCCGCCGACAATGACATGCCCACCGAGAAGGCCCTCACTCAGGCCGAAATTGGCGGCAGTGCGCCTATGCCCTCCGACGCCATGGACGTTGATGGCGAGGGTGGTGATCTTGCGGACAAGATGCCCGAGGATGAGGAACCGGAGGATGCCGCTGAGGTCGACCTCACCATCGCTGCACCCACCGAGGACGATGGCGCCGAGGACCTCTGGCGCCAGTACGCAAGCCTGACGTCTGACCTCTCGTACGCTCTTTGCGAGCAGCTCCGTCTCATCCTGGAGCCCACCCTCGCTACTCGTTTGCAGGGTGACTTCCGCACCGGCAAGCGCCTCAACATGCGCAAGATCATTCCCTACATCGCCTCCGAGTACACCAAGGACAAGATCTGGCTGAGGCGTACCAAGCCCTCGCGCCGCGAGTACCAGGTGCTTCTGTCGCTTGACGACTCGCGCTCCATGGCTGAGTCGCATTCAGTGCATCTCGCGTACCAGACCCTCGCCCTCGTCTCGCAGGCTCTCACTAAGCTCGAAGTTGGTCAGGTCTCGATCGCTCGTTTCGGCGAGGGTGTCGACATTCTCCACGACTTCGGCTCTGCCTTCAGTGATGCCGACGGTGCCAAGGTTATGCGTGCGTTCAAGTTCGACCAGCACCGCACGGACGTCGCTGCGCTTGTCGAGCGCACTCTAGCCTACCTTGCCGAGAGCCGTCAGAAGCAGGCATCCAACTCTGCGCCCGACCTCTGGCAGCTCCAGATCATCATCTCGGACGGAGTGTGCCAGGACCACGCGCGCCTTCGCACTCTCCTTCGCCGCGCCATCGAGGAGCGTGTAATGATTGTCTTCCTCATCGTCGACCAGCTCGGCGCCGAGCCCGGATCCGTTCCTGCTTCCGCCCCTGCGTCTGCGCCCGCTTCTGGTGCCTCGACCCCCGCGCCACAGCACAAGCCGAGCATCCTCTCGATGCAGACCGTCAACTACACAAACGTCAACGGCGAGATGAAGCTCGAGATGCAGCGCTACCTCGACACGTTCCCGTTCGAGTTCTACGTCGTGCTCCGGGACGTGGAGGCGCTCCCCGGTGTACTGGCTGACACGCTGCGCCAGTGGATGGCCCGTGTTAGCCAATCTCAGGAGTAAGAAGGAGGGAGGAGGGAGTAAATTCATAGACTGCAAGCATATTAAAAGTATACCCCAATCAACGCATAAAGTATCGCACTCATCTCTGTATGTAGCACCAATGCCGTCATGCATATCTGTTCTCGTTTCTGCTGTTGCGCTGCGTTCAACTCCGTCGTTGCCTCCCTGGTCGGCTGACCATTGTTTGGTTCCACGGAGAGCTCTGCGATCCCAATTACGTAATACTTAAGGGAATGCAATGTCTGTCTGTGACGCGCGACGCGTCGAGAGACCAAAAGTCAACATCAGCCGCTTTTTGTCCATCCTCGCTCTATCGACCGCACCGCACTGGACAGCGGCAAGTGAATGTCCACACCAGCATGGACAACGACTACTACTCGCTGACGGCGATTCTGGCCGAGAACCACGTACGTTTTACACGTAGACTGCATGCTGTTTCAAGCACTCCGAACTCAAGCTGACAACAGAAACTACCCTGCACCTTCACGCTCGACGTTCCGGAACTCGGATATCTGGAAGGGACGGAGCGAGACCTCAAGGCGGGAACGAAAGTGGAACTGCCGCTCTGGCTTGCGCAAACGTTGAGTTTGAAGTGAGTCGGCTCTTCAGCTCGTCCCTTCCCTCGACCGTGGAGACGGCTTTCTGGCTGCGTCGATAGCGGCCTGAGCAAGCTACGAAGAAAATGCATTCAGCTTACACGCAGCGAACTCACAACATTCTCCGTTCCTCCAGCCTACGGACCGCGAGTACGCGCGGCACTGAAGGCGTCGGCGCCGGCCGTGAAACTGTCTTCCTTTGTCGGAGCAGGCGGATGGTGGTACCGCTTCGGCGCAAGGATTGCCAGTATGTGAGTGTCTGAGCAAACGCTGTTCCGCTATGTCTTGGTCTCAGTGCATATTCGCGAACCGCAAGCTGGCTGGAGGTCCTCACTTAGCTGACAGGACAGGTGGGACAACGGCGACTCGTTGCTCGACATGCTTCTGGGCGCGTTCGTCCACCGACTCCCACCATTGCAGGACCTGGCAGCACACCACGCGTCCTCGGAAGGATCGATGGAGCACGGGGCTGGCACGGGCGAATCGTTCCAGAGCGGTATGGAGGCGGACGAGCGTGAACGTGAGTTACAGGCACGAACATGATAACTAACGGCAGTGTTCCGCGTTGGACAAGAGAGTGGCGCGCTCGTCAAGGCGTGGTATGACTCGACGTGGGGCAAGCGCACGCAGAAGTAGAGCACAGCAGTTGTACAGTACATAGTTTTGCATTGCATTTTAATCAGACAGGACAGATAAGTACACTGAACGGTATGTATGGTATCTATGATCTATGCTGCGGCCCCAGATTAGCCAGCAGCCTCCTCCCACCAGTTCCCTCCCGACGACGACGCAGCCGGCGCAGGCGCGGGCCCACGTCGCTTCGGCTGGTCCTCGACCTTCTTTCCGAAACGCTTCACGACGACGCTGAGACCGGACGAGATGCCCTTTCGTCCTCCGCCCGGGAACTGCTTCTGCTTGCCCCGCTCCTTTTCCTCCTCATCGCCGTCCTCCGCGTCACCGCGCTTGCGCTTCTTCTTGGTCGACAGCGGCTCCATACCCGTCTTCTGACGATACGTCTCCATGACGTGGCGCAGCGACGCCTCCCACTCGGGCTTGTACAGGCGGTACAGCGCCATTGTAGCTCGTGCATCAGTAACCTGGCGTCAGCTTACGATGTTCGCCTCGTGCCAGCTGTAGCAGAACTCACCGAGGAATGGGACCTTCCCTGGATACGCAAACCAAGCTCGAGCTCCGTCAGCTTCTTCAGACCGGGCCGTTTCGTTTTGGCATGTTCGCGGAGTTGCTTGCACTTCTGTGTGTCACGGAGGAGCGGATTCGGATGAGAGAGAAGGAGTGCCTGTGGTGTCAGCTTGGGAGAGGACGAATGGGAGCTGTAAACTCACCTTCAAGTCGTTCTCGACGGCGTGACCGATTAGAATCTTGTCCTTGATCATACCCGCAACCTGCTTCTGCACATCGTCGAATGGCGGGGCGTTCATGACGTCTGACTCGCGCACACCCGAGACCCATGTACGGAAGTCGGTGACGCGCTCGCGCGGCTGCACGAAAGTGTCGAGCACGACGTGACCGTGATAGTTCACGATGGAGACTCGCGCAAGCGCGCTCTCCTCACCTCCTTGACCGAGACCGACCATTTCACAATCAATCGCAAGGCTGGTGAAGTCAGCTTGGCGATGCAGAATTAGGAAGCTGAAGGGGTCGTGTGACCTTCACTGTCGCACACTCACTAGTTGCCGATTCTGAAGTTAGCTTGACGGCTCACGACGCACGGAAGCTGAGGTACTCACGACTTCTTCGACTCATTCAGGACATTGTTTCCAGCGACCATCTGACGAAGCTCGTGCATGAGTGGTTTCTCACTCGGTGCGGCGAGGAAGGTCACCTCATCCGTATTGTACTGCGACGGTCCGGCACTGGACGGTCCAGCCTCAGCCGTAGCTCTGATGGTTAACGTGTGAGGAAGCGTCTAACCCACGTTGTTTCTTTCCTCTCAAAGTTCTTCGTGAAGGACGCAAGTCCGCCAACGCCCGGCCTGCGCTTCTTGGCCGGCGTCCCACGACCATCGCGCGCGCTCGATGCTGGCTTCTTCTTCGTCGGCGTGAGCGTCTTCTTCAGCTGCTCCCAGTTGGAGCCCCCCGAAGCCTGTGCCGTCTGATGTCAGCTACCTGTTATGTCGCTAGCTTACCTTGCTCATCGTGATTAGGTTAGTGGGCGATGCAGTGACGGCGAGACGTTAAGATCTGCCTTCCCCGCCCCGGTTCAGTGGACCTGGAATCAACAAAAACGGTAATCTTGGGCCACGTGGTGCGGAGGTCGCGTGCACGCCGCTTTTCGCCACCCATCAGCGGGCGCGTTCAGGCACGAGGGCGTCACACCTTGCCGGATGGTCGATGGCGGATAACGACATCACGGCGTGATCCGCGATAGCACGGTCAACATCACTCACTTCCTCAGAGAGGCAAGAGACAGCCATGCCAACTGCAGCGCAAGGAGCAAGCGAGCGCACACCCATACTGCCGGCGAACACGCAGCGCCCCGCTCCCCGTCGCAAGCGCTGGGTCATCACCATCCTCGCCCCCGTCGTGCTCGTGTGGGCGACGATCGGCGTCCTCCTCTTTGGCAAAACGGAGCCAAAGGACCCTCTCGAGAAGGCAAAGTACTACTTGAAGACGTGAGCTGTCTGAATGTCGTGCCGAAGCTAATGATCAGAGCTCCCGTCATTGATGGACACATCGACTTGCCCATCTTCGTGCGCGAGGCGTACGGCAATGACATAAACAAGTTTGACATGAACGCGGCGCTGGTAAGACTTTAGCTAGCTGAGGGTTTGTTTTTGCTCAGCTAACATCCAGCCGGCGCACGTCGACATCCCGCGCATCCGCGAGGGCCAGCTCGGCGGCTTCTTCTGGAGCGTCTTCACCGAGTGCCACGACGACGGTGTCGACTTCCTGACGCCGAACAACCACGTCCGCGGTAAGCTGCCCAATGGCCGACTGAAGCTAACGACAGACACGCTCGAGCAGATCGATGTCGCCCGCAACCTGATGAACAAGTACCACGACACGTTCGAGTTCGCTACCACTGCCGCCGGCGCCGAGCGCGCGATCAAGAACGGCAAGGTCGCCAGCTTCATGGGCATCGAGGGCGCGCACCAGCTCGGCAACAGTCTGGCAGGTAAGCTGCGCTCGGCCGTGTGTAGCTGACAACAGTGCTGCGACAGTACTACGCCCTCGGTGTACGATACGCTACGCTGACACACGGCTGCAACAATGTCTTCGCCGACAGTGGGGGCATCTTCGAGCAGCCCAAGCCGCGCTGGCACGGTCTTTCGTGAGCTACGTGGTCCGCGCGATAGCTGACCAACAGGGACTTTGGCCACCAGCTCATCAAGGAGATGAACCGCCTCGGTATGCTGATTGATCTCTCCCACGTCTCGGACGAGACGGCGCAGCAGGCCATTGCGCTCTCCAAGGCGCCAGTGATGTGGTCGCACTCAGCCGCCCGGCACTTCAACAACATCTCGCGCAACGTGCCTGACGAGATTCTGACCAAGATTGGACGTGGCAAGCACCAGCTCGACGGAGTTGTTATGGTCAAGTGAGCTTTTCGTTCTTACGCCAAGCTAACAGCAGCTTCTACCCCGTGTTCGCGAGCAAGAACCCAGACGAGGTCGACGTCAAGTACATCGCCGACGAGGTCGAGTACATTGCCAAGAGGACGAGTCGGCAGCAGTGAGTTGAAGAGAGTTGCGCGGTAACTGACCCCAGCGTCGGCATCGGGTCGGATTACGACGGCATCGAGAAGGTGAGCTGTAGCGCCGGAGGTTAGTTAGCTGACAGCAGGTACCTAAGGGACTCGAGGACGTGTCCAAGTACCCGCACCTGTTTGCGGAACTCATCAAGCGCGGCTGGGGTAGGCACGACCTCGCCGGCCTGGCTGGCGGTAACCTCCTCCGCGTCATGAGCGGCGCCGAGGACGTGGCGCGCAAGCTCCGCCGCGTCGGACCCAACATGGCAACGTACAACAAGCGTCAGGACATCTAGTCTCCCCTCTTCTTTGAACTTCATCTTCCACAGAACCTTTCCAACACTCCCACACATTCGTTTCGGTAAACTAAATAGCAACCACTTTAGAAGTTTCGATAAATCGAGCGCGCAGACGCCGCTCTTATGTCTAGCATTACATCAGGATAAATCTAGAAGGAACACAACCCGTCGGGGGGCATGTATCTCTTCTGTTTTTTCGACGATAAAACCCTACGCCTTCGCCTTCTTCTTAATGCCGAGAAGCTTCTGCATGCCCTCACGCTTCCGCTTGACCTGCGCCGTGGCTGGGGGAGCGACGGGCTCGGCCGCCTTGCCCTTGGCCGCGAGGATGGACGCGACGCTCGGCTCACCGGCAGCAGTGACGGCGCGCTTGATCGTGGGCCCCGTGGGTTCCTTGGGTTTGTCCTCGACCTCCTCGCTGCCGTCCTTCTCGTCCGGCGATTCCTCCCAGGCCTTCTCCTTGCCCTTCCCACCGGCGCCGAGCGGGAGGGGCGGAGGCGCCATCTTCGTAAAGTACTTGGCGACCTCTGCGTCGTCCTCCTCGGCCTCTCTTTTCCTCCTCTCTTCCTCTTCTCTCGACAGCCTCTCCTCGTGCAACTTGGCGAGGAGCGCCTCAGGGTCGTCGCCGACTTTACTCGTGTCCACCCTCGCGTTTCTGGATCGGAGATCCGCCAGCTCGTCCATAATCTCCATTTCGCGGCGGGACGCCTCCTGGCTCCGCTCCAGCTCCGCCATGGCGTCCCGCGCCTCGCGCTCGGGTATCGTCCTCGTCGTCCTCGGCTGCGGTGGGGAGGGCGCCCGCGCGCCCCTCCGGATCGGCCTCGGACCAGTTATCGAACGTACGCGTCGCGCCGTGCTCGGGCGTAAAGTCTGCGTTCTTCGGGTCCGTCTTGAACGTGATCTCCTGGCTGCACAGGGTGCACTTGATGTAGAACCGGAACACTTTCACGCCCAGGTACTCCTCGCCTTCGGCCGTCTCCTTGCGCGCGTTGAACTTGCGTCCGTGGTCTGTGAATGTCAGCTAGCGCACGATATGAACAAAGATAGAGGGGAGGGATGCTTACAGATGTACTCGCCGCACTTTGTGCAGCGCATCGTGTACGGCGCCTTGAGAGTTACCGTGATTTGCGAGTTCTTCGGGCCCTGCCGTTTCCGACGCTTGATCTTGGACGGATCAAAGTCCGGCGGGAAGTACTTGTTCAGCACCTTGCGTTCCGACATTCTGGCGGGAAACCGTTAGGCCGACGAGACGAGTGGCTAAGGTGAAGATGGGGTGGTTGGTCAGACTTGAAGTTGTTTGCGAGTGTTCAGCAGCCGATGACCTGCAGATCCACTCTGGGTGGCAAATTTGCTCCCGCTGATCGTCATCGACCCCGCCTTATCAGTCATCGTCCAAGATCTGCCGCCTTCGTTGTGCTCCTCGCCCGCTTCAGATGTGAACGTGCCATGCATTGCAGTGACTAGTGTACAATAGCTTTATGTCGATATCTTGGATCCCTTTCACAACCCAAAACACCTCCACTCAGCAGTTACAAGTCCGAGATGAGCCTCTCCAAATGGACCCACCCAACGGACGGGGTATACGGCAGCCCGTTTCTCACTCTCTATTTGTCCACAGCCGCAAAGGGCGAACAGGATGATGTGTCTCACGGTAGGGGATGTGGACGGCCGAGGTTCGGGAGGTTGGTTGTTATTGATGGTTGATTGGTGGTTGTTGTTGTTGGTTTACTTCTTCAGCTGCTTGCCGTCTCGTCGATCGTACATTGTCAATGATGAGATGCCGACGATAGGACCGAGGGAAGAGGGATTCTACTGTCACAAACATTATGATAGAGCGGAATAGAGGAAAGAAAAGAGCCGAATTTTGCAAAAAAACCCAGGGAGAGGGGGGACGTTGGTATGATTGTTGCAACACGGAGCGCAGATGGGCTCAGATGGTTTCAATGCTGAATGTTAGCTCCAGTCAACAAGATGAACTTCGACTCACCACTAGCTCTAGTGCATTTGCGTTCCAAAGTTCTCGCGCGCGCGACGGAACATCAGGAAGATCTCCTCGTCGGCGCGGACGAATGGCTGGTCCCAGAAGCCATAGACGGGGTTCTCGAGGAGCTCGACAAAGGTGACGATAAGACCCCACGGGTGAGGGCGGGTCACAATGACGCGCTCGAGGAGCACACGCGCGATGCGCTCAGGAATGCTCGAGTCGGTCGACACCTTGAACAGGTAGAGCATGAGCGACGCGAAGAAGAGCGTGTGCGCCGACGGGAACCTCAGCTGGTCGGCAATGACAGACAGCATCAGGTACTGGCCCTCGGCGTCAAACGAGTGGACAAGCGACAGGAGCATGGGCACAGCTGGGTCCTTGGGGTCGAACTCGGCGACACCCGACTGCATGTAGTGGCGCTGCACGGCCGAGGTGCCGAGGTAGAAGACGGTCGCGTGGAGCAGCGTGTGGTTCCACACGGTAGTCGTGGTACCGTCAGGCAGCGTCTTCTGGACCGCGATACGGTTCTTGAGCTCGTTGACGATCGCGGCGCCCGAGGGCGAATTGGTGTGGATGTACTGGTCGATGGCCTGCTTGACGTTGCCAGTGTTGAGCGCACTGACGTGGTCAGAGCGGACACGCGGGAACGACTGCATCTCCGAACGAGCTCGTCGGGTCGCTTGTACCAGTCGGGCAGAGGAGCCTCGCTGGCAGGGAAGGCGGCCAGGATGATGTTGCGGAGCTGAACGCAGTGCGCGGGGATGGCAGTCGAGAGCGTGTGGTAGTACTCGACCAGGAATCCGGGGAAGTCGTGCATGAGCACGAGCAGGATGCGGAGAGTCGCACGGTAGAGGCTGCGCGCCGGCGCACCAAGGTCGCGGCTGTTCGAGTTGACAAACGGCGACACAAAGCGCAGCAGCCACATGAGACACCTGTGGTAGTCGGACCAGCCCTCCTGGCGGGGGGCACCGAGGAGCTTGGCCATGAACAGGCGGTGCGACATGATGGAGACCCAGCCGAAGGCGAAGCGGGGCGCATAGGTGGGTTGGATGATGCCGAGGACGTTGGCAATGCTCTTGAGGCAACCAAGAACAGTCTCGGGCAGGCTGGCCTCGATAGCAGAAAGCTCGGCGAGCATGCTGGTGAAGAAGCGGGCCCAGGGGCGCTGGTCGAAGGGCTCGTCAGCGTTGAGCTGGGCGCGGACCAGGCTGTACGACATGATCGTGATGATCTTGTTGAAGTAGTAGACAGTGCGCTGGACGCTGCCAGGACCGCTCTTGTCGCCATAGTTCTTGACGATGAGGACAATGAGCTTGGCGAGCGAGTCAGTGCCGTACCACTGGGTGTTGTCCGACTTCATGTCGCAGTCAACGGCAGCCTTGATGGCGGTCGTGTAGAACGCAGTCGAGACGTCCTCGCCGCCGAGGATGTTGTCGCCCTGCAGCCAGGTGATGTAGGGGACAAACGAGACCTCGGGCGAGTTGGGGTTGTCAGTGAACAGACGCACCCACTCGAAGAAGTAGTGCTGGAGGCGCTCGTGAACCTTGGCATCGATGGGCATGACCTTGGTGTCGCGGGCACCCTCGCCGCGGAGGTCCTCCAGAAGCTGGTCGGCGGTGGAAGTCGACTGGTCCTGCTCCTGAGCCTTGAGGAGGGCGGTGATGCAGAGCGTGAACGCGTTGCGGTTGATGAACGCCTGAGGGCCGATGCAGCACTCGCGAATGAGCTGAGCGGTAAAGTCGACAACTTCAGGAGTGGCACCGCGAGTCATGACCTTGGCGAGCTGGGCGTCGAGCTCGGCGACGCGGATGAAGCTGCCACGGATGAGGACCGCAGTGACAGGGACGTTGTACTTGCGGGGGTCCTCGGCGTAGAGCAGCCATGACTTGACCTCGCGATCGACCTTGGGGGCGTGGAGACAGAGCTGCTGCAGGATCACGACGTAGAGCTCGCGACCAAGAGGCGAGTCGGTCTTGTAGAGCAGCTGCACGATCTTCTGGGCAATGGCCAGGGTAGTCGCCTCGCGCTGCATAGACGAGTGGGCGAGAACGATGATGGTGCGGCTGAGCGAGCGGAGGTCGTGGTCGGGCTCAAGCTGCGAAATGGAGGTCGCGTTGGTCTGCGAGAGGAGCTTCTCGATGTCGGCGACGAGCTCATGGAGCTTCTCGACGGTGGTCTGCGGAGCCATGACAAAGGACTGCTCCTGGTCGCCAAAGTCAGCGTTGCGGGGCGAAGGGCCACGGCGGACGTCGGGAGGCGGCACGAGACCGCCGTCACCGAGGCCAAGGTCGCGGTAGCCAACAGGAAGGTTGTAGTCGTTGCCTCCGTTGAGGTGACCAGCCTGCTGCTGTTGTTGCGAGAAGACGCGAGCCGACTCGGCAAAGTCCTCGTAAACGCGGAGCTGAGTAGCGGTGAGACCACCCTGGCGCAGGCGAAGAGGGTCGGGCAGTGCAGTGTGCGAGATGGCGACGCCGAACGAAGCTCCGTCCCAGAAGGGCTGCTGGCTGCGAGAGTCGCGGTGGGCCTTACGCGCCGCGAACTGAGGCTGCAGGTTGACGTCAATGTCGCGGGTCGCCTTCTCCATCGCCGCCTTGCGGATGACATCGCACGCAACGTCGAGGTTCTCGTTGACGACACCAGCGATCACGCCGTCAGGCACGTTCTCCTCCGTGAAGCCGTTCTGGCCGACCAAGGCACGGATGTGAGACATGAGGCTGGTGCGCAGCGGCTCCTTGCAGGTGACGAGAGCCAGGTTGCCCGCAAGGTTCTGGACCATGAGGTGGGCAGCCTTGCGCATCTTGATCGAATCGCACTCGGTGCCAAAGTCCTTCTGCACGAGGTCGCGGGACGATATACCAGCAATGGTGACCGAGCGCTCGACGACGGGCGAGACGATCTCGCGGATAGCACGCTCGATCGAGTGCAGAACGATACGCTTGAAGGTGGGCGCCTGCAGAACGCCGAGGTCGGAGTTGAAGTGCAGGTACTCGGGCAGCTGGCGGATGAGGTCGTCGACGTGAGCGAGGAACTGCTCGTGCAGCGCCTGGGCAGCCTGCTCCGTCTGCAGAGCCTGCATGCGGGTGAAGGGATCGTCCGCAATGCTGGGCTCGGTGCTCGTACCGCCGAAGCGCTGGGCGCCGGTGCTGGAGAGGTCGTTCGTGATCAGCTGGCGCTGGAGCTCGACCTCGAGACGGTTGGGCCCGTGAGCCTGAGGCTGAGGAGGAGGAACGTGGGTGCGAATCACATCCGAGGCCTCGATGGTGTCGAGCTGCAGGCCGAGCTTGCCAAAGAGAACCTCGATCTCGAACTTCATGTTGAGCTTGATGTCGCCAAAGTGGTAGAGCTCGACAAGGACGCGGAGGATCGCAACGAACCAAGGGTTGGGCTGGTGGAACACCTTGGAGTCTTGGCACGCAAGCATGACATTGCAGACGAAGGGAATCGCCACAATGAGACGCTTGTTGTCGTAACCCTGAACGAGCAGATCCTTGATCGACAGCTCGCGGTGCTTAATGGGCAAGCCGCGCTGCAGGGTGATGCGGCCAAGCCAAAGCGCCACAGTCTTGAGGGTGGCGCGGTCCGAAGCCGAACCAAGGGTGCTCTCCGCATTCAGTAAGTCGCGGGCCTTGCGATACGTCTCCCAGAGAACGTGCTTCTCGAGGATAGGCGTGCTGAGAAGCTCCAGAATCTGGAAGTACAGGTCGTGACGGTTAGCCTCCAGCGAGACACGAACGTCGATGAAGTAGTGAGCAAACCAGCGCGAGTACTCGGGCTTCATCAGCTTGACCAGCTCCTGCGACTTGGCCTCCCAGTTGCTGGGTGCAATGTTGTTGATGATGAACATGATCTGGTCGCGGACCTTGGGCTCGGGCTCCTTGAACTCGTCCTCGCCTTCCTCGATGAGGATGGGAAGCTTGAGGGCAGGGAAAGCGAGCTTTACACCACCCTGCAGGTCGAGCTCCTCGCGCTCGGCGAGCGCGGCGTGAATGTCGTTGATGTAGCTCGGGTGCGACTCGTGCAGGGCAGGAATCTCGAGGAGCGAACGGCAGAGACCCGGGAAGTCCACGAGCGAGGCGCGGAGCACGCTAAGAGCGCTGACACCAAACTGGTAAGGAGGCTCGTGGGGCGGTGTCTTGCACGCGTCGAGGACGTAACGAGTCGCAACGAAGGCCGGGGTGTCCTTGACCAGGCGATAGTCGATGATCGCACCGAAGAGGATACCAGTCATCGTGAGCTCACGAGGGGGGTAGGTCTTGATAAACTTGTACTCGTCAAACAGCGAGTGGAGCGAAGCACCGAAGAGCTCCTGGTCGCGAGGGTCGCTTGACTTCTGGTAACGCTTCAGTTCCTCGACAACGTCGTCCAGAGTGAGCTCGTGCTCCTCGCTGTACATGCGGCGATACATGTCGTCGACCTGGGCGCTGACCGACTTGTTGTAGGTCGCCACGACAAAGCCCTGCTCCTCCTTGGAAGCCGCGCGCAGGTTCAAAAGTCGCGGGTGGAGGATGAGAATATCGGTACGCAGGCTCTTAAAGCGGGCGACGTCCTCGCGGGTCAGGTTGTCGGCGTTGCGAACGACGCGGATGAAGATCGAGTACGCCTCGTCCGAGAGGGTGAACATGGGAGGCGGCACCGACTCGGGCTGGTGCTGGTGGTCGATCTCCAAGCGGATCTTGTGCTCGACAAAGTCAAACATGGCCTGTAAGAAGTCCTCGCCGTTGACGGCGACACTATCCGCAAGCCAGTTCTCAAGGTTGAAGTACTCCTTGCTAGAGGCGAGGGCGGCAACGTCGAGAGCAAAGTGCAGGTTGTCGCTCGCGAGAAGCTTGTCGAGGATCTGCAGCTCCCAGGCGACTTCGACGACCTTGCCGAGGTTGTTCTCGTCCTCGGAGTAGAACTCGGTAAGGGTGTCGAGCAGACCCTTGGGGTTGAGCTCCCAGATCTGCTGGAAGACGAGCGCAGCGGAAGCCAGAGCCGAGGGAGGGTTGATCAAGTAGATCTCAAGGATCTTCGAGTGCATGGTGGCGATGGGAGCAGGGAGGGGCTTGGGAAGCTTCTCAAGCGCGATAAGAACAAGCTCCGGCGCAAGACCACCAGCACGGTCCAGAAGCTCGGTGGCGCGGCGACCCATGTCGACTCGCTCGTCGCGGTCGGTCGCGTCTTCGGCGTCGGCAAGAGCGCAAGCCTGAACTAGTACCTGGATGAGGCCGAGAGAGTTCCAGAGTCCGGCCGACTGAACATCCTTCGCCTGCTGGCGAACAACCTTGCTGACGGGGGCGTCGGGCGCGTAGGGCTCCACGATCCGGGTGAACACCTGGGGCGAAGGCGAGGTGGGGAGAGTGTAGAGCGGAAGCGAGTCGGGAGGAAGCTGCGACAGGTTGCGGAGGATGTAAAGCAGCGACGACAGGTTGGTCCACGTCGAGTCGTTCAGAGTTGCGGGGAGAAGACCGGCGATGGGAGGGACCGGCGTCTGGGGAGGCACCAGAAGCAGACTAGCCGCCAAGGGCACGGCGGAGGGATGCGCCAGCGGGGAGTTGGGCATGTCAAACGCCTTGACCACCTCCACCCAAGGGATCGACGCTGACGCGGTAGTCGCACAAATACCACTCAAGACACCGTGGAAGTCGACGGCACGACCATCGCGGAGACCCATGCACAGGCCGTGGAGCGTGCGGATGATCTCCTCCTTGAGGTTCTGCTGGTTGATGGGCTCCTCAAGCAGGTAGGGACCCCACCAACGGCCGATTGCGGCCTCGACAGTGCCCTCATCCTGCGTGAGGGAGTCGCCGAGCTCAAACAGAATGTCCTCGAGGGGGATCGAGCCCTGAGTACGCGGAGCACCGCCGGGAGACAAGGCCGACAAAGTCTGCAGAATGATCGCGGGCGACGTGAACTTGATGGTGAGCGACTGCAGGAGGAAGCCGCGCTGCAGGGAATTCAGAGGCGACGGGTGGGGCGGGGTCGGGTTCGTCGGGGTGGGCGGACGCGATGTGGTGCCAGTCGCCGAGGTGGAACGCGGGTAGAGCGCTAGAATCAGAGTGCGCGCCTCCTGCATCGTAAGGTCGTCCTGAGGCTGGTTCGGAATGTTCGTGGACCAGAAGGGCACGCCCGCGCGAAGAAGCTCCATGGTGGGCTGGAACGTCTGGTGCAGGGTTTGCAGGATCTGCTCGTGCGAGGGGTGCGTCGTCGGGTAAACGTGCGGGTTTGCCAAGGTGAGGGCCGACAGCGAGAACATGACCGCGGGGGGCAGATTGAAGAGGCGGAGGGACGGGAGGGGAAGCGGCGTGCCCTGCGAAGGCGAGAGCATGGTCAGAACAAAGTGCGGGGCAAGGGCGACATCGCGGGCGGCACGGACAGCCTCAGTCGCAAGGAGACGCCAAGCAAGTGCCGCCGGGCCAGAGGTGGGAATCTGAGGGGGAGGGGCGGCCGGGTCATCCTTGTACTGCTGCTGGTGCTGAACTAGCGCTTGAATCACAGGCGATGCGACAACAGCAGTCCTGCGAACGAAGTGATGGTACATCTCGGGACCGTTCGATGACGCGAGCTAAATCGCGGGTCAGCAACAATTCAAACGCGTCTTTCCAACATCGCAAACACAACACTCACAGTCCTGATCTCTGCTGCGGCCTTGTCGAATGAGTCCTCGGTGAACGTGGTGAGAAGGAAGACGATCTGGGCGCGGACAATGGCAGCTGTGCCGTTGGCCCCACCAGCTCCAGCGCCAGCCCCGGAGGCACCACCAGAGGCCGCTGCGGCATTGTTGGAGCCAAAGCCGGGAGGAGGGCCAGTCCTGGCGACCCCGCCTCCCAATCCGGGAGGAGGGTGAGACATGGACGGGTAGGTGGTCGGAGACGGGGGAGGGGGGATGGAGGAGAAGATGGAGATGAAAGGTTGGAAGGATCGAGGGGGGTAGACTAGGACCGATGCATCCCCAAGCCGGGGGGTTCAGAAAGGACGGAAGGTGGGTCGGGGTTGGGGGATCGGGAGGGGTGCGCTGACCACTGCGACAGGCGGACTGTAGAGGGCAGTGGGTGGATGAGAACGGGGTTGGTGATGGGTGCAGGTCGAGGTAGGACGGGTTCGACGATGACAGATGGTGGTCCAGCGTGAGTTAGACTGGGTGCCACATGCGGCGGCGCCCTGAAACGCCGACCTCGAGATGAGCTGGGCTGCACCTGGTGCGTCACTCGCGCCAGCCTAGTGATGTGCCGTCAGTCGTCACTGGGATTAGCATGGGGTTAGCTGCTGTAAGCTAGACGCTGCGTGCTCCTCTACTGGGACGGCTACGCGCTGTGGTGTTTCTTGCTCCATCGTCTGACATAGCATGCAGCTGCGTGGAACTCGTTCGACTACTGACTCGTTTTCGCAGACGTCCCTGCTCCGCAAGATCCTGCCAGTGACTAGGGACGAATCATGTTGCGATCCGTCCTTGCGCAGCAAGCAAGTTGCACGCTGCTCCGGGCGTCATCGCAGTCGATCTCCTCTTTCTTCGCTTGTTCAATGACGCAACTATGCTGCGACGCACGAGGAATAGTAGACAACAGGTCGTTGCATCAGGCGAGGATACTCTTGGCCGCCCATCGTCGGCTATGATTATCGGGAGCGCCAGGAACGTGATCGTCAAGGGATCATGATGCGGAGCTCGACCGACATGCTCATCACAGAGCTGGGTCACGGCAGCTGACGAAAGGGGTCCCCGGGCGCGTTGCCAAAGTGAGCTCGCAAAGTCGTGATACCATGACACCCTCGCTTAGTCCCAAGATGGTTAGTAGGTTGGATCTCCAGCTGCCCATCGCCTCTTTCACTAACCATGATACTACAAATGCATGACGCCCGTACGCAAAAGATTATACGCCCTTTAGCTTATCCCAGCCGCTCTCAGGCGTTATAGACCTCGTCCCACTCTCCGCTCTCGATCATCTCCTTGAGGATGTCGAGGCCGCCCACAAGCTCTCCATTCAGGATGATCTGCGGGAACGTCGGCCAGTCGTTGACCCGCTTCAGTCCCTGGCGGACCTCCTCGTCGCTGAGAATGTCAAACCAAGCAAACTCAACTCCCTTCTCGCGCAGGAGACCGACAGTCTGGCGCGAGAAGCCACACTTGGGCGCCGACGGGTTGCCCTTCATGAACAGCACGACCTTGTGCTTGTTCATCAGCTCCTTGCAACGCTCGGTGATCTCCTCCTCGGTGCGCGGGCGAGACGGCTCAGCGGGGGTGGAGGCGGCAGCGGAGACGTTGGAGGAAGGGGCGGAGGAGGAAGTAGCGTTCTGCGAGAGGAGAGCGTTCAGGACGCCCGTGTCGGCTCCAGAGTGACGGCCGAGAAGAGTGTGTCCCTGTTGTATGATCCGTCATGAAGTGAGCGTCCAGTTGCACAACGTTGCGAGATGTGTAAGCAGTCAATGCGGGGTTATGTCAGCACAATGTTAAAGGGGGATCACCACAGCAGGCAGCAGCAACGCAGCACATTGAGCCTCAGCCGAACACACGTCCGACTCCACATGGGTGAGTACGCGGGCTCGGGTTTCCAACTCGCCAGCCTTAGTAGTGTGCGCGCCGCTGCCTGTGGGCTGTTGGGACTCACGCGAAGAAGAACGAAGCTAGGGACGGCCTCAATGTCGAATGACTCAGCAATGTCGGCCTGCTCCTCCGCCTCGATCTGCCTGTCAGTCCTATATCCAGCGACGCGAAGCTCACATTGAGGAAGAGAACACTGGGATACTTGGCGGCAGCCTCCTCGACCGCCTTGTTGAAGGCGGCACACGGCTCGGCCCAGGGCGCCCAGAAATTCAGGAGGGAGACACGGTTGAGATCCTTGGAGAGCTCCTCCTTGAACTGCTCCGGTGATGAGATGTTGACAAAGTTCGAGGTCGACATGGCGCAGAGTTGCTAGGGGTTACGCAGAGTCCTAGGTCTAGGTTTTGTGAGTAGGTTGACAGATCGTGACAAAGAACTCGATGGATTTGCGAGGCGGCAAGACCTGTAGCACCTCCACCAAGCACACCATCCAGACGCAATGCCATCACCTGGCCCGGAATCAAACCCACGTGGTGCAGCCAAGATGACTGCAACTTCGCGTCAGTCCTCGACGAGACATGAGCGTGCGCATCATAGGCTCTCGATCGCAAGTTCAATCAGCAAAACCTCGCCAAACCAACGTCACGCATACATCGAATCAGCTGAGGACAGATCCGAGCTGCGCGAACTTGACATTTCGACACCCACATCGAGCAAAACCGGACTTAAGGGACGACAGTCGAGGAAGACTTCATTGTTTTGACGTCAACAAAACTCGATCAGCAACCACCCAGTAGACAATCTTGCAACATGGCCGACGTTGACATGGACAGTGAGTAGACCTGATAGCAACTCATGCGTATTGCCAGTGCTAACCTCCAGCTCGGCGAGACGGTTAGTGATAATTTCGCGGAACTCGGGCATTGTGCTGACATACCTTCCCTGCTGAACTTCGTATATCTCTTCTCTCGCTCGAACATCTTCAAACATGCAGCCAACGGAAAGGACGGATACGCCTGGGCTGAACGCTGTACGTAGCTGGATCTTCCACACACACTGTAGCTAACATGGCAGCCGTCGAGGGGTGGATCATCATCGTCACGAATCTGAACGAGGAGACGACCGAGGAGGATCTCGAGGACCACTTTGCCGACTTTGGAAACGTCAAGAACCTCTCCATGGCGCTGAACCGTCGTACCGGATACGTTATGGTGAGGAGCTAGCCGCATGTTGCCGACAGCTGACCACAACAGGGCTACGCTCTCATCGAGTATGCGACCAAGGAGGAGGCCGAGGCGGCGATCAAGGCAACGAACGGCACCGAGTTCCTCGAGAAGAAGATTAACACGTGAGTCATTGCCCGATCCGAGCAGCTGCCTTAGTCGAGAGACATAGCTGACAGCAGCGACTTTGCCTTTGCCAAGCCCCCGGCAGGTGCCGGTGGAGGACGACGCGACCGTGCTCCTGGAAGGCGGGGAGGAGGGCGCGACCGCTCTGTGTCTCCGGGACGTCGATGATCGGAGAACATGGCGAGTGTAGATTGCAGACAGGGTGGAGAGCGGAGATGCACGTTCGAGACCGAGCGTGCCGAGCCAGGACCAGAACCGGCACGGCAAGGGCTTCGGGTGGCTCCCGGCAAGAAACGCAAGTCTGAAAGTCAGGAGCTTGGCGCGTGTCAGTGTGGGATAGCGCGTCGCGTGCGTCGTGTGCGTCGCGTGTGTAGGCTTGGTAGCTGGGGAAGGAGTTCCAGAAGGTCGATTTAAGTCTTAGAGAGGGTGGTATGCAGTGCTTTTCATGTACAGAAGCGGCGACCAGGACGAGATGGTTGTTGTGGTAACTTTGCGGACGGGGAGGTACAGTGAGCCTGGCCAAGATGGCGCTCGGAACAGGTTCTGAGTTCCCGGACAAGTGAATGCATAGAATGCATGGCGAGAAACGCCTGTTCGCGTACGGTGGAAGATGGCCAGTGGGGAGAGGCGGGTGAATGGATGCGATTTGTAGTAGAGGAGTGCTCAGGGCCCAGGTGGGATTTCATCATGTCATCCCGCGCTCCCGTGTGGATAGCGTCTCCCTGGCCTCATCCTGGCTCTTGTTGCCTTCACTCACCCCTCACGCTCGCGCACCTTGCGCTCGACGCCGAAGCACGCGTCTAGACCTTCCTACCCAGTCTCACCCCGGCACACACACACTGCGCGCTGCACAGATCCAGACATGACTAACCGCCTCTGCGACTTTCGTTCTTCTCTCCATCTCCCACTCACCTCTCTCCCAGCCCGCCATCGCTACCTCGCCGCGCACTCGCGCAATCACCGCGCTCGCTGTCACGAACGCCCGCACGCAACACTCTGGTCCCAGGCCGAATCGGAGGATTCCCACCATCCGGCATCAAGTTTCATCGTAACCTGTAACAAAGTCTCCTCCAACTCTGACCCGTGCCTGCCCTGGAACCTCTCTGGCTCTGATCCTGTCGCAGACAGTCCTCGTCGCACATCGTCTGCATCAGACGCCTTCTCGTACCTCTCTCGTTCCTCTCGCCTCCCACCGACCTCCGCACGCCCGCACGCTCGCAACCCGTCCCCAACCACGCCGCCTCCCACCCTCGACATCCCTCCAGGACTCGTCCCTTCCTTTCCGTTAAGCCTCAGCCGCTTCCTAATCATCGGTGCCTCCTGCGACCTGCCCGCCGCGCCGCGCACCGCTCTCTCTCATCGCGCTGGCGTCTACCTCGCATACATTTTCCATTCAAACCACCATCCTGATTCCTCACTCATTCTCTCTTCACCGCCATCGTAACTGTGTCCTGCGCCATCCGTTCTGTCACCACCAGTACCAACCCACAAGTCGCCTGACGCCAACCTCTGCGGACCCTGCACCCAGCCGTCCGACCCACTCCCTCCCCACAACACCCCCCGCCGAGTCTGTGCGCCACCCCTTGACCCTTAGCGCGCGACCGCGCGTTCGACGACGCACCCATGTCCGACGACCTCGAGACAAAGTCCAACGCCTCGGTGGCCCTCGACGCCCCGGACGCCGCTGATGGCGTCGCCGTCGATGCTCCCAAGAAGTCGCTCGACCTCGAAGCCGAGCTCGCCCAAGCGGACGCCACCGACGAGGCCGAAGTCCCTGTCGAGAAAGTGATCGACGCCGACGCCCAGGAACCCACGGACCCCATCCCGGGTGACAAGTCTGCCGCCCCCGAAGTCGAAGGCGAGGCTTCCACCGAGCCGGATCAATCTGTCGATGACACGGCTGCCCCCGCGAAGATAGACACCAAGGTGAACGGCGTCAAGGAGAACGCGAAGCCCATCGAGGCGGACGAGCCGATCGCTGTCCCTGCGAAATCCCCAGCACGCGCCAGGGCAGCCGCTGCCGCCGCCGCTGCGAAGGATGAAGCCTCCAAGCCCAACGGTAACGACGTCGACATTGCCGTGGTCAATGCGCTGCGTGCTGAGCTCACTTCCGCGAAGGAGGCGAGAGATGCAGCTGTGTCTGACGTGACTGCTCTGCGCACGGAACTCATGTCTGCTCAGGAAGCGGCTCAGGAGGCGGCCAAAGCCGTGGCTGCCGCTCAGGCTGCCGAAGCCGACATTGGAACCTTAAGGGCCGAGCTGCTTTCTGCCAAGGAGGCGAAAGACGCCGCCGAGTCCGATGTCGGCACGCTTCGTGCAGAGCTTGACGCTGCCAAGGAGGCGAAGGAAGCGGCCGAGGCTCGTGTGGAGGCCCTCGAGTCCGAACTTCAGCGCTTCAAGGACGAGCACGCCTTCACCGCCGCTGCCAAGGAGGCTGTTGAGACTCAGCTTCGTGAGCAAACTACCAAGCGCGAGGCTGCGGAGGAGAAGGTCGAGCTGCTCCGCGGACAGGTGGAGGCTGCCCGTCGTACTGTGATGCAGCTCCAGAAGCAGGACCAGGAGCGTGCCACCCGCCGTGTCTCTCAGGCTCCTAGTGCGATCGAGGGATCCGGCGAAGACGAGGAGCGCAAGAACAAGCGTGCGAGCCTGTACGGGGGCGTGCGGGCACGACCGATTTCCACGCAGTCTGCTGCGACGACTGCCGCCAGTGAAAGCGATGCTCCCTCGACCGGTTCCGGCCTGCGGGAGCTTCGTCTCGGATCTGGTCACGCTCGCGGCTCATCCATCGCTTACAAGGGTGCACCCCCCAAGTCGCCTCTCGGCGAGAAGCCGATTCCTCTGCCTCGCTCCCCCATGTCCCAGCCGGCCGAGAGTCACTTAGACGTTCCTGCTCAATCGCCTCCCCCGACCGACCGCAAACCTAGCGTGTCCAGCCAGCGATCAGACTCGGGTGACATCATGAGCGGATCGCCCTCCATCGCCAGCTCACTTGTTCATGTCTCGACCACTTCCGAGCCCGACTCGACGCTCCAAGCCGAGCTTCAGGCTCAGAAGGACGAGGCGGCTGCCATCCGTGCGCAAGTGGAGGTGCTCACGATTAAGCTGTTGGAGAGCGAGGAGGCTCGCGATGCGAGCGAGACGTGTCTGCGCTCATTGCGCGAGTTCATGGCTGGCGGAGACGGCGGCGACGGTGGAGACGCCATGCAGGGACTCAAGCTTCCGCCTCTGCCAACGGAAGACGACCCGGACGATGGCCCCCCACCACCTGAACCGGAACCGGTCGTCGCTCAGGCAGAGCAGAAGCCTGAGCAGACAAGCCGGTGGGGTTTTCGGCTCTGGCGCGGAGGTGAGGCCGCGCCCGGAGCAGAAAATGCCTCGCCCAGCCCGTCGGTAGCGCTCGCCGCTCCGGTCGTGGCACCCCTGGAAAGGACTATCTCGTATACGCCTTCCCTGCCGCCTGCTGTGGTCGCCAGTCCGGAACCCATGGCAGCTGCGGTTCACACATCTCCCATTCCTTATTCCTCTCGCTCTCCCCCGACTTCTCCATCTCCGCCACTCCCTGCGCCAGTTCCTGCTGAGGAGCTCGCGCCTCCCATCCCCGAGCGACAGGCCATCACCGCTTCTCCCGAGCAACAGGCACTCTCTCCGCCACCTCCTCCGCCTGAAGCTCTCTCTGCTCCATCTGCTCCAATAGAGGCTCCAGCTCCTGCTCCCCCGCCACCTCCGCCAAGACGACGAGCGGCATCTCGCGCTGCAAGCGTCGCAAGCTCAACCGCCGACTCGATCATCAACCCATCCGAGTCGATGCCGACTCCTCCTATCCCCACGGCACCTCTGCCTGTAGTGGCTGCCACCCCTGCTCCTCCTCCACCGCCGCCCCGTGCCCCGAGACGGCGGGCCTCCAAGCCCAAGACACCGAAGAAGAGCTACACAACCCCTCTTCCCGTCCCGACACCACAGCACGATGCGACCCCGGCGAACCAAAAGTCTGGCGCCTTCGGCTTCATGTCCAACTGGCGTTCGTCCCCAGCTCAACAGCAAGAGCCAGAGCCAGAGTTCGACCCAGATCAACCCCTCAACCCCGACGGCGCGAATCTCGACCGTTCGCTGACCTCGTTCTTCGTCCGTGCCAAGCGATTGAAGAAGCAGCCACCGAGGCCGCTGGCTCTCGACAACATCAGTTCCTTGAACCAGGCTAGGGCTGCTGAGGCTGCGGCAGCGGCAGCCGTTGCCGCTCAAGAGCGTGGTGGTGGACACGAGGCAGCGGCAACGACGAACAGGCATGTGTCTCAAGCCAGTATCGGGAGCTTGAACACTGCGTCGAGCATTGTGTCGTCGACGGAGACCGCGCCGGTCGTGCATGACTTTGATGAGGTGCCGTTGTCGAAGGCGGCCACTGCAGCTTTCAGGCCAATGGTGCGCACACCACCCCGGTCACCGATCCACCCTGCAAGGAGTCTGTCGCCGGTCCAGCAGATCGCTCCGCCGCGCTCACCTTCGCCCGTTGTTGTTCCTCGCCCTGAGTCCCCTGTCGCTGTCGCCCGCTCGCCTTCGCCCGTTCACATTGAACGACCGTCTGCCCCGACTCCTCTGGCTGCTCGTTCGCCTTCGCCCGTTGAGGTGGAGCGTCCGTCGGCTCCGACTCCTTTGGCAGCTCGCTCGCCGTCGCCCGTCATGGTTTCCCCGCCTCCAGTTGCATCGTCGATCATCACCCGCTCGCCTTCGCCGGTTGCTCGTCCACTCTCTCCAGGTCTCCGCTCACCTTCCCCTCGTCCGCGGTCCCCTACCCCGCCGCCGTTTGAGGAGACGATTCCCTCAGCCGCTCCCGAGCGTGCGGACCCTGTACGCACCGAGCCTGAATGTTCGCGGCAAACTCCGCCCCGCGATGCGCCCTCTTCCCCTGGGGCTGACTACGAGACGATCAAGGATCGCGAGGCGTTGGTTTCGTCTGTTCCAGGCAGCGCCGTGCAGAGCCCCTTCGATGCCTCGGACACACCCGTTCTTCCGACACCGCTACCGTACCCCGAGCGACCAGCATCGAAAAGCGAGGAGCGGAGACAGCCCGAGGTTCAGACCGAGCCGCGGGTTGTCTCGAAGCCAGTGGTAGCGGCGCCCGAATCGGCACCCGCTCCTGCCCCTGCGCCGGAGACGCCGGCCATGACTCAGACGCCCGAGATGGCTGCCCCCGCCGGCTTCACTCCGTCCCAGCTGCCTACGCCAAAGCAAGGCCCAACAGCGCGCGCTCCCGCTCCGATCGTGGTCAAGAAGCTGTCCCGGAACTCGCCTGCTTCGCCGGAGTTGCTGCTCAGCCCGCAGAGTCCAAAGTCGAGCCCCAAGCCCGCCGTGTACAGCCCGACGAGCCCGAGCGGCAGCATAATGGACCGCCCTCGTCCTCGGGCCAACCGTGGTCCTTCGTACGAGTACGGCGCTGCTATCACTCGCGTGAAGAGCCCTCTCAGTCCGCTCAGCCCGACCGCAAGCAGCAGTGGTTTCTCGAGTCCAGTCCGAGGTGGCTTCTCCAGCCCTGTCAGGGCCGAGTACAATACCGAGCGGACGCCCCGCTTTCTTGGCTTTGACACCTCGATCCCTGTCGACGAGAGAGGTGCCCGCGGTGCACCGAGCCCCAGTCTGTCAGTGGAGCGGTCGCCTCGCTTGGACCCGACGCCGTCGTCGAGGCTCAACTCGCTGGAGGCTCCGCTGAGGTCTGCGACTTACGATGCGCCGAGTCCCGCGCCCTCCTCTACGGAGTCGGTCGTGCATCGACCAAGACCGAGGCGCGGCAGTTCCCTTTCGTCTGCCTCGACACCAGTGGTTGTCTCTCGCGTGACTCCCAGTCCGGTGCACCAGGCCCCGAGGATGGACTCTGTGTGCTCGGCGTCCGGATCAGCGAGGACCTCGAGCCCAGTCACATCGCCTGATGTCTCGACGAAGCCCCTCAGGACTAGGAACGACGACGATGACGGGTTAGCTTCTATCGGCAAGCTTCTCGCTCCTGGAGCCATCAACCAGTCGAACAGTTCTTTGTCCAATTCGTCCGGCGCCGGGCCTGATGAGGAGGAGTATCTCGAGGACGACAATGGCAGGACGCCCAGTCCGCCCGAGGAGCCGGTCACTCGCCGCACGCCGAGCAGTGGTCCTGTCCGACCGCCTCGACGAGTGAGCTTGTACAGCTCTGACGCACCTCCGCCCATCACTGCGGGACCGGCTTCGGCCCCTGTCCAGGACCGTCCCATTGCGCCTGTCGCAGCAGCGCCTCCTTCGCCTGCTCAGTCGGTGACGCCGATCATGATGCACTCGCACTCGCGCAACCTGTCGGCTGCCAACTTTGTCGACCCCGCCATGCTGGCCCACGGCGCTGCCTGGGCGCCACTGAGTCCGCGACGCCCCATCGATGCGGTGCCCGCAAGTCCGTTGGCTGGAGCGCTCACACCGGCGTCGCCGTCGACTGCATCGGTGATCCCCGGTCTGTCCGCGAGCAACTCTCTCAGCACGGCGAACAGCTTCTCGCGTGGCGCCTACAATGTCGGCGACCACCTGCCAACCCCAGCTCACCTGATGCGGCCGTCAAATGTCCCGGGCAACCACGACATGCTCAGTGTCCCCTGGGCACGACGTGCGCCTTCGATCTCATCCATCAACTCGGTCTCTGACGAGGGCCACGGCCTGTCCCGGATCGGTATGAATCTGCAGGCTCTGAACCTGTCGCCAGTTCCGGGCAACTCGATGCTGAACGCGGACATGAACGTGAACACGGCGGGCTTGACGAGGCGCGAGACGAAGAAGCTGAGCCGCGAGCGCCGAGCTTCGTTTGGACAGGAGCGTGCCTGGAACGACAACCCGCGGACAGACTTCATGGCGCTGGCACATGCTTACGGGCTTAACAAGCCACCCGAGATGCAGCAGCAGCACCAGCCGCCGATGCAGCCGCAGCAGGTGCCTCCAACGCCGCCTGGCGTCTCTCGCGGTGTGCGACTGAGCGACGACGGACCGACCCCTCTCCCCAGCGTCGCTGCTACGCCTACGCGCGGCGTGCGCCTCAGCGATGACGGCCCCATCCCGCCAGCAAACGTGACTACTCGCGGCGCCCGACTGACCGACAATCCCGTCCCGACTATCCAGATGCGCCCGCCCGATAACCCGATCCCAGTGCCTCCTCGCAGCGCTCTCCGTCCCGCATCCCAGGCGATCTCTAGGGAGGACAGCGTCGGGTCGTTTGAGCGGCTGCGCTACTCGACCGCCTCGACGGAGACGGAGGAGCACAGCAACTACGTCCTTCCTCCGCGCATGCGTGCCCTCGGCCCCCCGATTCCCGCCAGTGCGCTCGAGCAGCCGCTCCCGATCCGGACCCTCGGCCCGCCCATGCCCCTCGCGCCGCCGATGGAGATCCCCATCCCGCCGCGCGGAGCGTACGACCAGGGCCCAGCGAGTGCGCCCGCGATTCCGCCGTCTCCCTCACAGCAGGGTGCGCCGAAGGGCGTCCGCCTAGTAGACCCAGGCAACGGCCACGTCCCGCGCCGGGGCAGCGAGTCGTCGAGCGTCAAGCCGGTCGTGCGTCCGCGGCGTCCGAGCGAGACGGGCGCGATTCTCCCCCGCGTCGCCCCCGGCCCTGGGCCCGGCTTCACTTCCGGCACGCAAGCCCAGACCGGGTTCGGATTCAACCGTCCCCCCGCCGTCGCGCCGCTCGACCTCAGCGCCCCAGTTGCGCCCTTCAGGCGGGCCGAGGACCACGATCTGGCCAAGGCACCCCCAAGTCCGACGCGGCACACGATGACGCTGAATGCGCTGTTGGGCAACAGTGCGCAGAACTCGCCAGTCAACTCGGCCTTCTCGAGCTTGACGGGTAGTCGATCGCCTCCGCCTGTCCCCTCTGTGCCCACCTTACCCTCGGCGTCCGTACCACAACAGGAGGAGAAGATGGAGGTGGTGCAGGACACGCCGAAGCGAAACGAGGGCCCAGCCCCCGTCCGGCCCATGCGATCGGCGAGACGCACGCAACAGGGCAGCATCAGCGGGTTCTCGGCCGTGAGTGCCGTCAGTGCGGTGAGCGCGGTCAGTCAGGCGAGCAATGTGAGCGGCAACTCGGCGCGCAGCAGAGGTGGATACATCTAGCGAGCGGAGCGAGCACGAACGAGCACGAGCGAAGCGAGTGCGAGTCATACGTGTCTGTCCCCTTTGCCACCCACTACTTCCAATAGCCACACCGCGCAATTCCTTACCTAGTCGTAATCATAAACCTCCCAATTGCACGAAGTAGACGTATAATTGTAACCCCCAGTGTTTCCGCAAGGTGTTTGATGCAAGCGTATATTGTCAGTGTAAACTCTGATCCTAGCCCATAATTAGTCATGGGAGGTGGCAGCGCTGCACTAGTGCCCCGAGAAAGTTGACTCAAGCACACTAGAGACTTGCTGTGACATGAGACAAGAGGAGACGTATCGGGGTGTGTGTGTCATGTTCCACGTTCCAGCTCTATCTCTTGTCGTCCACGCCTGATCGCAATCTCCCACTCATCCCTCCTTCAGAGGTAAACTTGCACTCCTCGTTTCTCTCGCTCCCACTCCTCCCTGTCTTCGCACTCCTCGCTTCGCTCAGAGTGACGCCTGGTGTGCTCGGCAATCAAAAACCCCTGCATAAAAGGTCAAGGTCGTTTACTCCCTCGTTACAAGAACTACATGGCACGTTTTGGATGTGATATGGGCGATGGGCGATGGGCGATGGGTGGATGATGTGTGGTGTGGTGGTAGTGTGTCTCTATAGGTGAGTGTGTTACGTGCTGTCTTTCTTTGGGCGCTACATGCTTCCTCTTTTCTCTCTCATTCTCTTGTCACTCCTCCTTCCTCACTCCTTCCTTCTCCACTTGGTCCTGGCACAGCCGCTCACTTCGCATCGCCGTGGGCGAACAGAGTCGGGCCTCGCTTCGCTCGCTGGCTTCGCCGCCGCTACGCTCGCTGCAGCCTCGGCGCTGGCGCGCCTCGGCTCAGCCCAGCAGCTTCCTCCACAGCTCCTTGCACGGTTCCTGGCCCAGCACCTCCCTCTTGCCCAACCCCGCAACCGAGCCATTCTCGACCATGTCGAGCGTGAGGCTCTGCTGCAGACCGGGGGCGATAGGCGCCTTGGCGGGCCCAGGGCCGCCCTTGTCGACGAGCTGGTCAATGACGGAACGCAGGAGCGTCTCGACGTGCCCGACGCTGATGATGGGCAGGTGGCCCAGCGTCGCGGCCATGCTTACGAGGTGCAGGATCGCGAGGCCGTACAGCGGCTTCAGGACCGTGAAGCTGTAGGCGAGCGTGCGGCTGATCTCGGGCGAACCCAGGGCGGAGAGCATGGCGAGGGCTGCCTCGCGGCCGCGCTCGAGTTGCTGATATCCCTCCGAGGTCGAGGACATGGCGAGCCACACGTTCCGGTCGGCGGTGAAGGCGGGCGACGCCGCGTACAGGATCGCGTAGTGGTAGTACAGCGTCAGGACGGGGTCGTGGCGCGCTCCGTTGCTTGATGCCCATGCCTCGAGTTTGGCTGCCGAACGGCGCCAGATCTCGCGCGCACGCGCACGCAGTCTGTCGACGGCAGCCTGGTCCGCAGGGTCTGGCAGAACACTGTCGCGACCGGGGGGCGAGGGCGGCGCCTCACCCGGCAGTCGCGCAGCACGCTGCATGCTCTGAATCTCGATCAGAATCTCGGAGAACTCGAGCCAGCCAAGCAGCTTGGAGTCCCGGTCGTGTGTCGAGGGATCGCCTGGCTGGCTGGCTGAAACGAGCTCACGCCACTGCGCAGCCACAGGCTCATGCACGATCGGCACGTTGAAGTCCGGCAGGTGCAGCATGTGGTCTGCCAAGACAACGTAGATCCATTCCCGCCACTCGTCGTGGCTCTTCCGAAGCGTGTGCGGGCGGTCGAGCTGCAGGTCTCGGGCGAGACCTGTCGACAGGCATCCGAGCGCCTGGTCGCTGGTCCACGTCGCATATACGCCGAGCGACAAGACCTCGTCACGCGTCCAGGGCACCTTGGCTGAGAGTAGGCGACCAATCTCGGCAGACACGGCATCGGCCGCAAGATCCGCCTCGCGACGGTTCTGCTCGGTCCGCTCAACAGCTGCCCGTTGTCCGAGACATTCCAGCACTAGCCCAGGAAGAGCCGCCATGGGCGAAATGCCAGGCAGCCAAGGCGTCAGAGGCCACGCTCCGACACGGTAGCTCTCCCAGACATGGTCAGGCACATCGACCGGTGCGCGAGGAGCCCCGCCCGCAGGCTGCGCGCCGCTGTACGCGGGGTTCTGGCCACCCGCAAGCTGCGCCGCGAGAGCGTCCTGCGCGCGAAGAAGGGTACCCAGCGTTGTCTGAATTGCGGCCACTGCCCCAGGGAGGGCCTCCACAGGCCTGAACGCCGACTCCAGCTTGTGCAGACGCGAATCGAGGCGAAGGTGATCAGGAGGCGGGCCCGTGCGGCGGTGGCGCAGCAGGCGGCGGCCCGTACGGTCCAGACACGGGAGGAGGGCCTGCAAAGTAAGGCGGCTGGCCCGGTGGCGGGCCTCCTTGGGCGTGCATGGGCGGCGAGTGCGGTCGCAGAGGCGGAGGATACGGGACCGCACCGGCCGCCACGGAAGCGAGCGACGAAATGCTCGCGTTGGGCGGCGGTGGCATAGGCTCACGCACACCGCGCACGGCATAGTCTCCCGGGCCAAGAGCCGGACGCGAGGTGATTGGGGGTGCCGGCTGGCTGGCACCAGGGTAGAACGAGGGCCCGCCGGTACCGGGGGTTCCTCCCCTTCCAGGCGGCAATGACCCAGCGAAGAATGGCGACGCACGGGACGGCAAGGTCGAAATAGATTTCGGGCGCGCACGAGACTCAAAGACACAGTGCACGCCTGCCTGTCGGCATCCACGGCACGGTTCCTTTCCAGGTCCATCACACTTCATCCTGGGGAAACCATCAGCACGAGTTTCCTCTTTCGGACACGCCTCCGGAAAAAATCTATTGTCGTGTCTGACTTACTTTTGACGACGACAGCGGACACATGCCATCATACTGCGCGGTTGTCGATTAGTCACATCTCGCGTAAAGACGACATCCGGGCCGTTTGTCGGTCCAGATCCGCTTGCCGGTTGTTGATCGGACCTGCCCTCGGAGGCCCCACTTTTCTCAGCCGATGGGCGCTCCCGCTCCGGCGACGAGCCCGGCGAGTGCGACTTGATGTTGACGCTGCGCGGAGCGTCGAGCGAATGCCTATTCTTGTGCGTCTGCCAGTTCGGGCGCCAGGGTTGCCCACCTGGTCCCCTGCCCTCGCCATGCCAGGCAGTGGACGCCGCCGGAGACGGCCGGTCTCCTCCGGTGCTGGACGCTCCGCCCGTGCCGCCTGCTCCGGATGTGCTTCCGGGACCGCCAGAAGAGCTGGCAGGGCCGGCGCCGCTTTGTCCAGATTGCGTAAGAGGGTGAAGTGGAGGTAAGGATGGACGAGAGGGCGAGGATTGGCGGATGATGCGGGGGGAAGTTGCGGACCGGCGAGCTTCGGGTGAAGCAGATCGCGAAGCCGAGGAGCGCCTCTGACGCTTTGCCTGGTGAGACTCTGCGACGTGTTAGTTTCAGCCTCGACATCCAGACCCAGCCCGGGACAATCGACACAGGAAATGATGGACCCGGCGTTGACATGACGAAGCCCCATACCGGGAGTGCCGGAGCGTAGCAGGGATAAACAAAAAGTCCCAGGGACTGATGCCTGGAGCATCATTCACTCACCTTGAGTGCCCACGGGCCCGGGAGGGCTATCAGCTCGTCTCCGCATACCGAGGCGGACTTCGTTTTGATAGCTCAGCGAGCTGGTAGGCGGACGAGGTGATGTGAGAATTGCGGCGGTCAACAATCTTGGGTTTCCAGATAGACAGGAGCGGGTAGGCTGGGGAAGCCTGCAGGGTCTGGTTGAATTGCAGCTGATAAAATGATGGGCACAGCCCTTTCTTAAAGCATTAACTGGAAGGGCGTCGTATGTTAATGCGAAGCTTGTTTCCGGACGTCGGCTTGCAGTAATGCAACGGGTGCGAGCGAATCTTCAGCTGGAGTTGAGAGAAGGAATGAAAGCGAGGTGCGGACAACGAAATGGGTGCGAGTCGGTCTGAAGCGGGGTTGCTGGTCAAGTGCGTCAGCGGAGGGTTCGGGGGCGTGGGGTGACAACCGGAATTCCGGATGCAAAGGAGAGATGATTGGGTGCGGGGGTTGTGGGATGTGCGGAGTGGTTGTGATTGGGTTCGGATGCTTGGATGGGGAGAGTGCTTGGGTGCACGGGAGGGGTTGTGATGCAGTGATGGAATGTGCAGGGTGGGAGAGGTAGAGATAATGAGGGCAAACATGCAGACGACCAACAAGGCAATCTTGGGTCAGAGCCGGGACAGCGGGCACAGGTGCAAGGAATGGGCGGATTGCCTGATGGCATGGTTGGCTGGGAGCGCCAGCCAAAACCCTCCGTCCCGGAACGGCCTGCGACCATTGACCATTGGCCTGGTGAGCCGGTGACCTGACCAGTCGACGCACAGCTCACACCTCCTATGCGCCCAGCGCCCAGCCTGCACCCCGCGCACCCCACACTACTGCACTGCACGCCGTCCCGTTCACTGCACCTGCACTGCGCGCAAGCCTCGTGAGCCGCGCGCGAAGCTACCAGCGCCAGCGCACACACACAGTCTTCCTTAGGCTTAGGCTGAAAATCAAAGGCGCCCAGCGGTGGGCGGCGGCGGCCAACGAAAGAAAACGGCCAGTGACGCCGGGAGGCGCGACGCCTCGTGCCTCGGACAAGTCACAACTCACACTGTTCTTTCAATCGTATCGTGCGTTCAGTCAGCCGGGCAACCTCTGTTTCTCGATGATCGTCCTTTGTCTCGTCTCTCGTATCAGATTGTCCAAGAGCGTCGAAAATGTGAACAGGCGAAAGGACGAATGGGACGGATGCGTTGATAACGTGCGCGAACAATGTGTGGACGATGCGGCGGTGTGTCGTCGGGATCGCGTGTTTTGTGTGTGTGTGTGTCTCTAAGGGTCGGGACGGTGGGAGAGTGGGTTGGTAGGGAGGCCTAGAGTGAGCCTATGCGACTTGGAGCGAGATGGGGCGGGGAAAGGGTGACGGTGGGTGATTCGGATGATTGATTAACTGTTGGAGCAATGCAAAGGCGGATGGTTTAATCGATGCTTGTCTTGGTGGAATGCAGATGCAAGTTGTGTTGGATATGAGTGTGTGTGTGGTTTGTGCCGAGGGGCCGGGTGTAGCGGATGTGTCGCTGGGCGGTGGAAGCAGAGCCGGATGTTTGGGCCGAGTTTAAACAACAAAGAGGAGAAAGGAAGAAGCCAAATGCGCAGATGCGCGCGGAGAAGGGGTGGAAAGGGAGCTGGCAATGCAAGGCGCAAAGGCGACGCAACGTGCTTGTGCAAGGATGCAACGCAGGATGCGAGACTTGCAGGAAAGAGCTTGAGCTGGGAAGTTGAAGGTCAGGAGCACAGGATGACCGGGATGATAGGGACAGAAAAGATAGGGCCGGGTGTGGGAGCAAGGAAGGTGGAAGGGAGAGCCGGCCGGAAAGGAGACGAGAAGGGATCGAGGATCGAGGATCGAGGGGATGTCGAAGATCGAGCGGATCAGGAGGAGGAACGGAAGGGGGAAAGAGACGATGTGAGTGAGGGAAGGAAAAGAAATGGGAGGAATAGGAATGATGAGAGGATGTCCGAAATGACGGCAGAGGGGTTTCGAGTGTGTGCGGGTGTGAGGGGATGACTGGGCGACGACGAGTGGATCGAGTGGATGGGATGTGCGAGTGGCCAGGCAACGAATGAATCGAGTGAGTGCAGGGACAGCAGACAGGGAATCGACGACTGACTGGGATAGGCTGTCCGGAGCGCACTATGTGAGAGCGGTGCCGGTCCCAGGGCATTCACTCAGGTCACTCAGGACCCGGTCGCTCCTGCGATCCCTTAGTCTCCAGCCAGCATAAGCACCATATGCAGGGGCATTGCAGGGCACACAGGGATTGCAGGGCAGGCAGCAACGGGTCGCCGCCCCTCAACGGCGAGGGCCGTGACCGCCAGGCCACCGCAGCCAGCGAGCGAGAGAGGGGCCATGGCCGTCCGGAATCAGTCACTCAGCCAGGCCAGCCAGGCTTGTACGGCACACGGCACTGACGGCACTGCTCCTTGCCGACTGCCCGCTCGCCGCTCGGCACTGGGTGAGACAGGTGGGAGTGGGAGTCTGGGAGCCGCACCACTACTACCCAGTACGCTTCCGGGACACTTACTCTCCATTCACTCCCAACTCTCCCTCTCCCATACTTCACCAGATCACCCGGAGACTCTTGTTCTCTGGGCCGCTGGATCCGCACTGGAACTACATGCTCTCTATGCATATGCGTCCCGCTCGAGCGAGCTTGTGAGGCGTCGGGACGTTTTTTCGTGGGCAGGTAGCTAACCACGCTCTCAGAGCAAACTTCAAAGCAGGGCAGCAAGGCACGGTCGGCTGCCCCTCTCATGCCTGGGCGTCCGGCAAGAGATCTGTTCTTGCTGAGAGACGAACGACGGCCCAGAGTGGCCAGAGTGGGCTGTGAGGTAACGAAACTGCCGGCTGCAAATGGACAAAGGTCCTCCAGTGGGACCTGCAGCACCTGCAAGAGAGAGGTTCTCGGGTATCTCTCCGCGGGATGCGCCGGTTACGTACACTGAGTGCGCGACAGTACGACGGCACAACCGCACAACGGCGTCGTGCTGTTGCCCAGATGGCCTAGACGCCCTGGGATCCGGGTCAGGAGCGCCGGCTGCAAGGGCTTTGTTTACAACTGGCAACTGGCGTACGGACGGGTGGAGTGAGAACCCGTGCAGGCAGCGAGTGAGACATGCGCTGCAATGAATGTCTTTTGAATTGCGGCACACTTCCCAGCATCCGGAACCCACCTCTTGCACTTATTACTGAAAGTGTCCAGATTCGGTCCGGACTAGTATCTTCTTTCTCTGTGCTCGAGGTAGCTCAACGTTTGCAGAAGAACAAGAAGCTGAAGACGGTTGCACACACTGCGCCACGACGAAACACTGCGATCGAGTAAACACCGGCCCGGCACGACGACAGGGACGCGTGATATTAGGGTACCAGGGTCTCGTCTCCGGCTTCTCTGCCCCGGAAGGCCCAATGGGCCCAGCAGTGTGCCGTAGGCCGCCGGCGTCGCTGCGCTGGCAGGTCCCTGGCGACACGAGCTGCGAAAACAGCGCGATACGATGCAGCTAGCAACACCTCCTGCCTGGCTGTTGGCCAGCCAACGGTTCCCCAGCCAGCACGAGCGACCCTCAATCCGCACAGAGCCACTGGGGACATGAAGACGTGGCAAGGATCTCGCATATATACGGTATCGTCATCTGTGCATTCAGCGTGGGAGCCGGGCAAGGGCTGCTGAATGCGACCCGGAATGCACAAGGGACCGATGCGGAGCCGGGCCACTCTTCCCTCTCCGTCCCTCTGTGGTGGGAACGAGGCGCCGGCTGAGGAGCCTCGCTGGCTTATTCTGGGTTCAGTGTGCCAGACTTGCCAGCCAGGTCAGCCAGGCAAGATGCAATGCAATTCAAACCTGGCAAGATGTCAGGTAGCGAAATGCCCGGTGTCCTGTGGCTCCTGATGCCTAAACCTGACTGGTCGTCGGCCAAGTTGTCGTCATCGCCGGCGCCGAAAGTGAGGCCGTGCAGAGTGTCTGACGTCGTCGCCGATCGACAAACGGCAGCCTCTACAGATCTCCCAGCAGCCGCATGGCCGCAAGCGGGTACCGACACCCGACCTGGAATCGGACTCTGGGTCTGGATCAGCAGGGATGCACAAGCATGACCGCATCAGTCAGTCGTTCTCGGCCCCAACTCCGTTATCGCCGTCTTCTCCGGTCTCCACCGACAACGGTAACTGCGTGCCCACCATGACTGCAAGGTTCGGCGTCGTACATGGCACAAGACCTCCCGCTAGCCGTAGCGCCTAGGTCGCTGTGAAGCTACACCGGCGTGCCGATGCTGTATATGGCAACCACATTCGTGCCTGCCGAGCCCAGTACGTAACTGCGGGCTGTCGATCGTCAGTCATATCCCGGCGCTCGCCGTACAAGCATACAGCTTTTTCCTTCTGGATCTGGAATTCTGGCGATGACGAGGACTGACCTCACCGTAACTCAACTCTCAACTCACCTGTCCCGAGACTGCCGCAGGTTGGGTTGCGGATGTGTGCAAGGCGTGAGAGGTCGGAGTTCATGTGGAGTGGAAGCTGGAGGTGATCGGGAAGAACGGTTTTGGCAGTTATCCAAACAATTCACCCAGCCTGCTCGCTGAGACAAGTCTCAGCATCCCAGTCCCGACAACGGCACACAGCACAGGGCTACGGCACTGTCTCACTGTGCTTCCCAGGTTTGGCTAATTACATCGGCATGTGCAGACTTGCCTAATAGGTCCTTTGAACTATCATTGCATTCCAGCGTGCCCCAGCGTATCGACAATGCGCACCTCGGCGTTGACGGCGAACCATCTCGTCGTAACTGGCGAGACGGACCGGCGTCGCCGGGGAATGTCTCGGTGAATCCAGGCAGCTGCCGGCTCTAGCGATCTAGCGTGGCTCGCAGCCATTGTTCCTTTGTGCTATCGAGATAGTTTCCCGCGGGCGTCGAAGGCGTTCGTCTTAGCGCCCGGCCATCGCGCACACCAAAGGTGCCAGCAAGCACCAGGGCCGGCAGGGCATGCAGGGCAAGCACAAGTCTCGGAGCCACGGCGCGAGCCACGGCGCTAGTCTCGCACTAGTCGACGCTAGTGCCGGTTTAGTGCGATTCTTTGTTCCAGATGATGAAAAGCACGCAGCCGCACCCACCGATCTGCCTCACATGCCTCACACACCTTTTGAATCCTCGGCGGCAACGGAGGACGACCGAGCGCGGCGCATGAAGCGGCGCACGGATCTCCCAGGCGGCTCTGCGTCATTGTCTCACGCATCACACGCTGCCGCCGCCCACTATCTTTCGGATGTAGCGGAGAGCGGAGAAGAGAGATGCGGACAATAGTGGATCGCACGTAGCCAGGATCGCAGGACCGAGCTCCGAGCGAGCTGGCCGCTGGCCCACTGCAAACGCAGTATGCATACCGGCCTGTTCCACTGATGGGCGGTCCAGACATGGTGGGCGACTCTGTGACATGTAGTGCATCGGCCCAGCGCAGGTCTGTCCCACTCCTGCCTGCCAGTTGCATCCGGCACCAGGTGCGAATTAGGTTCGTCGCATAACGTAAGCTGGCACCTGGGCTGAATGCTGCTTGAATGACGTAGCGTACCGCGAGCCGGTGCTGCCGCTCGGCCACTGCTGCATGCCGTAGGCCCGGGCAGACCGGGCACGCCGGGTTGGTCGGGCACCGGACCAACCGCCCGTCACTCAGCCTGGTGTTGGTTGGCTGGCCATGGTGGGCTGGGACGAGCTCGCTCGCGCCGTCACCCCTGGTCCGTCGCGAGCGAGATGAGAGAAAAAGCCAAAAGACATGGGGAACCGAGGGCAAGGCGACATGACGTGCCTGGGCCTGTCACGCTCTAGATGGGCCGGCCGAACATGAGCTCGGCGGCGAAGAGCGAGATGAGAAAAGAAGAGTGTGGAGGTGGGGGAGATACAGACGCCGGGACAGAGTTTTGAGTGTCAACTTTGTTCTTGGTCAAGTGCCGTGTTTTGTCACACTGATCAACAACACGCCCGCGTTTGCAGAGAAGAGCAGGAAAGAGGGCATTGACAACGATGTGGTAAGCGGTGTGGTGAGGTGCTGTAATCGGCGCATCATAGCTGTCACAAGGTCACCAGCTGCATGGCGGTGCGTCTTGATGCTCCGCAGTATGTGGGCAGCAGCGATCCAGTATCCGGGAGTCAAACGCGGCCGTGGAAGGTATGCACTGCGCTCCTGCTACGTCAGATTCTTAAGTCTTACTCTACGCCCTCGCTGTCCCTGCTCCTCGACGTCTCCAGCTCCACAATCGGCACTCAGAACCTGACAACAGCAAGAGATCTGACACGGCTCACTCTGCCAACTAACATGTGGTAGGCTGATAGGCATACGGAGTCCGCTTCGCTGCGCGGAATGCAGAGCGCAGCAAGCAGAGGCGACGTCGGGGAGCAGCCCGGCCAGATCGGACGCCGCTGACGCACTGACCCAATGGACGCACTGACACCGAGTCCGACGCCACAAGCGCCGCCGACGCCGCAGAGAGTAAGCAGAGCGCCAGCGCCGGAGGGAAACGCCACAAACCCAGCCACATCGGGTGCGCAGGCTCGTTCCCTCTGGCTGCTCAGGCTGTGTCTCACCGGCCTCACCGGATTCGCGCCGGACAGACTCCAGGGTTCTGGCCGGGTGCTGCGCCTGAGCTGACATTGCATGCGACAGGTCGCTGCTGCGAACATGGGTTTGGCCACAGCGCGCACTGGACGGTAGACTGTGACTACCGATGAGCAGCGCTGCCGTTATTCAATGTAGGTGACTGCCAGCCTCTGCAACGAGACAACGGCCTGCTGGGTGAGCTGCTCACGGTGGAATCCATGGGCATGCCGCTCGTCAGTTACGCCCTCTGGTCCGTTTGACAGCAGCTAATGATAGACAATCGGAAAAGGACGTCGGTTAAGCATGGTCTGCTGTGCGTTCCGTAAGGCTTCTACGATACGCTCCGTGTTGCACCTCAGCTCTCGAAATAGCATAAGTTATGTGCGTGAACGCAGAAAGTGCACACAGCTGTGGCGTGCAAGATGAGCCACGATGGGCCACGAAAGTGACATCACCTTAGTGCATTAGCCCGGCCAGACCATGGCGCTCTGTTGGAACGCCAGACACACACGCAGGCTGAAACACGGCTCTACCAGCTCTCCTTGATGTGCACAATAGTACACAAACGTAATCTGCACGGGCTCAACACCTGCATGGGGATTGGCGTGGGACGCTGCCTCTCTTGACAAGCAGCTCTGCCCAAAGCATCACACTAGCGGCCGCGATAGTGTTACGAGAGGAATATAAGGATGAGGGCCGAATACTGGGATGTCAGCGCAGGTCTTCTCCGCTGACACAAGAAGCTCTGCACTTACTTATTGCTGCAGGAGATTCTCGCTGTTGACGTGTGGATGACCGTGCTACGGTAGGCTGATGTTGCTGTCTGCAACAATACTGGGCCACGCGAGTGACTCCCGGTTTTCCTCCTCAAACTTGACTTAGGACACAAGTCGCATAGGAAATATGCCCGTTGCACGATGACCAGGGTACGAGGATGAGGATACAATGTCTCGCTGTCGTTGGAGCTGGCCGTGCCCCCCTTCGGCTCTCATGCATCAACCGAGACTAAATTGAAGGTTCTAAACCATGTCCTTGCTGATCGTTGAGGGCTCAAAATGAAACCGAGCGTCATTGTCCTTTGTTGTTGTGGAAAGTCTCATGGGAGGGACTTCAACCACAGTCATTCCTTCATTGGGCTATGCCTCCTCAGTCATAAGCTGGGGAAGTAGAGTTCCGATGATACGAAGTGTGAGTGGACGGGCTCTAGTCGAGTGACTGTAGCATGAGCCTTTGGCCCGAGATGAGCTTGTCTTCTGGGCTTTGCCAAGCCCCGCGCGCTTCGCCAAACAATGGCAACTATCCAGTGTGGTGCGAAGATCGAGTCACGGGGTACACACGATGTTAGTCGCGATACCCACCTTCGTTTTCTTCAGGTCGTTTCTTTCCCCAAGTCCCGAGGACTGCCCAGTACGATACGTATTCAGACGCCGGGATATATCCGGCTATGGCTCGCCATGCTTCGTTGGATAGGTTCTACCACAGACACCCGGTCACCTGCTATGATGGGACAATACACGATGTGGCGCCCCTCAACATTTGATTGGATTTTGTAACATCATCGCTGGTCACGTTCCAGCCCTCAAGACGTCGGGCGTCCAATCCACAAATAACATTTATTGACCACCTCTCATGAGTGAGACAGTTTAGCCTGATATCTCAGACCGATTGTGGACTGCATTTCCTTACTGATTGCTACCAGTATATAAAGTCTCGCAGGCTCTCCAGGTGTGCGCCGACGGCCCGGTGCAACTCAGCCCTCCTGCGACAATGAAACAGCAACCATATCGCAGTTCCTACCTCTCATCGATGGGGGTAGGAGCAGCCCTACAGTCGGCACTCATATTCGCTGTCACTCTTGGACTCTCCCTTCTATTGCGCTACTTTAGTGGGCTCGATACCGACAGGGCCACAGGCCCTTGTCAGTTGCGATGGGGAGGCGTTACGGTTGAGGGCTACCTCGGTCCCAACAACGTCTGCCGCTATAGTATCCAGTATTCGAAGACAGTGCGATGGGGTGAGCCCCGCAGTGTTACGACGTAAGTGCAGACTTTCAAGGTAGAGACTTACATTGCAGTGGCAGAGACGGCTCTGGACTGCCGCCATCTTGCCCGCAGTCCGTGGTGTTCGGCTCCAGATTCCGAGGCCTGGGGGTTCCTGAGAGCGAAGATTGCAACTACATGCTCCTCTTTGTCCCTCAAAACGCCGATGCCAGCACCCCCATCTTCACCTGGATCCATGGTGGGAGCAACTGGATGGGCAGTGTCTCCATGCCGGGCTTGGACGGCTTCGCACTCGCTGGTAAGGGCCAGATCGTCGTCCTGCCTCAGTACCGTCTCGGTCTCCTCGGCATGATGCCTCCATCAATTCACCCTACATCTCTCGATCCCAACCTCGCTGTTCGTGACTTGGCCTTCATGCTGAAGACTATTCACGACAACATTGGCACCCAGGGCAACGCCGGCGCCATCACTATCAGCGGGCACAGCAGCGGTGCCGCCATGCTCCGCTCCCTCTGGCAGGTCCCCTCAGCCCCTGGGCTCTACCATCAGATTATCGTTCACTCGGATCCTAGCGTGTTCCCCACCTCCTCTATGGAACAGCACAAGGTCGTCCGCGATAAAGTTTACAGTTTCGACATGTTTAAAGGGTCCAGGACACTTCAATCGCTCAAGGAGTTGGACGTCGGCGCCTTCCAACACGCAATTGACCAGCTGATGGCTTGGTCTGGCTCCGTTAACACCCCGACCGACATCCTGAACCCCGTTTTCGGCACCATGACCATCCCATACGAGCCGACCCGCGCACTCCACGGCGATGGCTACCTCTCAGTCCGACCCCATGATGTCACCATGCTCATGTCGACGACAAAGGACGACGGTGGATACGTCGTCAGCAGCAACCACCACCAACCGCTGAGTGTGGCACTGGACTCGGACGATTTGTCTCCCTTCCTACGGGCACTGGCTGGGCGCTGCGCGAACGACCCAACAAGTCAACCCTTCATCTCAGAGGAGAAGTATAGGATCGAGTCCTACCCTGAGGGGCCTGATGTAGGCCGTTTGGCTTTGACCGATATCATCACCGACGGCGCTTTCCGCTGCGTCGGCCGCGATACGGCTTCACACTGGGCCAAGGCTGGTGGCAAGGCTTATGTTGTCGAGATCAACGACTCGGCCCCGTACCTCTGGAGTTCGATGGTCGGCAACGACTGGTGCATCGGCAGGGTCTGTCATGGCGTGAGTCAGCAAAGGCAAGCCAGTGCTGACCGCAGGACGACGTTCCCAACGTTCTCGGCTACGATAACGGTGCCACCCCTGGCCTCGGTGATGAGGTCTCTGACATCTGGTCGGCTTTCATCCAAGGAAGGAGCATCGGCGTCGACACCTACAAGCCCGATGCCAATCAGCAAAACACCAATGTCAAGGTCATCGGTGGTGGCGGCGGTGAGGCCCCCAACTGCCCGGCCGACTTCTGGGGCACTAAGTGCACCTGGGCATGGCAAAGAGAATGAGGCAGATAGCTCGAGTCGTGATCCTGCGTTCTACGCATTCAACTTTACTGCTACATGAAAACAAGTACAACGATTGCGCTGGCGCCGAAGAGCGTGAGCGATACCACGACTCGAGAAGAGGAACCATTGCCCGTTGGTTCTTTGGTCGTAGGCGAAGAGTGCTTTTCACCATAGATCCTCCCGGTTGTGGTCGCCTGAACAGGCACGGTGCTGAAGTTGTCCAGAGGAGAAGCAAACGTCGTCATGTTGAGCAGTTCGCCTTCGTTCTTGACCTCGCTGAAGCCGATGCATTGATTCTGCAAGTCCCACACACTGTACACAGTGCGCAGGAAGGGGAGACCCAGGAACGGAACACTCTTCCACGTGCCGTCTTCCACGACCGAAGAAAAGAGGGCGGTACAGTTTCCGTTCTCCTCTCGCATGATGAGGTCTTCCGCAGCCATGGAGAACATGGTCCCGTTCAGCGTGACACTGAAGTCCAGCTTAGCGTCGCAAGGGACACTCCAGAAGGTCTCGGGCTTGTACTTGGCGCTCGTACGGTTCCACTTCGCGGCGCCAGGGACAGTGCTCATCAGCCCGTCGACCATCGCGCTCGGAAGGCCGACGAAAGGTTGGTTCAGAGTGATCCCGATCAGGCGCTCGCCCCAGTTCCCGTCCGAAAGTGGCCACATGTACGAGGCTCCCACGTCCACGGGCTTCGCACGACGGACGAGATCCACGTTGGCGGTCACATCGTTGAGGGTGAGATTGTCGAGCCTCACATTCCAGAGGCCGTCCGCTGTGATCCACTGAAGCTCGCCCTCCGTTTGCGCCTCGTCGATGCTTCCGAAGCTAACGCTGCCTATGTCTGGGGTGTGTGATACGTTCTACGACCATATCGGTCCCTGAATGGCGGCACGTCGCAAGAACAGACCAAAGAGAGGTTTCTTCCATGCCTTCCACAGCGGGTCGCTTTTATGACCCTCGGGACGGTACCACCCGAGGCCGAGGCTCGCCTGGTAGGACTCCTTTGTGGTTGTCTCAGGCGTATCTAGCCCTTTCGTTAGTGACTGTTCCTCGCACTAAGGAAAGACTCACAAAGTAGCGCGCTGTTCACATTCCAATCGCCGACAGCGAGGTGGTCTGTTGCCGTTGATACGGTGACTTCTTCGGAAGACGTTTGAGACTTCATGACGGTTACGTTTCCTGTGGACCTGAAGGTGCTGCTCTTATCCGTGTTTAAAGCTCCTTGCGCCACCCTCGTAAGACCGTAAACCAAATCCAACGACGCCAACACGGTCTGCGGTGGCGAGCCGATCGAGATGATAATGCTGGGGGCAAACCAGGTAGACAAGCCGTCGATCGGTGTGCCACCCCCTCTGCCACCATCCTGGCGGTAAAACAAGGCGTGGCGGCTACCACTCACGACATCAGCCAGGATGAATGTGGAAGTTGGGAAGAGCATGTCGAGCAGGGCCATGAACCAGGCGCACTGGCTACCCATGCATGAGCGTATTAGTACCTCGTGCAAGCTGGTGGACCAAAGCCATGCAATCCGAGGAATCATGCGGAGCATGCCTGGGTTCCGACGGAATCGGCACCAGCCTCAGGAACGCGGGAGTATGCAACACAGAAACGCGCGCTGCAGGGCGGTGCGTGGATCGCCCGCCGAACATAGAGGAACCAGACCGACAGTGCACCGGCCTGAAGAACCTTGATCTTCGGCATGCGGCATTGAGATCGCTGCAAAGGCGAGCGCCAACACCTCGGGCAACATGCACGTTCAGGTTCGAAATTCATCGCCGCCGATCTATGGCGCAGATCCCGGGATTGGGCCGAACGGGATCTGCATGTGCGAATGCCGACCTAGCCGAGATATGGACGCTCTTGGCTCAAAACACCTGTGAGTGCCCATGCATTGCTCAATAGGGCAAGGAACGCTTACTGCTTGCGAAGCCCTGCCTGATTCATTATGCTTATCTCACTACTACGGGATCACAGTAATACGACTGAGAGTAAAGCTGTAGCTACGATTGCTGAGGACCACATTCTCGGCTGAGCACCACCGGTATCCTTGCTAGTCGCCTCGGCGAATTCGGCCCCCGTGGTTGTGATAGGCACCGATGAAAGCTGTGCAGGTGCCGCGTCCTTCCAGGAGCCGTTGTAGAGTCTGTCACCATCCTGCTCCAATGCTGCAAACGCAATCGACGGCGTAGCAAAGTCCCAGACGGAATACACGGTCCGCAGGAAGGCGAGACCCAGCCTGGCGTTGGCGCCCTCAGGCGTCTCAAAGAGCAGGGCAGCGCATTTGCCGCTGTCGGCAGCAACCACATCTCCATCGCTCGCCGGAACCTCCACCATCCAGTCAGCAGCGTCAAGGACGAAGTCCTTCCCGCCAAGACCGAAGGTCAGCTGGGCGCTGGTGTTGCACGGAAGAGTCCATCGCGTACCGGCTGAAACCCGTTGCGAGACGTTCCACTTGTTAGCTCCCTCGATACCGGCCATGAGGTTGTCGATAACGACCGGGGGCAACCAAATGCCCTCCATGGACGGCATTACACTGATCGCAGACTTGGGGAGTGACAGGGCACGCTCTTGTCCCGACATCTGCACCTTGCTGCACTCGATGAGCCACTCTCCATTGTCTGTCGTGTTGACGGAGACTTGGTGGGCATTGCCACCAAGCTCCGGGTCGGATGAACCGATACTGATGCTGCCAATGTTGTTCGTCTCGGGGGTAGGAGCGATCTCCCGACCACCTGCGCTCAGAACAGTGCTTGTCCACCCGGTTGCCTTTGTGCGCTTGAGGTACAGGCCGAGCTGTGGTTTCGTCCAGGACTTCCACACCGGATCAACGTGCTGTGACCGGTAGCCGAGTCCCAGACTCGCCGAGAACGGCGCGAGATCCCCGTACGAGTCGGTTGTTTCCAAGAACACTATCTTGTCAGCTGCAGAATGCTGGCCGGGGTAGTCGTAGCGGCGGACCTACGGAATGACGAGTTGTCACTTGACCAACCATCCAAAGCCAGTTTGTCGTTGACGACGTTAGCGTTCAAAGTTCGGTTCAAAAGTGGAAGGTTGTACTGGACGCTCTGGCCCTTGACCAGGGTTTGGGACTTGTTTGCTTGGAATGTGTAGTCTGCAAAGGCAGGCGCTTTCACATCCTCAACAAGGGTGTCACCGCTGAGGAAGTCTAGAGACGCCCGCACATTCACACCTGGTGTTCCGATAGTGAGATTCACGACCGGTATGTAGTGCGTCGTGTAGGCCGCGAGGGTCGCGTTGTTGTCCGTGCTGTCGGCGCGTTTCCCCAGACTTATAGGGTAAGTGCTGCCGGAGACGATGCCGGCTAGGAGAAAGGTCGAGAGGATCATCGTAGAGTCGACTGGTGACTGGCAACATGCTGAAGTGGTCTGGGTCTTATACTGCAGCGACCCCTCACTTGAGTGCATGACGGCCCGCCAGCCGGGCCGGCATGGACAGCGGTAAGTCGACCTCCAGCCGCCCTGCTGTCCGTCATGTGACGGAGTATGTAACGATCATTCAGAAGTGGTCGTCCGCGTTCGGAAGCAATTGAATGGTGTGTCTCAAGCTTCAAACCGCACACAATTGAGAATCGCTGTGCCGTGCCTTGATTCCAAACCCGTCAGTGTGACCTGATCACATGCATTCGACACCTGTGCAAGCACTATTTGGCTCGGGCACAGCTCTTGGTACCTCTGCACAGGATTTTTTAGGTGGACGAGGCGGTGGCCGGGGCCAAAACTCGCCGTCGGGGTCTAGCAGATCTTCTCCACGGGTGTCTCTCATTGAGCCCCACCTCCCCGTTCACGTTCTGTGCCTTAGACACACTCCGGCTGTGCACTACTGAAGACTTGGCACTCGTAATCGTGTTGCTGACGTTCGTCGGTGCAAGTTTGTGGCTCCTCACTACCACCCTTCAGTTCCTGTGGGCTATCTGTGGTAGATTGCTGAGCCCTTCCAGCTGATGATACCACTCTCACACACTCACTCGCCTTCCCTTTTCAGTCCCGTCGACTTTCATCAGTTCCTCGGTCGCCAATTCGCTGAGTGGGAGCTACGCATGGAGAGCAGCGGTTTATCTCATTCGAGTGCAAGGGTAATTAACCCCGTGTTGGTGTATGTGGAAGTACCGACCCAGGCTTGCCGGTCTATTGGGGGCCAGTTCTCGCCAATCTCTGGTGAGCTCATGAATGCTTTCGAAATCGATGGGCGATCCGCCCCAACAAGCACACTCAGCCGATAACGGCTATCAAAAGCTGGTCTAGTGAGCATCTCATCTCCCGCTCGTGTGACAACTGTTCGCTTCCAAGCTAACCTAGGAAGGGGCCAGCGCCATGGATTGATTACTCATCTTTGCTTATGATCTTGGAGTTGGACGCCTGATCCTGCCAAAGCGACTGCTCGCCCTCCCTGGGGAACCTCGCAGCTAGTGCATGCGCTTTCAATAGTGGAGGTTGACTCATCTCAACTCAGCTCTCCGCAGACTAGCCTTAGCGGGTCACCCGCAGCAAAGAGTGATTCCGAGGTAATGATGGCTGTGAAGGGGGGGCAACGGTCTATAAGAAAGCCTCCCGAAGCGCCGCAATCCCTCCCCCTCAATCGCCTCTTTCCACGCCCGCCCCTCTTCCTCTCCTCCAGATCTTACAATGAGCTACTACTACGGCCGACCCAAGAAGGCCAAGGCTGACCCACCAGTCTTCAAACCTGAGCTCTACGAGAAGACCGACGCAATTGCCTCCGATCTCAGCCAGAAGTTCAAAAGCTGTCGCAAGCCTTTCGCGTCTTCAGGTGTCATCCCTCTCAAGGACACTCTGAAGGATCTGCGCTTGTTTTACAAGAATGATACTGAGATTTCAAGGTGAGCTTCGTTTCCAACCCTGGCTGACACTAAAGCGCCACCCTTCCCTTGGACAACCTGGCCTCCGAAACCGTCTGGAAGGCAGGCGCGCCCTCCAAGTTCGGGCACGACAACACCGACGTCTACGACGAGTCTTACCGGAAGGCCACAGAAATTCGCCTCCCCGACTTTGCTCTCTCCGCTGATCCTCTGTTGGTCGGCAATGTCCTCCGCCAAATTGAACACCTCATGGGCACCACCAAGCACCTGCGTGCCGAGCCCTACAAGCTCAACGCATATGGCCCCGGTGGGTTGTTCAAGGCCCACCGCGACACGCCCAAGTCTAACGACCACGTGGGCACTATCACCATGTGTCTTCCCTCCACCTTCACCGGAGGTGACCTTGTCGTTCGTCATGCGGGCGTCACCTGTCGCAGCGACTGGAGCAACCTGAAGGACGAGATCGGCTGGATGTTCCTGTACTCCGACTGCGAGCATGAAGTCCTGTCGGTGGAGAGCGGAACTCGCATTACGATTGCCTACGACGTCTTTGCTGCCGACAAGCAGCAGAACTACTCCGAAGATGGAGCTCTCAAGGCTCTCGAGCAGGCCTTGAAGGAGGCGTACGCCGACAAGGACTTCCTCCCGGAAGGGGGATGGGTCGGCCTGGGTCTGAAGCACTCTTACCCGCTTGAGAAGTTCAAGCCCAAGGTTACTCAACAGGTTGGCGACCATCTCAAGGGGTCGGACAACACCTGGTACCAAGCAGTGAAGCACCTCGGCCTTGAGCACAAGTTTGTCGGCATCTACGACATGGACTCCATATTCTACTACAGAGCGGGACAGAATGAGGGCTACTACAAGTTCGCTGACCGCTTCCTGACGACTTACAACACCTTCCACCGCATGACAAATGCTATGGTCGGCGACGGTTACGACGGCGACTATTGGCAAAATTACAACTTCGCCGAGGAGCACATTGCGTGGCTCACTGAGCCCGAGGCATACGGCGGAAAGAACCACTACGCCCGCTACGGCAACGAGGTGAGTTACTGGGCGACTGCGATGAGCTGACAAACAGTGGTCCTCGGCTGTGTGCTACGTCGCCCTCGGCTTGACCGTCAAGTTCCCTCCCCCCGCCGAGCGCGTCTCGGTCGAAGGGCAGTGAATATTCTTTAGTTATTCCGATTTGTGCCACTTTGTAGCCGTGTTCATGTATCCGTAGCATGTGCAAGTTGAGCGGAGCACAGGAGAACTCAGGAAGCACTGAAGATGTCTTGTGAACTCGTGCGGCCGTTTGCTGGGTGTCCGCAGTAGTGATCCGCCCGCGCCCGATGTTCCCCTTCGACGCGTCCAGAAAGGCTGACGGGGCGTTCGAGCAGGTGAACAGGATTTTTGAAAAGTCCGTTGGCTTTTGGCGCCGATGATTTTTGGCGCTCAAAAATCGCCCTTCCTCATCAGCTTCGGCGACGACGATTTGCAGTTTCAACCTTTCTCACGGTTGCACCTCCACCATCTTGGTCGATCCACGTTCGCTAAGGCGCCTTACATAGCATGTCCAAACGAGCCTCGCATGCATCCGCAGAAGGGCCAAAACCCAGCTGTCCATGGCCTGCATGTCGGAGCGATGCATGTATCTGCCCTAGTGTAGATTTCGCGATGCGCCGCTGATTCAGTCATCGCGAAACCAGCCGACGCACAGTTGCATCGGTCAAGCCTGGAATTGGTGGATGCATGTATCAGACAGCTCAGTTGAGTGATCGTAAGTAAACGCGTCACCAGTTCCCCACCGCATGGAATAATCGTGGAGTTCATAAGTCTGAGCTGCTGGACAGTTCTACGGGCTAATGTTGGCCACGGTCGCCTCGCCGGCTCCGGGCGTGATATGGACATGATGAAATGGTGTGGTGTGGAGAACAACAATGGAGAAAAGGTGGACGTATGGACTTTTGGTTTGTTTGGATGGTGGTTTTTGAGGTCGGCGGAGTGGCGCGCCGAGGCGCCTGCGCTGGCGAGCGGTCGCGCGAACCCTCGTTGCTTGGCAGAAAGGTGCACAACGATGAGCGCCTCGCGCGCTTAGTCAGACGAGGAGCTGGAGCACATCGGCGGGACACAGGCGAGGGGCGACGTCTTCTGCGCGTACGACAGGGATGTTCTGGTATCGTTCCTCTGCGGGCCGTTTGCGAGGTTGCCCTGTGTCTCGGGGTAGGCCAGGGAGGCCTTGGCGGTCGTGGCGCTGCCGACGAGACCCGTGACCGCGAGACGACTGCGAATGACCTCGACGCTCTTCTCCACCAGGCGGTCTGCACTCGGCTCGCAGTCTCCCAAGGGCCGGTTCTTGCTCGTGAAGACGTACTCGTCCGGGTCGACCAGGGGGCGAGCGGTAATTGCGTCGAGCTCGCGGGCGATGATGTGGCGACAGAAGTAACCCAGGTTCAGGTCGTTGCGGTCCTGGAGTCAGCTGGAAATGAGCAGGTTCAGACAGCACGTACGTAGCCGAACGGCTGCTCAATCTCCTCAGCGATGGAGGCATAGCCGATGATAATGTAGCCGACAATGACGGTGCTGTGGATGAGCTATAGCCGAAAACATGCCAACTCACGCCGGAATGCTGATGTATCCGAAACCTCCTCCATAGATCTGGAAGGGGAGCGCGAGGCAGTAGATCCAGCTGATCTCCCAGATGTGGGCGTTGAACGACCAGGGAATGGGAGTGGTGAGAATGCGCTCGAGAGTCGCCAAGGCCTCGTTCAGCTGGTTCAGACAGAGGTTGAGCTGGTTGATGGTAGGGACACCGATGACCTTGCGCTTCTCCATCGTCGCAACCCAGCTCGACATGAACATCGTGATCTCGAGAGGGATGTTATTGCAGCCGAACGGCATCGGGGCAGTCTCGACGCGCTGCGCTTGCCGCGCCTTCTCCTCGTCGGCGACCTTGTTCTTCTTGTGGAACCTGAACAGGGAACTCCAATCGAATCCGGGAGCATCGTCGGCGGGTCGTAGATACCCCGGAGTCTCGGGAGAGACGTAGGTAGGCTCCTTGCTCAGAGTGCTCATCGGCCGGGTGTGGTACCCCGGGTGGTTGGAGCTGAGTGAAGGCAAATCAGGCTGGATGGTGGCGTTGCCCATGGCCATACCGGACGGGAGGTCGAGGCTGGGAATGAAGTTGACTAGATGGAAGAGGTCCTCATAGTAGATGCCCTCCTCTCCTCGAAGGTAATGCTTGACCGAGACGGCAAAGGCGAGAGCAAGCTGTACGATTGTTTTCTTCTCAATGACTGCGCGGGCCTCGTCCTGAGCCTTCGCTTGAGGGTCCGACGGAGGGTTGCCTGACATGCTGTCGGGGCAGTGGAACCAGACCGTGCGGGCCCAGTTGCGCGACGCAAGGATGATCAGAGCCCACATCCTGCGCCCTTCTTGGTACCGCTCGTACGCCGATGAAGTGCGGTAGCTGAGGGTGAGACCGAGCAAGACACCTGCGCACATGTCAGCCAAAACATGAAACACAGACGTTTGGGCCTTCCGCAGCCGCCGTGGGTCCCGGACCGTGGAGCGCCACATTCCACGCCCTCCAGCATCACTCTGCCGCGTCTTCACGATATCACTTACCGAGCACCTGCGAGTGTCAGCTGCCGCATGCAAAGCTTACGCACAGTGATCATGGTTGTGGGGATGCCCAGGTCCGCCTTCGTCTTCTCGGAAACGAGAACCACCATGGCTGCCCATCCTCCGAGGAAGACGAGCATATGCCAGATGCGGAACAGGGCGGTGGCTCGGAGTGCATTGAAAAAGTAGATTGCAAACTTGTGCGGGCGATGACGGAGTGGGTTGAGGTCCCTCCTCTGGACGAAGTGGACTCCGTCGATAGAGGTGGGTCTGCTTGGGAACGGGGAAGCCATGGAGTAGCGACGGCCTTGACTTTGAGAAGTGGTGGTTCGTTCTGGCGGAGCTGGGGGTGGGGTGACAAAGCAGTGAAAGTCTCGAGTAGTGGTCGAATGATGACATTCGGTAGTCTTAAAGGAGTGCGCCGCACGGGGAGCGGTAGGCGGGGATAGCGACGCGAACGAGAAGGAAGCAAAGGGTGACGTGCCAAGAGGGGGAAGGGTCGATAGGAGACGCATAATGGCGGAGGGGATTGGGAAGGGGTCAGCGCAAAAGGTGAGTGGTGAGTGATCAGAGAGGTCAATGCGCGCGTTCCAGACGTTGCATGTCATGCGCTAGGCTGTGGACGGCAGGGCTGAAATAAGCACGGGTGGTCGGCCAGGTGCGCCATACGGTCGTGCATCGCACTGCATGGGCGTGCACATGCCCGCATGGCGGCCGGAACACTCCAGGTGCATGGCTCGGCGTTCACTAGGTTGCTCGCCGGGATAGTCTGTGGGGGGCGCAGTGCGCCATGGATGGCGTTTCATACTCCTCACTGCCGGGAGAACGCTGGCGCGCTGGCACCGGACAGCCACTTTTGGCCCGGGGCGCGACAGTGGTTCGGAGTGCGTATGCTGCGACGCCAGGGCGCGGTGCAGGTGCTGCACAATGTATCGTGTTGCAATACGATGTGTGCCTCGCTTGAAGCACACCGCTTCACACTCTACTGGTGGGAGCGAGCACGGGTGTGGTAAAGCTCTGCTGATGGCTGTGCAGTGGCTTCAGCGCCGCCAGGGGGGTCCACCGCAGCCTGCATGCGAGGATGCGGAACAACGAGGAGTCAGGTGCGCTCCATGCACGCCATGCACGGCGCACACAACGGACGGCATGTAGGGGTATCGAGAGACTTAAGCATAGATCGTCGCGACGCCACCTGAAGCAACAAGCGATCGGATCATCTCCGGGAGAACAACTCGCCAGGATCGCCCCGATGTTCATGGACCTTTCGGCGCAGCATTGCTGCGCGTGGCGTCGTCGGCTGGTCCAGGCTCTTCTGCTGCCCATGATGCAACGAACCGCAAGGCAGCATATGTGATCCCGAGCGCGTGACATTGTGCGCCCGACCCCTAGTACCTGAGGGGCGCAACTGAATGCGGAGTACGCGGAGCAACTGGTTGGCGGCGGGTGACTCATCTTTCTTCCTCACCTCCACATATCACACACAGGCGCATGGGCGCCGCTGGTTGTTCCGCAGCGGCCACAGCCTCAGATATCGTGACAAGGCAGATGACTTCTTCCACTCTTCCCTGTCTTCCTCGTTGTCCGTTGATCGACCCGTACTGGCATTACTCTTGTGCGCATTCTCTGCAATCCTGGCATTCGGTCACTCTCGACACTGTCACACCTCTCTGCCCCCCCTGCAACTTCCCCGTCGTAGCGTACCCTCGGTATGTCCGCGGCGAAGAGACGGCGCCGCTCTCTCAACTCGAAGTACGATGGTCTTCTCAAGTCGGGTCATTCCCTAGTCACTAACTCTCACTCCCTTGTACTCACACCCTCCCTTATCCCCGACAGATCGCGAGTTCAAGCCAGCAGCACCCGCGTGCGACGCGATCGTCTCCGTAGCCGCCAGAAGTTGTGGGACGATCTAGGCTTCGGGCCAGTGGACGTCGAAACGCAAGAAGCGCCCGCTGCGCCTACTCTGGTATGCATGCAGCTGTCACAGGTCACTCTGCTCCATCTTTGCTAATGACCCAGACAGATTGTCGATATCAGGACTTGGTGTGGCCAGCCCGTGCTGACACCTTTGCGATCCCACCTTCCTCGCCACCCACTGATAATCTTGGCACCCACAGTCAACTTCAACCTTCACCTCGATGGGCTGACGGTTCCACTTTCACTTCTGAATGGCCCTTCGAGCCTCAGCTTGAGCCCACCCCGGAGCCGAGAGCATCAGCGGTGGATCTGGAGGAAAGTGCCCGTCGGTTGTCGTGCCCTCCCCAACCAGCGCCGATCCAACTGCTCTGGACACCACACGGTATCATTAGTTGCAACGGCGAGCCGGTCGAGCTGTACTACCCACCCAATATGAACAGCTCCACCATGGCCACATCCTGGCCATCCAACATTGAACAGGAAGTGCCCCAGAATGTCAACATCCTGCATCCCGACAGCGGAAGACCGCATCCTGAGCCTTGGGCACACCCGACTTCCGTTCATGACGAAACCAGGGTCTCGGACGGAAGTGCCATGCGAGACACCGGCGTTCCGCAGGCAATGATGAGTTCAAGACGGTTTCTCCAGCCTCCGCAACAAGATGACCCGCCGCCCCGACACATCCCGAGAGACGACCTGTCTGATTCCCTCGACTCTCTCACCTTCGATGAGCCAGATCCAAGTGCTGTTGGGAATGTCTCCCAGTTGGCTCTCGATCTCGACGAGAAACCGGGAGATTTCGATGACATTGAGGAGGGACTGGTGCCGGTGTTCGATGGTCGCAGTGCACACAGTGAGCAACCTGATAGTCACAGCGCAGCGGAGGGTGATGTGCTTGACGCCAAATTGTTGTCAGACTCGGCAACTCGAATCAACGTCAATGAATCGACAGCCATCAATGAAGACCCCATTTCAGGTGCCGTGCAGCGGCCCGAGCTCGACTACGGCCGTCATCGCTCAAGCCTCAGGCTACCCGACAAGTACGAGAGCTCCCAGTATCCTGCTGAAGTCGATGTCGAGAAAGGGGGGATTACCTCCAGCAAGCAGTCAAGAGTCCGTCTGGAACCTCTACTGAGTCGTCTCGTGCAAGCCCGCTCTCAGCTAACAATGGAGTCTCCTAGATCCAGCTCTCAAAGCGGGACTCTGCGTCCCCCGCCCCGTGCGAACCGAACGCCCTATGCTCCTCGTAAGATGACCCCAAAGCACACGTTACGTTCCCAAGCCCCTGCGCCGCACACGCCCACGCTTCGCCCCAGAAAGCCACCAGTCAACCACCGACTGCGAGCGCCCGATCGACGTGACCAAGAGTCAGTCCAGCTCTTGCAGAAAGCACCCAGCCCACCACCGCCAAACGCCAACACTGACTCCTCGCCGCTCCAGAAGTCAACCTCACCACAACCACTCGAACCCTCACAGCAAAATATCAGCGACGGCAAGGAAACGGTGGATTACGGCTCTGAAGACGAGTTGCTGCTCCAGCCAGACGCCCCCGCTGAGAGGCTGGCCATGGCAACTGAGATCATGTCCAGTATCGGCGGTTTGGGGGGTCGACAGACCAGTGTCGGGCCAAGTCGAGTGGTGAGCATCAGCACGGAGAAAGTAGATCGACGAGGAAACCAGCTGACATGCAGACTCCAACCTTACCGCCTGGAGCGACTACAACTCCGTATCACAAACCGGGGCTACATACGTTATCACAGACCATCTTCAAGCGGCGCCCAGAGGCTTGGGCAAACCTGACATACCTACAGCAGCCTGGGACGAATAGTCTGGACCCTAAAACGCCGGCGCCGCCAACGCCCACGATCGCCCCTGTCGACGTATGGCTAAGCGTCGGTGGAATAGATGAAGGCGACAAGCGGCTGGAGAGCATCGGCGAGGTGCCGGAGCTGGAGGAGATCGAGGTCGACGAGGAGGAGTCTGAGTCTGACGAGGTGAGCTCGACTTCGACTTCTGCCCAGACAGCTGACATCACAGAAAGCGCCCGACACCGACGTGGCCGAGTCGATCCGGTCATTCACGCCATCGCAGGAAAAGCCGCGCAAACGAAAGAAGAAGAAGCAGGTGCGCTTCAACCTGGACCACGAAGAGTTCTTCTACGAGCCCGAGCCGGATGCTAGGAGGATCCTCGGGCTGCTGAAGCCTCGACTGGACGACGAGCACGACGTCGGACTCGCAACGGCCGTGTACCAGATCGGTGGCGGAACGAAGTCTTCGCAGCAGCAACAAAACAGCGAGGCAGCCAAGGTGGCCAAGGAGAGGGAAGCAAGCCTATCACCCGCTTCTCCGGAGTCACCCGCATCACCCGCACCATGCGCTTCGTCACCTTCCCCGGCCCCGGCTTCGCCAGCACCAGCTTCTCCGGTCCCTCAAGCCGGAACCCAGACCGTGCCGGAAGACGATAAGAATGGCATCGGCTTCACAATCTACCGCGACGGGTATTAGTGTATGTACTTCTTGTACGTTCTTAAATGTACGTGTGTGATATAGATACAACAGTTCTGGCTACTGCACGCTACGCTGGCATTCTACTCGTCGTCCTTCTTCCCTGCTGTCGCTGCGGCCCCGCGACGCATGACCACGCCGCGCCCCTTGCGCTCCGGCTCGACGTGCACCTTCTTCGGCACCTGGACGTTGAAGCCGTCGACGACGAGGTCGTGGTAGTTCTCGAGCACGAGCGCCATGTCTTTGAGCTCGACGCGGGAGGACTTGCGGTGCGCCGCGAGGCGGATCGCGTCCTTCGTTGCCGTGTCCACGAGCGAGTCGAGGATCTCGCCAAACACCTGTTCGTCAGTTTCGGCGCAGCTCAACGCAACTCACGTCATCCATGCCCAGCTCGAGCTGCAGGTGGGGCGCCGTCTCCTTCATGTACTCCCTGAGTTTCCTCTTCCGTCTCGGTCCCTCCGGCTCTGGGGGGATGACCTTTGGCGGGGAGGGCTGTCGGACGGGTGCGGGAGGAGGAGGGGCGGGCGCGGGCTGTGCCGTAGGTGTGGGCGGCGCCGAGGTCGTAGGCGACGCCTGGCCCGAGGCGGGCTGCGCCGCGCGCGCGGCATTTGCCTGCGATCGGCGCTGATAGAAGGTGTAGCTGGACAGGAAGCGCTGCTTGAGCCCGGGCTCGGTCTCGAAGCGCCTGTTCCGCGCATCGTTAGTGAGCGAAATCTGGTCCCGCACCTCCTGCACCGTCATGCTGGGCGCTGCTGGCGGCCGCGGCGGGGGCGGGGCCGGA